GGAACTGGGGCATGCGACCAACGTCAGGCTGAAAGTCTGGAGGGTACCTGGGGCCGTGTGGATGCACTGTACAGTACAGGTGTACTGATTTACGGGGTACACTCCAAAGTTGGTTGGGTACGAAGTCGTTGAATCGGTCTCTTCTGTCTGGTGCTTCTGCGGCATGGACAGGGTCCTCCGTTCTCTCGGTGCTCCCAATCCTTCTCTACCGACGTAGTAGCCTGTCATAGTCCAGACTATATTTCGTATGTCTACTCAATTGCTCCAGTAGTCCCCCGTCCAGACGTCTTGTCTTGTCAGTTTCTTTGCCTGGTGGTCCATGTCCATATGATTCACTACAAGTCAACGACCTTACATGTGCCGGACGTTACTGCTCCGTACAACAAGAGAGGTTCTCCAGACCCCACACACTTGACGTCTCATCTCGTTGCAAGACGGAATCATGTAATGTCAGGGCGCGGTAAGCATAACGCGTCCGTTAGACTGGGTAACACATAGAGGAGAACTTCGTCGCACTTGTACGATACTCTGACGGCGCATGATTTCTCGAGCGGAAGCCCAAGCAGTGGTCAAATGGCAGTATCGCCAATGTCATGCGAGGAATGACGTATTGTATATTCGACTGGCCAATTCATCGTACAAGCAAGTAAGGGGCCTGCCAGCCAAGGCTGCTTATCAGTTTACAATGGATATAAATATCTTCTTGAAGATATGTGGTGCATGTAGTTGTTGCATGCGAAACCACACTGAAGCCTTTGCAAAATTGGTATTTCGTGTTTGTTTCCGCATGCAGCCAATTTCAAGATAGATGCCGCTCGGCAACTTGACATGTGTCCCTTACTTTTGAGTCTCATAACTGATGTCAAACAGTCCGTAATCCATATTTAGCAACTGTCTGTTGTGGTTCCGAACTGGTGGGTTTCACACAGACCGGTAATTGAGCCATGATCCGGTAGCTCGTAGTGGATGAATCTATGTCAACATTATGCGAGTCCAGTATGTGACAGACTTGGGTATCCAAGCTTCCGTAAACTTCGAGTTCGAAACAAACACAATCGGTGCGGATTTCCCCTCCTACTCAAATCATGAATTGTCCCTTGTGCGTGGTGCATGGGAGTTCCTCGGCCGAATGATGCTGTCGCTTCTATGCCATTGCCATGTCCCCCGCTTATGATATCGCATCCCAAGGACACGGAACCACTGGAGCATCTCGGCTAGTCCGTACGTAGCTGAGGTGAACCTTGAGGTATCTGTTACGACGCTCAGCGAAGCACGTGTGGCACGTATCGATGAATATGATGTCGAGTCGGTTGCCAATATGGTAGTGGACATGGCCAGTTTCCGTTCCGTTTCCGTTTCTGTTTTGGGATTGAGAGTCCTCGATCTGGTCGCATTCATGCGCAGTCGTTGTAGGAGGAGTTGAGCACCAAAAGTAGCAAAATCGTTTCGCATTCAGCTGGTGCCAAATGAGACGCTGTCAAGTCAACAACGCCCAGGGAACCATGGCGTCACAAGAAGGTCCCTATCCCTAGGTACCTTATGCAACGGGAATATTACCGGCCTCGCCTAATACTGGGTCAACGTCCCTTAGGTTGGCAGGTAGATACTGGATGCCACATCATTTTAATTCGCCGAGATGTCATGTTCGGCTCTTGGTTCTCTAGGTTGTTTCTGGAGAGTTGTAACACATACGGAGCCAGGTGATGGAAGCAACGCCTTTCGGTTTTCACTGAAGCGCCAGTAGTCCGCAGTGGAAGTACTTCATTCTTCAACTCATTGTTAGATCCCAACTTGTAGTAGAGTGTCCCAGCCTCGATCCGTCCCGATTCAGAGAGTGGGCCGATGGAGCAGTTTCGAAAGCTTCCAGAAGCATGTCAAATCATGCCAGACTCCACAGGACTATGCGGGATACATCCTCACCGTGCCAGCAGTTGACAGGCAGTAAGAAAACACTGTACTGCTAAGTTGACACAAGTGCTAGGCTCATGGTCTTTTGCAAGCTGTCAAGGTACTTCAGCAGATGCCTTGTCGGTCCAAGCTTGACCTGAGCCAGGCAATTTGGTGGCCTTCACCTTGTGGGGATGGTGATGGATTGGGATGAACTACCACCAACTCCCGTCCTGCAAGTTCAGGGGTAGATCGCTGTACACACCCAAACTAGCGCACACGTTGTGGCGGCTTGCACAGGATGTAGTGCCGCGTAAAAGCCCCAGACCCTCGGCGTTCCTGCATTAGCCAATTTCCAAACGCCACTCGCATTTGAAACAGGGGTCATTGTCGTTCGTTCCAACATAAACCCACTTTCTCGACATCCACATGTGGCGCCTGTTGATCGGTGTTTCTGAAGGTTCTCCTCTGTATTCGTAGCCAATACCAATCAACCAATTCAGAGAATGGTTTTGAGCCTCATGCATCAGATGCAGTTCATGTGGTGTGCTCGCATGTCATGTGACAGATCTTTCCTGCTGGAGGAAGATCAATCGAAATGGCAGTGCCAAAACTGACAGGCATCTTCTTGCCATGTGGCAGCAAGGCAAGCTCTGACATGGCCGGTTTGGCCTGTATCTATGCCCGTACTATTCTTATACGACGAGAAGTCGCTCATACTCATGGAAGATCATCTCGACTTATTGTTTATACGAATATAGCTTTGACATAACACTTAATTATGCCAGCTCACTTTTCGGTCCCCTCCCTGTCGAGCTTTAAGTAAATTCCAGTCATAGAAGCAGCAATGAGAGAGATCGACACATATGTTCATGGATGAGAACGAAGGCGTAATCGTATCCCCAGACCAACCCAATGCCACATGGAATGGTACTATCGATTTGTCCATCCCACTACCTTGCCCAGCTGGCTTGGGCAAGGCAGTTAGCTGTAGATCGGCTCACATTCGAGCCAGTGACATTTGGTTTCCAAACTATTTCAACTAGTCATGCAGGAAATGTCATCAGTATCGAATCTGCTTCTGCTTTCTGTACGTACCCTGAGCCACGAGGCGATGAGCTGAAGACCCTTCTTGGCATCTCATGTGGTGGGGTTGCTTTCATAGTCCACCTATCGGATTCTCGACGCTGTACATACGTAGGTAGTGTGGAACTGGACGCTAGCGCATTGCTTCTGCACCTTCCAGAAGCCTCATCGAACAATGTTGCAGATTAAACGTAGGATCTAACAAGACACGCTATGTCATACGCGCCGAAACTGCATGGCCGATCAACTTTGGTTAGGTAGGTAAGTAACCTCAGCCTGCTTCCTGTTTCAGCTGGTCTGATGTCTATCTCAGACGGGTATGGCTGTGCAGGACAAACTCTGCCAATACGAACTGACTTATCATCTTTTGTTCCAGTCATCAATGACGGTTCGAAACTTTCCAGTAAATTGAATCATGTTTGTTGGGTGTTGTAGCGTTCGTGTCGCCGGGGAACCGCTTCCGCTAGTGTAGGGCATCCGTGCCAGGTCCGCCTAATAATTTAAGAAAAATATTCTTCCCAACGAGCAATGCTACCAAGGTCCCCTTGCACACGATGTTTGTTTATGTGGGGGCAAGAGAGGCCTCTTCTTTGGTGTCATAACCTTCTGGAAGGTTGCGTTTGTGAAGTCAATGCATTATCGTTTGTTCTGGAGTGTGCGTCGTTCATGCCGGATATGCTCCCCGGGACGACGGACTATGCAGCCACGAGTCAAGCTTCAATAGCGACTGATGGGATGAGAGCAGATGATAGATCCACTATCACCCGCCCGCCGTGCTTCCGGAATGATCTATATCGATAGTGCATCTCGCGCCACCCAACGTACGTAGCCCAACGACATTTTGAGTGTGGCTATATCATTGTTCCTGATCTTCGTTGCCCAATTAGCCACGAGTCGTGATGCTCAAGCTAGCTGCTGGGTTAGTCAGAGTGCTCAGGAAGTTGACTCGATCAAACTGACCCCTAAGCTACCCGTTGGGGCGACATATCAATCTGGGGAAGTAATGCGGCACGGCGTCTCCCGAACTAACCGTCAGGCGGACAATTCAGCCTCCTAGAGGGTGATCACTGACAAGTAGTGTATCGGGTAAATGGGTGCCCAGCGTAGACGTGGTGCATCTCCAGGGGAACAACACCCCGTGGTCACCCGCAGATCATGACTGAACCCTGGTATGATCGTATTATTTGAGTCGACGTTGATGACTCAATGTATGAGAAGTTGAAGCCTTCGTTACTTAGGTACCTAGGATGGGATTTAGGAAAGTAGGTGTTCTGATTACTGCCGCTGCTTCGAGGAAGGTGCTCCTGAGAAGATCAAGACCCAAGCATGGTTTAGGGTAACCATACCTATAATTTGCGTAGTTTGCTTCCTTCCTCTCATAATTATATTATTGGGCATAAGCTCAAATACTAGTTCTTAAATACAGGGTATTGCTGTTGCTATGACATACGGGCAATTGATCTTATAGTAACTAGGAGGAACTTTGGTTGATATCATGATCGAATTCTCCCGGTGTGAGAGCTTCTACATCCAGTCTTCTTTCTTCCTGTTATGAGGAATGTGTTATGTGGAGGGCATAGGTTCAAATTGCTAAAACCTCAGAAACATGTGAGGATATATGAAGTCCATTGATAGTACAATATGAAGGCATAGGTACTATACCTAGCAGACATGATCGATTATACAAGCTAATAAGAAGCATGCACATGCTAGATAGTGCGATACACGTAGAATCTATTCAAGAAGGTTATAGCCTGCTGTAAGACCCGCTACAGCAGTGCCCGCACCGCTGAAGCTGCACGCCTGGATGTACTGCCCTATCTTTTCAGCGCCAAGTCCCCGAAAAGGCAAGTAACTCTCGTCCAAGCCACCTCACCAGCCTCACCTCCACCCCGCCATCGCTGACGCAGCTTAAACGTCCAACCACGCCGACACCGATATAGCTTCCTCCTAATCCACACATCTTGAATAGCACGAGCTGTCTGCACCGCACATCGCCATTCGTTCAAAAAGAACTATCGCTCACGATGTCAATTATCCAACAGCACACGAGCGCGACGCTCGGCGACGCCTGGCGCACCATCAACATTGACGCCCTGGAAGAGGACTCCAGCGTCAACTTCGACATTTCGACACTCCACCCACCGCAGCCCGAAATCGATGAGGCGGAAGTGAAACAGCTCTCTGGACAAATTAGGCAGCTTCTACGGGGAGGCGATTCCGAGGGAGCTTTGAGGGGAAGCTTGGAGACACCTGTCTACAACGGAACAGATGCCGCCAAGGTACGTCAACTTGGTTTCCAGGACCGATACCGCCTACTGGTCTTGGGGAGATGTCGAGTCTAACGCAGGATATGATTACAGGATGCGCACTTGCATACAATTATCGAGGTTCTCCAGTCGATTAAGGCGAGCGATATGTCCCCTTTACTAAAGAGCATCTACGGATCCGACGGCGGCCACGAATGCTTGGATGTTCTGATGAAATACATGTATGTTGCGAGGGTGGCAAACCGCATAACCGAAGAGGTATCTAACGAAATATTTAGCTACAAGGGAATGGCCACTGTTCACCCTGGAACAGCTTCGCGAACACCAAACAAGGTGACACCTCAATCGACAGGAGGATTCAGTCAAATCGGTGGACGACCTGGTGCGAACGAGTCGGCAACAGCAGCCATGAGTGTCCTCCTTAGCTGGCACGAGAAGGTTGTTGAGGTTGCTGGCTTGGGATGCATTGGTCGCACAATGACTGACTGGCGCCGGGTTTAGAGGACATAAGCGTGTATCGCGACGGTGAGCGGTCAAGAACACATAGAATCATGATATGCAACAATCATGAACCGTGGAGCAAAGCACTTCTACGGGTAACCTAGTCATTGATGTTACATTATTTACATTATACAAGCCATCATCCCAGCCTATTTTTGTTCCAAGATATCTTTCAAGTTTATGTCACCGCTTCCTCTGAGCAGAGGCTTGGGTTGATTCTCGCCCTCGCGCCATCCGATCATATATATGATTCGAAATGTGGCAGGAATGGACCCATCCGGGTTACCATGGAGTTCCCTATAGATCGCCTGACCTGCGAGAAGAACGTCGCGCGAGATTGCGCCCATTTCTCTCCCCAGAACAGCATTTCCCTCCCCCATGGCTTGAAGATCCTGCATCAAAGCAAACATATCAGGATAGTCAACGATGATATCATCGACATCGACAGTCAACATTTTGAAGCCGGCTTTTTGGAGCAGACCACCGACATCCTTGACATCAGCCAGAGGAGAGACTCGCGGAGATATGCCGCCCCGTCTTTCTGTCTCAGCAAGCTGAAGTGATGTTCTCAACTCGAAGAGAGTGTCGCCACCAAGCATGGCACCGATGAAAGGAGAGTCTGGCTTGAGAACGGTGTTGATCTGTTTGAGAATACCAGGCAGATCGTTGATCCAATGGAGGCTCAATGAACTCAGAACCAAGTCAAAAGAGGCAGGATCAAAAGGAATTGTTTCTTGATCATCCATGACTTTACGAGTGATGTTGATTTTCTTGTTGAAATCATGGTCGGCATCTCGATGAAGTAGTGAGTAAGAAGAATCAGCAGCAACCAGTTCATCAATGCGTGTTGACAATGGTGGTGACTCGGGTGTGTTGGGGTCAGGATCTGGATTTTCCTGAATCAAAGCTCGTGCAATATTGCACGAGTTGGCACCAAGATCTAGCACTCGAGGGAACCGCCGTTTGATGTCCTGATATAAGGTTAGAAACGAGTGGTCATTTAGAGATATAAGACACTCACTAGAAGTCTTTCCGACACTCGAATGGCAACCTCCTCTTTGAGGTAGTCAGCATCACGACTTTCTTCGACGTTAAGACCAGAGCGCTCTTTCTGGATCCATTTTGTATGCTGATTGAAGACCTGGAAACGAGGAGCCCCAGGAGATTGAATAGCATAGAAGCGTTGGTTTGTGATGGAACGACAAATATTGGTTGGCCGTGAGAGAGTTTGCAGACTACACCGTATCGCAATCGATGGAATAGTGCGTGATGCCATTGTCGAGTCTTTCAGCCAAGCTGATACACAGCTTGGTAGAAATGGAGAAATTTAGTTATATGACAATGATAAGCCAAAAGTGTTGATGCAATAGACTGGAAGTCATGATGGATTTGATAGACTCAATTATGGTAGCTCTTTACTGGCTGCAGCTCTGAGTGGATGATGCACGGACCAGCTGGAACATTTGGCAGCCAAACCCTTTCTGGCCGTTATTACAACCGTAGGAGGCAGGAGACAGGAGGCTTCTCATTAGACTAGAAGCCCTGGCCTGCATATGGGAGGATGACAGAAGAACACGCTTCACAACTCACCTCATCCTGCACCAAGTATTCTGCCTTGGATCGCATTTCTCTGTGTCCACGAATATCTAAATAAATCACTGTAGAAGCGAGGTGATACTCGCTCATCAGCAAAACACTTACATTATCGCATATATAATCCCCTCTTGCCTTTAGCTGTCATAGCCCTTGTCAGTCCCCCCCGACTGATCCGTTCCCTAGCCCACGGGCCTCTTCCGCAACTCCTAACAATTAACTTAGGCCGCACCCAGACCAGAGACCACCCACTACTCCGTACCACCACCGCACCGCAATCCGCATCCGCGTCTTCTGTTTAGCTCGCCCCTCCAACGAGCAATCTCCCATCACATCGACATACAATCGATGTCTGGCGCATGAGCCGTCTGGACAATTCGAGTCGACTATGCGATCTTTGCGATAAGGCGCGACTACACTCTGTTTTGGAGACATTTCGACATCACTCTCCCGTACATCTTTCGACCGACGAGTCCATTTTGAGCCTACTAGCCCCCCGTCTTGCTCCCGGAATCAGGGGTCTTCAGTAAACCGTCCGCACGAATACCTTCGCATACCTCAGTAACATCCGTTCGCCATGTCGAGCTCAGGATCCGGCTTCCTCGGCCGCTCGAGTAGCAGCAATGCTAATATGCGTGGTCTGGTCCAATTTATCGCTGACCTAAGAAATGCAAGAGCGCGCGAGCTTGAGGAGAAGCGAATCAATAAGGAGCTGGCCAATATCCGACAGAAGTTTAAGGACGGCAGCCTCAGTGGTTACCACAAGAAGAAATATGTCTGCAAGCTACTATACATTTATATCCTCGGCTGGAATGTTGATTTTGGCCATCTCGAGGCTGTCAATCTGATCTCAGCCAACAAGTATTCCGAGAAGCAGATTGGCTATCTCGCCATGACGCTCTTCCTCCACGAGAAGCACGAACTGTTGCACCTTGTTGTCAACAGCATCCGAAAGGATCTTCTCGACCACAATGAGCTTTTCAATTGTCTAGCCCTCCATGCGATTGCGAACGTGGGAAGCCGAGAGATGGGTGAAGCTCTAAATGGAGAGGTTCATAGACTTCTGATTTCTCCGTATGCGCCTATATCCCTTTTCTGCGAAACAATACGCTGACCGTTACTATTCAGAACATCCAAGTCATTCGTCAAGAAGAAAGCAGCCCTGACGCTCCTCCGACTATACCGCAAGCACCCAGATATCATAGCACCGCAATGGGCGGAGCGTATCATTCACTTGATGGATGATTCTGACCTCGGTGTGGCCCTTTCAGTCACGTCACTCGTCATGACCTTAGCACAAGATAATCTGGAACAATACAAAGGAGCGTATGCCAAGGCCGCAGCTCGCCTGAAGCGCATTCTCATCGACGGCGAGTACACGACCGACTACTTGTACTACAAAGTCCCATGCCCTTGGCTGCAGATCAAGTTACTTCGACTCTTGCAATACTTCCCCCCTGCAGGTAAGTTGGATATATTGTGATTTGCCAAAAGTGTACCGCTGACTTCAGTCTAGAGGACACCCACGTTCGAGAAATGATTCGCGAGTCTTTACAAAAGATCCTGAACCTGGCTATGGAGACCAATAAGAACGTCCAACAGAACAATGCACAGAACGCTGTGCTCTTCGAAGCCATCAATCTTATCATTCACTTAGACACCGAGCATGGTCTGATGAAGCAGATCTCAACGAGACTGGGCAAATTTATACAGAGCCGAGAGACCAATGTCAGATATTTAGGTTTGGAGGCTATGACACATCTTGCCGCACGCGCCGAAACACTCGATCCCATCAAGCAGCACCAAGACATTATTCTTGGCTCACTCAAGGACCGAGATATCAGCGTGCGCCGTAAGGGTCTTGATCTGCTTTACAGCATGTGCGATGCTACCAATGCCCAGGTCATTGTTGGTGAGCTACTGCAATATCTACAAAACGCCGACTTTGCTATCCGAGAAGAAATGGTCCTTAAGATCGCCATTCTTACGGAGAAGTACGCGACCGATGTGCAGTGGTATGTCGATATCTCCCTACGCCTCATCGCCATGGCTGGAGACCATGTCAGTGACGAGGTATGGCAGCGAGTTATTCAGATCGTGACAAACAACGAAGAGCTACAGGTGTACGCAGCTCAGAATGCGCTGCAGTACGTCAAAGGCGATCACTGCCATGAAACCCTTGTCAAGATTGGTGCATACATCCTAGGAGAGTTTGGCCATTTGGTAGCCGATCAGCCTCGCTGCAGTCCCATTGAACAGTTTATGGCCCTTCAGGGAAAACTGACAGCATGCTCTTCAAGTACTCGTGCTATGATTCTTTCGTGTTTCGTCAAATACGTCAACTTGTTTCCAGAAATCAAGCCACAGCTTGTCCATGTGTTCGAGTTCCACAGCCACAACCTGGACTCCGAGCTTCAACAGAGAGCTTGTGAGTACCTGACACTGGTGAATATGCCAACGGACGACCTCCTGCGAACACTTTGCGACGAAATGCCACCCTTCCCCGAAAGGCAGTCTGCGCTTCTCTCAAGATTACATCAGAAACATGCCAACACGAGCGACCGAAGGACTTGGGTTGTGGGAGGAAAAGATGCCAATGCCGACTCTAGGGAACTTAGCATGGGAACTGGAGCACTTAAGAGGACCTTCAGCGCCAATGTGCCTCTCAATGGTAAACCGAACGGACAGGCTGCAACCAACGCGAACGGTCATGGTAATGGCGTCGCCGATCTGGCTGGCCTTGACCTCAACGCACCTACACCATCGGAGCCAAAGATGCTCAAAGCCCCTAATTTGGCCAGCGCAGCTCATTTGTCACCGGGATGGGAGCAAGGGTTCAACAAACTGCTGGTTCGATCGGATGGTGTGCTCTACGAGGATGGCCAATTGCAGATTGGTGTCCGATCTGAGTACCGTGGCCAAATGGCTTGCCTGATCACTTATTTCAAGAACAAAACACCGGCAACCATGACATCCTTCACAACAACCTTGGACTTGGATGAGAATGAGAAGAGCAACCTCACTTGGGATGTCAAGAACCTTCCTGATAGTACCATTGTGCAAGGTGGCCAATCTCAACAGGTTGTTATGTTTGAGGCGAAGAAGATCTTCGAGAAGAGTCCCACTGTGCGCATCAGCTACCTAGCTGGTGCTCTGCAGGCACTCACACTGAAGCTTCCTGTATCGATACACAAGTTCATGGACCCAGCAGAGCTGACTGCAGACGACTTCTTCAAGAGGTGGAAGCAGATTGGCGGTGCCCCTCGGGAGGCACAGGCTATCTTTGGAGTCTCGGGCAAGGGTGATAGACAGCTGACAGAGAGCTTCGTGACAAAGACTGTTGAGGGATTCAGATGGCGTGTGCTGGATATGGTGGACCCCAACCCGAAGAACGTTGTTGGTGCGAGCGTGCTTCACACATCACAAGGAGGCAAATTTGGCTGTCTGCTGAGACTAGAGCCAAACTACGGACAACAGGTATGTTATAACATGCTACACTGCAACAGTGCGTATTCTAACCACTCACTAGATGATCCGATTGACTATTCGTGCTACGGATGATTCCGTGCCGGCCCTGCTGTTGAAGTACATGCAAGAACGGCTTGCTGCGGGGATCTCTACGGCGCCGGATCGATTCGAATCACCATCCCGAGAGCAAATTTCAGACTCTTTCCGCAATATAATGGTGAATTGATGGGAGAACAAGATGTTTGTCTTCTTATAGTTCGCCGGAAAGGAGTTGTCTTAATACCACAGAAGCATATGGGCGTTGGGGATCTTAGCATGGAAGTTGGAGGAAGCGCTCAATCCAGCCATGAATTTACTGGCCGAAAAGTTGCTTAGGTCGACGATTCTCGTAGTACTTCTTCACCACAGAGTTGTGGTGAAGCTGTGCGGAGTGATCTGGCCAAGCAAGACGCAGTTATCATATACCACGATCTCTCATTGTAAATTGAACGAAACATGATGCAGGAGTTATAGCCGAGCTTGCTCAGTGCCATACGTGAGTGAGATTGATATTAAAGAACTGTCCAAGAAGCTGGATTGTCACATTTTCTTGGGCCAGGGGTGCATATAATTATTTTATACATGTAATGACAATGCTACTCCTTGATCTTTGCATCCGCCTTTGCGGGCCTCTCTCCAAAGATAGTGCTACCCACACGTACCTCGCTACTATCCAAGCGCACCGCACCCTCGAAATCCTCACTCATACCCATGCTCAACTCTAAACTCTCTTGATCTAAACCAAGTTCCTTGGCCACGAGATCTCGCTGCTCCTTGAGCGTGATAAAGTCCTCGTTCTCAGTCTCGGCGGTGGTGGCCTTGCTGCGGGCGATGGCACCAATAGTCATGAGGCCGAGCAGACGCAGGTTGGGGCACGTCTCAACGATCTCACGGCACAGAGCAACGGTCTCATCACCGGGAGAGCAACCGGACTTGGATTCCTCGCCGGATGTGTTGACCTGAACGTGAACGCCGATTTTAGGAGCATCCGGCTGCGAGGAGAGAAAGGTGGTGCGAGTGGTATTAAGGAGCTGGGCCTTTTTAGAGGTATCTATGCTTGAGACGCAGAAAAGGTTTGGGATCTTGCCCAGCGTCTTACAATGGCCTGATGTAATATGTCAGTATTCCAAGATCTGTTGTATCGGTATGAGTCAAGCGTCTGACCTGATTGGAGACCGCCGATAAAGTGCCACTGGACGGTATTCGGAAGCAAAGCCGCCTTCTGAATTAGCTCTTGGGCGTAGTTCTCACCAAAGTGAGTATGAGAAGCAGGAGATTGGTGAAGGGCCAGAATATCATTTGCAGGCTTTAGCTTTGAGACAGCAACAAGTCGGACCTGATATGTGTAAGCCAGGGTATTTTCAATGTGAGGGTCATACATACATTTCGACCATTTGCTACAGAAGCGAGGCGCTCCTTCACCGAATTGAGCTGAGAGATGAGAGCCTGAGCTCTGGAGGGATTGACTTGCATTTCTTCCTGTGGCTCACTCATTATTTCCTGCAAGGGATTTCGTAAATCTTGTCTTATACCAATGGAATGCGAGACGATTGTTGTAAGTGGAGGGTAAGTAGTTTTGGGTGGTCGGATTATCATCGGTTAGGTTATGCAGGCGCCGTAACGTGTAATGTGGCCAGCATAGCGTAGCATAGCTCATCAGCTACGAAACTATACCCCTTGATTCCTTTAAGCCGACTCTACAACACTCATGATCTTATAAACTTGGGGAACGAAAACTCTCAAAAATAAAAGCCCTTTATAAAATGGCCTCGGATTTGAAAGCTGGCCGTCGGCGGGCAACAAGCAGCGCAACCAGACCAGCACATGTGAGACGAAAGTCCAGAGCAGTCATTCAGCCAAAGTCAACACATACATCAGATGAATTCCTTCAGGACTTCTTAGACCCTACTTTCGACCCTGCAACTTTCCTCAACTCGGCTTTGCCTCCGCTGCAGCAACGTTCCGTACCTGGGCGGGCGGGTTCGGATATCGCATCCCTCGCTGAGCTGTCTACACAAGCGCAGAACCTCATCTCACAGCTAAATGCGCAGACATCACGGCTGTCGACTACTCTCACGCACCTCACCGATGACATTCTGAGAAGTGGGAGCCGTCTAGCCTACGAGGTAGAGCTACTACGGGGTGAGACGCTGGGTCTCCAGGAAACTATGAATGAGACGCTTCAGGACGATATCAAGAAATTCGTGCCTGAAGGGCTACATGAAGCCATCGAGGCCAAGAATGCTGCTGCAGCCGCAGCTAAAGAGGACAGGAGTGCGGCACCGTCAACAACAGCTGCAGCCTTTACCAGTGACGCAGCGAACCCAGATGACCCTGAGTTTGTCAAACAACTACAAACGTTGACCCTCGTGAGATCCCGGTTGGATTCAGTTATAAAAACCTTCGGAGATGCTATGGAATTTGTGTTCCCGCCATCAGAGGTATCAGTCAGCTCAGGCTTCTTATCGGTATCAGCACCCGAACCTGGTTCAGCACAACAGAGCTCAGAGGAAAAGGGCAAACAAGTGCTCAAGAACATCCGCAACGAGATATCAGAGCTACTGGACAACTCTGACGATCCTGTGCAAGGAATAGAGACGGCCGCGCAGAGAATTGAGCAGCTCAAGGAGCTATCTCAAGTATGGAAGGACACGGCAGAGGAGAAGGGAAGAAACAGGTTTATAGAGGGCCTTGCCAAGATGGTTGAGGATAAGCACCGGGACTTGATGAAGGAGATGGAGCAGGCGACAAAGGATAAGGGTAGAGTGGAATCACGACCACGGAAAGGAAGTGTCACGAGAGATGCAGCATCGTCATCGTCAGTAGCAGCAGCAGCAACTGTGGTAGAGGATACAAAGTCACCTGGTGGGTTTGGCCTCATTAGTCAGTTGCACAAGCTTCGAGGAGGACTGTGAAGCAATGAGGACAATATATTAGACGCTATTAATATACTTCAAGAAAAGTCGTTAGCTCTTAGCTGCTTCCAATTTATCTTTTATCTGTATGTTTAACCTGCCAAGTCAATTGTGTAGTAATAAGCTTCTTCAACTGTGTGATTATAGACTTACAGTGCCAAGCACCGTCCACTCGCACATGTAATCACTCAGGTCCACTAACAAACAGCATGGATCGGCCGGCCCGGGGCACTATTCTCCAATATTGCCGCTTACAGCAGGCGGTGAGACCACTAAACAGGCGCCCCGGCGAGGTCATGCTACTGGGCTGGGGCTGGCCTCTCTCTCTCTGTTTGAGCCGAGACAATAGAAACACTCTCTGCTATTGCGTCCATTTGCTTGACTTTTGTTATATTGCACTGGCACTGACGCTGACGCTGGCACCGGCAATTGGCTGTTTGCCTGCTCTCTATTGTTCTCCCAAATCAAGAATAGGTCTTCTATTGTTCTGTTCAGTAGATAAAGTCCGAGTTTATTCGCCTTATTCATTACTTTCACTTGCACCCAGCTCTTTTGTCCAACTTGCAAGCAAGCACTCTTTGCTCCCAGTCTTTGCAACTTAACTTTCCACCCACAATCACGAGACAGCACGACTCTCGCCTTGCAATCATCTTCTTTACAAGTATACAGAAACATCTTTATACACTAGAAATCACTTACACATACCCAAAACCCCATCGCAATGGCTGCCAACGAAGCAGCCGTCCCTGCGAACATGGGCGGCCGGTCCGACCGACGCTCTCCCCCTCCCGCTTCTCAATCAAAACGAGACCGCAAGAGACATGCTCTTATAGAGCGACTCTCTAGTATGACCGACAAGTTTCACAGAGAACGGGACATGACCTATCGTGATCAGCTACAGAAGATCCAATTCGACATCAATCTCGTCCAGCGCTTCGACCCGTACGATCCAAAGGTCCTCGAGGTCATCTCTGAGCTCCAAAGGGAACATACCAACACCCAAGGCCCTCCGGTTAACGCTGAAGATGCCCGAAGCCTTCTCGACATGGCTGGTATCCGATTCTCTGACTTCGTTGGCGAGGTCGAGGATCTGGTTGAAATTCGCGACTTTCAACTGTCGCAGTCCAAGGTAAGAAGGCGCCGCACGCCACGCAGTCATTTCCTCTGCTAACAATTTGCGCAAACAGAACGAATACGAAAGACGACTCCAAGAGTACAAAAACACCTTTGCTTACAAAGTCGAGACCGCGAGGCGCGAGCACCGAGCATTGACGAGCACCCTCCGCGATCGGTTGATCAACACCCTTACCCACAAGAAGAACCGACTGAACCGGGAGAAAGAGGTGTTAGAGATTAACGACTCCAACGCCCTGCTACTCAACCCGAACCAGTTCAGTCTGACCAACCCTGCGAGCCCCGGCGGCCCTCATGGCAAGCGTGCCACCCGTCTGCGTAAGGACGCCGACGATATGCAGATGTACTCTGAGAACAAGAAGCGAAAGCGCAACGCTGGCGATGACGATGGATCGCCTGCTCCGACACGACGTGCCCTCGACAACCATAACACAACGCCCCTGTGGCAGTCTGAGAAGGCGCGCGTCGCTGCTAAGCAGAACGGTCCCATGTACAGCATTGACAAGCTGTTCACTGACAAGGAGCTGTCGCTTAACTACAACAGTGCTGCCCTTGCTGCGCACCAGTACATTCTTCGCAATCGTGTGAACGGTGGTGGGCTGTCTCCCGAGGATAGTGATTCCGGTAACGGTGATGCCAACGGCGATCATGACGCCGATTCTCAGCCCTCTGCCCCGGCCATGGAACGTTCCGTCTCGCATGCTACCCGCAGCACTCGTGGTGGCGCAAACCAAAACTTTATCGACGACAAGATTCTGGGCCTTGAAGGTATTACCAACTTCGAAGTGAACAACCTGGATATCCTCCACTCCCAGGAGCCACCCAAGATGCCTCCTCCCGTGCCTCAGCAGTACCTCAAGCCCTACCCTCGCACTGCCGACCAGAACTTCCCCGTGCCCCTGTCCAACGACGATATCTTGTCTGATCTCTCCGTTATGGGTTATTTTAAGCAATATGATGCTGCCCACAAACCTGGAGCTCACCTCGACAACCCGGCTGGCATGCGCAAGGTCCTTGCTGCCGTCGCCGCACCTTACCAGACTTCGCGATACGTTGCTTTCACCAGTGCTCCCCGAGAGGACCCAGAGAACATCCGCGACTCACTGGGCCTGCCCGCTCTCAGCAACCTCCGAGACCAGCCAAGCCCCGCGCATGCCGGTGCAAACAATGCAGCGGCAGGCTTGTCAAATGCCGCAGTGCCCATGAGCCGTCAGAGCAGTGCCGGCGGTGTCGCCATGAGCCGCCAGGGAAGCAGCAGCACTCGCGGCAAGGGACGCAAGAATTAAGCTTTTTGCGAGCATGGATGACCCTCCTTTTATAGTATTGCAAGCGCGGCGCACCGGCGTAGCATCGATTTGGCTTATGACAGCCTCTGGATTGAGGAAGTCCGGAAGACTGCACCAAGGGGCGATGTGATATCTGTTTGACTCTTTGATTTGGGAAGATTATGTTGGCACTCAAGGTTCGTCAGCAGGAATGAGCTGAGGCTACACATGGGATTAAGTTTGCTTATGCTTTCAGTTTGATATCGAGCTAAAGACTTGATGAATAGAAATAGAAATGCTATGTTTGTTATTCAAAAACTATAAGTGCTTAACTGGATCAAATTGCTGTGCTATTTGAGAAATAATCATATCGTCATAAGATACCCCGTTCAAATTACTCTCTGCCCCTTTTACCTCAACGAAGCAAGTTCAAGGTCCAAACACCAATGCGCGGACCTCGATACTCTCACGGCCCTCTGCCTCAGCACGAGTCCTTGGGTCCTCGAAGGCAGTATGCGGTACACGGCCCCTGATCTTAGAACCAGGCTTGAGAGACTCACTATCGAAACACTCTAGCAACAAACGTTCACTGCCCGTCATTCCACTGAGGTAATACCACTGCTGCTCTGGGTTATGACGAATAGCCGCGGTCCAGCCACGGTAGCCATCGGGATAACGGTGCTCGACGGGGACAACATCATCATCCTCGACAGAGGCCGAGGATGCGACGGCTAGAGGGAACGACTCGAGAGGGTTCTTGTTCAGTGGTCGCCAGACATTGATGAGACGATAGCGGTGCTTGAGAAGCTCGTCTGCTTCGTCAGGGAAGTACCTGCGTACTCGTTGAGCCACGGCCGCAGGGGTCTGGTCGATATGTACACGAGTCACTGGTGCACGAGGAGAGTCGGGCTTCTGACGCCGGATAGTATGATCAAAGAAGAAGATGCGGTTGGAGCCTGGGACATTGTTGAGGAGAAGCTGCTCAAGCTCTGGGTAGTAGTTTGCCTTGATGGAGTCGTCGTCGACAAAGTCGGGCTCACTGGAGGGCGGCACATCTTGGATGACCTGGAAGGCATCACGGTCCAGATGATATTCTGATTCACGGCCACGGATGTCGTGGATGGTTGTAGGCTGGGGATTGTCTGTGAAATTGCGCTGCGGAAGACCCTCAGGGGGCGTGTCGACGTGGTTGTAAGGCGTGGACTTGTCGGAGGGAGGGTTGAAGTAGTTGAGAGTTGCAGTAACGGCACCGCGGGGGATAAGTGATGAGACGGCCATTGCTGAGACTTGAATGGATATTGTGTATGTTCTGCAGTGATATACTGAAGGTCTGGGAGTTTTTGTGTGAGAAGTCTGACAGAGGAGCCGAGGCTATTGATTTGAATGTATACAAAATAAAAATAGTTCCTGTGGCAACTCTTAAATATGAAGCTATTCAGACCCAATACTGATACAATGAAAGAGATGCTGTCTTCGCAACTTGCTTCATCCACGGCTCTTTATACATTTCATCCGCACCCGCAAATACTAGAATGACAAGAGATGGATTTCAAATCAAAACGAGGTGCAAATGACAATCTTGTGCCAGAATTGGTCATGAAGTTGTGAGTGATTGAGCACGCCATTTTCAAGATGCGCAACCGTTGGCTGGTGTGTCAATTGGTAGGGCGTACGGAGTATCCGTACATACGGTCAATTAGTAAAGGCTCGCGATTACTACACACAGCAGCTATTGCTAATAAGTTGACGAACCAGTAAGAAGCACAGGGTGACTGGGAGAGTATGGTGGGAATTGCACGGGTTTTAACAGTGGCCAAGCGAGCGGTGGCGTCTAAATGGCTATCAACTAATCATTACGGTTGACAAGAAAAGACATTCTGCTTCATACTCCGTAGTTAGTATCCGTAGAGACCACAGTAAACTCAGTTTCGTGCACGGCCGTCATACGATAGATATAGACATTGATCTACCCTTGCATAACGCATCTGTGCAAAAGCAACAGTAAGCAGAAACTCCTCATCCGGGACCAATTGCTAAATTTAGCCCCTTTTGCTCCATCGCCTGGTGGCTTAATTTACCACTTGAAACCCCCTCCCTTCATCTCTTGTGCCTGGGAAATAATCACTGTCTTGTGGATGGCATTCATGAGGCTATATTGATCCTGACTTGGAGAATTACCGTTGGAGGCTTCGTAGAAGAGTCTTGAGTCTGTCAATTGTCTAGCCCGAAGCTCCCGTTTGAAGGATTAACCCGTTCATGTCTCATAAGTCGTAACTCCATTCTTCAGGCTCACTCTCTTCTGTCCCTGTTTTACGTCTGCGTTTGTTTACCCCCCAAACTCTCACATGAGACGAAGCGACAGACCGACTATGTAAGATACGCGACCCAAAGAAAAGAAACAAAGGAGAGAAGACCAAAAAAAACTGGAGAGATGAACTCGCAATGTCATCACCTGCCAACCACGCATCTCGGCCTCCTCCGGCTCAGCCTCCACCTCAGCCCGGCGCATCGGGGGCCGGATCCGCTGCGCCTCCGGCCCCAAGCTTCACCGCGCGCCGGGCCCTTCCGGACCGCAATGTCTCGGAACAATCGGTCGAGGATGCTTACGTTGACTTCGTCCTCTTCTGCAACCCCGCCGTCCCGCTCGACGCGGACACGGCCAGCCTGCGCGAGGCCTTCCGCAACCCGCCTCGCAGCGGCGGCAAGTCCTTCTGCACCTTTGCCATATACGACCTGGTCCGCAAGTTCTACAACAGCGAGATCCGGACGTGGACTGAGTTGACGACCAAGCTCGGCGTTGAGCCGCCGGATCCTAACAAAGAGGAGAGTGCCCAGAAGGTTGCACAGTATGGCGTGAGGTTGAAGGTATGTGACTGGGCTGTTGAGCACACACCCTAATCCTCGAGAGGAATCCACTAACGTGAGAGATGGGGTCTAGAAATGGATGAATTCCATGCACGTAAAGGCCTTTTTTGAGTATCTTATGGACATTCCTAACGATTACTGGACAAACATCCCGACTGGTAGCAACCCCACGAGCCAGGCTATTCGTGATGGCGTGGCTCTTGAGGATGACATGGCCCTGAGGGCACTTTTCCCACACATACGCCCAAAGAGAGGTAGAAAAAGACCCGTCGACGATGACACAGCCACATACAATTCTATCTCTCCTGCTCCCACCCAGAGATCTCACCTCGCCCCGTTGTCAGCTCTTGAAGGCGTAAGCACTCCCATGTCAGCAGATCCGTCGAGGCTAAGTGGTGCACCATGGACTCCGAGTGACGGTGCTCAACAAACGCCGCTGTTTCGATGGCCACAGTCTGCAGTTACACCAAACTCTCGGAAATCTTTCTGGGACGATGCTCTCGAGCCGCAATCTGCTGTGACGCCCTCGAAGCCGAGACTCGCAGCGCAGCGCAGAGGCCCGAAGAATGTGTCTTCAGCCTGGAGACCAGGAGTTGCCAACGGCGGCGTCAAACCAAGAGGACGGCCGCCGATGAACCGCACTCCTATAGATGCTTCTTTACCTTTGTTTTCCGTCAAGGTTACTCCGTCGGCCCCTGAGGAGCACACCACCCCTATAAATACTCCGCCAGCCTTGTTGCCTCCTAGATCAGATAGTGGCCCTTCAGAGGATGCTATCTCGATCCCTTCAATCGTGACACAGCCGCAATCTGCCCCATCACGAGCTCCTCGACCAAGTATATCTCTACAGGTTCCCGACCGGCCGGGTGGTAGCGTGAGACTTGCAACTCCCCCTCTTCCTCCTCCAGCCGTGTTACTCAACGGACAACATAGCGATCCGCAACCTCAACTACACATATCATACTACGGCACAACTTCAAGCTTCACCATAGGTGCAGACGAACCAGGGACTCCGAGCCAGCAGCAGGTCGAAGAGCCCATGTCGCAACAAAAGGGTGTCCCGCCACTGTTTTTCGAGAGACTCGAAGATCGAACAAACATAGATGAACTTCTCGGCTACTTGATGCGTAACTGTCTCACGAGTAATTGGTTCGATGCCGAGGGGAACCCAACTCACACATCCTCTACAAACGAAGCCATGGCACTTGTCAACGCGATCCTCGGAGACATGTACAAGGCAGCCCCGTCACCAGAGACGTTCCTGATAAACCTGGCGGCCATGACGGGAGGCGGGTACCTCTTGTCCGGGGACCTGACGTTCAGGCGTCTAGGTGTGCACGGCAGTGCAAGAAAGTACATTTGCGAATGGGAGTACAGGCTAGGACACATCAAGGGACAGTACCAGATGGAGGCTATGGTGCCTTTGGAGACGCTCGACGAGACGGATACCAGCCCTGGGCCGACGGCTGAGGAGCCAGGAGCGAAGCTGTCTGCGGAGGAGTGGCAGGCGAAATACGAGAATCTGCTAATGGAAATGGATAGGAGGGACAAGAGCTTTGTGGATCTGGGTGCCAGGGTGAGGCATAGGTTGAACTGGCCACCCAAGAAGTGATACCCTTTCTGTGACATGCTATGTTGTTTGTTTTTATATCTGTAGGCATTGTTGTGCGATTCTGGTTTTTCTTTTCTTTCTTCGAGCACGTATGGTGTTTGTTTCTTTTGGCCTCATGCTTGAGGATAGGGTTACATGTACTTATTGAGAGGGTTGCATATATTGGTAGTTGCGATATCACAAACAGCATATATTTGACAATCGATGTTGAAGTAGCGGTGAATGGAATGTGCAACTTTGTGGTATATATTGTCTCAATCCAATCAAGTCGCGATCGATATGGAATATGTCATTGGTATATGATATTCGGATCTCTCGGCGGTTGACGGTTTCGATCACCATCCTAATTGAGATGGGGAAGTGAGAGTAGCATGTCGGCACCTCCGAGAAGTAGGTGTAAGCATCTTATATCATACTTATGACTCGTGACACGGAAGTTATCGATGGCCTGTCCCGCAAATAGTGGTCAGGGTAATAAATGGTTCGATATGCTATCTTAAATACGAACGTACCCCAAGAATAAGGATATGAAGCAGATGTAGTGGTTACTCTGACTATGCTTATGCATCGTTGGATGTATTCATTGATTGATGGCCTGGGTGATTTCAAGTAATTAATCCTCGACGTCACGAGTGGAAAAACGTCGACAAAACACGGAGAATCTGGGGAAAGTACAAGGAGTATCGTAACCGTCCCGATGAGCTGGAGAACCTGGAGAAAGGCGAGAAAGATGGAGAGATAGCCGTGGTGCTGGGCTTTGATGGTGGAGATGAGGTTACCCTGGACGTCCACTCACGATGCAGGGAATTCTGCTGCCTTGAGCTGAAGGCGCAAGCCAAGCAGCCCGATAAAGCACAAATGAGGTCACTACTTGATTCAAACCTGGGGTAAATAACTTTAAACTCCCAATGAAGAGAAATTGGTTTATTCGAGCTTAACGTTCAAAAGAAGACAAACCGAAAGACGCTGAATACGGGCAACCGTTGGATCACGATAACATCACGTGTAACCCTGGTGCGTGACACTTCGGATAATATATTGGGGGCCGGAGCCGAATCGGAATGTAAAGATGCATAGGATGGTAATGCAGCGCAGATCAACGACTCCTCCATGCAAACCACGTCTCATGCCTTGTATTTGTTGCATTTGAAGGATTCAAGATGCAGAGTTGATGTGGGCGGGAACACGAACGCGCAGATCAACAGCCGTTTTCAATCAGTGTCAGCGGGGAATTATTCCATAGCCCTGGGAGTAGCGGGTGGTGGTTGAAGATCTACAGGTAGTAGACAGTAGAGAAAGAAGGGACATACCATGTACGTAGTACTCTGTGACATATATCTTGAACGTGACGAATGTCATTGATCATCAGATTGACAATAAACTCCCGTCATCTTCAACTCGCAGGTCCTGTCCGATTCAACTCCTGGAAAAGCTGAAAACCCCCTGCAACCAACGAACCCAAGTCCAAGGGACCCCCCTGTCTTCCCCCCATTCTTAGGATGCGCCCGCTGAATAAAGCGTAGCCGAACCGAACGAACGCCTTCTCGACTTCTTCTTCTTCTGCTGCTCATGTGCCCAAGTTGACAGCAACAACACACCACAGCACCATCGTTACATACAAAAACTGTTGATAACAGTATCTGATGAGCTCCCGAATAAGCTGCCGCCACCGATTAGCTTCGAGTGTCGCCTTCAGTCTCCTTCAGTAACCTCGCGCCTATGGACATGGACAGACAGGGTCGTCTCACCCCAGACTAAACTAGGTCCATCGACTCTGCTCTCTTCCCTCAACTTTCGCCTCCTCCAAAACTCTCAGACTTTTGATCCAACGTTTGAATCGCCTGCGCAATTGATCTGAGCGCATTATTAATACTCCAGAAACGTCTACTTGCTTCTTCTAACCACTGCGACACTTGAACAATCAATTATTCATTCATCGATCGCATCGCTTTCTACCCCCCCTCGGCTTTGGCTGTGCCTCTTCTCATCTCTCATTCCAACCCCACATTCACGGATCACGTCCGCAACGATCGACCGACAACACCCGCTAGCAACTCAATTGTCGCGATAATAATTGAGGTCCTGCCTCCCAAGGCTTAACTCGCCTGAGGCCCAGGTCAACCAACAACATTTGCGCCGGGTGCTTGACTCATCTTTCTCATTGGGCAACGACCCTTTCCTCCCCTCATCTTCATCCTCTTTGAACTTCGATCAGACCCCTCCTCAACTAAACACTTACTGGCTCTCTTCATCAGAATATGGCGCCGAATCGCGGCGAAGACGATGTAGAACGGTATGGTTTTCACCCTTATTTATATGCGTTGCCCACCTGTATTCAATCAATGCTGACCAATATTTCCAGTCTATCAAGGACCACTAATGAATATCCTTCAAGTTCCATGATTGAACATGCGCGGCGTCCTTCCGAAGCCTATGTAAACCTCCATGCAAATGTTGAAGCCAAGTACGTCCACTTCAACCGGAACACATCACACATCATCCTCGCTCTCATGACTAACATCCATCAAGAATCAAGAACCCTCTGTGGGGACTTCCGCGAGCAAGACTCTTGGCTGATGTTGACGACTTCTGCCGCAAGAAAGGTCTCGATGACTATCGTGCTCTCATCCGCAAGGGCGCTCTTGTCGCACAGGACCCAACCGGCTATGAGGATATCGAGGGGGACGAAAAGCTAAACGACCAAGAGATTCAAGCGCTCAGAGACGAAATTCTTCATAAATGGCGAGTCCCATTTGTTCTGTATTTGACCGTTGCGACCTGCTCTATCGGTGCCGCTGTACAAGGATGGGACCAGACAGGCTCAAACGGCGCCAACCTTGAGTTTCCTTATGCTTTCGGTATTGGCAGCGAAAGCATACACGACAAGCTACTTGTCGGTCTCGTCAACTCTGCCCCTTATATCGGAACATCTCTCTTTGGCTGTTGGCTCTCGGATCCTCTCAATGCACGTTGGGGTCGTCGTGGCACGATATTCTTCTCGGCAAACTTTTGTCTCTGGCCTGTTATCGGGAGTGCTTTCAGCAATAACTGGAAACAGCTTTTTGCGTGCCGTATACTTCTCGGTATTGGAATGGGCACCAAGGCTTCAACAGGTGAGCCGTTGATATCTGTGAAACCCGCAGCGCATGCTGTCAGAAATACCAAAGCTAACATGTACTGTGATAGTCCCTATCTTTGCCGCCGAGAACTCGCCTGCCCCAATTCGAGGTGCCTTTGTCATGAGCTGGCAGATGTGGACGGCTTTTGGTATTTTCCTCGGAACGTGTGCAAATGTCGCTGTAACGAAGATCGGCCCAAACGCATGGAGATACCAATTAGGTTCGGCCTTTATCCCAGCTGTCCCCTTGATGTTTTTGATTTACTTCTGCCCCGAGTCGCCACGTTGGTATATGAAGAAGAACCGCTACCGCAATGCGATGAAATCGCTGTTACGCCTACGGAACCACCCGATCCAAGCCGCCCGCGACCTGTATTATATCCATGCGCAACTCGAGGTCGAGCTGGAATTCATGGGCCAGGGACACTACCTCAAGCGCTTCATCGAGCTCTTTACGATTCCTCGCGTGCGCCGTGCCACTGTGGCTTCGTTTGTGGTCATGATCGCGCAGCAGATGTGTGGGATCAACATAATCGCATTCTACTCAACGAGCGTGTTCCGAGACTCTGGAGCCGACGATAATCAAGCCCTGTTGGCGTCGATGGGCTTTGGATTGGTCAACTTTATCTTTGCCTGGCCCGCGATATGGACGATAGATACCTTCGGCCGACGATCTCTGCTACTTTTCACGTTTCCTCAGATGGCATGGACGCTACTTGCAGCAGGCCTATGCACACTGATTCCCGGCACAGGCGGAGTTCATATGGCCTTGGTGGCCTTGTTCGTTTACCTTTTTGCAGCCTTTTACTCGCCTGGTGAGGGGCCTGTGCCTTTTACCTATTCGGCCGAGGTGTTTCCTCTATCACACCGTGAAGTGGGTATGTCGTGGGCTGTGGCAACATGTCTGTTCTGGGCGGCGGTGCTGTCCATCACTTTCCCGCTGATGTTGGCGCGGTTGCATGCTATTGGTGCCTTCGGGATGTATGCAGGCTTCAATATCGTGGCCTTGGTAATGGTTTTCTTGCTGTTGCCCGAGACGAAGCAGCGGACACTGGAGGAGCTGGATTATATCTTTGCAGTGCCAACACGCGTCTTTATGAAATACCAAGTCACCAAAGTTCTGCCCTGGTGGTTCAAGAGATGGATCTTGTTCCGCCGGGATGTAAGATTGGAACCTCTATACCAGTTTGATACGGTCGGAGAGCCTGAGGACAACCACAGTAGTGACTATGGATACGAAAACGACAAAGCGAAAGTCGAGTTGAAGGATACAATTGGACTCACGTCAGGCGCTCGGGCGACGAGATAATGCTGGCAGCGAAAGGAGAGCGATGTTACGACATGGCGTTTTTTTTTCTTTGGGCGATATGATTTGGAGAATTGCGTGTACTCTATGATACCCTGCACAAGAAAGGAGCAAGCGAAATGGAATTGGATCAATGTCTTGTTGAAAGGAGATGAATACCCCCACCAGAATGGAGGAATGAGTGAAGTGTCTTGGTGATGTGACGTCAGGGGGGATAAATCGTAACGATAATAGCCTGCATACCGCAAAGTACGTTATTTGACCGCGATTTGTTCATGTCTTGGCCTATTCGTTAAGCGATTGAGCATTTAGGCTAACACAGGAGATTCGCCGGGCTCTTTAACAGCTTTCCAGTGACGTCGTGATAGCGGAAAACGAAGCGGAACCTCGTTAAAGTGGAAATCAAACCGAGTCTAAGCTGGAGCTGAGCTGAACAGAAACGGACTGTCTTGGCCTGAATTGGAACTCCGTCATCAACTAACTAGACTCTTGGAGACTGGGTCAGGGTGACGATCAATATCTCCACTTGATCGACAGTCGGATAGGCTGGAAGTACGGATAGAGAACACGACACCGAAAAGACGTTAAAGCTGAGAGGTAGAAACTGGATTAGGAACCGAGGCGATATTGCCGAGGCGTCTAATCGCTACTAGACCTTTTACACGTCATGTTGCTTATGCCGCGCGCCTAGCTGTGCTATACGTACTAACTATACGTACTATGTTCCCAGTGACGCATCCTCTCGATCTATGAGATATCCGAGATGATATACGATACGAGCTTGGTGGAGAGTCTGCTGGGTGTTTATTATTATTAATCTTTCTACAGTGCTGTACCGCACGGCCGAGCTTTTCTGGGGCATGTCTGATAACCGATCAGATCAGGTTGCATTTTTTATGTTGTTTTCTTGCTTGGGAGCGGAGTACTCGTGATCGACATGCGTGGACTGCAGAGATCGACATTGCAACGTCGAGGAAGGGGGGGTTTTCCTATTCTCAAATGTGATGGCTGGTTGATGAGATATCCATACTGTGGGAAATGTGGCAGGGAGACATAGGGTCCAAGGACGACGGTTGTGAAATGGCGCCAGATATTTTTGTGAGTGTGTTGAGGTAAAACGAGTAAGAAAGAATACTGATGCTGCTTTGAGTAATATCCTGAGCCAGACGTAGGAGGGTTGCGATTGGTATTCATCAGTCGCAGATATGGGACAGTTCAGGCAGCTCAGGATAAACTACCTGCTCCTCTAATTAGGTATATAAAGTTGATAACTATCAGGACACTTTATGAAGAATTCTCTAACCGATATAAAATTAACAACTTGTAGTTTTTTATAATTTATTAAATCTTTATAAAATTTACAAGAGAGGAAATCATCAGAACTTTTACGCAGCCACTTTACGGAGTACACCATGGAGTATCAGCACGGCATATGAGCCCAATTAAATGTCACATTGCGAATAAGTAGGGGACAAAGGTTGAGTTTCAATTTTTCGCAAGAATCTCTTCTCTAATCTATAATTTTATGAAATTGCAAGAAGCAAATAATTCACAGTCTCGACTCTCAACTTTCAAAATCCACTTGAATAGTACAGTGCACGCGAACATTCTGTTAGCTAGCGGTCCCCTTCTCCCTATTCTGACACGTTAACAAGAGGCTAACCCAGGAAAACATGCTATGAGGTCAATTCGTGTCTGCAGGGGCCGTTGCAGCTAAGAACATCTGTTATGGTTTGACTTCTCTCTTGGCCAGCCGGTGGCGATATTGAAGGGGGTCTGAGCAAGAAATCAGGTTGTTATGTCCAAGATTTCAACAGCGGACGACACATCATGCAGAGAGATTGAGTTGTCAATGGATAAACGGTATAGAACATGTCTCCCAGCATTGAAATTGGCAGTGGTCCTCAAGATAGCATTCCAATCACATTACAGAGACTTTTGTTGGAAACAACTGCCGTAGTTGGCGGCTATCCACAGATTCTGTTTCTCTTTTTTTGGGTGGCGTTGACGCTAGAAGACCCGGGAATGACGAAAAGAAGAGAAGTGTGGTTGGTTTGGTTTCGTCCCGTCTTTCAATTGCGTGTCAAATTTGTCCAAAAAAAAGGGCGGTGCTAGTCGGGCCCAATACGGGAATCCAGCCGTTTGAAGGGTTAAAAAGTTAATTATTAGCTTTGAAGTTGTTGAGCCGCCGTCAACGTCTTGAGGCAAGTATTCGATACTTGTGAGTTTTGCCGATGACTATTCACTAACTCTATGGTATGGATAGACTCGATCAACCGCGTCTGATATGAAATTGCTGGGACTGCAGTGAAGAAGGCAGTTCACATACCGTGTTTCACTGTGGCATCCAAACATCAGCTCGCGATGTGGGCTCGGGATATGGACCCCTTGAGATCTCAGGTGCAAATCTTTTCCGTGATGGGAAGACTTGGAAGCTTTGAAGCTTTCACGGTGGGTAGTAAAGTCTAGACACTTGCCTCTAGTCTCCAGTTTTTGTTATGTTTCTTTCTAACCACAGGAAAAGACATTTCCTTTCAAGATATTGCGGTGTAGTTGATGGGCTGTTCGTGGCCGGGTGTTCATCCTGCACAGGCAAAACCTAGAGACGTGATATTACTGTGGATTGGTGTCAAAGCCAAAAATGTCATGCATTTCCCTGCTAGAGTCATGTTCGTATAAGCCCACGTCCCATCAGTTGAATCCTATTTTCTTGTTATAATCAAAGGACGCACTGTACTTAACCAAGCGAACCTGGAATCGACGTCGATTTGTTGACTTTGGCCCTCTGGCCGCGTAGCACTCCAGCCCGATTGGGAGACGTGAAACAAAGGGGGTACTTGAGACCTGTCAATGGCTGTCTGTGGCTGCCGTGGGGCGGCGCCTCCCCCTGGCCCGGTGTTGAGAACCGCTGCCGTTCTCCATGATTACTGGACCATGCCCTGCATCTGGGGGGCCAGGTGCCCCTGAAGCCCGGCATCAAAGCAGATGAGAGGAATCCGAAAAACGAGACAGGAAAAATTCAAAAAATTCAAACGTTGCCCGCAGTGTGTCTGGGGACCCTGTCGCGGATCGTTTTTCAGCTGGTAGGGCTCTTGATCCAGTGGAGGGCCACTCTAATGGGGTACTGGAGTCAAAGAGACACTGAGACTGGAGAGAAAACCTGATGAACCGAAGAGCGCTGCTGGTGGGTTTTCTTGGCATGGTCCCCTTTCTGTCTTTCTCCAGAGACTTGACCCGCCTGTGGAAAAACATTCGGGAACCCCTTTCGTCAACCTTACGGTATCTGAGTCCCGGCTTGGTATTCTGGGATGTGTGCTTGGATGGCAATGCGGACAAACCTCAAATAGAACTGAACCTAGCAAGGCAAAAAAAAAAGCAGCCCACAGCAGGACCACAGGACCACACGCTAAGGTTATTGTACAGTGCCATAATTCAATATCTCGCACTCACACGAGCTTGAGCAGGAGCCAAGAGGGACAAGGAAGGAGCAAGGAACCTCCACCCAATCCATGATCCCCGAAATCTCGTTCGTCAATCATTGACTTCAACCTCGCTCTCTAGTGTCTCTCTCTTCCATCTTCCTCTTCTTCTTCATTCTCCACCGACGCTCGTTCCTGTTCCCTATAACCACGGTCCTCCCACCCTGGCCTCCCATTCTTTTAATCGCTTCCCATATTTTGTTTGTTTCCCTAGGTCTCTCTCTCTCCCTCGCTTCCTCGCTTGTTCCTAGGTGTAACACCAATCAGCACCAATTTGTTCCTGTTTGTTCTTCGCTGGAGAAGACGGCAGATCACCCTCGTTCTTTGTCCTAGAAAATAACGGAGGAGATAGATACACATGGGATTGTTGTAGCGTTTTAACTGCATTTATTTCCTTGAATCCACTACATCATCATCAGCATACAGCTTCGAGCCGCCCACCGGCATCGGCATCATCTACATCTAGCTTGGAGCAAGCCTTCAGCAGATAGAAAGATAAACACCCCCTTTCCTATTATACCATAGACACGATACACACAGATCACCGCGCCTAAGGATTTGATATCCTACCGCTGTCTCAAATCTGGCTTATTAGCAACTTCGCACTGCCCGATTTTCACATCCTCAAACACCTATCGGTTTCATCGTCAGCTCGACCCAGGTCGACTCCCAAATTCCTCGGAGTATTCGAGTCATTACTTCGAATACTGTCGCACCTTCGACTCCCTGGCTGGAGTTCGATATATAACTACACACGAGAATGGTTAATCGCCACGTCTCATTGTCTCCTCGCAATTCGCGTCATTCGCACTCCGGCTTCGTCCCTCTCGGTGGCAGCAACAGCAACAACGAAATGTCCGAAGGTATTCAACTCACCACGGTTAGGAGCAATGTCTCCACCCGAAGTGGTTACAGAAAGGCCGAGATGCCTCAGCCGTCTAGTGTCGACAGCGGCTCTCCAACCGAAGATGAAAAACTCAACGAACATCATGGACACCGCGGTCGTCGAAGGAGGATTGTCGAGGGTCACCTCACTCGCAGCGGCACAGGAGACGAAACGACATTGAACCCTATGGGTAGACTCTACTACAAGATTATTGGCTTTTCCGTCGTCACCCGATACCTCGTTTATGTCGTTCCTGTTGGTCTTCTCCTGGCTATTCCTCTGGTTGTTTTGGCCGCTATTGGCCAGAAGAACGGTATTCCTGTTGGCCGCTTCAATGGCGAAGGCGACAGGGAAGGCGACGATGGTCCTCCTCTTTTCAAGATTTTCCTCTGGGTTCTCATCATGTGGCTGTCTCTATGGGTTGCTAAGGTTGTTGCCTTGTTTTTGCCCACGCTCTTCATGTTCTTTACTGGCGTCGTCAGCAAGGGTACTCGCAAGTATGCAACCGTCCTCGCAAACCTGATCATTCCCTTCTCCTTCTTCTTCTGGGCCCTGGCTTCTTATGTCACCTTCAAGAACCTCTGGAAGGACGAAGATGTTGGCAAGACTTATGTCCCATGGGTCCGCACGATGGGCCGTGTTCTAGGAGGTCTTTTCGTCTCGTCAGCCGTCTTCCTTGGTGAAAAGGCAATTGTTCAGCTCATCGGTATTTCATATCATCAGCGGTCTTTTGCCAACCGTATCAGGGAGTCCAAGCGCGAGGTTCACTTGCTCGGACTTCTTTTCGATGCCTCCCGAACTCTTTTCCCCCTTCATTGCCAGGAATTTGCCGATGAGGATGCCATCATCAACGATAGCATCGAGGTGATGCTCCGTGGCAAGAAGGGACATAAGCGAAATGGTTCTGCAACCCCCATGAAGCTCATTGGAGAAGTCGGTAAGATTGGAGACAAGGTCACATCGGTATTCGGAAACCTTGCCTCTGAGATTGCTGGTAAACAAGTTTTCAACCCCAACTCTGCTCATTCCATCGTCATCGAAGCTCTCGAGAAGAATAAGGCCGCCGAAGCAATGGGTCGACGTATATGGATGTCTTACGTTGTTGAGGGCCACGAAACACTTGTTTTGGACGACTTCCAGGAAGTCCTTGGACCTGCATACAAGGAGGAGGCTGAAGAGTCTTTCTTCATGATTGATGGCGACGACAACGGTGATATCAGTCTCGATGAAATGGTCCGAAAGGTCGTCGAGATTGGTACTGAAAGAAAGGCAATCGCCGAGGGCATGAAGGACATTGGTCAGGCTCTTCAGGCTTTTGATAAGATTCTTCTTGTCGTTGTCCTGCTGATCGTCATTTTTGTTTTCCGTAAGTAACTCACCGAAACGGAGTTTTTGAACATCGCTAACAGTTACACTCAGTTGCCTTTTTCCAGAGCAGTTTCATCACCACTCTTACCACTGCGGGAACTACCCTTCTTTCGCTGTCCTTCATCTTCGCGGTTACTGCCCAAGAATTCCTCGGTTCCTGCATCTTCCTGTTCGTCAAGCACCCTTACGATGTTGGTGACCGCGTCGATATCACTGGTACCAAGATGGTTGTCAACAAGATCTCCCTCCTGTACTCTGTTTTCCACCGCCTCGACACCATGCAAACTGTTCAAATCCCCAACATTCAGCTCAACAACGTCTGGATCGAAAACATCTCCCGTAGCAAGGCTATGCACGAGACTATTGAGGTCAATGTTTCCTTCGACACTACATTCGAAGACATCGAACTTCTGCGTCTCGAGATGGAGAAGTTTGTTCGTTCGCCCGAGAATGCTCGCGACTTCCAGCCCGATCTCAGCGTTAGCGTCGGAGGTGTCGGTAATCTCGACAAGCTCCAGCTCTTTGTCACTATCGCTCATAAGTCCAACTGGCACAACGATTCCGTCCGCGCCTCCCGCCGTTCTAAGTTCATGTGTGCTCTGGCTTTGTCCCTGAAGAAGGTTCCTTTGATCGCTCCTGGTGGCGGCGGTGAGCCTCTCGGCGGGCCTACCAACCCCTCGTACTCCGTTACTGTCAGCGACGATTTTGCCAAGAACAGCCGTGATGAAGCTGCCAAGGCTACTGATGAATCTCGCATGGTGCCGACCACAAAACAGGACCACTCTGAGGAGAGCCATATCCAGGCAGCTGAGAACATTAACTCGCGTCCTCCTGCTGCCGGCGTTGGTGTTTGGGACAATAGTGATAACCATACACTAGGCTCACATGATGATGAAATTCACCGCAACCGGGAGATCGAAACCCTAAGAACCGATCTCAAGCGTGAGAGCACTCGAGGACGCCGCAAGGCTGGTGAAGCTATTCCCTCACTTTCACTAGAGACAGCTCCTCGTGCCAGCATCTCGTTGACGCAGGCCAGCCCTCGCAGCGCTCGCCATGGTCACTTCGATGAAGAGGCCGAGACTGGCCTGGGCGCAACACCATACTCCAATCTTTCTGCCGGCCCCTCTCAGGGCTCTCAGGGTTACCAGCCATATGCTGGTTCTAGCGGCCAGTACAACGTTGCCCACCCTCTGCAAAGGCCTGGTCAGGGACCGCCTCAGGGACCACCTCCATCAAACCCACCGCCTCCTCCTCAGCGCTAGTGGACCTGGAAGTGAAACGGACGAACTATAACGGCTGGCCAGTTTGCATTTATAATAATATGGAGGTTGCTTGGGATAGGTTTTGAATTTTCTATGTTGGTATTCGGTGTACTTCAGAGACTGGGACAGTCATCTGCTTTCCTCAAATTCAGACTGAGATGTCCGTATAGAAAGACTAGGCGGATACATTGGTTGATAACTCAATCACAAACTGCGAAACAGCAGCCTTCACTTTCACGAAGTAAAGAAACTAGAATATTATTACATTTCATTTGCACATGTTGAAGATAGCTGCTTTGTCTTGTATTGCTTGATGTTTGTGACGGACTGGTAACTTAACACACGTGCTCTGGTGGTGGGACATCGCCATCATTGGCTCCCAGATCAGTCTTGAGAACACGGCCAAAGAGTTCTAGCAGAACCTCGAAGCAGACCTTGGTAATGGCAGGGTCGTAACGGCCCTTGCTGAGCTCGTCGCGGATGAAGGCATGCTGAGCCCAGGCAAACTCATAAAAGCTGGTTACTACACCAGCTTCACGAAGCTTGGCACGGATGAGATCACGACCAGCATCAGGGACGTGAGTGTCCTTAACTCCAAAGATCATGGCAACCTCGCCCTTGAAGTTTTGGAAAAGATCAAGAGTATGGTTGCTGTTTGACGGTGCGGTCGAGGAAGTGTTGGCAGCGTCATAGGGGCCCAGGGTACGAGAGTGGATGTCGGTAGCGAAGTAAGCAACGCAAGCAGAGATACGAGAGTCAAGCTATGAGGAATGAGTACGGTCTGTGAGAAGAGGTCTGTTGTGTGTAAAGACTTACTGCAGCACGAACGGCAAGATGCCCGCCAAGGCACATGCCTGTCGCGCCGATACGTCCGGTGCAAGTGGGAAGTGAGAGGAGGTAGTCAACGGTGGCATATGAGTCGGCATCATAGGACTCGAGAGTCTGCATGTGATTAGCTATCGAATCTGAGTGAAAATAGTTATGAAATCGGTACCTTTTCGATCTTGAATTTGTTGCCACGGTCAGTATCCTCGGCGTCGTACTTGAGAGGCTCAGGGCCGGTGAAGTCGTGGTATGACGATGGTGCGGCAACGATATAACCCTGGCCGGCGATCTGACGAGCAAAACGGGCAACAGGACCGGTTACTTTCAGGTGTAAGCAGTGAAATTTACTATGGTTGATATAATGTCCAGTAGGGTATGGTGTTGGTGAAGCTGTTGACGAGATACTAACCTTGGTAGATCTCACTGAAGAGACTCACGCCAGGGAAGCGTCTAAGTGAATGGTCAGCATAAGAAGACTTCACGAAGGGTATAGTCCTTACGCATTGGGGTATCCAGGAATAGTAGGATGAAAGACAAAGATGCCTAGTCATGGTTGTGAGCTTCGGGGAGTGTGAGACTTGGAAGTTAGGTGAGTGAGTTACGCATGGAGCTGTCTTTGCCATTGGCAATGGTAGGAACATCGACGTGAGACTCCTTAATCAACATTTTGGCTTCTTTTAAGAATTGAAAGTTTAAAAAAGAAGTAGGTGGACGCCTCAAGACTTAGTCGGGTCGTGTTTCACTTGGAGTTGTTATTTATCAACTGCAGCTCTCATATCATTCTCAACTTCCCCTCGACTGCCCCTCGGCGGGGTGTTACATAGATCACTCAAGCGAAAGGGGCTCTGATTGGCCGAAAGCAACATCATTCAAGCTTCATAAAACTTATCCGCTGCGGCAACCGGACCGATCCAGCTGGCACCCGCTAAGCTTTACAGGCAATGAGAGGTCAAACCTCCTGAGTAAGCACATGAGATAATCAGAGGGTGAGTGTGTGAATGCAGCTGATGACATGACATGACATGATAGCAGAGCAGTTAGACCATGCATGTGCCAGGGCAGTCCGCAGTTGCGTAACGTGACCGCCTTTTCAGCACCAAAGAATGATACTGGACAGCACCTAATTATACAACGCTATAGCCTGTAGGTACCGTACTGTGCTGTACAACACCTTTTTTAACACCCCGGGCCTGCATACAAAAAAAAGGGAGTGATGATTAGAGTGGAACCTCCACTAAAACGTCCCGTCCAAAGCAGGGTAACGAGTACGTACCGCATGCCCATCATCACAAGGATCTGTCCCATCCCATCTTTGTCCAGGTGGTCACAACTTTTAGGTCGTTCGACTGCTTTAATTCGCCCCAACAACTCTCGATCCTGATTTCCGATTCTTCTTTCCCCTTCATACAACGAAACCTCGATCGCGGGTCTCTTCAGAAAAATATTCTCACGATAACCTACCTAAAACTCACACTTACCGAGGGACGCCACCCGTTACTCTACACGGATGCACGTCCCAGCTGTCGAATAAACCTACCTCACCTTAACCTACTACTACTCCCTACCTACCTCACCTAAACCCACAACAAGTTACGCCTCAAATATCTCACAATCGCATACCATGAACGGCCATTTCTCTGCCGTCGGCCAAGCGCCGGTGGATGGAAGCTATGAGCATGGCGTTCAGGTCATTGACGAGGATAAGGAGTTCAAGTATGTTCGACTCTGCCTCCCCGCCACTTTGCCCGTCATGACGATGGTGATGTCCTCAGTACTAACCTATGACACTACAGCACCCATATCAGCGAGTATCTCCACGCAACCAATGTTGCCGATTCGGGCTTCAATTACCACCTCATCTCCGTCTTCGGCTCTCAGTCAACCGGAAAGTCCACCCTGCTCAACAACCTCTTCGGCACCGAGTTCTCTGTCATGTCGGAAACCGAGCGTCGCCAAACCACAAAGGGTATCTGGATGTCCAAGAACAAGCGAGAGACGAGTGCAGGCACCAAGATGTCCGACAACATCCTCGTCATGGACGTTGAGGGTACCGATGGTCGAGAGCGCGGTGAGGACCAGGATTTCGAGCGCAAGAGTGCTCTCTTTGCGCTGGCCACCAGCGAGGTCCTGATTGTCAATATCTGGGAACATCAAGTTGGTCTGTATCAGGGTGCCAACATGGGTCTTCTCAAGACTGTTTTCGAGGTCAACCTGCAGCTCTTCCTCAAGGACAAGCAGTAAGTTGGACTGTATGGTGGTACATGTGTGCGCGATTACTAACACCATCTAGGTCGACCCCTAGGTCTCTACTTTTCTTCGTTATCCGCGATCACCTCGGCACCACCCCCCTGGGCAACCTCCGAACGACCCTGATTCAAGATCTGACTAAGATATGGTCATCCATCTCCAAGCCTCAGGGGCTTGAGGGCTCCCGAATCGAGGACTACTTCGATTTTGGCTTCGCTGCCCTACCGCACAAGATCCTGCAGGCTGATAAGTTCACCGAGGAAGTTCAGAAGCTGGGATCTCGGTTCACAGCTGGCCACAGGCACGGAAAGCCTGGCCTGCACGGCGACCAAGAGCTCGAGGGAGGTCTTTTCCTTTCCGAGTACCACCGACGAATTCCCGCCGATGGCTTCTCCATTTATGCTGAGGGCATCTGGGACCAGATCGTGAATAACAAGGATCTGGATCTGCCCACTCAGCAGGAGCTTTTGGCTCAGTTCCGTTGCGACGAGATCTCTCGAGAGGTTCTGATCGACTTTGATGTTGTTGTTACACCTCTGGAGGAGAAGCAGAGCGAGGCATCCAAACTTGGAATTCCGACTGTTCTGCCTGATCTTGGTTTAGCAGGAAACGACGCTCGCCAGAAGTGTATCAAAGCTTTCGAGGTGCAAGCCAGCCGATACCACAAGGGTGTTTACGCTCGTAAGCGACACGAGCTTGAAGGCAAGATTGATACTCGCCTCAAGTCTCTCTACCAGGGCCAGTTGGCTGCTGCTCATAAGGCTGGTGTTTCCGCTTTCGGTGAGGCTGTTGCAAACAAGGTCAAGGCCGGACAAAAAGCCGGTGGTGGTTACGAATTTGCTGAGATTGTTGCCAACGAGAAGCGAAAGACGCTGGATATCTTTGGTGTCGAGGCTGAGAGTTTGCTCATCGAGGGCGTTGCCTGGACTAACTTTGATTCGCAACTCAGGCTGTTCGAGAAGGAGCTCGATGACGAGAGTGCTAAACTGAGAAAAGAGGAGATGCGACGACTTGCGACCCGTGTCGAGCGCTGGGTTAGGTCTCGTCTTGGTGATGCAATTGGCCTTGAGTTCAACAAGTTGGGCAGTGGCCGAGGTGGTGGTGGTGCTCCGGATTCCGACGACAAGCCCGAGACTGAGAAGGATCTCTGGGACAGAGTCTGGAAGGTCTTTACAGGCATTGTCAAGGAAGCCGAGGTTCGATTTGCTGAGCGCGCCAAGAGCTTTGATGCTACCAGCGAGGAGGTTGAGATTGGCACATGGCGACTGCGCCGGAAGAGCTGGACTGCCCTCCGGGAAAAGATCGAGGAAGAGGTTATGGAGGGCAACATTCTGCTGAAGCTCCGAGAGAACTTCGAAGATAAGTTCCGATACGACGAGGCTGGTGTGCCGCGCATATGGCGCCCTAGCGATGATATTGAGGGTATTTACACCAAGGCGCGAGAGTCCACCCTCACACTTGTTCCCCTTCTGTCAAGGTTCCGACTTTCAGAGACATATGGCCCTCCGGACCTGCCAGGTTTCGTTGGACCTCAGCCTAGTGGTGTCCAGAGTGGCGACGAGGAAGACCTGACACCCATTGGAGGTATCGATGAGGAAGACGGCAAGAGTCTTGAGGAGGAGATGACGGTGCTCAGCGAGGGCAAGCGCCAGGATCTCGTTGTGCGATTCAAGAAGACTGCTGATGGAGTATATGTTGAGGCTAAGCGTGGAGCCATTGGCGGAGTTGCCCAGGTTCCGTGGTACTTTTATGGTTTGCTACTCGCCCTTGGCTGGAATGAGATTTTGACTGGTAAGTTTGGCTTGTCTCTAACCGTTTGCTGTGCCCGTGCTAACAGACGCCTCTTTAGTTCTGCGAAACCCGTTCCTCTGCCTTCTTATCCTGGTTATTGCCGGAGGTACATATGTGGCATACACGCTCAACCTTCTTGGCCCAATGCTCTCAATGGGTAACGCTGCCATGACCCAGGGTGTCGAGATCGCCAAGCAGCAGCTTCGCGACTTCATTGCAAACTCGGAGACTGCGCGACAGGCGGTTGGCATGCCTGCGCGTGAGGACAGCGACAATATCAGCATGGACACCCTGGATAGCAGGGGGAAGAGGGCCAACACATCTGCTGAGAAGGACGACATTGATGACATTTAATGTAAGTAGGATTGTGTCTGAATTTGAGCAGTAGCTCCAGACCTTGTCAAGAGTATGATTAGCGAACAGGATATAATAGTTAAAAAGACAACGTTCCATTAAAATCATTTGCATATTTCATGTCTATAAACTTTGTTATTCAAGTTGTTCCTAACAATTATGAGGGTATCTAAAACGCTTCCAAGCCCGCAGGTGTACCAAACCAATTGCCCAACTCTGATGACTCCTTATCATTATCTCCAGACACGAAGAAATCAGTAACTCTACTCGTCTCGCCATCATCTTCCAGCGGCCACTCAACCTTGACGCCATTTCCCTTGCCCTCAAGCATATCCTTTGCCGTGCCCCAGCTGAAGCGACACTCCGGCCCCCAACCAAACACAGGGTGCATATTGCCCTTCATCCAGCCGACGCAGCGTCCATCAGATGGGTAGCCCGAGCCCCAAGCCATTCCTTCACCACCGGTTTCCTCTGCGTCCCCCCTCGCTTCGAAGAGCACCTCCAGCGCAGCATCGCGAGTGACCTTTGCGCACACCGACGCAGCGCTAACACAGGGGTAAAGACTATCTGCCTTCTTGGCAACAGTAATCTTTGCTGTAGGGAACACACGCTGTAGTTTGGCTTGATATGCTGCAGGCTGTCCGATGGTGTCGACGTAGATCTCTTGGATGTTGACGCCAAGCGCATACACGGCTTTTATAAGATCGACCGTGGCATCCATGGCTTGCGCATTGAGGTTGTAAGCATTCGTGGGGCGGAACATGTTCGCGCCAATGTCTCTCGCCGAAAGTGAGGCCGTCGCCCAACCGCAGGAGTCATGGAGGTCAGAACCAGGCGTGCACAGCTTGCGCATGAGATCAGATCTGACAGCGGGCGTGAGAACTTTGGAGTCGTCAAAGTGATGGGTCTCGCGAAGGAGTGAATCAGACAGAGTAATAGGGAGGAAGAAGACGCCGTACACCATGGGGCCGAGAACGGGACCACGGCCAGCTTCATCGACACCGAGACAGCATGGGGCGGCAGAGGAGGGATCCGACGGGTCGGTGGGGAGGAGCGAGGTCGGAACAGCAGAGTAGTGGCTGAATGATGCGCCTGAGAGGAGAGCGGCGTCGTGGACGGATGGTGGGATGTAGGTTGATGATATTGTACGAGTGGTTGTCTCGGGGACATCGACTGGCGAGTCTGTCATTGTGAATAGAAAATTGATGGTCTAAATCAAGAGTTCAATTGATTCTGTGGTGTTGAGTTTCAGAGCCGGAGTCTGGTCTGTTGATCAAAGTAAAGTTTTGATATTAAGTTGTCATGGAGTTTCAAAGTAAAGAAACGGATGGCGTGGGATACTGTAGTTTTGGAGACGCGTTGAGACGCGTTAAGAGCTTTGGATCCACATATTTAAGTTGACTTCTGGACTAACGTTAGGAATTTACGGATACAGCTTGAGATACTTGATCTATTGGTGACTTCATCCATATTGTATAATATTAAATACTGTATCGGATGTCTTTCCTAATCCTTAAGACGATATTGGTAACTTAGAAGTCGTTCGAATCTCAAGGTTCGAATGTAGGTATTGCTATTTTTGTCGTCGTCGGAATCTTGGACCATCACTCTTGCTTTCCATCGCCCCAACTTTGAGACTCAGTCCAATGCTACGCACATCGTTCGCATCCTTGGTTGAGAACGGTCTAGACGACACAGGAACAAATAACTGCATCGAATTTCATCAAAGCGTAATTGGTTTAGTGGTAAAATTCTCCGTTGCCATCGGGGAGCCCTGGGTTCGATTCCCAGATTACGCATTGCATCAGCACTCACCGAGTGCTGTTTCCTTTGTTCAGTCGCCATTATTTAAGTGTCTCATTTTTGCCTCGAGTCTAGACCGAGACCAAGTGGCTTAACCGTTGCGATTTGCGGAAGACCTTCGGTACTTGTAATGGAATGCGTAGCTTCTTTGAGAATGCGGAAGTCTTGACATGCATGGGGGAGAGGTCCATGGCAGTATTGCGTCTGTTGTTATATGCTTCGCCTGGTTATGTATGTAAGAATGATTCTGTTCCCGCATGCAAGGAAAGGAGCACGTAGGTAGGTCGATATATGTTGGTTTGTGCCTGCTCTGTAAGTGAACTCATGGGGTATTGCTCTTTAATGTTCGACGGGTATGTTCGCCTGCATTATTCGTGTTATATCCAAACAAGGCACTTAGGTAAGTAGGTAGGTAGGTTTATGGTTTTATCTGTTGCTAACTGCCTTTACACTTCGTTTCTTGTTAAGTTCTTTTCCTGCTCCGCCAACGGTTTCTCTTCATCGTCTACACTAACGGGCTCTTCTGTTCTTCCATTCCCCATACGGTGCTATGTCTGTCATGAATAGCGACTATCAGCCGGTAGCTTGAAGGTCCTTTTTGTTGCTACTATTGTCACTGGATAATTATTTATCATGTTTTGGTAGTCTTTTCATCAGCCTGGTAACTATTTATCTTCTGAAGCTGGCGAGTACTCGACATATCTTTTCGCTCATCAAGACGAATCATCTTCTTTCCACGAGGCGGCATCTTTCCTACATCTATTCTGAAAGTTTGGTCTGAAAATATCGAAGCGTAATTGGTTTAGTGGTAAAATTCTCCGTTGCCATTCAGATGATATCGGGGAGCCCTGGGTTCGATTCCCAGATTACGCATTTAACATCAAGTTCGAACGCGCAGTTATCCTTTTGCTCTTTGAGTACATTTTTTGGTGTTGGTATGTGTTGTGGTGTTGATGTCTGTTGGAGGTGGAGGAAGAAGCCACATATGACGCCACAAAGGCAAGCCACATGCACGAGTGAACCGAAAGCATCGGCTTACAACCTTGGAAAGTACCTTTCCAAAGAACAATTGAACGACAAACCGAGCACATGTTTTGCTGTCTTTTAACTGTGCCGTTTTTCATTTAGGAGATCTAAACGTAAATAAACTTATCATTTTGGATCAAAAGACAAGTTACAACGTTCACTAATAAGATCTCAAGTCCGTCGTGCCTACCTACCTACCTATGCAGTATTTTACTGGGCCACTTTAACTGTGACCCTCTAACACGCCCCCAGCTCTAGGTAGGCGGGCACCTCGTTCATTTGTTCGCGCCGCCTAAAAGTCACCACCAACAACACACCAACCGCGTCACCAGTCGCGTCTTTGATTTCTCTTCAGATCCCACTCGTGCCTTTCAACGTCGCGCACAAAAATCTGTCGATACACTGCGCGAAACAATTACATATTTTCGAGCGACAAATAAACAAGATGGCCCCCCGCGGCGGCCCCAGGCGCAGTGAAGTTGCTGAACCGCAAGCTTTCCACCAGCTTGGTATTCGTGGTCGGTGAGGCTACCCGCGCGTTTCGAATTGCGAGATGCCCCAAATGCGCATCGGTCGATAGAACCTAATTCTTTTTCTTCTAGTAAAACTGGAGTCGAATTAATAGATACCGGTGACCGCGACGAACATGGCATGCAACCCTTAGACGACCTTCTTTCTTCGCCAGAACAGGAATCCGCATCTGAACAAAGATACGACGAAGACAACGATGATGAGGAGCACGCCAATGACCACTACGAAAGTGGAGACAACGAAGACGACGATGAAGAAGGCAGTGAGGACATGGACATTGATACAAGTGCGCTCACCCAGGCGAAGCGGGCAACAACAGAGCTTATTGACTAACACCACTCTAGGCGTTGGACCAGGACCTCAAACTGTGCTTCGGAGAGGCCCGCAGTATCCTCTTCCTCGGAGTCGATCACCTATAAAGACCACACTAATGTCTTCTCCTCGAAGGCACCCAAACCTTTCTTCACCAACCCGAGCGCCCTTACCCACAGAACGCGACGCTACAGTTACACGCAAAATCGACTTTGGGGCAAAACTCCCAGGGCGCGGGAAGGCCCCCGCAAACGGAATCAACGGTGCTTCTCACGAGGAGGACGACGCCGATGAGACGGAAGATGCGCCCGAGCCTGACGACGATGTAGAGGATGATATGGACCTGCTCAACGAATCGATGAAATTGGTCGAGGGCATGGGTGGAAACTCGTCAGAACCCGAGTCTGAGGCCGAATCTGAGCCAGCGCCAGCATCTACGCCCAAGGTCACCAAAGCATCAGCCAAAGCGTCAGCCAAAGCCAGCACAGAACAAGCAAAAATGGATCCTAAAAAGCCACGCGGAAGACCACCGAAGGCCAAACCAGTAGAGAAGCCTGTGGAGGAGGAGCCAGTTGAGGAACAGGCAGAGGAGCCGGAAGAGGAAGAGGAACCAGCCAAACATCGACCAGGACGAAAACCGAAAACCGTTGCTCAACCGAAGGAGACTAAGAATTCTAATTCACGGAAACGTCCAGCGCCGGAGGAACCAGAAGAGGTTGAGGAGCCAGATAATGAAGCAACAGAACCAGAACCGGAACCGGAGGAGGAGGAGGAAGAACCCCCTAGGCAAACCAAAAGACCACGGACTGATCCACCTAAACTGTCAAAACCGAACAAGTCAGCGCCATCTAAAGCTCTACCAACAGCCGAGCCAAAAGCAAGAGGGAGACCTGGACGAAAACCCAAAGCACAAGGCGCAGGCGATGCTGGAGATGACGTTGGAGAGACATCGTTTGCTGCGCTCCAACGTGGACCCCCATTACCCAAGAAACGTGGCCTGGTCTCTGTTCGTCATGATGCCGATGAAGTCAAAACAACGAGATCCGGGAGACATTCGTATAGGCCTCTCAGTTGGTGGGCAGGCGACAAGGTGGTACAAGAGGAGGAGGAGTTCAAGGACGTCTCAGGCCGTGATCGCTTTGTGCTATCTACAATCAAAGAGGTCATCCGCGCCCCTCAGGAGGAAGTGCGCGCGAAACCTACCAAAGCTCGAGGCCGCGCAAAGGCGAAATCCAAACCTGTACGACAAGTCGAAGAGGTTGAGCCTGAAGAATGGGAAATCAACCCTGGTGTCGTCAATGGTGAGGTCATATTATGGGAGCCTGAGCACGACAAAAACCCTCCTGGTGACGAGGAGCCTGTTGAGGTCATGGAAGACCGTATTGCCATCTCAGGCGACGCTATCCAGTCTCGCGATGTCCAAAACGCAACATTCCGCATGGCCAAGACACTCACAACGCCCTTTATGGGCACTGGTGTTGTCGACCTACCACCTGGCTCTGAGAAGCGGCCAAAGAACTCGCGCAAGATGCACATGGTCTTCTTTGTGCACACTGGAAAGGTGCTCGTCACTGTAAACGAAGCCTCGTTCCGTCTCAGTGCTGGAGGCATGTGGTTTGTCCCTAGAGGTATGTCCTTTCTTACCCCTTTTATCCTGTTCAATCACTGACCACATACGACTGATAGGAAACTACTACAGTATAACAAACGATTACGACACAGAGTCGCGAATATTCTTTTCTCAAGGATGTGAGATAACAGCTCAACCAACAGAAGGAGATCAATCGCAAATGTCCATGATGGCTTAGGACAAGTAATGCAGTGGTGCTGAAAGGAGTGCATAGTACATCATGGCACGCATTCAATATAGCGACATAGGTGATGGGTATTCTTGCTGACACAATTGTTCATCTGGGAGAAAAGCATGGGACGGGGTAATCATGTCGAATTTGCCTTGAAAGAGCATGTTTGTTGGCCGGCTTTATGATTTATGTGCGGTTAGGTGTGTTGAGTTGTATACCATTCATGACAGATGAAATTCCAATGCGTCACTGTTGCAATTGCAGAGAGAGAGTATTTGTCAATGCTATTGGAGTTAGTGATAAGACACATGAGAGATGTAGAATATTGTTGCTTGATGTAAATATTGAGAAGGGTATCTGGTGAGAACAGAGCATGAGTGATATTTGTCCATCCACTGACACATATTTTCCAAATGTCCTACATATCGCTTCGATCATATACAGCGCATTAAAACTCCAAGCTGAGAAGCTTCTTCAATGTGGTCATTTCCTGGTCCCATTTGGCGATTTTGGCCTGGCTATCCTCAAGCTTGCGGAGCAAGAAGTTAATGCGTCCAGCCGTCTCTCCAGTCTGTCTAGGCAGGGTTCCGAGAAGAGCCAGTTCGTTCTCGACCTTGTCGATTGATCGAGCCTCGGCCTTTGATGAGTCGTTGATGACATCGTAGTCCATCTTGGCTCGGAGAACGCGATCTTGGAGAAGAACAGAGAAAGCAGCCTGGTGAAGAGGTTTACCAGCCTTGATCGTCATGGGTCGTCCTTGATACGTCTCGACGGAAATAAGATCAGCGCTAACAAGACTGTCGATAGCAGCATCGGCATTAGAGGCAGCAGCGGGAGCGGCAGAAGAGAAGGGTGCAGAAAGAATCACTTCGTTGTAGCGGAGTCTGGGGGTCGCCGCAAGTGACTTGATAAGATGCCAAGCCTGCTGAGAAGAAAACTTTCTATCCTCGAGATCAGAAGGCTTGCCGAGAAGATAGATGCGGACAATATCGGTTGCTGTCTCGGAGACGATTTCATCCATAGCCTGTTTAGGGGATTGACCAAGTCTGAGACGTCGGGCCAGAAACTCCAAATCAGTAAGACGACCACCAAGTGTGTCGATGCACTGGTCAAGCTGTATCATGTTGGGTCGTGGGGCTAATGCCTTCTCTGCTTCTTCGTCTCCTTTCTCTTTTCGTGCTTTCGCATCGGCGGCGAGTTGATCTTTGAGTCGGCTGAGAACAAAGTTCCTTGCTACATCAGGGGCAAGATCACCGAGAGAAACAGTACGGAAAAGTCGATCAGGCAATGCCTTGTCCAGGGGTTTCGAGTAGGCCGTGTCGGTAGTAAGGAAGATAACATGAGCGACGTTGTTCTGGACCACAGTCGCAGCCCACTCAGCGATTTTGTCATAGACAATGCTGTTCTCCTCACCCTTGTGGAGGAAGTTGTCAATGACAACAACAGGTCGGCGCTCAGGGTGAGCCTCTAGCCATGCATCCTCGGACAACTTGTAGTCGCTGTCTCGCTTGTTGCGCGCTCCAAGAGCAACATCCTTAAGAGCGCCAGTTGCTGTCTGCGTGATTTTGTTGAGTTGGGATTCAAGGGTTTCCGAGAAGCCTGCCTTGACACCAGTGGTACTTTGAACAGCGAGGTCAATCATGCTGCTCATGCTGTTTGCCCAGGAGAATACAGGGCGATAGCCGACGGCCATCGCAAGGCGCTTGATAGTACCCGCCTCACCTCTGGCCTCGACAATGGGTTTACAGTCAATCTTGAGGACATTCTTGCGACCTTCCAACGCCTGGTCCATGATCATCTCGACCTTACCCGAGCCTTTAGGGCCAGTGACAACAATGAAAGTATCAGACGTCTCGTCAAGCCAACCTTCAATCTTGTCGATTGCGTCACGTCGATGGTTCCAGACTTCCTCGAGGCCATCATTCTTTGATTTACCCGACAATCCCAAGTCTGCGGATTGTTTCTTGAACCACTTGTAGATCCGAGAATCCTTGAACTCCAAGGAGTGTTGAATGTGGAGTTTGATAAAGAACTCTCGGATAGGATCGAAGATCAAAACCGAGAGACCAGCGATAAGGGCAGCGACAGCAGGGATAACAACACGCGGATGGTTAGTCAACCAGTTCCAGATACTGTGAGCTTTGACACGCTTCTCAAAAGACATGCGAAGCTTTGTTCCATTTTTGCCGCCACCCAAGGTTTCGCTCACGATAAAACCGTGCATACAATTACGCGCTATTATAGCATCTCTTGTTACAGGAAACTGGATATGAGCATATCGTGGCAGGATCTTGGAATCTGTTGGCTGAGGAATGATATCTGCAATCTTTCCATATTTGCGAAACAATGTGTACAGTGTCTCTTCGGGAAGCTCTTCAGGGGTGGTGCCGGGAGTCGGAGGAACAAACTCGATCTTGACAAAGCTGGTAGGGTATCGGTATAAGTCCTCTAGCCATGGTGTGCCTTGTACGAGACGTGCGTGAACTGGACGAAAGATAGCGAACCAAGGTTTTATTGGCTTTTCCTTGAGTCGTTTCAGTAATTGTGCTGGTTGATGGTGTTAGTACAGACAACCTTATCCATCACGGCAAAGACATGTAGCGTGAATCACAGTGGTGTAATTACGCAACATACCTTCAATCTCGACAGGGTCCATTTGAGCATCATATTTGAACTTGACATATGCGCCTCCATCTTTCAATCTAGGCAGAATTTCCGTGACTCTTATAGGGAGATCTTCTGGGATAGCGGTCTTGACAAGGCGAATTGGGTCTAAGATTCCCAATGAAGAGGTTTCGAATCGTCTCAGTAGATCGGAGACATCGTTGTCTGACTTCCAGGGGCGAACGACAACACTGCTGAGCTTGAGGGGAAAGATGTCTATTAGGTTAGCGTAAGCATCTGCAACACAATACTGGCAATGACTTACTGTCGAAGAAGAGAATGGCCTCATTAGACTGCTTGGTGATGTGACCCTCTTCCGAGACACTAGGAACGGGCACAGCATCCCCTGAATCAGGCATGACCGTTGTACTCACGGACCGTTGAAAGCCATTTTTGCCGAGCCGTTGCTGTTGCTGTAGCTGCTGTTGTTGTCGTTGCCGTAGGAGCGAGGACGCAAGACCACATCCGAGGGATCTTGATGATGATATGAGGGGCCGGCGCGCAGCAAAAAGCGCTGCCCCCGCAAGACCTCGACTCTGAATCATGATGCTGACCTCAACAGCACATAACTGCCAGGAAGCAACTGATTGAAAAGAGGGAATTGTGACCGAGGGGAAGGATGTTTGGTTAGGGTATCGGTAGAGAAGACAATTTGGTTGGCAGAGGGTTAGAGCTGTTGCAGCTAACGTTAGTCCAATGAGGTCATAGTGGTGGCAGACCAACCCCACCCTCGGCAGGGGAAAGGAAAGCTTGGGTGAGATGTATTAAAACACGCCAGTTTTAATGATTACTATATGGAATATGATTAGGTTTATAGAACCATATCATATAAGACATACTGAAGAAATATTTCCAAGTATAATAATAATCTAGTACGACTTGATATGTGGGCCATCTACGCAGCTCCCTGTGAAGATCAACCGATCAACCCCACCAAGAGCATAGCAATACCGTTCTGTCAAATAACTAACGTTACCTACTTAGTAGCTATAAGTAAGCTCTACAGGTTTGAGAGTAACATGTCAAGGCACTAGGAAACAGTCTGACACGTCCTTCGAATGATCTAATGCATAACACTTGTTTATCCAGGCGGTGTTCCAGAGGACGATTCAAGCAAGGATTCTTGTACAGCACTGATACCAACAACGACAATGCAGAAATTTGAACTATCATAATCGATCAAATGAGAACCCAGGCAACAATAATACGGACGATAACAAGTAACCCATTCTCAAGAGAATAGAAGACTTGACCGTTAGATTTAAATAACTTGGTCAAGTCCTGGTACAGTTGATCCTAAATCTATCTTCAACATAAGCAAAACAGCCGTTATTCCACATTTCTCTGGGGACAGGAAATAAACTCAACTCAGACAAAAACAGCGATGCCATAAATGAATCACCGCCCGAATACAAAAAGAATGCCTAATTATGTCGTACCCAAAAGTTGAAGCTTGACTTCCGACGTCTGATCATATCACCGCTTCGGCAATACGGCAGATCTATTCTCCCGGCACATCACGGCGCATCTTGTCTCCAAATCTCAAAAATCCAATGAACATCCCACGCTGCACAAGACTCAAGACGGATTATATCACTTCAAATACGATTGGACACTCGGCTTTATATTCACCTCGGGAACAATTCTCAAGTTGCATCGGCGCGACATCACACTCCGATCTTGATCACCCTTCCCCGCTTTACGACTGTTTTTATATTCTTTGCGCCGGGTCTTAAGGATCTTGAAGTTAAGACATTTAATCGATACGAGTGCCTATACAATATCGCAATGGGCTGGTTATGGTCTTCGACACCTCCCAGCGAGGACAAACCGTCTGCGCCAGTCAAAGAGACACCTCCCACCACATTAACAGCTCCAATTCCAACCTCGACTTCAAACTCAACTTCAACTCCTTCCTCCAACTCAAACACCGACCCCGAAATCCAGAAATTCCTCGACCTCTTCGAATCCGAAAAGAACACCAAGCCTTCGCCTCCCACACAAGAAGACGGCCAACAGTCCTCCAAAATACCATCATGGCTCTCCCTCAAGAAGTCATCCCGTCCCTCCGCCCCCAAACCCTCCGATATTCCTCCGCGCGACGCCCTGTCTGAAGCCCTCCTCCCAGCCGATATGTCCTGCCGACAGGCTTTCGACCAAGCATGGGCGTGCAATTCGATGGGCGGACAATTCAACGCCGTGTATCGCTATGGCGAAATGCGATCATGCAGCGAGAACTGGGACGACTTTTGGTTCTGCATGCGCACGAGGGGTTACTCTGCTGAACAGCGACAGAAAGCTATCAAAGAGCATTATCGTGCGAAAGAGTTCGTCAAGTATGGACCTGGGAAGCCGAGTAGTGAAGATGTCTGGGAGAGCAGAGATGAGAAGGTGCTGGAAGGGACAACCTTCAATGCGCCTGTTGAATAATGAACAATATGGAATAACCGCATATTTGTATTAATAGAAACTTCTACCATCCAACTTTATCTACCGTCATGAGGTGGTTAGATCTCCCGAACCCCACTGGTGTTGTACCATGCGTAAAACCTGGTCGCCATGATTGTTGACCATGATATATAATTACCGCCGTTCTATTCTGTTGGTTTGCTGAGCTTTGGCCTGCCTGGAAGAGTTGTGTTTTATTATTAATGTCTGAGGGAATTGGAAAGCCTGGGCTTAATAAACGCTTAAGGTTAAATCTTTATTCTTATCAGTGAATCACGGAAACATACATCACTGAATCACGGAAATATACATCACTGAATCACGGAGATATATACCACTGAATCACGGAAATATACATCACTGAATCACGGAAATATGTACCACTGAATCACGGAAACATACATCACTGAATCACGGAGATATGTATCACTGAATCACTTATTAATCTCGCCCTGAAAATCTTTTACAGTAATTCCGGGGTTCACCTCTTGTTTCATTGGATTGTATATAAGATCATCTTATATTCTTGCTTTCTTTATGTCGTAGCAATACGGCGTCATGTTTTCTTTTTCGCCTGGATTTAGAGGCTGTGGATACGTTATCTTCCGACTCCGAGCCCGTACTTTCGGCGTCATGTTTTCTTTTTCGCCCGGATTTAGAGGCTGTGGATACGTTATCTTCCGACTCCGAGCCCGTACCTTCGTCGTCATGTTTTCTTTTTCGTCCGGATTTAGAGGCTGTGGATACGTTATCTTCCGACTCCGAGCCCGTACCTTCGTCGTCATGTTTTCTTTTTCGTCCGGATTTAGAGGCCGTGGATACGTTATCTTCCGACTCCGGACCAGTACCCTCGTCGTTAAGTATTTCTATTACGTCTGGCGTCACTGGAGGCATGTCGGAGAGTGAGGTTGTCGATAATGAATGACTACCTGCAGCAAATGACCGGATTTAGAGGCTGTGGGTGCGTTATCTTCGAACTTCGAACCAGTACCTTCGTCGTTAAGTATTTCTATTACGTCTGGCGTCACTGGAGGCATGTCGGAGAGTGAGGTTGTCGATAATGACTACCTATAGCAAATGAGTCGCGTGTGGTTCTGTTGAGTTCGGACGAACACAGGCGCCCTCGCTCTTGGGATTTTTCGACTTATTAGTAGCAAGAGTCGTATGATTCTTAGACAATATTAATTGTGCGGTAGCTGGGTGTTCCTTATCGCTCTCGCAAACGACATCCCTAGAACCCTCCAACCATATCCTGGTCAATAGTAATACCCATGGAAGCGCATTCTGGTAGAGGAGGCCCCCCTCATCTTCTGGACCGACATCACCAGGATCGTCGCCACCACCGGGTTCCCTATGTTGACCCCTAGTTGGTTCGGTTGAATAGGTGTAACGCCGTCGTCTTGTTCGTTTTTGTTAATCGCTATCCGGGTTGTCGGCTTCGTCATCAGATGAAGGCGGAGAATGGGATCTAGGGGGTCTCTGCCGTTATCTTCGCCGTTATCCTCTTCGTTGCTATCGGGTCGTTAGCTTTGTTATTCCATGACGAGTATCGACTCGGGGCCTCCCAGGGAAGGCTACTAACCTACGGCCATACCCGCTACCGCTCGACCGGAGCGCGAATCACGATCGCGATCACCAAGACGGCGCGATGCTGTTCCTTCTGCAGTTCCAAACCCTGCAGAACCGACAAAACCCATCCCTACGACAAAAGTCAAGCAAGAATTTGCGCAGATGCCGTTTTACAAAAGCCGATAAACGGGAGGCGAACCTCGAAATATCTGCAAAAAGCCTTCCAGGACGAGATTGCTGTTGAGATGGATTCTGAAGGTGAAAATGGTTCTCCTTAACACTCCATCGGAACCTGTCAAGCCATTAGATGAAGGCGAAGAATGGGATCTAGGAGATGGCGGTTTCTTTATATGAAGAGGAAGCTTCTTTTTTCGTGCCTTCGCAAACGGCTGGTTCGTCAGAATCGGACTTAGCGCCTTGACATGCTGCCTAAGCTTACGTTCGTCTATGGGTATTTTTTCGATGGAGATTTCGATAATTACTTTTGCGCGTGTGTAGTGATAGAAGAAGTTAATAAAAACAGAAATCCACTTAGAAATAAATATTTCTTATTATATATCCTCAGTATCTCCTTAGTAGGTGAAGTATCCTTTTTAGAGTCTCGAGCATCTTAATAACGTTCTCTGCAGGCTTCGAGATTTCGATGATTACTTTTGCGCGCGCGCAGTGATAAAAGAAGTTGATAGAGGCAGAATCCTTTTTTAGAGTCTCGAGCATTTTAATAACGTTCTCTGCAGGCTTCGAGATTTCGATGATTACTTTTGCGCGCGCGCAGTGATAAAAGAAGTTGATAGAGGCAGAAGTCTACTCAGAAGTAAATATATTTCTCGTTATATATCCTTAGCATCTCCTTAGTAGGAGAAGCCTCCTTCTTAAGCGTCTCGACCATTTTGATGACATTTTCCGCAGGCTCGTCCGCAGCGATCTATCTCCTTCTTAAGCGTCTCGAGCATTTTGATGACATTTTCCGCAGGCTCGTTCGCAGCGATATATTTGGTGAGCGCCTTGACGCGTTGCCTAAGCTTACGCTCGTCTATGGGCATCCTTGCGGTAGAAATCTGTAGGCTCGTTCGTAGCGATATACTTGGTGAGCGCCTTGACGCGCTGCCCAAGCTCACGCTCGTCCGCCGCGATACATTTGGTGAGCGCCTTGACGCGCTGCCCAAGCTCACGCTCGTCCATGGGCATTTTTTTCGGTGTAGATTTCGTGCTGCCCAAGCTCACGCTCGTCCATGGGCATTTTTTCGGTGTAGATTTCGTGCTGCCCAAGCTCACGCTCGTCCATGGGCATTTTTTTCGGTGTAGATTTCGGTAATAACGTGCTGCCCAAGCTCACGCTCGTCCATGGGCATTTTTTCGGTGTAGATTTCGGTGATTGGTGTTGCGCGTGCAGTGTGGTAGAGACTTCGGCGATTAGTATTGCGTACGCGCAGTATTGGTCGTCGGAATCGGACTTGACAACTCTGTTGGTCTGCCTCTATAGGAAGGGGAAGCTTCTATTTTCCCTCATGCCTTCGCAATCGGCCGGTCGTCGGAATCGGACTTGACAACTCTATTGGTCTGCTTCTGGCGTTTAGCCTGTAATATCGTTATTAGTATAAGTTAGCCCTATAGGTAATAAGAGTTTTCTTATTATAAAATACGAACAAAAGGAGTACTATTATTACTTGACTTGTTATCCTTATAATTGACCTTGGTGATCGAGTTTCGCGACTTCCGTTTCGAGAACCCGTTGGTGATCGAGTTTCGCGACTTCCGTTTCGAGAACCTGTTGGTGATCGAGTTTCGCGACTTCCGTTTCGAGAACCCGTTGGTGATCGAGTTTCTCGACTTCCGTTTCGAGAACCCGTTGGTAATCGAGTTTCGTGACTTCCGTTCCGTTTCGAAAACCCGTTGGTGGTTGACTTGTGATCGAGTTTCGCGACTTCCGTTTCGAAAACCCGTTGGTGGTTGACTTGTGATCGAGTTTCGCGACTTCCGTTTCGAAAACCCGTTGGTGGTTGACTTGTGATCGGGTTTCGTGACTTCCGTTTCGAAAACCCGTTGGTGGTTGACTTGTTAATGTCTACCAGGTAGTCACTATGGCTCCCAAACGTCACAATAAAAATATTTCGGTGGATTTTATTAGGACAGCTGGATATCTTTTTTAAAGGTACTACTAGACTTTACATGATAAGATTGTATAAAATGAGAAGAGTTTATTATAAGATTATATAAAATGGGACGAGTTCATTATAATATTATATAAAATAAAGACAGTTTATTTTAATTTATACAATGTTATATAAATTTTAGAAGAGAGTAAGTTATTGGAAGCTTCTTTCCCCTTGTGCCTCCGTAATCGGATGGTCATCGAATCAGAATCGGGTTCGATAACTCCATTGCTCTGCTTCTAATGGTCTCCCTATAGGAAGTGCCTCCATTACTAGGCCCAGAATCGGGCCACCTCAACTAGAGCCCATCCATGTCATATCCCGACTGGATCCCTTCTACAAGCCAGATTCAGGCCATCTCAACTAGAGCCCGTCCATATCATCTCTCGACTAGACCTCTCCTACGAGCCAGAATCGGGCCACCTCAACTAAGGCAACAGCTGAACCAACTAGGAGTCAATATAGAGAACCCTGGGTGGTGACGATGATCCTGACGATGAACCCCCCACCGTTTGAGGCCTCCTCTCTAGCTACACCCGAACCGCTTCTGCATCAACTTTCTCCTGTACAACTCTCTACAATACAAAGTAGCCGTCCAGCGACCAATATCAAATCATCATGAGTACCCCAGTGGTGACGATAAACCTGACGATGGACCCCCTGGATCGCCTTGTCCGCCTTCATCTGATGGGGACAACGATGAAGAAGACAACGACGGAGAACATGGCAGCGGCCTTCGGTAAAGGAAGTCGCTTAATACACATTCCCTATTGGAATTTTGTTCACCGACTGATGAGGAAGAAGCCAAGGCGCTCGGAGGTGAAAGTGAATGTTGCACTCCGCCACCTAATTGGAGGCGCTGGTCTTCACCAACTGAAAGACCACCTTCTATCGTTCCACTTCAATGACCTTCCTGATGATATACAGGACAAGATCCTGCGAATCGTTCTGGTCTTATCGGAGGCGCTGGTCTTTACTAACTAAAAGACCTTCTGCCGTTCCGCTTCAATGACCTTCCTGATGATATACAGGACAAGATCCTCCGAATCGTTCCACTTCGATGACCTTCCTGATGATATACAGGACAAGATCCTGCGAATCGTTCCACTTCAATGACCTTCCTGATGATATACAGGTCAAGATCCTGCGAATCGTTCTGGTCTCATCGGAGGCGCTGGTTCACCAACTAAACAAGACCTGTCGTTCCGCTTCAATGACCTTCCTGATGATATACAGGTCAAGATCCTGCGAATCGTTCTGGTCTTATCGGAGGCGCTGGTCTTCACCAACTAAACAAGACCTTCTGTCGTTCCGCTTCGATGACCTTCCTCATGATATACAGGACGACATCCAGGCCGAGAATCGCGCCCACCGTCTCGGCCAGAAGCGAGATATTGAAATCATCCGTCTCATCGCATCAAACATCTACAAGGCATGTCAGAAGAAGATCGAGCTCGCATCCTCCTCATCGCATCAAACACTATTGAGGAGCTCATCTACAAGGCGTGTCAGAAGAAGATCGAGCTCGCAAACAAGGTCACAGGTCAAGACCCTCCAAATCGTTCTGGTCTTTAACGGAGAGCCCAAAGGTGCTCGGAGGTGAAAGGGAATGTTACACTCCGCTACCTAATCGGAGACGCTGGTCCTTACTAACTAAATAAGACCTATCATTCCGCTTTAATGACCTTCCTGATGATATACAGGTCAAGATCCTCCAAATCGTTCTGGCCTTTAACGGAGAGCCCATACATGCCACCTCTCGACTAGACCCCTACTACGAGCCACAATCGGATGATCTTAATGGAGACAACGACGGAGACAAAGTCTTGACTGCACTTGAAATGGTGAGTTAGCTGGGCCAAGTAGGCAAATCGAATGAGAATGGGCACGGTCCCCGGACTGACCGACAAGCCTACGATGCTGTGGAGGAAATGGAAGACCGAAACAAGAATAACTTCTTTCGGTGAGAGCGATATAAGACGAAAGTTTGATTTGAGATGGCCGAGCACAGCAGAGTGTTGTCAATGGGCTGGTTATCGGAATCGGATTCGATAACTCTGTTAGTCCACTTCTTCTTTTAGTGGTTTCCTTATAGGAAGGGGAAACTTTTGCCCACCCCTACCACCCATCCACTGTAGCCTGTACCACTATAACTTCATTAAAGCATTCGAAGGACGTGTCAGACTGTTTCCCCAATGCCTTGAAATGTTCCTCTCAAACATGTAGAGCTTACAACTACCAGTAAGGTAATATTAGTTAACAGAACGGTATTACTATGCTTTTGGTAGGTTTGATCGGCTGATCTTCATAGTGAATACGACTCAATGTGTGAAAACTTCACACAGTTCTCTATGTACTTGCATACCCCTAACCATTATGTGATTAGATCTCCCGAACCCCACTGGTGTTGTACCATGCGTAAAACCTGGTCGCCATGACTATTGACCATGATCAAAAATGTCCAACGCCAGCAATCCTCACAGTGTAACGATGTTTAACTGGTCTTCATCTAATTTAATCCCAAACGACCGACAAACGTATTATTTTTGAAACACCAGAAGTTTTTAATAATTTGTATGCTTCATGTCAAGTGCAAAAGCCACGATATTCAAAGTTTACACGTACTATACATCACAGGATAGGAACAAGTTTGTTTATGAATTATCATTCATAGAATCATTAAACTACATCGTGTAAAACCACCGAACTTTTCTCATAACCGTTAAAGTCGCAAAATCAAGCAAAGAAAATCGATCCCATAATCCCATGAGACCCCTCGCCTCCACATTGAATACATGGAAACATAATTAGTCTAGAAGGTGAGACTGATGTTGTTGGGGTATCAAAGAATTCAATCGACCTCCTCGACGGTGGGACCATCGTCACCACCAGCACCAGGGGCACCACCAGGGCCACCAGCACCAGGGAAGCCACCAGCACCGCCAGGCATACCAGGCATGCCACCAGGTCCACCCTCACCGCCAGCTCCGTAAAACTTCATCATGATGGGGTTGGCCTTGCCCTCAAGCTCCTTCTGGTGCTCCTCGTACTCCTCACGAGTAGCCTGCTGGTTGTCATCAAGCCACTGAACAACCTTGTCGATCTCGGCAGTAAGAGTCTCCTTGTCACCAGCCTCAATCTTCTCCTCAACCTTAGGATCGGCGAGAGTGTTGCGAAGGGAGTAGGCGTAAGACTCAAGACCATTCTTGGCAGCGACACGCTTGCCCTCAGCCTCATCCTCCTCCTTGTACTTCTCAGCATCGCTGAGCATGCGCTCGATCTCCTCCTTGGACAGTCGGCCCTTGTCGTTGGTAATGACAATCTTGTTAGACTTTCCGGTGCCCTTCTCGACAGCGGAAACGTTCATGATACCGTTGGCATCAAGATCGAAAGTGACCTCGATCTGGGGAACGCCACGAGGAGCAGGGGGGATACCGGTAAGCTCGAATTTACCCATAAGGTTGTTGTCCTTGGTGCGCTGGCGCTCACCCTCGTAAACCTGGATGAGGACACCAGGCTGGTTGTCGGAGAAGGTAGAGAAAACCTCTGACTTCTTGGTTGGGATAGTGGTGTTGCGAGGGATGAGCTTGGTCATCATGCCGCCAGCGGTCTCAATACCGAGGGAGAGAGGAGCGACATCGAGAAGAAGGATCTCGTTGGTGGACTTGCTGGAGGTGTCACCAGACAGAATAGCAGCCTGGACAGCAGCACCGTAGGCAACAGCCTCGTCAGGGTTGATGGACTTGTTGGGCTCCTTTCCGTTGAAGTAGTCGGTGATGAGCTTCTGGACACGGGGGATACGGGTAGATCCACCAACGAGAACGATCTCGTGGACTAGGGACTTGTCGATCTTGGCATCGGTAAGGACACGGTCGACGGGCTGGATAGTGGATCGGAAGAGATCCTGGCAAAGCTCCTCGAATCGGGCTCGGGTGATGGAGGTGTAGAAGTCGATACCCTCGAACAGAGAGTCGATCTCGATAGAGGTCTGAGCGGAAGAAGAAAGGGTTCGCTTGGCTCGCTCACAAGCAGTGCGAAGACGTCGCAGGGCGCGGACGTTGGTAGAAAGATCCTTCTGTTGTCAGGTATTAGCATCATTTTCTTTAAAACTATGAAAGGATTCTCATAAAAGATCATAAAATCCTCATAAGAATACAAGAATCGTCAAAATCCTCATAAAGAATACAAGCATTATAAAAATTCTCATAAGGAATGAGAGAATTATAAAATCTTTGTCAAAGATCACAAAGGATAGAGGAACACCATAAACTTATGGATAAACTCATCAACCCCACCTCAACATGAAAAAAAAAATTTGTGAAACTTTTGAAAACTCATTAATAAACTTGTCGTTGAACTCACTTTATGCTTTCTTTTGAATTCGTTAACGAAGTGGCTGACCAGACGGTTGTCGAAGTCCTCACCACCCAAGTGAGTGTCACCGGCAGTAGACTTGACCTCGAAGATACCCTCCTCAATGGTGAGGAGAGAAACATCGAAGGTACCACCACCGAGATCGAAGATGAGGACATTGCGCTCACCCTCAACCTTCTTGTCGAGACCGTAGGCAATGGCGGCAGCGGTGGGCTCGTTGATGATTCGGAGAACGTTGAGGCCGGCAATGAGACCAGCATCCTTGGTAGCCTGACGCTGAGAGTCGTTGAAGTAGGCAGGGACGGTAACAACGGCGTTGTTGACAGTCTCACCGAGGTAAGACTCGGCAGTCTCACGCATCTTGGTGAGGATCATGGCAGAGATCTCCTCGGGAGTGAAGTTCTTCTTCTCACCCTTGAACTCAACCTCGATGACGGGCTTGCCAGCCTTGTCGATGATGGTGAAGGGGAAGTGCTTCATATCGGCCTGGACCTCAGCATCGGCGAACTTGCGACCGATCAATCGCTTGGCGTCGAAGACGGTGTTCTGGGGGTTCATGGCGACCTGGTTCTTGGCGGCATCTCCAATGAGACGCTCGGTGTCGGTGAAACCGACGAATGAGGGGGTAGTGCGGTTACCCTGGTCGTTGGCGATGATATCACATCTGGGGTAGCAAAGTTAGTGGTTTGCTCGAGAGATCAAAAGATAGTGATCAAAACTTACCGATCCTCACGGAAGATACCCACGCAAGAGTACGTGGTACCCAAATCGATACCGACGGCGGGACCCATTTTGTGTGATTTGTGTGATGTTATGTGTCGAGTGTATATGAGATTATGGCGTAGAGAAGAAAAAAAGGAAAAGAAATCGCAGTTGCTTCAAGAGATGTTCGTGATATTTGAAGACTTTTGAAGGGGTATTTGATTGTGATGATGTTGTGAGAGGGAAGACGGAAAGAGCAACAGTTGAGCAAAGGTTCTAAATAAAGGCGGTTGCCAAGGTTCGATGCGGTTCTGCGCTGTTCCAAAGGAGCCCACTTTGGAGAGCTCCTCAAGAGTCGCAGGGGGTCTACGGCTTTCTGGGCGCTGCTAGGCGATGCTGGGGGGTGTGCAAGCGTGGTTTGGAGGGGCAAAGCCGCATTGAGGGGCGTCTGAAGAAGTGTCTAGCAGCTGCAAGCACCTGGCAGATCTAGTTCACCCCACTAAAAAAATGCAATATGCGGCGTCTCCTAGACAATGGTTGAAGAGATGGATCTTGATTGTTTCTGTCTGATTCCTGAAAGCGACTGCTTCCTGCGAGGCATCTCCACTGATGAGAAATCTCATGTTAATTCCCGTGGCTCCCGTCTCTTCTCCTACCATCTCAGGGCTTCTGCCTGTGCCTGTCTGCCTGTGCCTGCTGTCACATCTCACTGATGTCATGTCCTCATAAACTTTTTGCTTCCCAAAGATTCCAGCGCGGGGCATCCGAGCAGGGGTCAGCGAACTCAATGTCTTGGATACTTCAACGCTTTGCCATTCAACGGCGCGATCCACGTATTCACTACTTTGCCCCACCAAACGACCTCATGTTGGTCGGATAGCTCCCTCTCTGTGCCCCTCCTTGGCTGGCACTGCTTTTTTCCTTTTGTCGCTCTTCTCTCCCCAGGGTTTAGCACTGCGAAAACTCGAGTTGCCTCTCCATAAACCATCGTCATAACGAGATCGCGATGCAACTACGTACATATTGTGGCAATCAACAGAAAACTCTGATAATCTAGCACTACGTAGGACAGTAGAGTACCATCAGTTTGTTGAATAGCATTTTCAGTTCAACGAGGAATAGCATGAAAAACCGTCTGTCATACCACCTTGATATTGGATGCCTTATCCTGCCTGGTATCCAACAATGCGCTGGCTACCGCTACTCTTGGAGGCATCAATTGATTGGGTTGATTCATTCGTGATGCAGTCGAGCGTGCAGCGCGAGCCTTGGTTTCATGCTTCTTATTTGCATTATTCTGGTCACGATAGAGCTATAGAAAAGGTTTATGATACATGTTTAAATTTTTAAAAACTTCTTCTAACGTTATTTTCTAACGTCTACATATGCTTGTGATAATATTTAGATAACTTTAGCCTTCCCGTTGAGGGCTTATTATTGCCTATATGTCAGTATCCGCCTCACAGCGAAACTATCACAGCCTGCACAATTGCTCAGGTTCAGGTTGTCACGTCAATAAAAATGCATATGGGTCTCGAATCACCCGTTGGACCCCCATTGTTTTTCTCCGGCTGTGGATACCTTCCTCCAGGCTCTTCTTTTGACGTCTTTTTATTATCGCCTGCAGCGAAACAGCATCACATCCATCTCTTCCTAGTGCTTCCATGCCTCTCCGCGCATCCACTTGGGCTCACAGGGTTCAGGGCAGAGGCGTGGCTTAGCGATTCAAAGCTCATGCCTAATTGAGTGTCAGGCAACCGGCAAAATCCCCTGAGGACCTTTAGATTTTGTGCTATCATTTGCGACTTCGTGGTTTGGGATTGGGTTTCACCGCGGCAGCCTCATCAAGGCACCCAATCCCCGCGATTTGTGTACCTTACAGCTGGCAGCTGACAAAGAGTGGGCGGCCCATTCAACAACTCATCAAACAAGAAAATCGTGGTTCCAATTGCTAAGTCGCCTCATCTTAATATCAACTTCATTCTTCTTCCTTCTCTAAACGACAATTGCCTCTCGCTTCGAAGGCGACTCCAGATATTTTAATAGCCTGTGGGGCCGCATGTCGTGATCTGCTCCATCTTGAAACTGGCTTTCTAGCGCAATCAGCTGATTGGTTGGCTGATTGAACCTTCAATTGTCAATTGCTCTAACTTGCAATTACCCTACCCTGTAGTTCTTGATATAAACTGTCAAAAAGATCAATCATGTTGAAGTAACGTCTCCAGATCTGCTATTATAGGGTATAATACACACTCAGGATTCAATTTGTGATTTTATTAGCTCTTGGCTAATGAGACCACCCTTTTCGAGACACCATACTTTTAAGAATAGTTCCCTGGTCTCATGGCTAAGACTGTTAGTGAGGATCATGGGATATGTGTTACAGTAAAATCTCAGGTTCATATACTTAAACTGTGATCAATGATAGGGAAATTACAAAATAGTGTGACTAGTAATACGCTGTAAAATTTTATTTTTTCTCTATTGATATATGCACTGTCTTTGTTTCTCAAAGACGACTGATATCCTAATAACATGTACTCGATTAACCCTATTCATCTTCAACACTAACTCAGTGGCTCGCAACAAACCCTGGCAAATCATGCTCTTCAATCATGAGCATAGACTTATCGGCCATCCTCGAACTTGTCTCCGTTGCCGACCCGCCCAAGAAACCGTTCCAGATCTTCTGCATTACGTTATCCGTGCTCATTAACTTACTCCCCTTCAAAGCCTCCTCGTCTCCCTCGCCCACTATCAACAGAACCCTCCTTGCCGAAGGAAACCCATCGACAACGTGCCATAAGCATCCAAACACCTGATCACTCTCCTGCTGCGCATAACCTAGCTCTGAAAGGACACATGCGAGATGCTTAACCCTGCGCGTGTCCTCGCGTCGTAGGAAGTACACCATGGCTGAATTGAACCCGTAGATATCATACGCTTCTAATTCGCCAGCCAGGTAAACTGCGTCAAGAGCGAAATTGAACCAGACGCGCGGCGGCGCAGATACAGGCGTGTCTGAGAGAAGTTTCGAGATGCGCCACCCAAAGGAAAGCTCATAATGCTGCAGGCCCAAATAGCGCGCCTCGCGGTTGATATGAAGCAGCACAGGTACTGATCTACCACGCGACCGCTGGTTCAATTCATAAAGTCTCTGGTCCAGGCGCTCATCGCGCTGGAGACAGCAGACGACGACGATGCGGGGTTGAACGAGGAACGACCATATTCGTATGCGCAATTCAGGCGGGAGCTGTGCGAATTGAGGAAATGCGGTGAAAGTGGATGACGAGTTACCGTGCGAGGAGAGGCCATCGTCAAAAGTACGAAACTCAAGCCAGAATCGCGGATTGGGGCTTTGTTCCTCTTCGACTGCGATATCGCTCATGATGGTGGGCTGAGAGCAGGGTGGCGATTAATTGGTTAGAAGAGAGATATTATGTAGCATAATGGTCAAGTATAAAAGACCCGAAAGAATCATAAAAGAAAAACTGATAAGGAGAGGAGTTAAAGACAAGGAAGATAGAGAAACCTAGATCAGGCGATTATCCCCCAAACTTTAGACTACCCATCTCAGCTAATCATTGCTTGGTTGTAACGCCTTGGATCCGAATACGCGTTGCTAATTGATGATTCGCTGATACAAAGGATCCAACTCCCAACCTTTAATAGATCGACATCGTTGTATAAGTCTGAACATATGTTAGGGATGTCATGAATTAAGAAGGCCTTCTCATTTAATAAGAGATTATAGTCAAGACGTTACATGGATAGATGGCAGGATATAATATATAATGGTATCTAGATACAACACAAGTATTTATATGGATGATGTAGTATGCTATAGGCGCTAGGAAAAATATGTGAAGACTAAAATACTTTAGTCTATACTCTATACTCTCGATACAATTCCCCAGAGATCAACATGTAAAAGGGGTCCTTTGATGCTCTATCTGAATTCGTGCATTCCGTCTTGAGGCGTTCAAACCCTATCAGAGGCTGCATTCCTTGACCATGTTCCGCTGCCTGAGCTCTGGAGTCTATACGCGTTGCTCTCGATTTTGAGCGTTTCCTCGCCTCGCAGTAGCTTGAGTAGAAAAGATCCCTTAACCACGACGTCTGTAGGACCATCATCGCCAGGAGGTCCTTGTCCAAGCTTCACATTACCGATACACCAAGAGAGAGGGAAAGCCTAATGTTCAATCAGTTATAATTCAATATGAGGAATAATGATGAAGACTTACCAATGCTACAATAGGTGTAACAGCAACAAATGCCCAAACAACGCCCATCTTGGCCTGGTGAATCGCCTGCTCCTTTGCGTCCCCTAACGTAGACTGGACGCTATTGAAGCTATCACTATGGGAGTCAAGCCCAGAAGTATTATTGAAGACAGCAGACATTATAGTCAAACCGATGGTGCCACCAAAGGGCAGAGCAACAGCCATAAGTCCAATTACGGAGGCGCGCAGGTGACGGAAGAGACCAATGCCATGGAGGGGCGAAGCCATGAAGCGCATGCCACTCCCACAGCCAACAAGAGCCATCATTCCGTAAATGACGCTCAGCCTATCAGCCCAGATGGCCCAGGCGAGCACGCCCAGACCGACAGCTTCGGTAAGAGTTCCCACGAAGATGGAAGGAAATGTCATGCGAGGCCAACGGTTACAAAGAAAAGAGCAGATGTATACACCGACTGTAAAAAATGTCAGCATACTGTTCTTCGTTGGCTATAACTTCGTATGGACGAACCTGCAAGTCCGGGAACAAAGTATAGAAGTTGAATACCAGCTTCATCAGAGCCGTATCCCTACTAGTGATCAGTATTGAGTCCATAAAGTTGTGTCCGATCAAAACCTACCCTAACAGTGATAAAATAAATGTTGCAGAAATAAAGCACCTAAATAAGTCAGAGAGGGGATAGTCGAAGTGCATTTTTGAACTTACAGCGTACATGCCAATACCTGTGGAACACTCGCAGTAGAATAGGAGACCAATATCTCGATTTGAGATCAGCTCCCAAGGAATCATCGCCCGCTGCCACGGCAGCTTCTCTGCCATGGTGTTTCCAGGGGCGAGTAGGTACTCCCAGTAACAGAAAAAACCAGCACAAACAACTCCAAGCACCAGGGGAACGATAACAGCAGGTGATGACCAAGGATACGTCGCACCACCCCATGTCAACGCTAGGATGATAAGGCCAAAGCCAAGGACAAAAAGGAGCTGACCGCCAACATCAACGGTTTTGAGCCTGGCGAGGAATTTGGTTCTTCTTTCACTTGCAACTGTTTCGTTGAGCTCGGGAATGGGCTGTGGGCCGAGAAGTTCCTTGCGTAATATGAAGAAGATCAGAATCAGAGCAACGACACCAATAGGAAGGTTAATTCCAAAGCACCATCTCCAGTCAGCTCTCGTCAAATATCCTAGTAATTCGTTTCAGCAGTGTCCATTCCTCTCTTGCCACTTGAGGTTTAACTTACCACCGATGACTGGACCAATTCCATAGGAGATGCCACCAACGAATGAGAATATGGCCCAATTCTTCGCGTTCTCTTGCAATGATACCTTATCGGCAAGAATGGTTCGAACAACGACATTGAGGCCAGCTGCTGCAAGTCCTTGAAATCCGCGGCCGAGAAGGAGAACCGGGAAGGCAGTAGTAGGAGCTCCAGTACATAAAGCACTGCCAATGAGCATGATAATAACTGCAGCATTCAGTGAGACGTTGCGGCCAAAAACATCGGCCATCTGAGCCCAGAAAGGAATAAATGCTGCGGATGTGAGGTTGAAGGCAGACACGATCCAGTTGAGTTGCGATATCTCTCCAAAATCACTCGCAATCCAAGGAAGAGCACTCGCGATACTGTTGGATGAATATGATTAGCTGCTGATACAGAAAGTATGGATTTTGTTCATACATTGTTGAGTCAAGAGCTTGTAGGGCAAAAGGTGCCACAAGACCGAAGATGATCTTCCATCGATACACTCTAGCAGCCTTCTTCTCCGATGAACATGCGGTGCACTTTCCCGCTGAAGATTCATAAGTGTTCGTATGCCGACATTGCTGTTTTTGTTGCGGTTCTTGCTTCTGGATATTAGGTCTTGTCTCTTGCATTTCCATAGGCGTTGAGCCTGATTTCGTTCTGTTGCGTTCTTGGTTGGCCTTGATGGCCTTTCGGACTAGGCTGATCATTATGTTGTAAGAAAGGGACACTGGACAAGGCGAATCGGTATTGCCCAAGTACTGAGATGATCGCGTGCGAGGTAGACTCGGAATGTGCGAGAACAAGGAACTGTGGGTTAGATACTGGACTTAACATCAGAGCCAGGCCAGAGTATATTTATCTATCTTGGAGATCAACTGAACCCCTTCTAACAGTCTCCACGTCTAACTTTCTGGCTCCCTCCTATTGCGACATCTCGTATATATCCTTCATGAAAGCGACGCAAAGCGAGGAGCCCAGCCTTCAGATGCGAAGACTCGAATGGGATTTCCAAATGAAGACATGAAACAAAGCGCGAGGACCAACAAAGGCTCCATTTTATCTCAAAGCGGTCACATTGTTTGCCCGCGACCTGGACAACTATCTACATGCGAGGTTATAGAGGCAGTGTTTTGGGTGGGAACTTGAAGGCTCGAATGGCATTCTAGAAGAGGTATAGCGCTGATGAGCTCGAATGGTATCCCAAAAGAGGTTAGTGTGGTCTTCCTGACACCGGAAATAACCCCAGTTCAACAATTAACATTGCGTATGTACGCTGGGCACACGGTACCTTCCAAACGAGAGAGCTACATGGCGCATTTGATCAGGCGAAGGGGATTTTTCGAATGGTAAGGTACGGAGAAGGCCGCATTCACAATAGAGCTGCAAGCGATTGGATTAAAATGCGCATGGCTATTTATACCCTCGTATGAGTATATTTAATTTTGCATAGTGCAGTGTAATGCGGTAGAAGTGTGTATAGTTTGTTCTTTTGATATTGAAGGAGGAAGAAATGCATCCGTGGGTAATAAACTGGTTTTAGAATGTCCTGCCGAACCTTTAACCATGTCTCCGGCCGTGACGGGGCCGAAGCGGGGACGTTGACCCGAGTGCGGATCCGTTAAGAACACACGGATGGTCATTCATCGGGGGCAGGAACGGTAGGGCACCGCATGACGTTGATGTAAATACCAACCAGCATCTTCCTTCCTTCCTTTCATGAGCATGATCACTGTGAAGTTTTCATGGCAAGTGGCCGCAATATCAAATTGGGAAAGAGAAGAGACGTAAACTATTTAAACTTGGAAGCCATCACTCTGTTGATGTTCTTTATCTATGAGGCAAGAGTAAGGCAATACAGGGAACAAGCGAAGGTGGCAGGTACGGCTCACGGCAAGACGAACTTGACAAGGTTACCCCACGAGATCCCCCCGTCCTTCCTCTCTTTATCTGCATCAAACACCATTAATCAACATCGACTGCAACTCTTTTGAAGCAATGAAGTCCTTACCAAAACGCCAATTAGCCACCCTTTGAGACTTATTAGCCACTCGCACACGTTCGTTGAAGGTTTGGCTGCGGCAACTCCCCATCCCATCCCGCATTTGATTGTGCTGCGCCCCACTGCGGGAAGTTGGAACCACAGTTTCGGGGCATGGATGCTATGACGAAATAAGCTTTATTATTATCCACGGCCTTCATCGTCCCTTGGACCGAAACCGAAACAGTTCTGACTGTTGCCCATCGATATACCCGCTGTAGAGTTGTGGTATAGAATCCGTTTCTTAACTGCAAAGGCCACCAACAGCCGGCTCCGTTAGCCCTCGGGAATGTCAAGAAAGACAGACCGGAGAATTACCCATTTGGCTTTCGGCTCAATCGCAGTATAGCCAGTCTGTCGGTTGCCTGTGGCATGTGTTCTGTCGCCGCACACCTACCAGAGAGCATCATGACCTGTTTTGGGCATATGTCTTATCCTCACTCAGTTTTCAATACCCGTGCTATTCTGTCATGGCACTGATACCGAGATGTCTGGAGAAATACTGTTTTTAGCTTCGAAAAGCTCTAACTCTATCTACATTTTTGCTTCTTAGGAAATGCGATTCATCTTCAACTGCTCAAGCAAAGACGATGCACGTATTCATATGGTTAACTATCGTCAGCCCAGACCTATGAGTGTGGCACATGATGCTGGGGGTTCGCTCCCTCCGCGTGTCGCCCACTTGGGGTCACCCATGATTGTGAGCCATGATGTACCACAAACCCTCAGTTTAAAACGGCACATGGAAATTTACCAGGCCATTGGACTGCATTATTTGTCTCATCTCTTCGAACTCCGAAGGCGCGTACATAAATCAAGAAAGATATTCAGCTACCAGACAGTGGGACCACGTGAAGGCCTTCGACCGAGCCATTTCCCCTCATCATAATAGCAAAACCTTGGGGTTTGGGGTTTACATTCAAGCCCTCCTCTTGCGCATCGAGTGTTCTTCACAACAACGTATGTGGGAATCACTGGAAATTCGCAGTATTCAACCAGTCAAAAGCAGTCTATTTACCTCCAACTGCCGTCAATAGTGGATCCTCTTCGCCTTAGTCTTAAGCAGATCCATCAACTTTATTCGTCGTCAAAGCTGATGAACTGTGTCCGGCATCTCATCCTTAACATCCTGTCGTCCGAGTTTCCAGCCTTATCGCTTTCTTGCTCGGAAAGCGTCCGTAACGGCAAAACACTCGCCTAAGCCGGACAAGTCTTTGTGGCGAACCGTTTGTGCGTCTAGTCTACTACTGTACGTAGCTAGGCACTCCACGTTTCTCGCTTCTGCATGCCACTCGGTTGTCCTTTAAAGATACGTTACTGGATAGATAGTCTCGCTTTCTTCACCCCCGGATTTATAACCACTCCAACTCGGCCTTCAAATCTGGCCTCAATTTCGTTCTTGCCGGCTCACTTTACTCGGGGATTTCTCGCTTTCTTGTATTAGACTACGTATCGTATTCTCGGTAAGTTCCTGCCCCTGTACCGGCTTCTTCGACGTTCCCCGAACCCATGTTCCGGTACTGTTAGACGCTTCTTGCTATCGGGTCTGCGGAGGAGCTTCAATATAGCCATATTCTATCCTAGCCCTTCTGTCCTATCATAGCCGTCGGCTTTTCCCACACCCCAAAAGCTTTCCCTTATGCTCGGCTACCCCAATCAACCACACAAGAGGGTGAAGTGCCATGAGGTGCATGTGGTGCGTGGAGGGTCCACTTGACTTTTGTCTAAGTCAGCCAGGTCACAGTCCTCTGCTTATATCAGAGCCATATGTCCTCTCAAGCTTCAAGGTCTTGGCTTCTGATGTTCCTCACTTATCCCCTGTCGTTCAAAAAGCACTTTGTGTAATGCTAGACTACTTTCTCGAACAAGATTGCCATTACTTCTACCGAACCGCTCTCCGCGGACTCAACGTTAGCACAAGCGTGTCACCCATCTACGCCTGAAATTTCGTTCTCATCACCTCCTACTAACACAATGACTGAAGTCCGCACCTTCACCCCTCCTCAACCTCTTGGAGAAAGGCTTTCTGACCCATCTCCTACCCCAACGCCTGTTGGAAGTGCCGTCCCTCGGTCTCTTCCTGAGATTCCCGAACTTGCCCAACCGCGGCGCAACTCTCCTCCCAGGCTGAGCGGCGACTATACTCGCGTTCCAATGGCGACTTATAAAGACTCAAAGAGCAACGGTGGTATCACATTCTCTAGCCAGGACAAACTACCAAAGCTCCCGATTCCAGAGCTGGAGGCCAGTTGCAAGAGATACCTGGAAGCTCTTAAGCCTTTACAGTCAGCCCGAGAGCACGCAGAAACACAGCATGCCGTGAATGAATTTCTTAAGAGTGACGGCCCTGAGCTGCAAGAGAAGCTCAAGACGTACGCCCAGGGAAAGACAAGTTATATCGAACAGTTCTGTACGCAACAAGATCACTCTTGGCTTCCACAGCAACGTGCTAACTTCCCTAGGGTATGACTCTTATCTCAACTTTGATAATCCCGTTGTACTCAACCTGAACCCTTTCTTCCTTCTTGAAGATGATCCAACTCCCGCTCGAAATGACCAGGTAACCCGTGCCGCCTCCTTGGTCGCCTCATCACTCGAGTTTGTACGGGCTGTACGAAAAGAGGAACTTGCTCCGGATAAGGTAAAGGGTACCCCCCTCTGCATGTACCAATTCTCGAGACTCTTCGGCACTGCTCGAGTTCCCACAGAAGAAGGATGTCAAATCGAACAAGACCCCGAATCAAAGCACATTGTTGTTATGTGCCATGGACAGTTCTACTGGTTCGATGTACTAGACGACAACTCAGACGTTATCATGAGCGAGAAGGATATAACCATCAACCTGCAGACCATTGTTGACGATGCGACCCAAATTCCTATTCAAGATGCTGCAAAGGGTGCCTTGGGAGTCCTGAGTACCGAAAACCGTAAGGTATGGTCAGGCCTCCGAGATGTCCTGACCAGTGAGCCAGGCTCCAACAATGCGGATTCTCTCGGTATTGTAGACACTGCTCTTTTCGTCCTTTGCTTAGACTACGCGGAGCCTGCAGACGCTGCCGCCCTCTGCCAAAACATGCTTTGCGGTACCAGCGAAATCGAGAAGGGTGTTCAAATCGGCACATGTACCAACCGATGGTACGACAAGCTTCAGATCATTGTTTGTAAGAATGGAAGTGCTGGGATCAACTTTGAACACACCGGCGTCGACGGCCACACAGTACTGCGGTTTGCCAGTGATGTTTACACTGACACTATTCTTCGATTCGCCCGCACGATTAACGGTCTGGCCCCTTCACTCTGGGCCTCTACAAGTCCTGACCCTTCCAAACGCGACCCCGAGAGCTTCGGAGATGTCAGTGTCACCCCTAGAAAGCTGGAATGGGATATGATCCCTGAGCTCAGTGTCGCTGTTCGCTTTGCTGAGACCCGGTTGGCCGACCTGATTGAGCAGAATGAGTTTCAGACATTGGACTTTGGCCATTATGGCAAAAACTTCATCACTTCCATGGGCTTCTCTCCCGATGCCTTCGTCCAAATGGCTTTCCAGGCCGCTTACTACGGCCTCTATGGCCGCGTTGAGTGTACCTATGAGCCCGCCATGACCAAGATGTTCTTGCACGGTCGAACCGAAGCGATCAGGACCGTTTCACCCGAAGTGGTTGATTTTGTTCAGACCTTCTGGGCTGAAAACCCTGCCGAAGCTAAGATCGAAGCCCTCAGGAAGGCCTGTCAGAAACATACCGCAAACACCCGACAATGCTCCAAGGCCGAGGGCTGTGACCGACATCTTTACGCCTTGTTTTCTGTCTGGCAAAGGAGCTTGGATGATGACCTTGATAGCGGATTCAACAGCAATGGCTACTCTAGCCATGAGGAGGGATACTCGGATCACGGTGAATCGCCTGTTGGCAGCCCTGCCAGCGATGGTGTCGAGGTGAGACCTACGCGAGACCGTGGCTACAGCGTCAATTCTCGATCGCGGGATCAGAAGCCTATGCCTAATATATTCGCGGATGGTGGATGGGACAAACTCAACAATACTATCCTTTCGACTTCCAACTGCGGTAACCCTGCTCTTCGCCAGTTCGGATTCGGCCCTACTTCAGGAGATGGTTTTGGCATCGGATACATCATCAAGGATGATGGACTCGCTATTTGCGTTTCCAGTAAGCACCGCCAAACAAAGCGCTTCGTTGATACTTTCGAGAGCTATCTGCTCGAGATCCGCCGTATTCTGCGCGTTGGCAATCGCAAGATGTCTACAACCAAGACAAGCCGTGCGCGTGAGATTGAGATAGAACGACCCAAGCTCGCCAGTCGAATCAAGTCGCGAGGACGTCCCATCACTGCCGCTGAAAGCATGCGATCTCTCACGGGCACAACGTCGCCCACTAATGAAAGCAGCACCTTGAGTGAAGATGATGAAATGGGTGGATGTGAGTTCCTTCTCTTGGCAGTATCTTGAAACAGACTTACTAACCTGGGTTTTTCTAGATGGCTTCTTCGACGCAGGCATGCTTTTGCAAGCTCTCAAGGCTCGCAGCGAACAGTTCGAGACCGCCGAGACACGCGCTTCAGAGAGAGCCGCCGCCGCACAAGCTCGTCGTCGCGACATTGGAAAGAAGTTGAGATTGAGCGATTATTGAGTGCTCTTCAAACACATGTCGTTGCATAGCGTGGCCAAGGGTTTTGCATGGAGTTAATGGGCTCATATTCTTTATCAGGATACTGCAAGCATTGAAGATAGTGAATTTACGATTGTTTTAATGGTTTAATAAAACTTGCCAGCGACCTTTAAGTGCAGACTGTATTGCACCCTGTAGCCCACATATATCACAGGTTAGAGGCAATATGAGTAAAAGCAAACCCGGGATTCAAAGATCTAGTCTAGCTACAGGCAAAGATTTCTTCCTGTCCTACGCCAGTGGACTGGCACGGCATTAATCTTCCAAACCCCGAGCACGAAGCAATAAATCAGCCTTCCCCAAAATAATACAACCCAAACATGAATCGTCTCTGAGTCGAATCGCAAGCTAGTAAAATAAAATAAAAAAAGGCCGGAGGAATCGGATCGTCTATGGTGATGTCTGATGACTGATCGTGGTGATTCAAATACATGTACACCCCCCAATCGTGATAACCGTACCCTCGTATGCGTCTTTGAAGTACGCAGAGCAGAGGCCCCAAAAACCAGCGGCTGTGACCCTGTAGCGCCCTTATGATAATGTACACACGACTGCCGCCGTGCCAGTCGATTGCAACGCGCCCGCACCCTTGCCCTTCTTTGGTTATGGTTCTGAGCCGTAGTGAGACAGATCAAAGGAAAATCGTGAATCATGGCGGTGACATTGCAGTACCTCCGCAGGCCATAATGGACGTCATCGTACAAAGGGTATTTTGTTTAAACCCACTCAGGCTCCCCAGACTTGTTCGCGCCGGCATTGTTATTGCCATTGGCTGGGTTACCGCCAACATGACCAGTAGGGTTGCTGTTAGCGAAGCCTCCACCGGGAGCAGTGTTGGAGGTGCCATTAGGGGAAGGGTTGGGAATAAAGTTGCCAGGAGTCATCTGCCCGTACTGAGGCTGCTGAACAGGGCCGCCGGTAGCAGAGAGCTGCCCATTCATGACTGAGTTAGCAGGGTAGACAGGCATGTTCTGACGCATAGCTGGCATGGGCCCGTTGTGAGGAATTCCATTGCTCTGCATCATGGGTCCACTTCCAGATAGAGCTCGAGCGTGAGCAGCGCGCAGAGGAATTTGCCCTTGGGTGTTGTCGGCTGGTGTCACTTGGCCGCTAGAAGCAGCGCTGCCACGGTTGTCGAAGGATGAGATCTTAGCTTGAATGCGACGACCATAAGGAGTGGTTCTGATCTGGGGCAGGATCGGGCGAATGGCTTCCACAAGACGGTACTTGTAATGAGGGGTGGCATACTCCAGAGCGGTCTGGATGACATAGTTGGCAAAGGAGTCGCGAAGCAGACGCTCCATCTCTTGTTTGTGAAGCAGTTCGTCAACGATCAAATCCTTGGAAGGAGGCTGGGCGCAGCGCAGACATTTCTCGATAACGTTGGAGCTGAACTTGTGACTGGACAATTTGGCGATGCAACCCTTGAAGGTAAGAACGATTGGCTCGGTAAAGAGAGGCTCATTTAGGTCGATGATGTACTGGACAACGTAGTTGCCGAAGGGGTCTTGGACAAGGATTCGTGCATGCTTAGTGATCTGCGCAATAAGCCAGATCTTCTGATCACCAGATGCGTGATCAATGCAGCGCTGAAGAACACAACAGCCGTGTCGATGAGTGCCAACCTCAATACAGTTCTGGCCAACAGCGTCGAAGATGAACTGAGCATCGGGGGGAGTAAGCTTGTTGAGGCACTTCTGAATGACATGGTTGCCATTGAGATCCTGGATCAGCTCAACAACTTCATTACGAAGTGCCTCGATGATGAGATGAACTTGCGGGGGGGTGCTCACGAACTCAATCATCTTCTGAAGCGCGCGTGTGCCGTGCTGGTTGAGCGCAATGCGAACCATGTCCTTGGAAGCGTTCTCAATCAAAGTAGTCCTCTCATCGTCATTGCAAAACTCGAGGAGCTTTTGGCACAAATAATTACCAAACGGGTCCGTCATGAGCTCAATGACGTGCTTGTTGGTTTCGTCCCATATCATGTGAACCTGCTCGGCGTTGCGTTCTTCAAGCTTCTTCTGGAGGTAACGGCAGCCATGCTGGTCCTTGCAAAGATCATAGATTGTGCCCACGAAGGAATCAAGGGGCATGTTCTGGTAGCGAGACATGGCTGTTGAATTAGGTTAGTCTTTATCCATACACCGCTGCTTTTGGGAATGAACTTACCTTCGTTGTCAAGCTGTCGGCGATGCTGCATAACGCGTGCTTGACTGTCGCGGGGCTGGTTGCCCTGGTTGTAAGGACCAGTGTTGTACCCGTTGTAGTTTTGAGGCTGCTGATACATGTTGCTACCGTTCATACCATTCATGTTCATCTGCTGCATGCTGTTCGCAAGCATGTTGGCGTTGTAGCCACCGGGTTGATGGGTGGCACCCTGGGGAACGGCGCCCTGAGGAGCACCGTGAGGGGCGCTGTAGCTATTGCCAGGGTAAAACCCGTTGTTGTTAAAGTTGTTGCCCGCGACATAGGCGCCAGCTGAGGTATTGGCCATGGAGGAAGGAGGCACAGGAGCTGTGCTGCTCGGGCCGAAGGGGGCAGCACTGGCCTGCAGAGCAGACTGAATGGAGGGATAGTTGGGCTGTTCTCGGCTCACCGCAGCGTTGTCCGAGGAAAGCTCGCGGCTGTGTCCACGATGGATTGCACCAGCAGGAATACGTCCAAGACTTGCATTGTGATTGTGGAAATGCTGCTGGGCGTGACTGTTGGCTTTGGAAGATGAGCCTCCTGGGCTCTTGACGGTGGGGATGTCGTTGGATGAAAATGAGCTCTGCAGCTTGGGAGGGGTCATGTTGGGGTTTCCGTTAGCAGACATGATGTGACCGTTCTCAATGGCGTTCTCGGAGATGTACTTGAGGTCGATGGAGTGACGGAGGGAAGCAGGTCGAGAGGCAAGGCCCACTAGATCGCTTACGATGTTGGAGGTTCCGTTGATGGAAGAAAGGCTCTGCTGGGGGCGATGACGGTTAACAACACGGCTCCAGCTTCTCGATGATGATGGCGTTTCGGGATTGGGAGACGGGGAAAGAGCAAGATCTAGGGCGGCCGAGGACGCTGAGAGCTGAGGGCAATGTTGGGTCAGATATGAAGCAACAATAGTGCAACAATAGGATTCAGGGTGGGGCGCTCAAATAGACGACCAAAAGCTCAAGATCCAACTGGCGAAGGCGAACAATGGGGCTGTATAGAAAAGAACAAAGTCCGTGTGTGAAGATGGAGAAGAATGAATAGTGCAGCGAAGGTGAAAGTCAAGAGGCAATAGGCACGTGGTGGAAGGGAGAGTTCGAGGTGAAGGTGCACCTCCGGGGAAAATGTGGAGCGCAGTTGCGAGTCTTGATGTTAGAGAAGGTGTATATCGCCCAAAGCTGGCCTCACCAGAAGGCATCCACAAAACCAACCAATTCAGAGTACCAGGTGAAAACAGGATAGCTGGCATAGACAAGACGAAATATCAACTTACGATTTGATCATCACGACGAACAAGAGTCGGGAAGTTTTCGTCAGAAATCCCGTGCCCCATTGCATTTGACTCCTCATCGCCAAAGAGGAAACGAGTGGTGTTCGTCTGGTCGAGACCCACGTCGTACATGCCAGTACGCGAACGAGTCACTGGCATAGAGTATCGGTTGATGCTGCCATCGGAAGACATGTTAGCTTTGCTTGAGGTTTCTGGAAGGTCACTTGGTGATTGCTTTGTTCGAGTTGGTCGTTTGAGGAAGTTTAACACTGTAGTACAGCAACCGAGATAGGATTAAGTTCAACAACGAAGCCACTTCGGTCTTATGGTAAAGCTTCCGAAATTTGCAGAGGGCAATGTGTATGTAACAATGGAAGAGTGGTGAATTGAAGGGCTCTGATGTGATTTCGTAGCAAGGTGTTGTGATGTGTTGTGAAAGCAGAGCTGGTTGCAAAATCAAGCGAGGGCTAAGTTGAAGGATTTTATATCTCAATAACTGGTGACTCGAAGTGAATCACGGCCTTTGCGATGCCTCCCTACAGCTTCCCCACTAGAAGAAGCCTAGAGACTCCATGGTGTTTTGCCCAGGGTTATTTTGGAGCCAGTCTGCTCACTACAATGATATCAAATCTATTGTAGGTAGCGGAAGCGTATGCCAAACACTCAGAGCCTCGTCTCCATTCGATTTGACCCTTCAGCTTGAGCTTTGCAACCAGGCTCCTTTGAGCTACAAGAACTTTCAAGAGCTTCCAAGGCTTCAAGAGCAACTCCCACTTGGAAAGCTGCTTGTTTGCCAAATATGTTCACGCGCGACAAACATCTCTTAACTTACGCATTGCCCGAACGATGGCTGCTAGGATCCTGTCGAACAGCCTCCTCCTTCTCATCGTCGCTATTCCGGCGCGTAGTCGGGACAGAACGGGAAGGCATCTGGGTTGTGGTGTCGTCGAAGCCGTAGCGTGCTTGCCTAATACCAGATTGGGGGGAAGCGAGCTGAGAGCCGGATCGGACTTGGCGGTTGAAGAAACCTGGAGGGGAGGTCAGGCTAGACATGGAATACCGACTCGGTCTCGATAAAAACGTGGGAAATCCAGAGTTGTCTCGGTATTCGGGAGGTGTGGTGGGCTCGGACTGGTGGCCAGCAATTCGGCCAGCTTCCTCCTCCATTTGAGCAAGTTCCAAAGCTTCCCGTCTTTGTTGCTGATCTAACTTTTGCATCTCAAGCTCAAAACGCCGCCTTTGTTCCCGAATTCGCTCGTACTCCATCTTCTTCTTCTCGATTTGAGTCTACCATCGGTTAACAAATGGGCCTTATTTTTCCTTGTAAATCGCGTCGCCTCAGAGCTGAGGGGGCCGAGGGCGAAGCTGGCGAAAAACGGCTCTTGCGGACGTACCAATTGCGCTTTATGCACTGTCTGCGCCACATGTATTAGCATATGTTGCTATTGCAAAGTCGACAAGAGAAATATCTGGGCATCAAGCCAAGTTTCCGAAAGCCTCATGGACACAAAACAAACAGCAGAACCGAAATATGTTGATTGCTCACATTATAATCCTGAGGAGCTTCTTGTCCTCGCTGAGCCCCCAGTGAGTTTAACGTCGGGACTCGCCCAGAATCGGTCGTAAAGCGACGAGGAAGGCCAGATCGATGGTCGTGAGCACCGGTGTGAGGGTTGACCTGCGAACCAGGCATTCTGGAGGTGTTGCGAGGAGGTGAGACAAACGAATGCATGGCCGGGTCGTTGCCCCGCGGGGACTGCTGGGAGCGAAAGTCCATGGCGGGCTAATAGATACAAGATAGTACACGCCGAATTGGCAAGCGGTCTCAGCCTATAACTCTAAAGACATGAGAAGAGACAGTCAAGTATCAGTAAATGCGCCTGTATAAGATGTAAGAGGGAAGCAAAAAGAGACGATGGCGACGGAACGTTGTTGAGAGGCGGGGTGGACGTGGTCAGTGTGGGTATGGATGGCCCTGGGATTGGGGGATGTCCCTTGGACGGAGCTACTTCAGGTAAACCAGGGGGGGTTCGCGGGCGCTGGGCTTGGTACCTCAGACTAGAACTGAAGTAGTCGTCCTGTTGATTTGGGTTGAGGCGGGTGATCATGGGCAGCGGGCACTTGTATCCAAACTGTATCCTGAACACGGGATGGTATTTCAGGATAGAGATAGGATGACTGGAGAGAACATGGATTTGGAGGGATGACGAAGCTTCAAGCCACGGAATAGAGCTTGAGGATTGAGTTGCCGGGCCTAGAAACGTGCAAGTATAACAAGACACAAAGGGGAGATGGTTGTGAAATCAAAGCAAGGGGAGAAAGGCGTCCGTCAACCCCAAACTCTGTCTCTGTCTTGTCTGTTTGCTCTGTCTGTCTGTCTGTCTGTCTGTCCTCTATCTTACGAACCAGCAACTGTATCCATCGTAAGGGTAACAGGCGGGCTCGTTCGTTTGGCCATCCTGTCGGAAATAAGGGAGCATGGGCGTGCGATATATACCCAGTAGGCGTGCCGTGCCGCGATGTGAATGGATGTCGGGCTGCTATGGTATGGTCGGATACTGCACTATCGCCGTCGGTGGATGGTTTGTGGTGGGATTCGGGGTCGGGTGCGTATTTTGTGTTCGCCGCACTATACTATCCTTGGCTGAAGACAAGACGACAGACCCGACAGGGCAAGACAAGACAAGACAAGACAGATTGGTAATATTGATAGTATATAAGGGCTTAAGATTGCCTTTGTCTTGTGTGGAGGGAGAAACAGCTATTCCCTTCCCTCTATGCCTTGACGGCCAGAGAGGATAGAGATGGAAGCTCTGGACAAAAAAGATGAACCAACCTGGATTTGAAATAGCACTCGATGCGACGAAGGCAGACAATAATACAATGAGGTATACTAGACACTTGGCACGTGTCTTGAGGATGATACAATGGTTTACACGCTTTCTCTTTCACAGCGCGCCCTGGACAGCCAGGAGCGACAAGCTGGTCTGGAGGAACAATGAGGGTGATTGATAGTAGAGGTAAGGTAAGGCAAGGTAAGGTTTAGGAGGGAAGAAGAAAAAAGCGTCCCGTCCAGTCGACGATAGGACCTAAAAGAATGGGAGCCAGACCTGCTACGTAGCGCGGGTGTTTGGCGCTCGGCTTTGGAGCGTCAGACGTGGGGAGCTGCGCGTGTGTTTGTGGACACAAGACAGGGCCCTAGCAGACAGCTCACAGCAATGGCGAGGCCTTGAGATGCAGGGTTTGGTTACAGGTCAAGGATGAGCCCCCCAGAAACGGCAGAGGACAGAACCGTAAGCTGCAGGGGTGGGATAAGCTTTCTATTCTTTGAGAAAACAAATGAATGGAATGGATATGTTACTAAACCTCTCACTCAAGCCATATGATGGACATCGCGGGAGTTTGTTTTTGTTTTGTCAGGCTCTTACCATCACCAGGCCTCAGAGCCCGGGCTATGTCCAGTCAGTCCGAGGCGGTCTCATTCATAATAGAAGCTCTGCCCACTGATTCATAACCACACGCAGGTCTCGGCTTTTCCTGCGTCCTCGATACCATTGTCTCACTGCACGTCTTTCGATCATCAGCGCCCGAGAAAACCACTAACAAGAACCCATCAGTGGAACCCAAGTCAGGCACCATGGAAAGCAACTTCAGGGGACGGGATAGAAGGATGGATACGATGCCCACTTGGCTCAACGGCTAGGCACATCAACTAACAACCATGAAACGTAATTGGCCTCGAGGCTTTGTTCCAGAAACACTTGAATGGACAGTTTTGCTTCGTCATAAGGTTGTAAGCCCTCCATACGAAAACCGCGGCCAATTCGGGGGCTTGTTGTTTTGGTCCTCCTCGGGGTCTTTACGTCCGAATCCACACAATACCGTTCGAGGTGGCAGGATGTGTAGGACATGGGCTAAGGCCTACCGTGGACTGGACCATCATGTAAGGTTGGTCTCTGGGAGCCTTTTGACTCATTTCGTGTGTCTGCGCAGGACAAATACTGGCAACATGTCGACTGTTGAGGTAAAACCAAGTTGCGCTGATTTATACACGACGAACATCCAGACTGGGCTATGACGACCGTGGATCGAATCGTGCATCAAATGGAGGGTTGCAAGGATTGCGCATCATGGCTTGTCAAGGTCCCTGGTAATAGCCTGGCAGCGGCACAGTAGCTTAGTGCTATTGCAGCACAAAGGCCGAGCATTCTGAAGAACCTCCACTTCGTGGCTTGTGATGACTTCCTCTCGAACCGTGAGACTTGACTAGTTTGGCCATGCCGGAGTTTTTATCCCTCCTGACCTGTATAGATGTTGCACTAGGCGATAACTCGCCGATATTCCAAGCTAAGAATGAGTTGCAAGCTGTGGGACATGCATGGATGGATGTGCACGGTAGGAAGATGAGATACTTGCACCTGCGATTGGATCCAGCATTTCATCTTCTCCTCCCACAACAGGAAACTCCAAGTCGTCGCGCCTACCAAGAACTGAAACAATCTGCAATAGCCTGTTAATAGTAATTTCCTTTCCCTCGGATACCTAAACCACCACTAATTGCATCTCCCAACCTCTTCTCATATGCACATGAAAGTTTCACAGGGCATCAATCTCACTCAATATGGTATACCGCGAGATTCTCTTACACACAGCCCGAGGCCTTATTCTGCCACCACGACTTCCCTATCAGCCTATGTTGTTACGCGGGGGAGATGGCGAGATCCTCAGCCAACGCTTTTGAGTGCCCGAATCACACCCCGATCATAGCCCCTCTTCCTAGCGACGTACGTGGGAGCAATTGATATCTTGAACCCCACGGTCTTCCAAAGGCACGCAAGACGTGGACCAAGCGTACATCCCCGTCTCTCCGATATGCGCCGCCGATTGGTTGGTGCTGTCATTCTTCCTGCACGTCACCCAAAAACCCATATTGAAGTGCAGAAGCCAAACTAACATGCCCCCAGATTGCCCTTGATGCATTGATCAGGAACGCTCAGCTTGCTCAAGCTGACAGTTTCATTCCGTCGCAGACAAGTTGGGCCTCATCTCATTAACACTTCGTTTTCTACAGTAATTATGCTACCGCCAGCATCCGCCACAAACAGCTGACACATGACTATCCATAGCCTATCTTGTTCACCGCTTCCACAAATCCTCCGCGCGGCGCTTCGTGGGCTCAAGCTCGCTCCTTCGAATCACATTGCTGAGGAACAATTTTGCGGTAGCTGATCACGAGATCCAAATTTGATGGATCCATGCGTCTCGGGCGAGTTTGCATCTTTGCTTGATGGAGTCTGACCAGGAACCGATCTTTGAACGGCCGTAGCCTGGTCCGTGTTACGCCTGGCGTCATTCTTCCCTTCCCTTCGACTCTTGCGGGACTCGTAGTAGCTAGCGCGCTTCGAACTGGCCTGTCAGCCAAGTCTGGATAACTACGTAGGACAGACTGTAACACGACAGGAGGATTGGTTCGAACTTTGAAGCCTACCGCTCAGAGGCTAGAGACTCTTAACCTGAACGGCACGAAACCTATATTATACAGCACTGTTGTACATGAAAATATTAGTTTAGCCACCGTCGATGGGTTGTGGTTGCGGTCGTGATGTAATAGCCTTTATCATAAGCCATTCACACGTAAACTATCCGTACTACGGTTTGAGATATTACAACTGTAGGCTAAAGTTGTTACCATCAATAAATTTTGTTGTTAGTTCATCTTTATGACAACGAGCCTATCCCTGCCGCTAAATCCGTCTTCTGCAGCCTGCTTACCGAACTTTCATAACAAGCCTCACATTGTTGGTCGAATCAACATGGCAATACATGTCCTTTACTAACAAATAAGGCATATCAAGATCCACCACTTACTTCCTCTGGCTGGTGCCCGCTCGACTTCCCCCTCACTCTCAAAAGGGCTCAATCCCTTCACCGACTTTTACAACCTGCCGCTACAGGCGACCCATGAAGCTAGTCAGTTTTCCGCCCTGTTACGTCGCAATTCAAAAGTCAGGGTCCGATCAACTCGCGCTATTCATCAGCGCCAAGAACGAGGTCATTGATGCATCCCGCTGTGCCCGCTGTAAATATAATATGGATTCCAATCATGACCTCTCTTATGAGCATTAGTTGTACGATAATAATAGCCATCGACCCTTTTTGTCCTGCACGTCAGTTGATGCCCATAAGGAAACGGGCGGCATCGGATGCATACCTAGGCTTTACTGCCTACCTATACATGCGGGGATGTGACGCAGTTGTGCATATGAATCGATTGTAACACGAGATGTATGGCCATTGAATCCCTGCTGCAAATATCTTGTCTGCGAGTGTAAACATTTATGGGAACTTAGTGTTTTACATGACATAAAATAGTACTTTTGGTTTCTGATGCTTCTTAATCCATTGTTTATTTCTGAACAGTTTCGTATTTATCGGTTCAACTATGCTACTGGTTTGCGATAGTTTGATGGCAGTCTCTTACAGAACAACTGAGCGTTATATGCAACTACACAATAACAAATATGTCCGAAGTTTTCTATGGTTTGCTCAATTCGATTTCAAATACGACGGAACTGACGGTATGAAGTTACGCAGTTGACGGTCGAAGGACTTACATGAGTGTTGTATATAATCTCACTTGTACACCCCCATACCTTAATTATACTTTACTAACGTTTAACCGTTATTATTACAGTCAAGGCACTGATCGATCGATTAATAGATACAAATTCGGTGTCTAGTAATCACGAGATAATGTATTATGCTCAGAGTTAGATGGATTTATCAGGCAAATCATGTCACATAGGGTAAGCTGCGGTGATGAGTATTGTCACTCGTGATTGACGCAACAATACTCCGTACTGGTAAAGACACAATGAATCACGTAAAGCGACTCAGAATGTTTCAATTGCTTGATACCAAGAACCAGGGACAGAAAAGTAGTATAAGACCTGTTAGTTGTTGGCTTGGGTGTCGTCGATATGCTTCACGTGACCACTCAGAACGCGCTCGTCCCCCACCGTGGCGCAACCGGGCCGGGACTCCACCTATGACCGCGGGGCAAGAACTTTTTGCGAAGCTATCGCAAGCTGCCGCAGAAAAAAAGTCGTCACCTAGCGCAATACAACACAACTTTATTTCACTGTAGATGTGCGCTCTTAGGTGACCTTCAAAATGCCCACGGTCGACGATGGCTTCGAGGCTCTCCTAGAGCCTTTCTACAATGGAAAGAAGCTCACCGATCCTATTTCCACAAAGGAAGACAAGTTTCAGCTTCTGCCAGCCTTCCTCAAAGTCAAGGGTGAGGATGCCGACCAACCTTGTAGGGCCTTATTGCTAACTTAACTGCAGGTCTTGTTAAGCAGTATGTCTTCAAACACAACGCGCAGAACCTCAAAGTCGTGATTTGCAATTTCTAACTCCGTTTCTAGGCACATTGACTCATACAACTTCTTCGTCGAGCAGGAGATCAAGGATATCGTACGCGCCAACAGAACCATTCGAAGCGAAGTGGACAGCAATTTCTGGCTTGAGTAGGTTTTTGAAGAGTTGCAAAACCTGACTATGCTGACAATTCCCGTCTAGATTCACCGATATTCGAGTAGATCGTCCCAGACGTCAGGATTGGCAAGATGCCAAGTCGCATACCGAAGTCACTCCCATGGAGTGCCGTCTCCGAGACATGACATACGCCGCGCCCATTCTCGTCGATATCCAATACATCAGAGACAAGCAAAGGATTGTACGAAAGAACGTGCCCTTGGGGCGCATGCCAGTCATGCTCAAGAGTTCCAAATGTCGCCTTGCCGGAGCCAACAACACAGAAATGGAGGAGATGAACGAATGTCCGCTTGATCCTGGTGGTTACTTCATTATTGGTGGTACGGAGAAGGTCATTCTCATCCAGGAGCAACTGAGCAAGAACCGTATCATTGTCGAAGCAGACGAGAAGAACAACATTATTTCGGCTTCAGTCACCAGTTCTACACACGAAAGAAAGTCCAAGACCTATGTCACGCTCAAGAAGGACAGGATTCTCCTCACACATAATGTCCTAGTCGAGGGCATTCCTATCGTGATTATCCTCAAAGCTTTGGGTGGATTGTCAGATATGGAAATCATGCAACTTGTTGCGGGATCCGATGGAAGATACCAGGATGAATTTCTGGTAAACTTCGACGAGGCGACCAAGGTTGGTGTTTTCACCCAGCACCAGGCGTTGGAGTATATTGGAACCAGGGTCAAGATGGGTTCTCGCAGAGGTACATTCGGTCCTCAAGTGCGCCGAAACCACGTCGAAGAAGGCCTCGATGCCCTCGCCAATTTAGTGATTGCTCACGTTCCTATTGAGGGTCTGGACTTCTACCCCAAGGCTATCTACGTGGCTATGATGACCCGAAGAGTTCTCATTGCCTCTCATAACCCCAAGCTGGTCGATGATAGAGATTTCGTGGGAAACAAACGACTTGAGCTTGCTGGACAACTTCTCTCACTCCTTTTCGAAGATTTGTTCAAGCAGTTCACATCTGGAGTTAAGATGTCGATTGATAAGTTTTTGAAGAAAAACAACCGCGCAGTTCCCCTCGACGCGGTTCATATGATCAGCAATCACGCCAACAATATCGGATACGGAATCAACCGTGCCATCCAAACAGGAAACTGGACAGTCAAACGTTTCAACATGAACCGTGCTGGAGTTACTCACGTCCTCAGTCGACTCAGTTACATCGCTGCACTTGGTATGATGACCAGAATCAGCAGTCAGTTTGAAAAGACCCGAAAGGTTTCTGGTCCTCGTGCGCTTCAACCGTCGCAGTGGGGTATGCTGTGTACATCAGATACACCTGAAGGTGAAGCCTGTGGTCTGGTGAAGAACTTGGCTCTGATGACACATATTACGACCAACGTTGATGAAGAGCCTGTCAAGCGGTGGATATTCACGCTCGACGCTGGTGTTGAACCTATCCGTAACTTTTCGGGTGCTGAGATGCATCGAGAGGGGAGCTATATCATCCATATAAACGGTACACCATTCGCTCTAACACGGTATCCGAAACGGTTCGCCCAAAAGTTTAGAACCATGCGTCGACGCGGTTGGATCTCTCCATTTGTTGGTATAAACATCAATACTCACTTCAATGCTGTCCACATCGCCACTGATGAAGGAAGAATTTGCCGGCCGTATATCATTGTCAAGAATGGTAAGCAGAAGCTTAAGCCAGAACATCTTCGCCTGCTTCAGATGGGCAAGGCCACATTCGACGATTTCTTGAACCGAGGAATCGTGGAGTACCTTGATGTGAACGAGGAGAACGATGCACTCATCACTATCTACGAGCACCAAGTGACACAGAGTACCACTCATTTGGAAATCGAGCCGTTTACTGTCTTGGGAGCTGTTGCAGGATTAATTCCCTTCCCTCACCACAACCAATCTCCCCGTAACACTTACCAATGCGCTATGGGTAAACAAGCCATTGGTGCAATCGCTTACAACCAGTTTAACCGTATCGACACCCTTCTATATACCCTTGTCTACCCCCAAAAGCCTATGGTTATCTCCAAGACCATTCAACTCATTGGTTACGACAAACTCCCTGCGGGTCAGAACGCCACCGTCGTTGTCATGTCGTTTTCAGGATACGATATCGAAGATGCTCTGGTTCTGAACAAAGCATCAGTCGACAGAGGATTTGGTCGATGTCAAGTCTTCAGAAAATACACGACAGAATTACAAAAGTATCCCAACGGACGCAGGGAGCGTATTGGAGACCCCGAGAACGAAGGCGAAGGCAAGGTCAAGCACCGCATTGCGAAACACGAGGCGCTGGATGACGACGGTCTGGCAATCGTTGGATATAAGGTCAACAACGGTGAGGCCATGGTCAAGAAAGAGACACCACTTGACCAAACCAGCACTGGCATTGGACTGGACCGTGGCCCTGGCGAATTCCGCGACTCATCGGTTTCCTACCGAATCGCTGATCCGGCATATATCGACAAGGTGATGATTTCCCAGACAGAAAAGGACACAACAGTTATCAAAGTCCAGACTAGACAGACTCGACGCCCCGAACTGGGTGACAAGTTCTCGTCTCGTCACGGTCAGAAGGGTGTTGTTGGTATCATCGTGGATCAAGAGGACTTGCCCTTCTCTGACAGCGGACTGAGCCCTGACATTATCATGAACCCCCACGGTTTCCCCTCGCGAATGACGGTCGGTAAGCTTCTCGAGTGCTTGACAGGCAAGGCTTCCATTGTGCACGGCCGCCCTGACTACGGTTTCGGTGATGCTTTCCGCTCTCACCCACTGGAGGAAATGAGTCAAGTGCTTGTTGACCATGGATTCTCATGGGAGGGCAAGGACTACTTCACATCGGGCATTACTGGAGAACCCCTGGAGGCCTACGTCTTCAACGGACCCATCTACTACCAACGCCTTAAGCACATGGTGCAAGACAAGATGCACTCTCGATCTCGTGGTCCCCGAGCAATTCTGACTCGTCAACCCACAGAAGGTCGTTCCAGAGATGGTGGTCTGCGTCTGGGAGAAATGGAGCGTGATTGTCTGATCGCTTACGGTGCCTCCCAGCTTCTGCTGGAGCGTCTCATGATTAGCTCTGACGGCACCGAGATTGACATTTGCCAGCAGTGTGGTCTGTTTGGATACAAGGGTTACTGTCACACATGCAAGAGTACCAGGGAGGTTACCAAGATGACGATGCCGTATGCAGCAAAGCTGCTGGTGCAGGAACTTATCAGTATGAACGTTGGAGTACGACTCCAGATGGATGATGAATTTCCCCACCCCCGGTAGTGGGATTGCACGATGTAGATATGCATGACAATGGAGTTTTGGAATTTGTACACCTTACATAGCACGGTTATTTTATGAGGTAGTTGGGTATTATTATGTTTGTTTTGACATACGCATCTATGTGTTCTACAGTAAAAGTCCTAACCAGCAATGACTTGTAGTACAATTATGACAACATGAGACTTCGTCGTTGAACAGGCTCTCCTCCCAAAACTGTTATTGGCGTTTTACTTTCTGAATCTTGATGGTCTTCAGCCCTCCCATTGTAACCTCAAACTCAACCGCCCCGTCCAAGCCCTGGCCAGTTGAGGCTACATGGGGCGCAAAGACAACTTTCATCCATCTTCGCCACCCTCGCAGTGTCGGGGCCGCCAAGTCAGAGTCGTCCTCTGCAGTCACCGGCCCAGCTTGTCTTATACGGCCATAAAAAGGCCGCTTGAACAGCGCAACTCGACAGGCAATCTGCGTCGACCATACGAGACCCAGACTGGGCGTCTTGAGCGAGTAAGAGGCGTGAGGATCGTCGCCCCAGCCTGTGAACCAACGCTGTTGGTGGTCAAGCATTAGAGCAGGTAGCGGTGGAGGACCTTCGGGGTCTTGTAAGGAAAACGGCAGTGATGACGAGGGCGTGCTGGGGAAATGTGTAGAGGAGGGAGGAGGCATACTCCGTGAGGCAAGGGGACTCTCATAAACGACGCCGCTGCTTCTAGGAGGTGCATGTCGTGGTACAGAGCTGGATGAGAACCGATCGGCGACTTGGTTGGCCACAACAACAGCTAGATTATGCCTGCGGGCAAGGTCGCGCAGAAGAGCGCCGAGACGGACAAGTTCAGCACTTCGTGCGGCCATATTAGAGCCGTGAGAGCCTTGCCGCTCAAACTCGGCGCGGTAGTTTGCGGCTACAGAGTCAAGGATGATGAGACCGATGTTGTGGCGGGATAGTAGAACGGGGACCTGGAAATCTAGGATATGGTCTTGGGTTTCGAGATCTGGAGTGACGGCGCTGTGAATAGCATCGAGCGAAGGCCGAGTGTCAGGGTCATCGTATTGTTGGAGGATAGGATTTGATTTTAGCATCTGAGCAAGACGGCTCGTAGCGAGAGCTGCTTCAGTTGAGATGTAAACGGCCTCGCGACCGATACCATGAGGAGGCGGAAGTTGAACGGCGAGACAAAGCGATAGAAGGGCCTGAGTCTTTCCAGCGCCGCTTTCACCAGTGATTTCTGTGATTACACCCACGGGCACGCCGCCTCCCAACGCAGCATCGAGGCCATCATCAAGAGTACTGATGACCCTGGGCTCCAGCTGCTCACTAGACTCAGCATCAGGATCAGGTTCTGGTTGCAGAAGCGGCTGCTGAGGCGTAAGGTCGTCCGAGAGAGAAGCCTGCACCGCGGCTATCAGACGCTTGAGATCAAGGATAGGGAGGCGTGTCTGCTTGGCGATATCGGCGGGATGAAGAGTAAGGAGGTCTATTGTCGTGAGAGCATTTTGCTCAATGGTTGGGATGAGAGCGGCGAAGGGGCGCAGGGGGAAAGAAGGAAGGATTTGGAGGAGGTCTGTCATGAGTACGACGGTTGATGAGACATGAGTGAGTGAGTGAAGGAGAGAGGGTGTAAGTGAGAGAGAGGTGAGAACGTGAATAAAGGAAAGGTATTTAGCGGTTCACACCAAAAGGCTCCCTCTGTCTCTTAGATATTAATGTGAGTCTAGAGTAAAATGTAGGCCTCTCTCGCTTTTACAAACACCCTTGTTCTCCTAACGCTTTAGTATAGAGGTCTAATGACGATATTGAGATGTTGTACTTTCACGCGTTAAGTGAATATGATAGACGCGGCTGGATACATGACGTGCTTAATTGGATTGGCTGGCTAAGCCACACCGGTCTATGAACGCCACACCAACAGTTGCAATTGATTTCGGATCTGAAAGTTGAAAACAAGAAGGTGTAACTCGATTAATGGGAATGAGAATTTGATTATGGTATAGCAAGGTCCTTATATGCATTTAGTCATCAGTATTGTCGCAAGATGACTAGAGAGTCTGTCGGACAAATTCGAGATAAGTCGGGCTGCGTCTACTGTTGTGCAGCTTTGCTTGACAAATAGGCCAGACACTTCGAATTTGAGATAAAATCAATTATATCTTAACTGTCAAGTCATTGTCAAATCAGCTTCATTGCTTGATAGTTGTATCTTGTTGCATGAAAGATTTTGATGTGGATCTTCAATTGACCCCACAGCCAGAGACACAATTTTCGCTCCCAACGGGTCTTTGTAGATGTCAATATCATCTGGCTAGATTGACAAGTTTTACGACAATTTGATAAATTGTTTCTCGAGATGATTTGGTAGCTTAATGAACATTGGTGATCTAGCTAATAAAAGCCTTCTTTTACTTCCATTCACAGCAATTGTCACATCTCAGAGAGCAAAGATTCAGCCGGGAAACCATGTTCTTAATCTTGATCATGAAATTGGAATTACTTTTGATTCCACTTTTGTGCTACCAAACAAGGTTCCCGACTCCCCAGAGTCCAAGCATGCAGTGCCAAAACCAGACCCTCCCAAATCGCATGTACAACCAGACAGCCGCGTAGCGAGAACGAGAGCGAGAGCAATCGTCCAAGCCAGAGCCAGCTCTCCCACAGTATGGGGGCGAGCTGTTTATCGGTATCGCCAGAGAGACAGGGTGTTGTGGCGCTTCCAGGTCTTTCTGCGACCGGCCTGGGTCTTGTTGTAGCGGTGACCCTTGTTGAGACCACGGGACTTCTTGCCGGTGGCGGTGAGGCCACGAGCCTCGCGGTGCTTGTGGACGGGGTTGACGATCCAGTTGATGCGGGGGTCGATGCGGATGGCCTTGTGCTGGGGGTCGACGAGGATGACCTCGTAGTACTTGTAGGTAGAGTCCTGGTTGATCCAGTAGGAGTTGAGGACTCGGAGGTTAGCGCAGCGGCGGCCGACACGCTCCTCGGCGGTGGCCTTGAGGGATCGCTGGTACTTCAGCTGGTTGATACCCTGGTTGGTGGGCTTGCCTATTTGACGACGTTTGTTAGATACTGCCATCTTGCTATTTTAGATAACAAAAACCTACCGTAAGTGGCACCCTTAGGAGCAGGGCGCTTGCGGCCACCACGGCGGACGCGGACACGGTAGATAACATAGCCCTGCTTGGCCTTGTATCCGAGACGGCGAGCCTTGTCCAGACGGGATGGGCGAGAAGCGCGGTGGATGACGTTCAATTGACGGAGCTATATTGATGCACTCTCAGCAAATGTTCAACGAGTGTATAGCAGAGACGGGGTTAAAAAAACAACCCGCTTCGTCTTGAGTTCTTCTCCAGCATTTCCAAGCTTACGCATTGCGTGAACAAAGCGCTGATTCGTCGTTTTGAGATTTTTCTTCTCCAAGTGCGGAGTATGAGAAAAACGCACACAAAAATCGACGGCTTCGGAAATGCGAGAGGAGAACAGGAGATCGAGAGCGAGAGCTGATTGCCCGCCGTCCACATTGGAAAAGAATATTGGTTGTTTAACGTACTTCCCAGCAGCGAACTCGGAGAAGGAAGGCAACGACATCCGACTGCTTCTTCTTCTGAAGCTCTTCGACGTACTTGAGGGCACCCATCTTGGCTGTTTGTCGAGAAAGACGGTAGAGGTTAGCGAAAAGGAAAGAGACAAAAGAATTGAAGGCTTGCAGGAAGGAAGAAAGTTCTGAATCTGCAGAGGGAGAGGGGACTTCACATACCGGCTTTGTCGAGGTCCTGGTGGTTAGTAGGATGTCGAAGATTTTCAAAAGGAAAGAACCACCGAATGCAAACTTTCCGTGGAAAATTGTGGCCTGTGGGTTAAGCGATCCGCTAGCCCTCGCACCTTCCTCAGATGACTCAGCCAGGGCTCTCATTGAGACATGGTCCAAGCTCAGACACGTGACTGATAAGATAACAGCGCCAAGCATTTGCATGATAGTGGAGTCAAGAGAGAGAGAGAGATCAAGAGACCAAGATATGATTTTTGAAATGCCTTTTGATTACCTACCTAGACACTTAGGGAGACATCTCCATAATCTCGTGATACTCATCGAAACAGCTTATATATGACTGAAGTATCAGATTTATGTCCATCAAAAATTCCTCGAGATTTGTACTCCCAGGTCTTTCACCGCAACTGATCCATACAAACTATTCGTCAGTTGGGAGTAGTCTCAAGACCTCAGTAAAAGCCTTCAAATGTCCCTGTGCAATCTTTCCCCACGTATTATCCGACTCATCTGGTATAGCCTCCTCAATCAGATCCCATGCCACATCTTCAAGACTCGTGGCACTGGGAGGCTTGGTCGGCAGCCGATGCAGGTCAGGCATGATCATATGGTTGACAATTTCTGAAGCCATCTTCAACCCATGCTTGTTCATCTCTTCCAAATCTTTGGCGTCTTGTCCCCATCTCATCCAGTTTGGTGCCTTGATGCCAAGGTCATGCTTGACCAATAAATTGTAGGCTTCGACATGGACTTGTAGGTCATCAAGGGCTTTTAACATCAGTTGCGGATGGCTTCGGGTGTTTTTCTGCAGAACGGGCGAGGAACTCATCCAAGGTAAGACACTAGTGAGGTCAGGAGAAAGCTCGTTTATCAATACGCCAACGTCGACTCGAGGGCTACCAGTGTAAATGTTAGGAGACGGAAAGGATAAGTATTGGGGAACTACTTACATTCCTGTCTTGATCTCATCGATAGATTTGATGAGATCGTCCCCCTGTTTCCGAATCTGACTCTTAGCATCTCGGGCAACCGGCTTTCGGTTTTTCTTGGAACTGTCGCTGCACTCGCTCGTGGCATGCTTTCCTTTTCTTCGATTTGTTGCATTCGTAGTCGTTTTCTTCGGGGCGCGAGTCGACTTTTTGGCGACAGCATCCTCGTCACCATCAATCTCTACTTGATCTTTAGCTAAAAGGAGCAGATTTGCATATGAAAAATAACTCACCAGTGGCGGATGCCTTTCTCTTGCGTGTTCCTGGGGGCATGGCCAGGCAATGGAGTGTTACTTGTGACGGACAATAAATAAGAGTGTTGGGCAGGAGTGTTAGAATAGCTGATCATCCTTTGAAGAAATAGTGTTTATGCCTCAGCTCCGAGGTTTGGATGAACTTATCGTTGGGGAAGGAACGGAGTGGCCCTGCTCTGTCTGCCTACCTAGGTAAACACGGCAAGATCTCAAGTCATCCGCACCTTCCATTTGAGACGATGCAGTACATCACCCTTCAGTTACAGTGGCAGATAGATACCTAGGTACTAAGGCAGCAGTGTATATCTTAACTTCATTCTCATGTATTCGCGGAGCTGATAAAGTACAAGCAATACCTTGAGCCTCAATTTAATCTATCATAACGAGTCTCAGTTCCGTCCCTCAACCTAAGCAACCCTCTCGAAAGCAAATCCAGCTAATTGCACGAAATAGCAAAGCAAATGAATAAAGGAAGTCTTTGTCATACATGATTCCGGCTATATTCCCCAAACGTGTCCCTTTTTTGATCGCATATTAGTTACAGCGTTAAATGCGAAGCCCTCGGGTCTTTCTGTCTATAGTCTCAGCCTGTAAAAGCAAAATCCATGCCATCGGATGTCATCTTGTCTTCCCCCCCTACTCCCTGTCGTGATATCGGCCGTTGGATCATGGATCCTGAGCAAAGTGTTGGCGAAATGGAAAAGAAAGCTATTGAACAATCTCATATTACTTGAGCGACGAATGAGAATTGCCTGTAAACGCCAGGAACGATAAAAAGAAATGACGAAATCATCATGCGAAATCAAAAATACAAAGGCACTTAACCACACACAGTAGACCCTACGAGGGCCAGTTCTGGAATGGTTGTTTGGCTCACTTGCTCAGAACTCAAGAAGCCAGCTGTTCTCTTTCTTTGTATAGAGTCTGCTGTAATCTGTCTTGTCGTAAATGAGTGTGTTGGGTTTCTCATAGTTGCCAAACGTATGCGATAACACACATTAATGAGTGTTGAGCGAGAGACCCTGGAATGATCCCACCCAGTCATTCTGAGGAGCCAGAGGTGAGGCAGCCTGAGAGTGAGGTGCTGGGCTTGGTCCAGACTGCGGGTTGGGGAACCGCTGACGCATAGCCTGGTACTCTCCAAGCTGGGGAACTTGTGCTCCGGGGTAGCCCTCAAGTGCGGGCATAGCACTACCGCCGTAGCCAACATTGCTTCGGGGGTTGCTGAAAGCGTTGCTGAACTGCCCGTAAAGGTAGTTAGAGGGAGGATAACCAGATGGCTGCGCAAGGCGGCTCTCGTTGCCAAAAGGCTGGCTGAAAGCTGGGCGGTAACCACGACCATCTCTGGCTCCAGTAGTGAAAGCGGACGCCTGATGGGGCTCTTGACCCTGTTGGTTCTGGCGACGGTCGTTACCACTAGCATTGCGGTTCGCATTTACAGCTCCAGGACCGATGCCACTAGGAGCCTGGATGCCAAGAGTTGGGCTAGCGAATGAGGCTGGGTTGATAGCAGACATCCAGATTCGCGTCTTGTAGATCTTGAACAAGTCGGTGACAAGAGAGTTGAAGTTGATGTACGAGTCGGCGAAGTAGTAAAAGGTCAACTTCTTCCAGTCCCTATTGGAGATATTAGCAGAGTCCGGTTTATCGATGGCGATGATACTCACATTTGGAATTCGGCATCGAGAATCTCCATGTTAAGGCCATGCTCCTTGACCTTTTGCATACAAACGCGCTTTGCCTTAGCCTCCTGGCCTTCCTTGTCCCGCAAGGCATGCACCTCATGGTTCTGTGCAAGACGTTTGATGAGCTTGGGTCGGAGTTCGCCGGTGTTGGGTTCCTGAGCATGGTGCTGGCTGGGAGGTCCCATGCCTCCAACCGCGCTTCCCTGGAGACCGGTGGAAGAGGCAAGAAGACCTGCACTGCTTCCCTCCTGTGCAGCAGCAGCACCTTGGGAGTACATCATCAGCCACTTGTACTGCTCTTCAGCATAGTGCTCCTTGAGGTCCTTGGCAGCCTGCCAATCGACATTGTCCTTAGCAACAGTGCCGAGGTCAGTGCCGCGATCAGCCTCAACGATGACCAGGTCTCCAGGCTTGACGGTGAGACCAGTGCCCTCTTGAATGTAGAAGACGTCAGCTCGCGCACACTTGAACAACACAATGTGAAGAAGCTGGTTGTGGCGAGGCTGGGCAATGCTATAGACATTGCGATGAGGAGAGGGTGCGCGGTTCCCGTAAGGGTTGGGCAGCCCATAAGGAGATGCGTATTGATTGGGAAACCCGGCCTGGTACGCATTTCCGAGGTTGGCACCTCCGCCAAAGTATTGGCCTGCTGTTGTGTGCGTTAGCAAATGATCAACACAAGTTTTCGCATCTTGTATCAGGCTTACCATGAGAAGCCGCTCCGAAGGCGGCAGGGTCGGGATACCCTGGGGGATACTCTTGAGATTGCTGCATGTCGAGTGCGGAAGGTTCGAGTGCGGCGTCAGTGATAGAGCTGATAGATCCTTGACGAGTAGGCATGTTGGCAAAGGAATGTCGTCGGCTCTGAGAAATATCAGAGGGAGAAAAGGCGAGCGAGCTTGACCAGAGCGCTTTCTTAAGATTGGCGTTTTCAGCCTTGCGGTTGTCACCAAACGGAGAGCGCATGGGTCCCGGGCCATATTCACTCATTCGCCTGTTCATTGCGCGTTTGGCCAACATATCACCAGACTCGTTTGCTTCATCAAGCTCATCGACAGCGTAATCAGACTCCTCAGGCACAGTTTCTCGCATAGGGTACCCGTTTGCAGCGTAGGCGGATCCGGTGGCTGCGCGGGGTCGAATGCGAGCATTGTACTGCGTTTGCTGCTGGCGAAGCATAGCGTTTTCGCGCGCCAACATCTCGATTGTTTTCGCATCCGACTGATGAAACGAACTTTGCATAGATTCACTTGGGCTTTCATCGTCGTCATCTTCAACTTCCTTGACCTTCCCTAGCATTGTGCCGTCGTTTGCCATCTCACTCAGCATGCTTGGGCGTGAAGGTCGATGTTGAAGTGCGGGGTGGCGAGCACGGCCCATCATAGCCGAAGAGCTCATAGAAGGGGGAACGGTCGTTGATTCAGGATCCAGCTGTCCGACAGAGTATGACTGCGACCTGTATGTTTTAGGGGTGGGGTGAAGCGGGATAGCAAAAGGGATTTGAGGGTTAGGTCCAGGTTCGCGCGAAACTGGAGATGTTTGCATCTCGGAGTTAAAGAAAGAGTTGCCACCACCTGGGGGCATGGTAGACGTGGGAGAAGGCAAAACTTCACTGAGTCTCGATGGAGGGTCTTTACGATCCTGATTCCAGATAGCAGTACCCCACGGGAAAGCAGGTGGCCCTGATCCCCGACCCATCACAGATGATGCGGGGTGGGATCCCCACGTCGCGGCACCAGTCTCGCCAGAAGGCGTACTTGGATGAGACGCAGTAGGAGACATTGAGTTACTAGCAATAGATCCTCTGCGAGGGCGACCTAAAGTTTGTGAGGTTTCGTTCAACCACGAAGGCCGTCGAACGGGTTTTGATGGTTGAGATGCGGAGTGTGCAGCTGCTTGCGCGGACTCGTATCGGTGATCGCCTTCGTCGTCTGAGCTAGCGAGTGCCTCCGAGTCTGGCGTAGATGTCCTTGCGTGCAACTTATCGAGTAGGAGTGACTGGTTGTTGCCTGAAGCCGTGTGATGAGACCCTGGCCCAAGTCTGGAAGACAGACCTGTTTTGAGCGGACCTGAGCTCATCGTCCAGAAGACAGACTACTTGTATTCTTTCAATTTTACCTGTGAGTGCAGCTGTCTGGCAGTGCCTTATTGATAGAAACGGTTGAGCTTAACGCAACAAGATGTAGTTGGCGCAAACTTGCCGGATATCGGACGACTACAATAAATGGAGCCGATGATGAAATAAAGGTGTAAGCTGTAAAGAATTCTTTAAGAATGAAGAGAAACGAAACTGCATCTAGTTAGCTGACTGTCTCACGTTAAACAGTGAATATAATTTTTTAAGAAACAGCGAATAAGTGGCTCCATGACAAACTGGACAAATTGAGGGGGAAATGAAATATAGATAGTCGCGACAAGCGCCCAAGAACATGAACAACGACCTGAGAAACGAGGCAGAATCTCTGTCGAAGCATGACCAAGATTGACTGCGGACGCAATGGTTGAACTTACCAGAGATGTAGATCTCAAGTATATCTAAAGACTATGTCGTCACGTGTGCCAAATTCTAGATCGAAAACAGATAAAGCGTAAGAAAAGGAACACAGTTGCTGCAAGCAATGACACGGAGATGTGGCCTTGTGGAGTGATGAGTCTGATGCTGTCGCAAATATGTAACTGCGATTTACCAGAGGCTCGTGGGGCGTGAGCCAAGGCGATTGATTAGTGTTGTTGGAGGCGACAGAATATCTAAACACCAGCGCGTCTAACCCAAGGCGCAAATAGAAGATTCAGGTTGTCGAATAGTTCAAGGGAACAGGTAGTTTCCCATTCGTGGATAAGAGCCGTATAGAGGAGCAGACTTAATCGTGGCCCATTGTCAGCGTGAAGCTCGAAAGCAGGCGCACGAAGCCCGACACCAAGAGAATGACGCGGGGTTGGCGCTGCAACTTGGAAGCGGCGATGAGGCAAGCGACGCGGCGACGGTGGCGAACCGTTAATGATCACACGGTCTATCTCCCGACTCTCTAAATCTCAACCTGCGCAATCCACTGCAGCGTCAAAGATAACGTGATGAATAGGTTGGTGAAATGCGGTTGATCGCGGATGGCGACGGCGGGCACACGGCGTGCAGGTCGAATGAGGAATGAGGAGACCAGAAGAGAGTTTGAGGATTGGAGTCGGAAGGCGGGGGAGACAGCAGCGCGCTGCAATGAGATGGCAGTGGATGAGAAAGACGGATGAGCGTAGTAAGGAGAGGAGAAAGTATGTCGCGTGTCGAGGAACAGCGTTGCAGTGTGTCGTGCTGTATCGCGGACTGGTTGCTGGTCGCTGGTCGCTACTTGTCGTGGCAGTTGCTTCTGTCGGGCTTTGCGATGCAATGCGCCAAGTGCTCAAGTTGTGTCGAGATGCGGTTACCACACGAGACCAGGTTCTAAGTGGTGCTGAAGAGAGTCGCGGGCGGTATGAACCTCCAGCTAATACTGCCGTTCCTCTACGGGTACTGGGGTGGCGCGGGAGCTTTCAATGGGGAAAGCTCTGAGGCGGCGCAGCAGGGGAGGGGGGGACCTAGCTGTAAGCGCACCGTAGCGAAAGGTTGGCTAAAGAGAAGGGAAATTGATCTGGAGTCGAAAGAACCCTTTATGATGAATGGGAGAGGGTGGATCGAGGGGAAAGTTGTGGAGAGGACCAAAGTGGGGAGAGCCTCAGCAGAGGAGCAAGCAAGTAGAGATCCGAATGGGACACAGTGAGGAGACTGGAGACTGGAGACTGATGTGATCTTCTGATCAGGCCCGGGGGACTGAACTGAGGGGTACCGGTATGCGACGCAGGAGACTCTCAATGTATCTGTCCCTAGTCTATTTGCCAGCCAAACCTGGAGAAGGATGCGTTAGCGAAAGCCCTAGAGCAAGGTACCGATACCTTTGACGACCAGAGCTTGCTTGCGGAAAGCTTGGGAACCTCGGTGGCTCGAGCACCGCTGAGCTACACCCTGTGCAGTGCAGTACAACACAATGAATGGACGTTTAGAGCTCATACCTGAAGTGATAAAGGTTGACTGCAAATGAAGAGTAGCTGTTGCTGTTGAAGAACCAAGGCCGCCGCTTGGTAGGTTGTCGTGAGGCGCGCCTCGGAGTATTCAGTGTGTATAGGATCTCAGCAGAACCTAAGGCGGAGACTCGACGATGATCTGGGGTGAGCTAGTAGCTCGGCAGCTGGGCGATTTGCTTTGTCGCCTCGGCAGCCCGGTATTTGACGCTAGGAAAATTGGCCAGTGAAGCACACGGATAGATACCCACGATGCCGGGTAGGCCAGGTATGAGACAAAGGAATGATCAATGGGGAAGAGGGGGTATTGATATGCTTTTCACAGGGAGGGAAAATTGATGGAGGGGGGTCCGTCAAAGATGGTGTCAGCCAAGTGATGGTGATACAGTAACGTTGGTTGGTTGTGATGGTTGAAGCTTGTTGTCGGGACTGGCACTGTTGGGCCTTAAGATGCCTGGGTGTGCTGGGCTCCGGGGTAATTAATGGTGGGAGCATTGGGCTACTGGCACTGGCGGATTCGCAGGAACCGTCAAATCATGAATGATCCAATCAATGTTTTTGGGTTACTTCGACTCGACTGTCACGGTGGGCTAACCCTACAAAAAAGCACCTATCGTGAAAGACTCGCCTCCATCGAGGGAAAAAGCAGAAACAAGACGGGTTGGCCTAGGGGTCGTCTTGTACTCTACCTAAGCCTCCGCCTGGCACCATCTTCACCTCGCATGGATGATCTCCTTTAAGAGGACCGGACAATAATTGGACCCTGGAAAATGGGATCAATATGGACATTTGGTGATATCTGTAGCCTACCTACCTACATACGGATAGAGAAGAACAACGTAGCATAGATACCCCTGGAGTATTAAAGACAAGGAAGTTTATGAGGGCTTTCTCAGACATCGATTGAACAATCTCATAGGTCAGGCAATTGGCTGCTGGATGTCCGTGAGCTTTATCCGTTGCCGTAGGGTCCAAGCTTCACGAACCCATCAGACCATTAGAGGATGTGGCTCGACGCGGCAATCGTCGATGAAGTATTTACTGCTTATTGTCTGTATGTGTTTCCTTTGAAGTTGGCGTGCTCGTGATGCAGAGTATCAATGGGGGCTGGGGCGCGTAGATGGTTGTTGCATGCATCAACCGCATGCGCAGGAATAAAAGCGCCTCTGACGTGATGTGATGTTCGTTCTTCCTACGGGACGCAGTCAACTCACACCAATTCGGAGCCAGAGCTTCAATGTCTGGAAGAAGAGTAAAGAGTTGTAGTCTGAGGAGTGACACAAGCAGTATAAAGTAAGTACCTGGATCATTGGAAACTTGGAAGAATACCTACATAGGCGCAGCATCGATTGATTATTTACCAGTAACTGCACATAATCATGATAAAACCCTCAATATTTGAACTGACGAGAATTTCAAAAAGAACTCCAGCAGTCCATGTCCAGGTCGAGATGGTGTGCATGTCCCTGTACTTACAGGGCTTGGGTCCAAATTAGACGCAGTTACAGTGAAAGCGGATTGGACGCTCCACACTCAGAATCGATTCGGCCCCACCGATGCAGCCCCGACCAACCGACGACCGAGATAATCAGGACATCCATGGATCACATCAGGCATATTGCAACGGAAGAGGAATTGAGGGAGAAACAGGTTCAATGTTGTAGTGGGAGAATACTTATGATATACCCTCGTTCAAAATACGACATATTGCCGCGGTATATGCAAGACATTCCACAGAAAGGGTATGCTCGATGTTGAACTTGGATTTACTTACAGTATCCGTAGAGTCTAAACCCCGCCTACAAATGGGTCCCAATGACGGTGCTCTTGGTAACACAAGAACTCAAGCCAACGCCAGCACCATCACTCCTCGGCAACGCAATGGATTGGATCCAATCTCTTTGTTACTTCAACTACTGACCAAAACCTTCGTCATAGTGTGTTGTAGCTTTAACCACTCAAACTCACCCCTCTCGTGAGCCCCTCGTGACCTCCCCAATCCCGCTACCAGTACGGATAAGTTACGAATACTAGGAGTCCAGGATACGACCCGTTAGCAACACGATCCAAGGGACTCCCGGATCAAAGATCGCCTCGAGTCTCCAGTCTCCAGTCTCCGCCATCCGCTTAGCTTCGACTCCGCTTTTTAGCTCCTACTCAATTCTAGGTAATTCAAGCTTTCTTACTTGCTGTTGCTCACGTCACCTTCTGCTCCTCGAGAGCTACTTATATAAACTTGTCATGATGATCAACAGCATGAGCTTGTGAGATCTAGACCTCACATTAATACTGCAATGCATAAAAAAAAACAGTAAACTCATACACTGGTTGTCTGGGCACTTTCCGCTTCAATACTGATGCACAGCCCAACATAGAATTGAGTTTCTTCTTCCCATTAGCTTACCAACTTGAACTAAAGCTAACTTTCATAATCTATGCCCTACGGGATGTTCGGATTAGTCTGTCACCTATTTGGCACCAAGCAGGAGTGCTTTCAACACATTGTGCGGCCCGCTTCCACCAACCTGTCTTCTGAGCTGTCTTGATCGCACGCTTTTCATCCAACACATTAGTAGTGAAGGCGGCTACCTACTGTTGCAGGATGCTGCACCCTATTATGCTGCGGTGCTCGATGCTGTGTTGACTATGTCAACCCCGCAATAAAAAACATGATTAGCTGAAAATCTGCAGCTAATTGGCACGCTATTGCTTCGCATTAAGCGCTTTCAATGGTACAAGACGATCAAGCCCATTGCCTACCCTGAATTGCCAGGCTTAACATTCTCTGGTTCTTAGGGCGGAGAATATTCCAAACTCCCGAAAGTCACAAACTAACTAAAAATGTCACAAACGTACGAGGACGCTTGTGCATAAAAAACTTATTATCAGGGCGTTATTTTCAAAAACTAAGCCTTGTCCTGGCAGGGAACAGATCATATGAAGTTATCCCAACATCGTAAATTAGGGATTGATAGTAAGAGGCATCTTGTGGGACGAAGCAAACATGTCGTATTCGAATAGATGGGAGGGAATTTATTGATGGATAGATACAGTCATATGCGATTCTGAAATATTAAAGTACAACCGTTTTGCTTCTGCAATATCATGCCTATGAAGCGCTATATAAGCCAAAAACTCCAATTACACGTTCAAAAAACACCAGGATACCAATCATGATGATAAAGGTCTAGAACATTATGGGTTTAAATATTTTTGTATTTTATATTTCAATTTGACAGTGCTTATCTCACGTCGTGCAGATGGAAAACCATGGCCCTGTGCATTCGGGAAGCTTTTTTGTGTTCTAAGAGATCATACGTCTGTCAACTTGGTTCCTGCCATACGACATTGGACATCTTTATTGGCCCCTTCTTGAATCTTTAACATTGACAACATATAGAACCATTTCCCTCAAATCCTTTTCGCGTGCGTAATTTTATGGCCAGGCTGACTGCTGGGTAGATAATCCTGCAATAAAGCATACGCCTCACCAAGCTTACTCAAGGCAGATTCGCTCCTCCAAAGTAAGCAGAAACGCGCAGTAGTGTTGCGGGTCAGATTGCATGCCCTGATGCGAGATTGGGTTGAGTTATATTTCGACAAAATTCTGGATGTGAAATTGATGCGTGTTGTAGAGTCGAGTTCTCTCTGTGTTTGGTTTTCGCCGTTCATTTATAAAGAGCGTATATGTTGAGTTTGGTCGTGTGTATTCATTCGTAACGTCGTGATATCTGTGTCTGAGACAAGACGATGGTAGTTCTATTCCCCAACCGAGACGACCACATCGCCTTTGCATTTGCCATATGAGCAGCATTCGGATGCGTCCATTTCACCCTTGAGAATGGCATCAACCTTGGACTGTCAAGAGAGTGTTAGTACAGTTAGGGACTGATATTTGATGTAAGAAACTTACATCGGAGCATGGCCCAGTTGGTGAGATAGAAAAGGATGGCGCGATAGGTGATGCTGTGACCAGAGCCACAGAAGCGGCCAGAACAAGAGTGCACCACTTCATGATGATATGATATGATGTTAAGTAGAGAAGGGAAATTCGGTAGATCAGAAAGAATGTTTGAACCGAGAGAAATGAGCGTGGTTAGAAAAGGAGTGACTGTAAAATGAAGGAAAGTGATTTGGAGAGAAAGAGAGAGAATAAATCGTGGTGAGGAGAGGAAAAGCAGGAGGATGGGTCAGATTTATAGAGACTGCATTCAAGGGAGATGAAATGGAGGAAGGGTATGACAGTGGAGAATGGAGTAGGTATTAAGTTTAATACCTCCACTGCCATGGCCAAGATTCGACTGCATGCGGTCAAAGAAGAAGAAGTGACAGTGCTTGAGCGTTCTTTTTTGCAATCAATCTCTTACACAAACCATGAATCTTTACCATTAACATTCCACTTGGATTGCGCTAATGCAGGTACAACATTACGAGGGGACATGGGGCCCACATGCGTCATATTCCGGGGGTCACAATCGCTAATGGAACCTCGCAATCGCTCTTTAATAACGGCCCGCGGGAGAGATTTACAGGCAACTAGCTGCCCGTGTCTTCCTCCGCAAAGTTCTACAACAACGCTTTAATATTCGCACCAATCACCTTAAAGTGTCACCTCCAGAGACAGAATCACCAAATGCCGAGACTTGGGCTGCAACGTGGGAGATTGTGCCACGTTCCCAGACAAAGATAGAGGGAGGCTTGAGACACCACGTAAAGAGAAACATGTAGTCAAGGTAACAAGTGGACCAAAGGAGCTTTGGCTTACCTTGACTAATAAGACAGAAAAGAAACAGTCGAGACTTGGGCCTTGGACGTTGCTAACGTTAGAGCATTGTTTACTGTCTGACCGGTATTTTCCCCCAACTCAGCCCTACGCTCCCTCGAATTGCAGTACCTGGTTGGTGCTCTAGGTGAGAAAATCTCGAAACACATCCCTTACAGAGTCATTGCGTGCTTAAATTAATAACACCCTGCCACCGACCATTGGCCATGGGCGGCTCTGTCATCTGCCGATTGTGACAGTTGGACAATCTGACCGATGCAAGGTACCTTGTTAATTAGAGGCAAATGAAAGATAAACCAAGAAATGTCTTGGCATATCCCGGCCACTCCACTTTGCTTCATGAATTGTTGGACTACAACAAGAAGTTGGAATTCTTATGGATACGCGGCAAAGATATAAAGAATTACATCAAATTAAATCATGTTACTAGAAACATCGTAGAGTTCCAAGTATGAGAGCTTTAATTGCCATGACAGAACCCTTGTATTCTCCCAAAACAACAAAGAATACGGTTTGCTTTACACCTCCGTAATCACACAGATGTGAATACAATCAAAGTTTAATTAGTGCTGGAGGTGATTCTTCGAGGCGTGGAGAATATCCGGTGCGGCGGTATCCGTATCGTTTGGCGGGATATGGGAGCGATGTGCTAGGAGTAGGACTAGTCGTGATATTTGCTAAAAGACGCAGCGGTCAAGACCGGAGTAGAAGAGAAGAAACGATTTAGATGCACTGTTTCGAGACGAGTCGATGGATGGATAATACTGTCTTTATGATATTTCTGGCCGTTGCAGAAGAGCACTCATTAATTCCATCATGTCATCAAGGTTTACATGGAGTTAAACTTAACTAATGACAGAATGCAAACTGGATCTTACAGCAGTACTGGGCCAATGGTGGTAGAATGACCATTGCTATTTATAAATCATTTCAATATACCAAACTTTTAATCTCGAGCTCTTAGACAAGAAAATCGCACCTCCTTAGAACGCCAAACTCGAGCAAAACTACCACGACCAAACTTCAGCTCCAACTCCTCCAAGCACAACCTCGAGCTTCTCGTCACTCCCACCTTCAGCACAGGCGTGTTTCCCTATGATGGCAATATCGCCGGGGTCGGCCACGCCGCTGTATGCATCGGCAACCAGTTTTATGTTATTCGGCTCGACTCTCCAGACCTTGACCCGCTGGTCGTTGCTGACACTGATGCCGAACGTATTTTCCCCGCGTCGCACAAGCACAAGACCGTTGATTGCTGCTGCGTGGGCCTTGCGTACTATGCCGCGACTTGAGGTGGTGTATCTGCGGTTACCCGCTTCGTTCGACATGGGGACGAGTGTCGTTACGCCAAGACCGTTGTCGTCGCCTCCTGTGAGGACCAGGAATCCGTTCGGCGTTGGTTGGAGATCGAGACATTTGATGCTGCTTTGATGCACTGGTGCTACCTGGACAAGAACATGACTAGAGGTTTCATCGCTATCGAGGCTGACTTCCCAGGTAGTCAAGTGTCCGTCCGTAGAGGCTGTTAGTGCCGAGAGTCCGGTTTTGTCCACCCCGAGGTGGCGAACCTGCGTGAGACAAGCCCCCGTGTACGACATGCGAGCTAGGAGATGGAAGCCTTCCCCTGGAGTGTATCTGTATGTTTTCAAGGTCGAGTTGGACAAGATCATAGTAATTATAACACTGCCATCATCGACCTTGCAGGCATCAAAGTCCATGATTCGAAGGTCTGCAGCAGGACTCTTGTCCTCGAGGATACCTTCACAGAGAATACCGAGTCCTTTGTACCGTGAATCTAGTCTTCGTACAGACCACACGAAGAACTCCTCGAAACCAGCGCTGCTGAGGAGGTAATCGTCCCCTACCCAGTGGATCTTTTGCAGACCCGATATATGTAGCTTTGTAGAAACAACACACCGTAGCCCTTTTTCCTTTTGTCCATTCTGTTGATCTTCGTATTCCCAGATACGCACCGTTGTGTCCTCGGCGCCGGTAGCAATGTATCGCCCGTTTGCGCTCAGTCCTCGAATCTCCCTCCCGTGTGTTCCGTACCTGAGTGGACGATGCATTGGTATATGCTGTGAGAATATGTAAAGCTTGGTCGCTCTTGTGTACCCGAAACGAACGCGGTTGTGGTCAACGGGATCGTGAGCAATGGTAAACGTCCGGTGAGCACCTCCACAGTCGATCGAAGCGATCTCTTCCCGACGAGTTTCGTTCCAGACGATGAAGTTCTTGCTCTTGAATCCGTACAAAATCAATTCGGGGGAATCATCTTGAGTGAACCAACCGCCTTCAATGTCAGCACCAGAAGGGGCGGCGACCTCGTGCTGAAGGTGCAACCGGACTTCCTCGTCGAGATCTTCTATCTCGTAGATCCTATACTTTGTATCTCTGCTTGTCGCCAAGAAGTACAAAGGAGCATCTTGTCCGTCAGTGGTCGGTAAGGGCACCAGACCAGTAATAGCATCGCGTGTGTTGAACCTAAAGTCCAGGATAGGACGGAACTCGTTACCAGTCTGTCTCAACAACGAAAGAAAACCATGGCGCGATCCGATAGCGATCAAGTCACTCCTGAAACGGGCGGCAGATATAGCAACAAACCGCTTATCGATACCTCGAATATCTGCCGTCGCTAGAACAGCGCCAGTGCGCCAGTCAATGGAGAAATACTGCGAATCCGAAGTTCCATGAAGGTGGACAATGATTTCCGCTGGCCCGTCTCCTGGACTGGAGAGGATGGAGATATTGAAGATCTTGCCATGTACTGAGCCGAGAAGAGTTACTCCTTGAGCTTCAGAGTAGTAATATAGCTTGCCGCTGGTCGTCCCCAAGATAGCTGCTCCATCACCAATCGTCTTGAGAGTATAACACGCTTGAAACTCGGCAGTCGCTTGATCTTCGGCATCAATCTCCTGCCACTCCAGATTCGGGCGGAAGACGCCTAGCAGGAGGCGTCCCCAATTCGTCGTCACCAGCATACGATCCTCGGAGATAAAGTCGTAACGGCTGAAAATTTCCCGGGCACGGACTGGCTTTAAGGTACGCAAATTGGGTAGACCAGCCGCGATATCTTGGAAATCAAGACCAAGTAGTTCATCTCTCGATTTTGGCACAGTAGGTGCCAAACATGCGGGCTGTGTTATAAGTGAGATTTTGCTATCAGCTCCGCCGGTTGCTATGAGTGTTTGATCGCCGCGATTCACAACAGCATGTGCCCAGAGATGCTTGCCATCGTGAACGGCATAGGTCTCGACATGCTTCAGAGATCCGGAGAGTTTTTCTGGCGAGATGTCAAGGTTCAACTGCCATCGCTGGGCTGTGGAGTCTTCTCCGAAAGAATAGAGTGATAAAGGACTCTTCGGGAGTGTTTGGCCTTGGGTAAGTCCTACAAACTTGACACCCCAGATCCTGGACAAGTGGCCCATGATGGTCGCAATCGGCGGCAGCTCTTCCGCTCTAGGCCCATCATCAAAGCCTGCTTTTGATCCAAACCCTGTCTCGCGCGGTGCAGCGAAATCATGCTTTTTCTCCTGCGATCCGTCTTGTCCTGTGATGTTCCAGATTCTCACAGTACGGTCGTCACTACAGCTTGCAATGAGTCGCAACATGGATCCATCTTCGCAGGGGAGTTCTTCTGAGATGTCGACACCAAAGATGGATCCTTCATGTCCGTTCAGAATAGCAAGCAGCTCAGATCGGCTCTCTGACATATGACATCGCCAGACAAGAATCTCACCGAAAATTGTGCCGCCCGCCATCAGAACAAAGTCTTTGTCTAACCACTTCAATCTCGCAGCGTAAAGAATCGGGCGTGAAGGCGAGACGACAGCCCCAATAACAAGGGCATCGTCGCCGTTCAAGTGCAGGCTAACAACCTCGTTATGGGCCGTCGCAAGCACTGCTGAAGACTCATCAAATGGCGAAGGCGCAACATCGTATATCCAGTCTGGAGCCGCCGTCTTGTTCACCACCACCTGAGCATCTGCTGCGTTATCAAGAAGACTCTCGATATTTGATACAACTGCAATTTGCGCAGCCCCCCAGGCCAAAGCTCGTCCATTGCTCAGTACACGAATCCCATGAATAGGTTGTGCAGAGAAGACGCGAACACTGCCTACGCGCACAGCATGACCGAGTCGCAAATCATAAACGGTCAGGTGAGTATCCTCGCCAGCAAGAAGATATTCCGCATCTCGGAAGAATGCGAGTGAGGTGATGGGACCCTGGAAGAATTCTCGGGTGAGGCGTGACTGTAATGTGTGAGCTCATGATAGCGGGGGAGGGGCATTTGCGATGGACATGATCAAAACTCACCTCTGGCATTGTCACAAAATGGATGAAATGGGAAAGAAAAAAATAAATAAACGCTCACTCGTCTAGACAAGACATCAGTGACTCGTCTCGGTCTATCACAGCCCTTGAGTCAAGCAGGCGTAGAATAAATCACACAATTGTATTATCTTGTCTGAGTGAGGTTTTGTGTGGATTCTCAGTCAGCCATGAGCGAAAAATTTGGACTGGCTCAAGTATTTGCTCCGATGACCCATAAAGAACCGTCGCTCGACTCGGCACCCGATTCTTCGCTCTCTACAATCACGATAAAACGAATGGAACGAGATATTAAGTGCATTGTGTATTTTCATACCGTAAAGGTTACTACATATGTTCATTCCCATTGCCTAACCAAAGAACACATTTGGGTATCATGCCGTCCGGCATCTTCCCGTCATCCAAATCTCCAAACTTGCTTTGTACTGCTTAACATAAAATAAAATCCGTTTCATGACGAGAGTGCTGTAAAAACAATATCCTGTCATCCAATCCCAAATGCTCAATCAAAACCGAAACGCCATTAATGCAATCATCATCAAATGTCAAGTATAGACTTAAAGAATCATGTCGTGAGAACTATTCGCGCCAGCACCAGATTAGGCGCGGTGGGAGTAGGGCTCGTAGGCGAGGTCGGAACGGGCAGTGCCGCTGGGGTAGCGAGGAGCACCGTACTGAGACTGGGCCTGGTTGTTGTTGTAGAAGCCAGTCTGCATCTCGTGGTCGTTGTTGAGAGGAGCGTAAGAGCCGTGCTTGCCAGCGCCACCGAGAAGCTTCTCGCCGTCGGATCGGCGGTTCTTCTTGTCCTTGCTTCGGCTCTCAGGCTTGCAGCAGCAGATGGTGAACATCCAGAAGAGACCGGCAGCAATGGCGAAGGCGGCGGCAATAGCGACACAGGCAAAGAATCGACCGTTGATGTTGCCCTTAACACCGTAAAACTTGGCTGATGCTTCCACAGCACCGACGACGGTACCCGCAACGACACCAGACAGAACGACAGAGGCGATGACGAGAACGGTGGCAATACCAGCGACGATCCAGGTCAAGCAGGAGAGAATGCGAGAGCAGTTGGAGAAGATGCCAAGAATGATCTCAACAGCGAGAGCGAGGAAAGCTGCGATGTAGACAACCTCAGTCCACTTGGTAACAGTCCTGAAGGCAGTGAGAGCGTTCTGAATCTCCTCGGGCAGCTCAATCTGAACATTCTTGTCGGCACCAATGAGGTAGGAGGTGTTCAGCTTCTTGTTGGCCCAGTCAAACTCAGGCTTCTCGCACTTTCGCTTGCCATCCTTGTCGGTCTTGCAGAAACCCCAGAGGTTGATGTCGTAGTACTTGTCGAGGCCGAGCAGCTCAGCGGTGATGTTGTCCTTGATGGTTTCGGCACGGGTCTCGAGCTGGGGCACATCGCGGATGTCCAGCTTGAGGTCCTTGAGGTTGAGGTCATCGACAATGCTTTTGACGTCCTTGGGGCTTATGCTTAGGTTCTCGACGTCGATTCGGAAGACGTAGAGAGACTTGTCAGCGACACCGGCGAGGGCACCGACAAGGAGGAAGATGATGGAGCCGATTGTAAGTGCGAACGGCAATAGCACGCAGAAAAAGCGACCGACACCCATTTTGAGTTTTGTGGTTGCGGTTGTGGTTTGCGGTGTGGAATTGGGTTTTGCTGTGTTGCGTTTATGCGGCGGATTGAGCTAAACGTCCGTCGGAGTCGGAGGTCGAATCGGAATGACGTAGAGTTAGCAGCGAACGAGTGCTTGTAAGCGAATGACTCTATTCGAGTGAGTAGAACGAAACGCGACTGATGGAAATGACGCGAACGTAAAAAAGAGAAAATATGAGATGGTACGAGATGAGATAGTAGAAGTGGGAGAATGATCAACACCGAGGGAAGAAGCGGATGGTTTTATAAGAAGCTGAACGCAGGGCAGGTTGGGCTGAGAGTGAGCACTAGCGATGGAACAACAGTACACAGAGGCTAGCACAAGCCCAGTACAAGCACAAGCAGTGAGTACAAGGCAAAATGGCCCGCACAAGCTGGAGGGGGTTGGCGTTGACTGTTGGATGGAGACACTTGACGTGGAGGAGTGGAGTGGCGCAGCGAGAACCCTACCTAAGAACCCCTACCAATACATGCCGGTATCTCCAGTCAGCGCAGTGTAATCATGAGTTGAACACTGTACAGCACGCGTTGATACACACACATGGCACAGTGCCAGTGTGTTCTGATCTGCCTTGTTCATTTTGGGGGCGTCGTGCTTACGACTCCAGCCCAAGCCTGGTTGTTACAGCTTGAGGTCAGGTTCCCACTAAAATGATCACAGTGGGTATAGCGAGCTCAGCCACTCGTCCACGCTTTGCTTCCTGACGAGACGAGTTTGGCTTGGTATTTGTCTACACTAACCTTGATAGAATAGGAATAGGCGCAGCTTCTCTTCAATCTGCTCTCTCAGGCTGTGCTGTGCTAGCTGGCTAGGTGAAGCGGCTGAAAAACAAACATGCAGCTAGATATGCATTGGGCTTGACTGGGCTTGTGATGGGAGGTTCAGCTTACAACCCAAACAGTACAGTTGTTCCGCTCTTCTTCTTATTGTTGTTCTGTTCTCAGCATTAACTTTGAACTTCTCCAAGATCAACATGACGATCATGTCATTGGCCCGGCAGCCGGAGCATAATCATCATACTACGTAGTAATATCTCTGTTTAGGTGGGTAGAAACAAAGTGAGTTTCCGTTACGGAATTCCTAATCATGATGACATACATTGCCGTAACCCAACATGGGATATCCCACTTAACATTTTCACCAGCATTATCTGATCGAATCAAGCCATTAGTTCACGATCCCCAGCCTAATCGTCTATCCATAATCCCTACAAAGTAAAAAACGCAAGGACCCTGAACTCTTTGGTGCTGACGACACCTACTGGGATCAGAACCCACCTGCACCACCCATCACTCGATTTTTTCCCCAATGATCAACATGTGAGAGCAAACGAAGAAAATGTCTCGGTGCAACTCCAGCCATAATTGGATAGATCGATGCAGATGACATACTGTAGCAATAGACTTTTTTTCACCGGTAGTTACATTGAGTTTGTGCAAGATTGAGTTACGGATACCGTTGTTAGAAAGCCCATGTACCTTGTTTTGTGTTGATGAGATGGACGCTCCCGTTGGGCTGACAGGAAAGAAAACATCCCGGACTGTCAGCATCTAACATTAGCACGATTTAGAAATATCAACAAGAGGGTGCTATGCAGAGATATGATGCATTTGACAAGGAAATGCAGCCCTACGGGACGGAACGTGAAGCTGAAACCGGAATCTCTTTTTCGCGAAAGACCATCGTGTCTCTCTTTTTTCCCTCTCTCTTGGTCTCTTGGCCTAATATTGATTTGGCATGGAAGCAAAGCCTCAATCCATATCGAAACACAGCCTTTGTTAGTCCCGGGTAGCAAAAATGCGGTGCAGTGGTACGTATACCTTATCTAATTTTAGCGTTTTTTGCCTCGCTCAGCCCTCCACGCTTTTCGCATCTCTTTTCGTCCTTGACTGTTTTCCCCCACATTACGATGCTTTTGCTGCACCGCCCTTGGTCCCGACCATTCGTTACATGGGACCGAATTGAGATTCTGATGCCTTTACTTCAACGTTTAAACTCAATTATCAATCCGATTGCGCGTATCCCTGTCAACGATGCACTTTGAGTTTTTGACCGACCTTTTCTCTGGGCACCATCCTTTCACTCCCTCCAGTCTGGCTTGCCAACCAGGGCAAAAGAAAACTAATAAGCTTACGCATGCAAGGGCTTCACAAGTCTTGGAAGCCGCTTACTCGGGTTATCACTTGTTGCCAAAGTTCTTGTTCCAGATGTAGCTAGTCATTTATTATTCGTACTGACCGATGCTTTGATACTGCGCCCATTGCTACGGAGTAGTATGACTAAACATGTTCACGAAACTGGACCTCCATTCGAAATTAGCTCTGAGATGTGCAGCTTCTAATCAACTTGAAGAGCTTGCTCCTGTGTAATTATCGTTTTCTTAAAGGTCAGTTTCTATTACACAACAAGTGAGGGCCAATCACACGGTTTATAATGCTTCTCGTCGCCAGGCCGGTCGACATAGGGTAACCAAGGTACCTAGATTGTTATGAGCCATGGTACGGATAGACCATGTCAGTATGCGAAGCTGATAGTATAATGACAGCAAACTCCTTAAAAATCACTTTCTCATCATCTAATAGTCGTGAGAAGCATAGGCAACGGAATCTCAGTAGTAGAAACGCTAATCCCATGGTTTCCCCAAGTACTGTACGTTCTTGTTTCTTATTATTGCACATAACTTCCCCAAGATGTTTCTCTACATGCGGAGGGCCATATCTAACCACGCCAATACTTTCCTAATCTTCCCATAGTTTTAGTACATTCAACGAATAAGGTCCGTGACAGCATAATGACCCCTAAGTCATAGTTCGTATACACGCAACCCGACTGAGCGCCCCCAACCATCTGTACACAGCGATACCATGATGATAATCTAGCTGAACTGGACTTCAACATTCTGCTCGCCAACTTTTGACCCGTTGTGATGAACCGTGAAGTTTACTGTTCCGTCTTCGCAATCCATCTTGACCGTCCACTCGAACTTTGAAAAGACCTGTCCAAGAGGGTTGGTGAATTTGGGGAGCTTGTTGGCATTGATTCCTTCGTTCCACTTGATACTGCAAAGAGAACGAATGTTCGAGTCGTCTTTCCTCGAAGGAGGGGGGAAAGTCGTTGAGGAGTAAATTGGCGTGTCCACATCAATCATAGAGCCTGAGAACAGGCGATAGAAGTCAAGATGAACCGATCTCTTCTCCGAAATATCATCGCCCTAGCAAATGAGTCAGTAGTGTGCTTTTCTGCACCATTGCCCCCTACTCACCTCTTTCAGAAACCATTGCATCTGATTATTAGCCCTGAAGATGTGGTCCTGCTCATCCCATAACCTGTCACGCACGTCATGCTCGCCTTCGACGAAAGGAGTGCTGTAACCAACTCCGTAGCTCATTCTAGCAATCCGTGCTTCAACATTGACAGCCAGATTGGAAGAGGGATTGTGCTGAAGGAGTCCTTGCACGACAGCGCCGCGGCAGATGGAAGTCCACCTGGAGAACTGTTAGCATGTGTTTATTGCATCGCCAGCTTGAACGGATATAGGGATACTCACGGCTTGTTTCCACGAGATTGCAGAATGGTGGACTGGAACCGGTTCTCAAGAGAGTTAAAGAGATAACGGCTTCGGCCAAACCCTCCAACTAGGATGATATACTAGAACTAGTGTTAGAGGCGTGGCTTTGGAATGCGTTCCATGTGCTCCATACCTTGGGCGCTTCGTGGTATTTTTCCTGAATAGTATCGACTTGGCGGCTCACAAGGTTCTCGATCTTGCCAATAATTGGAGAAAACACAGACAAGATTTCGTTGCTACCACACAATTAGCCGGTTCTCTATCCGTTCACTTTGTCAAACTCACGAGGTGAGGTCGGTTGTAATACGACGTCGCAAGCCTTGGGAGGGATTGCGACCGCAACTCTCAGGAAGATCGACTGGCCAAGCCCTCTTTTGATTTTCAAACTGAGGCTTGATGCCATGCTCCCACTGATCATTGAGGAATTTTTTCTCATCTGAATTGCTCACTGGCCCCCAAGTACCCGAAGGGCTTTTCTTCCTGACGAGCTTGATGAAGCCTTCGTCAAGGAAGACCCCTCCGCAGAGATCGCCTATCAATCGGTCAATCACTGGCGATGTCTTTGAGAAGACCGATGCTGCATATCAACTTACCGTCACCCTTGACACATTCTTTGATAACGAAAGGGTCCGTTGATTCGAAAATGTAGCTGATAAGATCCTTCACAATGTTAGTGGAGTATAGTTCTGCTACTAGGCCAACTTACAACTGTGCCGCCTCCTGCATCGCAGACAACGATAGTGTCACCGGTCTAAATGCTTGTCAATCCAACCACCCCCATTGTAGAAAGTGTGCTCTGCATCCTTACCTGGATATTAGATCGCTTAGCATGATCTTTGATCGTAGCGAGGGCAGCAGCCTCTGGCTCGGAGATGAATCGGAGGGTAGTTGCACCAGCAGGACGCCCATCGAGAATACCAGACTGTTGAGAGGCTTGCTTCATTCGCTGTTGAGCATAGGGAGGCCAGATAGCAGGCAAAGTGATGACCACCTGGAGCTTGGTTCTCTTCAGCAAGTCGACGCCTACGGCACGTCTGATGGAGTCCAGGGAGTGGTCCCAGAGCTTGCGAAGGAAAGTGGCGATGATTTCAATAGGTTCCTTCTTGATCTTGTTCTTCAGGCGACGGGCTTCCTGCAATTGGCTTGAACGAGCAACATCGGTAGGAAGATCTTTGGGATCAATAAGCAACAGCTTGAACCACTTGAGTGGCTCCTTGTCAATGGGGATAGAGTAACCCCATTTGACATTCTGGCCGTTTTCATCAAAGTAGAGCTGAGTAGGTGCCTTCTCGACGTCCGAGCAGTGATTCAGCTCCGTATCCCAGCTGGTAACGATCTCAATCTCGTCAGGTTCCCTAGAGTACGCCCAAGCTACACCCGAGAATCTACAAACGAGTTAGCGTTTATAGTGCAACAGAAATTATAGACTCACGTAGTTCCGAAGTCGATGCCAATGACGATGGCATCGTTCAGGGGTTGATTGGCAGCCATACTGTCTTGATGTCGTGGTTGCAGATGAGGGAAGCAGTAACGAACGGCCTGAATAAAGAGAGCAGAATGAAAGCTACAAAGATCAGAGGAGAAAGGAAAGGAAGATGAGAGAAAGAGATAAAGGGAATCCCTAAGGTGCTGGTAGGTATCCGCAAGTTTGCTAATATTTTATGCCAGTGCCTGCGCAGTGTTTGCCAGCTGCCAAATAATAAAAGAGAGATGCCATGCAGTGCCTGGCAACCGAAAGGCTGAAGGTAAATAAATATTCACTCCCGCACACCTTTTCTACTTTTCCTTTCTCATACTCTGCAGCAGTATCTTTGTGATCGTGCTTCACTCTTCTTTCATCACGAGCTGCCTGAGTCCTTCACAGCTCCATATCAGGAAAACCAGCAATACTTCTTGCATTTCTCCTGAATTTCATCCGCATCGCGCTTTTCAGTTTCCTTTGTTTATCTGTGTTCCTTCGACGCGTTGGAAGTATCATCACGATTCACTACTTCACAGGTGAAGACAAGTCTCTACGACGACGACCAGGACCTTCTTCTATGCGCACTTGACAGAATTTCTACTCTCTTCTTGTCATAATCACTGTAGAAACACTTCATATCTGAGGCATACTACAGTCAGGTAAGTCCTTGTCTTCTCGTCTTCGTACAATAACGATATTGGAAGTTGTCGCTAACTATTGACAGCAAATACTCGATACTATTTGCTCGTACATCTCTCAAAGCCACCGAGAATGAGTGCACAACAGCAGGCATCTGGCCAAAACCAGCCGCCTATGCCCAATCGCCAGGGGACTCAACCTTCATCTTCTGGCCAACTCCCATCTGGTCAAATTCCACCTACTCAACTCACAGGGGCTGCTGCCGAGTTCTACAGGGACATCATGAATAGTCCCAGCAGGAACAACCTTCAAATGGCCCCTAACGCAATGAATTCCAATCCTGTTGCTATGCCACATCCTGCTATGGGCTACAATAACCAAGGCATCAGTCAAAGTATGAACCAAGGCATGATCCAAGGCATGCACCCAGGTATGCAACCAAACATGAACTCAAACATGAACCAAGCTATGAATCAAGCCATGAGCCAGGTCATGAACCAAGGCATGCATCCAGGTATGAACCATGGTATGCATCCAGGCATGAACCGAGGACAGTTCATCAACGCTTTCCCACAGCCTATGCAGTTTCGGCCAGATCAAGCTTCTATAAACAACTTCTTCCAGGCGCAGGAGGCACGGATGAGCACCTTGCTACAGAAATCTGAGAAACTGGTAGAGTCGCAGTCTTCCACTTTCAAAGAGATGATGGACCGTCTTTCCAAGGCCACCTCCAGCTTTAGCAACACTATCGCACACTGGCTTCGACATCCGACTACAAATGAGGCAGCCAACCTGTACCGCGAAATGCAGAAATCTCACACCCGGTTTGTTGAGGCCGACAAACAGAACCGTCAGTTGAAATCGGAAAAGCAGGCACTGGAAAAGCAACTGAAAGAATCTGAGACCAAACTTGCCACTGCCCTTGAGGAGCGTGACGAACAGCGACAGCTTGCTGATAGTGCCTGGTCAGGTTCGGCCAAGGTATCAGACGATGCTGTTCAAAGCAAATGGAAGCAGCTTGACTACAACATTCGTGCCATGGCAAGAGCCTTGGTCAAGTGTCAGCTTCGTCGTGTGAAGGACGATGTTGTTGAGGAACGCTTCTCTATGATCCGCGAAGATTGGCAAAAACTACTTACCGACGACAACTACAAAGAGTTCTTCATCCAAGCTTACCTCTGGCTTGTTGTTTTTTCACAGGTCTATCAGGATCAAGGCGGAATTCGTGGTGCTGGTGGTGTGGCTGATCTGAAGACCATGCGCGACACGCTCGTGGGTAAGTGAAGACCGGCACTCCTATGTATAGCATCTATATCTAACAATACTGTTTATAGGCCTGGCTCCCGACACTGACCGACCTGGGCGCCCAGGCCCTTCCCTCCGACACGTTGCAAGATGGTCTGCTCAGGGTGCAGCGCTTTTTGAACATTTCATTGGACGTAACCAGAAGTCTTTCAAGCGTCAAGCGGCTATTGAACTTGAGAGACTCAAGGCCTTCTGTGATGCCGATTCCAAGAATTCAGACACCGACTTCCTTCAGGACATGAAGACCGTTCTTGGAACTGCAATGGATTTGGACGATATGTTGATGAACTCCAGAGCCATTTTTATGGTCCGCTGGAACGAATCTGGACAATCAACACGTGCTCTCTTCAACGCGGACATGATGGAGGCCATCGCGTACAGCGAGGAGCTCTCTCCTAAGACGATTGTTGAAATTGAGGTCTCGCCAATGCTCGTCAAGACTGGGAATGCTGACGGCTGCAACTACGACAGCAGTATGGTCCTTGCAAAGGCCTTGGTCGTCTGTCGATAAGCTGCTACATGGAACAAGAAGTGTAAGAGAGAACACCTTGATTAGGGTGCTGATGAGTAAACCCGAAGGTGTTCCTAGCTGGACTATAAATATGTGGTCCCATATTCGTTGATTTTTGGTACTGACGACGGGGAAAGGAAAGGAATAATCGTCTGCATAGCTTTGGAGCGAGCTTGTCTAAAACTATGTCATGTGTGGAGTTATGTAAGATACCCGATATACAACAATGTCAGAGTTGCCTTTACTTGTTTCTTTTCCTTACACAGATCGGTGAAACTATCGTGCTGATGTCTTATTCAACTTGACGCAGGACAGGAATAGTGTGTGCTAGACCAATTGCGGCGGTGACCTGTCAAGGCCACGCGGTGACGGTTTCGGTGAGAGGAGCACGAGGCAAGGTCAGCTGTCACAGCACAGAGTCTGTGTGATGGTAGCACCTAACTTAGTCGAGTGTAGCGAGGTACAGTATTGTATGCACTACAGTACACTGCGAAGGCGGCCTCAAACCTGCTGGTCCAGGGCTATAATTCGATACATCATTATGTGCTCTGCGGTTGCGGGAGGAAGAGGGGTTGATGATAGTCTGCCTAGCCGTCTTGCCTTTTTTACCATTAGTGTTGATAGTTGTTGGCCATAGTGAGTTAAGTGTATTTTTGTTCAGCTGTGCCCTGGGAAGTTCGAGATCGTGGGTAGTGGTGAGAAGTTGAAAAGTGGCATGGACAGCTGAACTGATTTGGACAGACTCCGAATGTTCGACCGAGCGTCTGTTGTTGTTTCTCTTGTTCCTCTCTGATAATCAAAGCCTGAATGGTCGAGACCCAAATTCAAGTTCCTCGCACGTGCCAGCCGTTGACTCCAACAGTCCAGGGATTCGGGTTGTGTTATCATGGGCCCAGGACAGGGTCCCCCGGGCCTTGAGTCTGCAGGTAGTTTTTACTTGTTGTTTCTGGTGAAGGTGACGAATCGCATCGCATAGCCTCAATCAATGGTCTCGGTTTTTCGGTATCTGTTTTTGATCTGAATGGCAGCTCCGAATGTTAGCTTTGAGGTAGTTCGATTTAGGTCTCAAGACCAAGAGAGCGGTGTCACTATCGCCATATGATAGCTTGTGCTGAAGATGAATACTGATAATGATGAAACGAACTGACGAGTTTGGCTGAGCATCTTTAATCTTATCAACTCTTGTTCGCATCTTGGCTAACTTGGCTTTGATTCACATCCATTCACATTAACTGGCTTCATACCCCTGCTTCACGCCCAACCTCACTGTAGCGAGAGCCTCCCCTCCATTGGGCGCCGATCAAAGAACCACCCCGGACGAACCAAGTCTTGGCTGCATTGCTTGTCATTGGAGCTTCTTTTTGGTCAGAAGCTGTGCCTCTCTGTCTGTCTTTTTTTCGCCTTTGCCGACTACCTATGGTGTCCTGTGTTTAATGTGTGTTAGATGTGACATTGATACTACGGAATAGCACGTAGCCTTTTCTGGTCTTGTTTCACCCAATGATTCTCTCAAGAAGTCAACTTGTCTCTCTAACTATAAGGTGCTCTAGCTGTAAAAAGAAGGAAGTTTGTCCTACATAGTACAAGAACAGACGAGAGAGAGAGAGGGTGTGGAACCTTAATTATTCCATAGTCTGAGGCTTGAGCCCGCCACCATCTCCTCACTCTCCTCATTCTCCTCCTCTTCTCTATCTCGCTTCGACCTTATCCGGGTCTGCTCCGCTGCGCTACGTGAGCTTGACCGGCCTCAGCTCTATTCACCTTGGCCTGGCCTGGCTTTGTAGTTTTTTTCTTCGCTTGGGGGTTAAAAAGGGAAAAGGACAAGGACAAGGTGGATGTCATTGCATTGGTTTGCATAGGTATCGCCTGGGCTGTCTAAAGCTTGGCTGCTGGGCTGCTCGGTTAGTGCACCTTGGGCCTAACGTTATCTTTTACTTTACTTTTGCAACGCCCTCTTGTCCGTTGTTTTCTTCCTCTTGCAACAAACTCTAGAGCCTCATCCGCTGCAATTGAGTCTTATCTTTATTTTTACCGTTTGTCTGGTTGTTTATGCAGACACTTTAACACCGTCACGTTCATACCGCCTGCTCAATCGACGTCATTCGTATGCGAACCGCTACTCCGCCTACTACAGCTCTATCTACCACCACTACCTTGCTACCTACCGCCGCCTTTATCCAGCACCACCTGTACCTGTACCTGTACCAATACCACCACCTCTCCGATACCATCCTCCAGCAACACCTGACACTCAACGTTTTGCCTTCAAACACCTTGGCAATCTGATTTTTCCAATCTTATCATACTTGCATTTGCTGTTAGTTTTGTCTCTATTCTATTCACTTACCTCCGACACCTCGGTTGCTTCTATTCTGGCCGTATGTCTACTCTACTCTACCGACCACTCTAGTCGCTCTACCTTACCCAACTATCCTCCACACTGTGGCTATTTTTTTCACCGGCGTCTTCTGCGGTCGTATGCGCCGCAACCCTCCCATGCACTCTTTTTTCCATTCAGCATCTTCCTATCTCAGAGTGAGTCAGCCTAACGTGGATATTCCCAGATTCATACTCGGTCTTTGCTCTTTCAGCGCTATCTCCGATATTCGTTCGGCTCGTGCTTTCTATCCTCTCCGGCTTCATCCCGGCGTTAACAGGCCTCCCCACGACGTCATCACCGCCGTAAAACCCACCCGCCGACTCACTTCGACATCTCGTGCTTCTACTTGAAGCATCTTGTCAAACTGCCCAAAACGGACGCTTCAAGGAGTCGACGTCGCTCCTCCTCCTCCTTTTTTCTAAACCTCGATCGCTTTTTTCACCCTCCTTAACGTCTCCCTTGACCTAAGAGCTCGGCGACCGTTTGCTGCGCCGACGCCAAAAATTACCTACCACGAATAGCCGAACCACCTGTCGCCAACCGAGTTTGGAACAACTACTGTTGGTAGTCGCGGGAAACAAATACCATGGGAAACAACAACTCCAGTCAAGGCGGATCTGGCTCCAAGGGCTCCGGTTCTGCCGGGCCTGACGGTCCCCTCCAGTCTTACCCATCATTCAGCAGGTCTGACACTAAGGAATCATCGCGCTCGTTTCGATCACTGGGATCCAAGATTCGTGGAAGCAAGTCGGATAGCCCAAGGAACTCACAGGTTCTGTCAAACGGTGACACTGCAACCGAAACAAAGACCGAAGAAAGGCGATCCAGTAGGCATGGACGTTCAAGTTCTTCCCGACTGAGCCGTAGCGAGCTTCCCCCGCTCAACACCGCCGAGACGGACATGTCAGCAGCATCCGAGTCTGCCCTCGCAGATTCGGCCGTTGGCGAAGACCAGCCACCCCCATCTCCCGTTCAAGGCAACGCCAAGGGCGGCACCCACGATGTCAGCGCTGCGCAAGCATCGGGAGAAGTCGACCATGTTTCGGACCAGCCTCCGTCTGTGAACGCCGGAGCCACCACTGCGCACATGCAGGCTCCAGGCCAGTCCATTCTGGTGAAGCGAGAAAACACCATCAATCCAGTCAACAACGGCCCTTCCGCCGACAAGAGCGAAGGCAACTCTAATGTTGCCATGTCAGAGATCAAGGATATCGATCTCGACGACTTCATCAAGCGACTCTTGGACGCGGGCTACGCTGGAAAGGTTACCAAGAGCGTCTGCCTCAAGAATGCCGAGATTGTTGCAATTTGCCAGAGGGCCAGGGAAGTCTTATTGACACAGCCTGCTCTTTTGGAGCTGGATGCGCCAGTCAAGGTTGTGGGTGATGTCCACGGCCAGTATACTGATGTTATCCGCATGTTCGAGATGTGCGGATTCCCTCCCAACTCAAACTATCTCTTCCTTGGTGACTATGTTGATCGAGGCAAGCAGTCTCTAGAGACTATCCTCCTGCTCCTTTGTTACAAGCTCAAGTTCCCCGAGAACTTCTTCCTCCTCCGTGGAAACCACGAGTGCGCCAACGTTACGCGAGTGTATGGCTTCTACGATGAATGCAAGCGAAGATGCAACGTCAAAATCTGGAAGACGTTTATTGACTGCTTCAACACTCTGCCAATTGCTGCTATTGTCGCTGGCAAGATTTTCTGTGTTCACGGAGGCTTGTCGCCAGCGCTTGTTCACATGGACGATATTCGAAACATTGCTCGACCAACGGACGTTCCCGACTATGGACTACTCAATGATCTTCTCTGGTCAGACCCTGCAGACATGGAGCAGGATTGGGAAGCCAACGAGCGAGGAGTCAGTTATTGTTTCGGTAAACGAGTCATTACGGAGTTTTTAGCAGTGCACGATTTCGATCTCATTTGTCGTGCGCACATGGTGGTTGAGGACGGCTATGAATTCTTCAACGATAGGGTTCTCGTAACGGTCTTCAGTGCCCCCAATGTAAGTCACACCCGAGTCTGTTCCTTCGGATAATCGGCTAACTTAAGTAGTACTGCGGCGAGTTTGACAACTGGGGCGCCGTTATGTCGGTTTCCGCCGAGTTACTCTGTAGTTTTGAGCTGCTCAAGCCTCTCGATTCAAGCGCGCTCAAGAGTCACATCAAGAAGAGCCGAAACAAGCGACAGCATATGCTCAACAGTCCGGTATGTTCATTCTATAACCCCAGATATTTTTGTAGGACTATTCTAACTTCAACAGCCCGCTTTAATCCAACCTCAGAGCATGTAGTGGAATATGCATTGCAAATACGAAACGACTTTTTTATGCCAACTTCCTCTATCACGAGACATTCATTTATACGAATGATGGCGAGTCCGAGGGCGACCCGGAGAATGCTGTCTAGTTTTGAACAGAAAGAAACAGCGAAAACATATCAACTCTTGAATCAGGGTATGAAGAAAGGTCCATAATGTGGTCTTGAGTGCCGAGAACAAGTACACTCAGTACATAGTGGCCAAGTACCACGGTGTGACAACCGTAGACGGTCACGGCCTCTGTTCCGAGTGACGGACGTAACTGTCCTAATCAGACGATCTGAAATGGTCAAGAAGGCACACAAGACCCAGAATAGCGCCACTGTGTATACGTTTTGGAGTTTGGGAAAGGTTGGCCTATACTTGAGGGCGCACTTGTAAAGAATTGGTGGGAGGATTGGGAAACGATTGGCCTTATAGAGTTATTCATGGGCTTATAGCAAGATTTCCGATCTTGATTTATGCATAGCACTGGGAATTGAGTACAGGCAGTTCCTATTGATTTGTTTTTTTCTTCAATATTTACTCTCGACTTTGAATCTGACAGTGAACTTTCAACATAAATGTCTCCAGCATGTGATTGGCCAATGCGGGGTGAACTGGCTTAGTCATTTGTAAACTGAGGACGAAAATTGAACGTCTAAACCACCGACAATCAGCATCACCACTTTCGTCAAACACCGCCAAAATGCAACGCCACGCCTTCAGTTCGGTGTGCAGCCGGACAAGGCCAGAGCTCGAGCAGTTCTCAGACGCCTTCCGAAACTACGCCCGCCAATTCTCGACTACACAGATCCAGGCCGCCGATGGTCCCAGCACACCAAGACCGGCCACTCGCGGCGGGAGCCGTTTTTCTGGTCAGGCTGGCGGTCCCAAGGTCGTCGATATAAAGAATATGCCCATGCGCGGCCGGGGAGGTTTCAGAGGGCGTGGTGGTGGCGAGCTCCGTGGACGAGGTGGTCTTCGTGGACGGGGTGGACTTACCGGACGAGGTGGATTTACTGACAGAGGAGGATTTAATGGACGAGGTGGTTTCACAGGCAGGGGAGGCTTTTCAGGCCCGAATCGCTCATCATCGCCAAACGGTGCACCTACGAGAGGCCGAGGTCGTGGCGGATTCAGTGACAGAGGCCGCGGTGGTCGTGGGGGTCGAGGACGTGGTGGCCGAGGAGGAAAAACCGAACGACGAAGAGATGACGACGACAAGGACAGGAAGAATAACCAGAACGAGTTCAACAACCTGGATCCCGATGAGCAGTCATTCGAGGACAGCGTTCGATTCGGCATGACATCCAAATGGGCGCCCTCTCTGACAATCGAGTCTGTCAACGAATTCGCACCCGTCGCACCAAACACTACCTCTGGAAAATCAGCTGCTGTTCTCCAGAACCTCAGCGTTCTTGGCACAGCTGACCATGTTGGCGCACCGGAAGCTTTCCAACCTCGCTACTACGCCTCTGAGATCGAGGCAGGCGGCATCCGCTTCTTTGCCGATGCCAACGCCAAGCAGGCCGCTGAGAAGCACCTCCAGGATAAGCTTCAGGCCGAGGGCAAGGAGTCCAAGGGCCCTATCATCACCGATGCTGAGGAGTCTGTCCGCCAGGTTATCACACAGCGAGCTGTCCAGGGCCAGCACGAGACACCCAAGTTTGCTTCAGACCCCGTGGGCGTGTCCCGCTCATGGCATCTCCGGGCTGAGACGTACAATATCAACGACGTCAACTCGTTCGAGACAAAGTTGACGTCGCTCTTGTCCAAGGGCGCTGGTGGAAAGGGTGGAAAGGCGCGCGCTTAGAACCGTAAGATCTTAAGATCAGTGTACACTTGTCACGATATGTAATACTACAAAAATATTCTGCATCTATCATATAAATACCAGCCCTCTGCATCATAGTTGACGAATTGTCTGTGCCTCTTCTTGGTCAATCTCCTTCATCTTTTTGTCCTGCACCTTTTGCAGCTCTTTTTCGGCCTTCTTGACGATGTCAGGAAGCACAGTGCCGTTCTTCTTCCAGTCCTTGAGCGTCTTCTCGTGTCGTGATCTGGCGTTGCGAATGCGGTCCTTCCACTGCTGCACCGCCTCCTTGATGCGTCGCTCAACGTCGTCCTTGCGCTCGAGCTCTACCTTGAGAAGCAGCTCAAGCTCGTTATCCTCTGATCGCTGGGGTTGCTGGTTGAATTCGCGGCTTGCCTGCACCGCTGACATGATGGGCTTGATGTATTCCTTGTCGTTTACCAGCAGCGAGATAGCTCGTCCGGATCGCGGAACGACCTGCGCAAGCTCCCGCAGAGGAAATGAAGCATCTCCACCCTCCTCGTCCTTGATAGCCACAGGCAGCGAGCCCAAGTTGGTCGGGTTGAATCGTCCGCCATGTATCATGCTCGCCAGGTGCGTCTTAAAATGTGCGTCGATAGGTGCATACGCAGCAATAACGGCCGTAAAGTCGAGAGGATCCTCCGGGTCCGGCGTGGGTACCTTCGCGGTGTCGTACTCGGCCTTGTTCATGGACCCAGCGGCCGCCTTAGCATTGGCGCTATTGGGGCTGTTGCTGGGTGCCGTGATCTTGCGCTTCTTGAGCAGCGAGGGGGAGGCGCTGAAGAAACGAGGGGTAGCGGCGATGGAACGGAGGGGAGCTGGTCTGCGAGGTTGGTCAGTGAGTTTGGCATGATATTTGGGAGCTTTTGGGTTGGGTACGTACGCCTCTGAGCGCACGAGCTGGCGCAGGCAGGTCTTCAGAGGACCATTGGCTCGTGACATTGCCATTGTAATGAGTGTGTCGTGGTGTAAGTTTGTCGAGGCTGTTGATTGGGATTTTGGGTGAGGGTCGAAATTCCTGCGCGACGTCAGATCAGCTCCGGGATTGGCGGTGATAAGATAAGGTTTTGGTAGGACATAGAAACATCCAGATGGGGATCAACAAAAATAAAGCTAAAAACACTCGTGGAGGTTATATATGTTATTGAGTATAAAAGTTCATCCTTGTTTTCAATTGTCAGCTTGTACGTTGCATACTGACGTCTGCTCAGTGAAATTGTTTGGTTGTGAACAGTTGTATGTGGTCCTAGCATGTTAATAGTACGTAGGTGTGCACAAGTTCCGACAACGAGCCAACTAGAGATGTATAATAGAATAGATAAATAAACCATACTATAGTTAGAAGACTTTACATATAATCGAGATGAGATTATATAATCTTATGTAAAATCTAGAATAAAGGAAATTATTGAAAGTTTTATATAACCTACTGTACTCAGCAGGCTATTAGAGTGGTATGATTGACTTTGTACTATTATTATGCTAATTTAATCTTGTATGATTACTGGAGATTGTTGAAATAAATATTCTTCTAGATTTTATAGTTATTCCTCTTATCGGTCTGCTTGTAAATTGACTTTTACCGCCAAACAGTGATGCCACAGCCACTCTGCAACAAGCTGCAAATGCAGACCTACTTTTATTCTCCTACGAGGAACCTGAACTACTATAAATCAATTGAATTAGGTAGTATCAACTCGAATGTTACTGATAGAATTGACATCTCCATTGACTGAGATTACTTCTTCAATGTGCTCGATCATTCCTTGCTCCACCCTCGAACACTTGGCCGGGGAGCCGTATAGATTCCTTGTGGATATCACGTACGCAGTGAACCTATACCTGCCTCTTCCTAATGCTAGCATGACATCTCACGAGTATCATGCTGACTTATTCCCTGTGAGCATCGAGAACAGCAGTGCATTGTTACGAAACTCGCGCGGGGTATATATCCATCATGAAGCCTTCAGAAGGTCACGATCTTGTGGCCTAGTGGTTTAGGGCACCTGTCTTACAAAATGCAATACATTTCAGTGATCACAGGGGATCGCAGGTTCGAACCCTGCCAAGATCATCATGTCTCTTCGTTGTCATGGTGTTGTGACACGACAGCCAAAGATATTTTTGGCTTGTGAGCCTAGTAAGTAAGCAGCAGTACTTAAGCTTTTGCGGGGTAAAATGGAGTTCTACTCACATAGGGCTGAGTGAGACGTGAGAGAAGTTCAGAGGGAGAAAGACTCTCTCTTTCTTACCTAACTAACCTTTTTCAGGCCAAAGCCCCTGTCTGTGTAATACTGTTTTGGGCTTTCCATCTATCTATCTGTTTCTCAAAACGGAAGTGCTATCATCTATCGTGACTGTCTTCCTTGTCTGTATGTAGGTAGCGTTCTATATCAGGAGCAGATAGCATTGTTCCCTAAGTCGGATTTTAGCTCCAATGTTCAAGTCTCTCTTAATCCGAAAGGCTACACAGACGTTACTTGTAAAAGCATAATTAACTGTTTATACTGTAACCTTATCGTTCATCAACACTCATAATGTTGAGTAAAGTAATGAGCCATTGCCCAATCAGATCCACTCCAACGCTTCAGGGTTGGGCGGCCCTTATCACTTTGCAGCAGCTAAAAGCAGATAAGACCAACCTTTTCCAGGGTAAACGGTAATCCCCAATCCCACAAAAAGCGCCGACTTCGGAGCGAGATCCGAAAGCCTTGCTAGCATAGTCATTCCCCCGCCGAGTTTTATGCCTGATACCAAAAAGTTGCTTTACTACCTGTAGACCTTTTGTATCTAAACTCTTGGGTCTATATCTACGCACTTACCACTTTAGGTCATCTCATCGCCTTCAAAAGAAATCATTTACAATGGCTCCCGAACGTGTTTGCCTGTGAGTCCTTTACGATAACCGGTTCAAGCCTTAAACTGAGTCACTGACAAACTGACGTAATTCAGTGCCTACTCAGGTGGTAAGTTGGGCACGCTTATGAGAATATCTCAAGTTCAATGCTCATATATACAATAGGTCTTGACACTAGCACCATCCTCCGATGGTTGGTTCTTCAGGGTTATGAGGTTGTGTGCTTCCTTGCCGACTGTGGTCAGGAGGAGGACTTCGATGCCGTCAAGGAGAAGGCCATCAAGCTCGGTGCTGAGCGAATGATCATCGAGAATGTCCAGCAGGAGCTCATTGATGAGCTGGTCTGGCCCGCTATTCAGTGTACGTTCACTTGCTTTGATATACGTGTAAGTTTAACACATTTACTGACGCTCGAAATCTATAGGCAACGCCATCTACGAGGACCGATGTAAGTTACTCACCCCCAATACTCATCAACAACTCAGCTAACATCGAGTAGACCTCCTCGGAACCAGTCTTGCCCGCCCTGTGATCGCCCGATCCATGGTCAAGGCTGCCAAGGAGCACAACTGCACGATCCTCAGCCACGGATGTAAGCAGCCTCCTAGACAAGTCACAGCTTGCTTGCTGTCTGTATAAACAATTGGCTAACATAGGTCTCCTATCTCTTCAGGTACCGGCAAGGGTGTAAGTTATCCAATCCTAAACCTCCTTTTAAGTTCATGTTGCTAACGTTTCCAGAACGAGTATGCCTCCTTTTCCAAACAGCCTCTGGCTTAGTACTTACATCTCTCTAGTCAAGTTCGTTTCGAGCTCGCCTGGAAGGCCTGCGACCCTACCCTCAAGGTCGTCGCCCCTTGGCGCAACCCCGAGTTCTACAACCGATTTGCGTATGTGATCCAGTACCACTTCTTGTAGCCAAACTAACAACTGCACAGCGGACGTGCCGATCTGCTCAAGTTCGCCGACGAGCAGAAGATCCCCGTCAGCTCTACCCCCAAGGCACCTTGGTCCATGGATGACAACATCATCCACTGCTCATACGAGGCCGGTGTAAGTCACTCTACACTCATGAACTCTATCGTACATTGTACTCATCATATCAGATCCTTGAGCAAACTGAGCTCGAGCCCCCTAAGGACATGTGGAAGCGCACAGTTGGTAAGACACCCCTGGGCGTTCTCAATAAAACTATTAGACACTGACATTTATCTGCAGATCCTATGAACGCTCCTGATGAGCCTACCCCTTTCACCGTTCACTTCGCTGAGGGTGTTCCCGTCAAGCTGGAGGTCGGCGACAAGACCATCACTGGCTCCCTGGAGATCTTCAAGGAGGCTAACGAGATTGCCCGTGTCAACGGTGAGACTTCATACTCTGGACAGTTTTGACTTTTGGCTGACCAAATTTTAGGTATTGGACGTGTCGATATTGTCGAGTCCCGATTCATCGGTGAGTTCCCGCTCGTCAAGAAATGTACGCTGTCTGTTGTGTAATCCGCTAACAATTGCCAGGTCTGAAGAGCAGAGGCTGCTACGGTATGTAACCATATTTGGCTCAGTGAGAGGACAACCATGTTAACATCGTTTCTAGACACCCCCGGTCTTACCATCCTTCGCCAGGCCCATATCGACCTTGAGGGTATGGTCATGGACTCCAAGGTGCGAACCATTCGCGACCGTCTTTCCAAGGACTGGTCAGACTGCATCTACAACGGTCAGTAACATTATCCCAAATTCACACCCAGCCGACGAATTGGATATCCTAACTCCCACAATAGGCATGTACTTCAGCCCTGAGCGTGAGCTCGTCGAGCACGCCATCAAGTTCTCCCAGCGCCAAGTCGAGGGTAAGGTCAGCCTCGTCGCCTACAAGGGCTGCGCCTACGTCGTCGGACGTTCCAGTGAGACTTCCAACCTCTACTCGGCCGACGAGAGCAGCATGGACACCCTCGACATGAACTGGACTCCCCAGGACACCTCTGGCTTCATCGCCATCCAGGGTATCCGTCTTGAGAAGTACGGACAGAGGAAGATCCAGGACGGCGAGCCCCTTGCCCGCGTCTAAGCGCATGCTTAGTATGACGGCTTCGAGAGGGTTTGAAGGTATTAGTAGGCAGTTAGCCACAGAAGCCTGAATCACAAAGATGCACGTAACTCGTAAGGCTTATTTAAATCTCGCTATACCATGCATGGCAACTTGTGAACACTAGAGCACCACTGTGCCTTTGCTTGTTACCCTTTGAACCTTAAATGCAGATCAAGTAAGTGATATTATATGCCTTAAAGTAAGGGTAAGGTTTGAAACCTTTATCACTCAAAGCCAATCACTGCATCAACCTCGAAAACATAGTCAGTTTCATGCCTCACTTGACTGGCGATATTTTCATTCTTCATTAGGTACCAGATTATAGCTATCATATCCCCACACCTACGACTGAAGCGGCTTGCCCATGCCTCCAGACGTAATCATCTTGGTAATCTGGTACTCTCCAATTCCATACAACGATCCCTCCCGGCCAAAGCCACTCTCCTTAACACCACCAAACGGCGCAGCAGCATCAGAAATGATGCCAGTGTTGACTCCGACCATACCCACCTCGAGGGACTCGGCGATGCGGTAAACGCGCTCGATATCTCGAGAGAAGAAGTAACCTGCTAGTCCGACCTCGGTGTTGTTGGCCATCTTGACTACCTCCTCCTCTGTCTCGAAGGGGAAAAGGCCAGCGACTGGTCCAAAGGTCTCCTGGGAGGCCATATCCATCTCGGGGGTCATATCGCGGATGACGGTGGGCGCGTAAAAGTTAGATCCAAGCTCGCTGAGTCGCTTACCTCCGATGGTGATCTTTCCGCCCTTCTTCTCGGCGTCCCTGACGTGAGCTTCGACCTTCTCAATTGCTCGATCGTGGATCAAGGGTCCATGGGTAACCCCTTGATCAAAACCGTTTCCGACACTAAAAGCCTTGACCTTCTCGGTGAACTTGGACACGAACTCATCGTAGATGCCGCGCTGGACATAGATGCGGTTGGCACAAACACAGGTCTGGCCAGAAGATCGGAACTTGGAGGCGATGGCTCCGGTAACGGCAGCATCAACATCGGCATCATCAAACACAATGAAAGGGGCATTTCCGCCGAGTTCCATCGAGAGCTTCTTGAGGGTACCAGATGATTGCTTCATGAGAAGCTTGCCAACTCCGGTGGAGCCGGTGAAAGAGACCTTTCGGATGGTAGGGTCTGTAGTGAGAAGCTCGCCAAGCTCGGGGGTATTCTCATTTGAGGTAACGATATTTACAACACCCTTGGGGATACCTGCGCGGTGAGCTAGCTCGGCCAGGGCGAGTGAAGTAAATGGTGTCTCGGCAGGGGACTTTGCGACGACTGTGCAACCTGCTGCCAGAGCAGGCCCAATCTTTCGAGTAATCATGGCAGCGGGGAAATTCCATCTAGGACAAGTCAGCAATGAATGCCAAATGCAAGGAATCCTCTTACGGTGTGATCAAGCCGCAAACTCCGACGGGTTCCTTGATAGTCCACACACGGTTTCCAGGCACTGAGCTGGAAATTGTATTGCCATATACTCGCGGCGCCTCTTCACTGAACCACTCCAGGAAATTAGCAGCATAAGTTGTTTCGCCCTTGGCATCGGCCATAGGCTTTCCATTCTCCCAGGTGATAATCTTTGCGATGTCTTCGGCGTTGGCTGTCATCTGGTCATACCAAGCGCGCAACAGCTTGGAGCGCTCACGGCCTGTCTTAGCACGGAACGAAGAAAAAGCATCAGCAGCAGCGCGAATGGCCAATTGAGCATCTTTGGAGCTGAACTCGGGGCAAGTTCCAATAAGATTACCAGTAGACGGGTCTTGGTGGTCAGTATTTGAGTCGACTGTACGGAGGTTGAGGCTCACCATTGACTTTGAAGGTCTTGCCGGACTGGGCTTTGACCCATTCGCCGTTGACGTAGCAGACATCCTGCTTTAAAAGAGATGGATCCTTGAGCTAGAGGATGTCAGTTTTGTAGACATTGACACAGTGAGCTACAAGTACCTTTGGGGGAGCAACATTGGATGCTTTTCTTGTGATCATCAAGGTGATAACTGGAGATTGTCGCAGTACACCTCTAGATGAGGGCGCTACCAAGCGTTGAAGAAGCGCCATTTTAACTGCGTAGACCGTCAATTGAGGGCAAAATGATATGTACGGTCAATTAATTGAAAGATAGGTAGTCCAGCAAGAGAGGTATATTGACTCTGCGAATGCTTGTGTTAACCAAGAGTTAGTGATGGCGGGGTGACGTCTTGTTAAAGCTTGGGCTCAAGCTTCTGTGGGGTTGACTAAATTCCCCCGGAACCCGGAGCCGGCACCTCAACCGCCCAAGTCGGCTCCGGCGGGACCGGCAACGAGAAAGTTCGGCATGTTGTAGACAGAGACTGGAAATCATTTGCGAATTATTCAATACTGAGTCATTCTTCGCATTTTCCAACCCCGTGGTTTGTTTGCTCCCTAAGAGGATTGATACCGGTAAAGTCTAGTATGGGTCCATCCGAGGCCTCCCCGTATTCCACTTACAGACCGGGCCGTGCAGGTTTACGGAATAGGCAAGTTTACGCGATTGATATTTGAAGATGTAAGTGAGTAGCAGTGCAATTTTCTCATGGTCTTGTTAAGTAGTAAATAATGTAAGGAAACTTTGCCTCGTTGGGCCCTGTCTTCGTTTCCTGGTATATCATCCCAAACTCCAAACTCCCAATGCTAATTAAGGATAGTAGTCCAACCATAGACGAATTCCTATACATTTCTTTCCAATTCATTCATCATCTTCTATCCGAACCTCTGCTGTTGAGATCGCAGGGGCAGTTGGCGATCCAGAGTGTGGAAAGCCTGCGTTCGGGGAGTGTATGGCATCGATCGAATACTGGGGGTCTTCATGTTGTGCATTTCCCAGACGCCTCGGTCCTTCGGTTCCGAAGTTGTGGATCCCTCCTCCTCTTCGTCTTCGTCTGAAATGTCGTTTATCTTGTTGGGAAGCATGGCGTAGATGCAGCAGCCCAGGTTACAGAGATAAAGCGCACTGCAGAATCCGTTAGCAGAAGCCAGATGTGTCCTGCGAGTTTTACTTACAGCATGTAGACTGCGATGACAAGTGAGTACTTGGCAATCATACAACTCTTGTACTTTCCATATGGCTTAGCAATATCGCATCCAATTCGATAGTACCAAGCTACGGGCGCGGGATATCGCGAGTCGACGTAGTCTGGTCCAATGGTTCCATAGACACAGACAGTATAGAGAGCGACCATGCAGACATTGATGAAGGTAGCAAAGATTGGGTACCAGCATCTCATGATGAAAGCTGTAAGCTTCCCGAGCAAGAAGAAGAGCGAGATGACCGAAATAGCAACGTTGAAATTGGTAAAGCTGGCTGATGTTAGTTGGCTCCTAGCTTGAATAACCATAAGCAAACTCACGTTCGTGTCCACACAAGAGCAACCTTTGGCAGAGGTCGATGATTGGCGTAAGCGTAGAGAATCATGGCCGGGTTCGAGTTGAGAGGAGGGTCGTGCTGCCAGCCAATTTGCCACATGTCGGTACGATACAGATCAGGCTGAGAGATGCCGAAGATGACTAGAGCAGCTACAGTGCCCATCAACTCAAAAGGCATTAACCACCATGTTGCCTTTCTTGCCAGGCGAGGCCATTTTCGAAAGAAGACAACGTAGCCCTTAGACTTGGTCGGCTTGTCTGTGTGCTCATGCTCGATTTGAGAGCGGTTGAAAATAGGAAGCTTCATGATGTCGTTTGGTGGGTTTTGTGGTATAGCTGACTGGGGTGGTACAATTCGAGCTCACGACTGTGGTTGTCTCGGATGATAAGGCTTTCGTAGTTGGCTACGGGCGTAGCAGCTATAATCGATTCCACATACGATATCGCTGCAGAGCATATACTTGAAGCAAGCTCGTCAAATTCGCAAATATGCTGACCGGCAGCTTCGATTCAAAGTTGAAGATGTGAAAAGAGCAGACCCAGGCGGCCAGGTCGGGGGGTGGGCAGCCGTTTAAGGGCCTGCGAAGTGGCCAACAACGGAGCATCCTTCGGCTGAGAGGGAACCGCAGGAGCAGCTGGGGTTGGACACCTGTGAGATGCCGCTGTGATGCCGTGTGAAAGGACCTGTAGCCAGCCTGTGAGCGGCAACCAAGATGCGGGAGGCGGGCGTCTGGAGTGATACTCTCATGCCAATCACTGCATTTCGAGGACGAGCATTAAAGGCTGCAGCCAATGGGAATCGAGAGCCGAGGTGCTATCACCACTGTTTCTCCTCTGTTAAGCGCCCGGGTGGAAATCGTGAGATGCGCGATGCTGATGGAGACGCCCGATTGGCTGAGGTGGTGGCTGGAGCTGCAACCTCGTGTCTGGCTGACCAATGAGGGCTCAGGAGTGCAGTTGAAGATGTGCCTTCAGTGCGTTTGGTTTGTTGAATTACAGGGGTAAGAAGCCGCCACTTTCTCCCGTCAAGTGCTCGCAGATTTCAATTTCAGTAAAAGCACAGCTAAAACGGATGGCTCTTTTCCAGTTTGGCCAGTTAATAGCCGCCCGTTACCATCCGTCAGTCGAGTCTTGCTAGAAATGGTCTTAGTTGTGATCTTTGACGTGCAGTGATCACCCGTGAATTAAGCGATGATAATCAGGGCGTCGCAGTCTCTGCGACTGGGAAGATCAGTCAGCTGACAACTAAGAATAGCAATAGCAATGATCCTGTGCAGCCCATGTTAGGTCAATTGCACAAGAAAGCCCATAACCACCTGGTGCGATACATAATCGGTTACTTTCCTTTAAGATCAAAGTGAGGGCATTCCCAACTCAGATATTGTGAAACCCGTTTGTTTGGTTCCGTTTCAGTTCCTGCTCTTACCGGATGGGTGTTAAGTTATAGAACGCTATAACGACAAATGAAGTCAATCCTTCATCAGATCGTTGGGCATCGGAATCTTCTTACTATCGACATTCAATTGCAATGTCTAGCACGTAATATTCCTCATCTCCTGTCACATCAACCATAGGCTTGCACAATCGAAGAACTCTCAGATTGGTAATGAGCCAGCCAAGAAGCAAAGAATGCACTTGAACCAGCCACTGCGTCACTTCGAACCTCTAGGTTCAGTGGAGACTCCGCCATCACGGCAATAACGGGATGGCTGTACGGGAAGAAGCCGTCAGAGGTAGCCTAAGGTACAGGACAACTCAGATCAGTCTCAATATCAATTACTGAAAGTATCCACACCGCTTCAGAGTTAGGTAATCTTGGCACCAAAAGAAAAGCTGTGGGGGGGCAAGTGAAGAGGCCCAAGCTACTGGGTGGTTTATCATGCCCCAAACCTCGGCCGAGCAAACTCTAACGGAGACGGAGGAACAAGAAAAGAAGCAACGTCACTTCATCTTGTGGATACAACTCATGACGTTTGTAAGACTGCCTCGGTACAAGACGTCAACATTTAACGCGTTGTATGTAATTCCCGCCGCCTGTTAAAGCCTTGGGCGTCTTCTGGCGCCAAAATACAACACAATTCTAGGTCAAAGTCTCTCAGCCAAGACCAGGGGCACACTTCGAGACCGTGTTCTTTGGAGCCGCTTGTGGACAAGGACATGTTGACAGGGGTGCCTTAAGCCTTGAGCTTGAAGCGTGGTAAAACAGACCGTTCTAGATCTCTTTGATCAGCATGGGAACTTCTCGATATGGGAAGAGCGAGTTCCACGCAGTCATTTTTCTTCCAATGCCATTGTCCGATGAGATGAGAAAGATCGGGAACTCTTTCTTTTTTTTGGTTCTTTTTTCTTCTTCTTAAGCTTCTTTCTGTTCACCTGCTTCGTTGGATTGGAGTCGTATTCAAGCCGCTTGTTCAAGCGATGCCTTGATGTTCCTTACGTCACTCCGTACTCCGTACTCTGTATAGATATCCATCACTTCACTCCAGAACATCTCTCAAGACATTTCGAAGGATGCGACACATGCCTCGGCAGTTTCGCGTTAAAGCACACCCCACCCACCGTCAGCCCAAAAGGACAAGTTTCCATGCAATTGCCTGCAACTCATGTCTTTACGACCGTTTGTGTTGTAACTCTTATAAAGGCAACTCATCCGTCAGAGAGAGAGAGAGAGAGAGAAAATACTCCGGCTGGTAACTAGAACTTATGGCCACCAGCCAAGCTCACTCAAACCGTATTGGTTGACGCCAAGACGTTGCACCGATGGTTCCGCCGCCCGTTGATGCTCAGATACAGGGATGTTTGTCGGCTGTCCCATTGTGCATGTCAAGGGCTGCGTCTCTTGGTCTGGTGTATCTTTTTGTGCCCACTGACCTGTCCTCGAGTTCCGATAAACTCGGACTCAATACGATGATCGACAGCAGAGGGTGGGAAAAATAAATACTATGTAATAAAAAAGGCCTGCTGGACCACTAGTAGCCCTCCCCCGTAGCAAAAGATTTACCAAAAAGTCAAAAGCTTGTTCGATTCCCATGTCTTTTCCGTGACTGGTCCAAGCTGGTGGAGGAGCGGGACGGACTAGGCCCGCTCGTCTCTGTCGCGTTCGTTCTCGCGCAGAAAAGAAGCCGGCTGCATTGCGTGGAGTGGAGACTCGAGTTGAGTTATCGGGGAGGAGGACTGCTTACCTATCCGTGTGTATTGAAGAGAAGTAAGCCATACATGGAGGAGAGGTGAAGGTAAAGATGTTGAGGGTTAGCCACGTCACAAGGGGGCGATACTCAGAGTGTCTGGTTGATAGGGTAATGCAGCCAACAAGTCACTATTGTGCTCCGCTGACAGAAAATGGCCATCATTAATTACCGAGTACAACTATTCTGATCATGAGTTTTTATACGGATATGCGTATGCAACATCCAAATGTTCAGGTGGTGGTCAAACGACACACAAACACCCATGTCCCATCACCCCTGTCGAGCCTAGGACCTAGACCTCGAGAGCGGGTAGATTATTTGATGCCAGGATCAAAAAGGGCATCCACTTGCAAGCCGCCGCACGCCAATTCCCCGTCCTAACTAGTATCCATGACCCCAGCTCTATTGAACGCTGTGCTGGTGTTGTCTTGGCCTGTAATCACTGCTCTGAGTCACTCTATTTGGTGCTCTCGTTGGGGACAACTCAGAAGCCCCAAGACTCAAAGCTCAGAGCTGAAGTACAAATATGAAATATTGAGTAGGGATGCGTTTGGAAAGCGTTGATCTTTTCTACCTCGAGGCTAGACATGTCTATCGTGCCCCCTTTTGCTTTTCAGTCTCGTGCCATTTGTAGTTTGTACCGAGTATGCAAGCTCAATCTACAGTGTTCCCCGACTCCCATTATATTCCCGATCATCCATGTGGTATGTTGTGACCTGGACTGTAACAAAGCTCAAATGCGGAGCAGCTTTACTTCCGTCCATTCTTTATCTTACCCAGACTGAGGTGCCTACTCTTGACTGCCACCTCATTCGTTTACATGCCCCTTCCTTCACCTTGGACCTCTCCTCTTCTTACCTTTCTGCTGCAGCGTTGGAGATGATATTCCCTCCATTCTGATGCTTCACCTTGGACCAGGCCCTTGTTATCAGCTGACAAAGACGTCAATTCAACGTTGACAGTCCCTGTACAGAGTAGCTTTTCCCTTTTCCCTCAATTGCGGCTCTTGCTCCGGCACCAAATCAGTACGCTACCTTTAATTCATGCTAGGATCCGACCCGTCCTTTTTGACTCCGAAGCCACCACCCCCAGAAGAAGAGGATATTCGATATTCCCCGTCAAGAGAAAAATCGGATGCTGCCGCCAAATCGTTACAATCGAATTAAACGATCATTGGGTTTCCTTTTCTCTAACCCCCTTGATCTTCCATCACATCACATTTCGGCTCGACAAACGAAACCCCCCGTTACCTTACCGAGTCAGGCCCTGTCCTACTGGAGCCTGTCGTTGCCCAGGACTGTCCTGCGGACGGTGCCATAATACAGCACCCGTAAACCCGACTTTTAGCTGCAAATCCCCCTGCAACTCATCTGGGCCCCTCTGAGTCTGATCCCATAACCCATCTCGATCCCCGTCCCATTTCTTCCCCTCACCCTTCCAAGCTCCAACACAACATCGCAGCGGTTGTATTTCTTAGAATATACTTGTCTGCCCGTGCTGACTGCGCCGCGCAACAAGTACTCGCCATTCAGCACTGACTGTAGGTACCTACCTACTACCTACTACTACCTACTGTTGCATCGCACTTCAGTTCACTGCGCTGCATTGCGCTCCATCTTCCCCACTCAAGGCCACTGTCAGGTAACTTCCACCGCCAACCACGGCTCTCTACCATACATACGGTACAGTACTCAATCCCTACGCACACCCGACCCGACACTCGCGGGCACACGCCCCTCATCGCATCTCGATCTCTTGCTGGCCGGCTGCTGCGCAAGGCCTAAAGCCACTAGGTGCCAAGGACTCGCAGTCTCTCTGGGGCTTCGATTCCGTTGTTTTCTCCAGGCGCCTTCATGCAGCGCTTCTCTAGTTTCAACTCTCCCTCGTCTCCTTCTGCCTCTGCCTCGTTGAATTGTCCTGTCGCAGACTCAACAGACCAAGAAGAAGAAGACGACGACGACCATCGTCATCAGCACCACCCTCCTGCTTCTACTTCGGCTCCGGAGTCGGTACCCACATTGGCGACATCAAACACCACAACTATCACTGGCGCAACTAAACCCGAACTTGACGCCAACGTCTCAGTTCTCTCTGCTGCAACCTCTGCTGTCGGGGAAGCTCATAGCAAGGTCACCGCATCTGGCAGGAACGCCCACGACTCCAGTTCGACTTCGAAGGCACCAGCATGGAGGCGAGACTTTAACATACCACAGCTGGCCTTCAACGTGCCCTTATCTGACGTCGCGATTTCTCCCTCAACCATCTCGACTACCGGCGCTATTCGTCAGTCAAGTTCGTCCACGGCCGGTAGTCCGCGAGGTCTTAGCGCGTCCATACGAGGGCTTCCACAGACTCCCATTTCGGTGAAGCGTCCCTCCGCCGCCCCGATCCAAGGTGAACCCGTCATGCACCCATCACCCATCAAGAAGGCTCGTACCGGGGCATCGCCACCTCGCAAAGTCGAGCTTCCTAACCAAAACTCGAGCCTTGATCCTTCAGGGCGAGGAAAACAGCAAGGACCACTCTCACCTCTCTTCTTCTCGCATACGTCCTCAAGACACGTCCATCGCCCGGCCAGTTTTCCCACCACTGACCCGGCCGTGTCTATGCTTTCACGTATGCGAGAAGATCCGGCCGGTGGCGTCACGACATTGAAGTTGCCGCGTGCAAGTGTAAGCTCTATCAGTCCAGGTAGATCTGAGAGCACACCTGGTAGCTGGGGCTCTTCAATGGACGTCCCTACACATTCCGCGACTCCAGATAGTCGCACTCTCCCTCCTGGGTTGCAGATGCTACAAGGTGTTGGTGTTATTGAATTTCTGGAGCAAGACGAAAGGCCTACTTTCTTGATAGACCTGGAGAATTCCGCCAATGCCAGCCGCTCGGGACTTCATATCCTCTACTACAACGCGTCTCTGCGCAGCGCACATGAAGTACTTCAGTACTTGTCGGTGGATCAGGAGGATGCCAGCTCAGATACTGATTTTGGTCGTTTCAAATCATGGATCATGACACCATATAAATCACGCGCATCTGCTGATACTGCTGCCACTCACGTCTATGCTGGCATCACCTGGACACTCTCAACACTACGACGGAGGTTTCGCTTCATCAGTGCTCATGCTAGCTTTGCTACTCCTCGGTCCAGTACCGCACTACCACTTATTGATGAGAGAGCTGCCTCGGAAACGCGAAGTGTTGACCAATCACCCGAGATGCCAGTTACTCCCGATGCTGAGCTTATTGATGCGCCGGACTATTTTGGTGACGCTGAACCTCTCCATGCTAATTTTGATGGTCGTTCTAGAGATGGCGACACGATTATGGGAGGAGGTGAAACTCGACTACATCCTGACGATTTTACTAACCAAGTTTTCCAATCACAACCTGCAAGGTCAATATTTGACTGGACAAAAATACCAATGTCGGACTCGCTACCTCCTCATATTAAGTTTGCCCGCTCTGTAGACTGGGCGGCCACTCCCCTGGGACCAATCGAAGACTGGCCTGCCGAACTCAGATCCATGTCCAATCTCATCATGGGCAGCCCTCACCCCGCTGCTATGTACTGGGGACCCCAGTTCGTGATCATCTACAACGAAGCTTATCTCGACCTTGCCGGTAAAAAGCACCCCAAGCTAATGGGAGCTTGTTATATGGATGCTTGGGCAGAAATTTGGGATGAACTCAAGCCGGTTTTCAAGAGTGCCTTGGAATCCGGCCAAGCGACCATGAAGCACGAAAATCAGCTTTTTATCAATCGACATGGCTTTTTGGAGGAGGCTTTCTTTTCTTGGTCTATCGTGCCTATGGTAGGCAGTGAAGGCGAGGTGGTCGGCCTCTACAACCCAGCTTTCGAGAATACCCGGAGAAGGGTCAACGAGAGGCGAATGCTCATGCTTCGCGAAATTGGCGAGAGAACCGCTGCAGCTACTACCGTTTCGGGTTTCTGGCCTCAAGTGCTGAAGGGTTTGGAATTTAACGAATTCGACGTGCCCTTCGCATTGATATACTCAGCCAGGGATGACACTGAGAGCGAAGTTTCGTCATTACATTCTGGCAGCCTGATTCACTCACCACAGTTGTTTCTCGAAGCAAGTCTTGGAGCCCCCGAAAACCACCAAGCAGCGCTTACACAGCTCGACATGCGACAGTCCGATGACGGTTTCGTTCCTTATATGCGACAGTCAATGGCTGCGGGCGGTATTCCAATTGTTCTCTCCGAAGAGGATGGCAACCTCCCCACACACCTGATCGAAGGTCTACATTGGAGAGGCTTTGGCGATCCTTCGAAAACACTCGTTATTTTCCCCGTTATCCCGACTACTACAGGAGAGTCCGTGATTGGGTTCATTGTTATGGGTGTCAATCCCCGCCGCCCATACGACGATGATTACAAACTATTTATTCACCTCCTTTCCCGACAATTGGCTACATCGATGGCTTCTGTGGTCTTGTTCGAGGAGGAAATCAAGCGTGGCCAGAGAGCTGCTCGACTCGCTGCATTGGACCGCCAGGAGCTTTCGATGCAACTTTATCTCCGTACACAAGAAGCCGTAGAAAGCGAGTACAGGTTTACCAGAATGGCCGAATTCGCTCCAGTGGGCATGTTCATTGCCAACTTCGCTGGCAAAATCAACTATTGCAATGACATGTGGTGGCAGATTTCTAGGCATTCCAGGTCCGAAGATTCGGTCGACACTTGGATGGACAGCGTTCGAAACGAGGATAGACCGGCCCTCGAGGAAGCATGGAGCAGGTTACTCAAGGAAAAGGTCACCATTTCGGTGGAATTCCGCTTCAAGTGCAGTCAGCAGAGTGATGGGAACACGATTGACACGTGGGTTCTCATGAGTGCCTACCCAGAGAAGAACCCAGAAGGCAATCTCAAGCTGATATTCGGTTGTATCACTGATATTTCGTCTCAGAAATGGGCAGAGAAGGTACAAAACGAACGACGCGAGGAAGCAGTGGAAATGAAGCGGCAGCAAGAGAATTTCATCGATATCACGAGTCACGAGATGCGAAACCCTCTTTCTGCAATTTTGCAATGCGCCGACCAGATCGCAAGCAACATCACAGTGTTCAATTCGCATACCGTCCAAGCCGAGGTTGAAAATCTATTAGACGCGTGTCTTGACGCCGCCAACACCATCAATCTGTGTGCTAGCCATCAGAAACGCATCGTCGACGACATCCTAACGTTATCCAAACTGGACTCGAACCTTTTAGCTGTTACACCTATCGACGATCAGCCTGTTAGGGTTGTGCAACATGCCCTCAAGATGTTCGAATCAGAATTGGTCGCCCACGATATCGAGTTCGACTTCAATGTGGATCAGAGCTTTGAGCAATACGACATCAAATGGGTGAAGCTCGATCCTTCAAGATTGAGACAGGTTCTGATCAACTTGATGACGAATGCTATCAAGTTTACACAAGGTCGCGAAAAGAGGTCCATTTCCGTCAGTCTCAGCGCCTCAAAGCATGTATCGGAGATATCCAGAAAGGGTATATCTTATTTCGACCGTGTCGATCATCAACGTACCACAGTGATGGATATCAACAACCCTGAAGAGTGGGGACATGGTGAGGAAATTAACATTCACTGCACAGTCGAGGATACTGGCCCTGGCTTAATCGAGGAAGAAATGAAACTCCTCTTCCAACGATTTCAACAGGCAACTCCGCGAACACACGTTCAGTACGGTGGCTCAGGGCTGGGTCTGTTTATTTCCCGTATCTTGACAGAGATGCAGGGTGGACAAATCGGTGTCACGTCTCGACGTGACATCGGAAGCAGCTTTAGTTTCTACATCAAATGTCGACGCTCATTGGATCCCCCTCCAGATAACGATCCAATCATGCCCTTCAAGATTCCTCGAAAGTCACACGGCTCAGCACTTCCACCAAAGCCCGAGCCCAACCGTCAAATTGCTAGATCAAAAACGGCGGCGGTAACGAAACCAATCATACCCGATGACACGACCCAATTATTCGATGTGTTGATTGTTGAAGACAATATCGTGAATCAAAAGGTCCTCCAGCGACAACTACGGAACTGCGGCAATAACACATTTGTTGCAAACCATGGCAAAGAAGCCCTACAGACTCTCGAACGCTCAAGGTTTTGGTTAGGAAAGGAAGCTGAAGGTGTTGACATTTCTGTCATTCTGATGGATTTGGAGATGCCTGTCATGGATGGAATGACTTGCGCTCGACGAATTCGAGAACTCGAACGAGAGGGAACGATTGTGCAACACATTCCCATCATTGCAGTCACGGCTTATGCCCGGCCAGAACAAATCGAGAGTGCCAAGGCCGCAGGAATTGTAAGTTGCCATTGAAAGGATTAATGTGCACGGTTTGCTAACAAGTCAACCTCAGGACGATGTCATATCCAAGCCATTCCGAATTCCGGAGCTATTGCCTAAGATTGAAGAGCTGGTGGGCAAATACAAGAATCTCTCGGTGTCTAATTGATGTTGTAGAGATAATGTAGCACCTACAGAACTCCTTTACACCACTGCTTTGGTCAAAGACCTAGACGGTTTATCATTTTCGGCTTTACGAACATAATGAAGTCCATCAGCTTTGATGACTGAATACGCCCTCCGCTTTCAAACTAATCTTACTACCGTATTACTACATTTTATTCTTTTTTTCGGCTCGACGTAGCATTGGGTTCATGACCATTTAGGCGTTTGGGAAAGAGACCTCGCGGGATGGCGAGCCCGCAAGGTTGTTCGGGATGTAGAACATGAAGCGACTTTTTGATCTGGTTTTTATGTGTGGATCTGTTTGAATGGAGATAGGACTCAAAAGCGTGAGGGAGGGAAAAGATACAATGAGCATTAACACAGACATGATAGAGGACATACAACCTGTCGGCGTTGTTGGATTGGTGGGAGCAGGTTTGTTGACATCTCCGAACAAAGAAAAGAGAGATAGTACTCTCTGACTGCCCTGCATAATCGAGATGGTTGGTTGACCATCATGAGCATATATATCTAGCTAGACAAGACCCCTTTTGCAGTCAACTTACCAGCTTCGTGACGTACAATGACATGAGCTTCTCAACTGTAGATAAAACATTCTCTATGATACAGTAGTCACATGATAGAGCAATTAGTTGGAAAACAAGCAGACGGTTTGTTCAACAGACACGCAATGGCAAGATCATCATGGTCGATTTCTATTCTCCATGACAGGCATAGGAGGAAAGTTGTACGCCCCAGTGCCGTGATACAAACAACAAGTAGACGGACGTTTCAATAGCAGGGCATTCATTCCCCCCAAGTCAAAATACTCATATTAGACTTCAAACACATACATTGTTGCACAATCACTTCAATCATAGGTAGTCAAGATATTAGTCAACACGCAGCAGTTGTATTATTAGGTATTAATTATCTCCATTCCGGGTATCAGACAAGAAAAAAACAAGAAGCAGCGAAGGGAGCAACTCGACGCATCAAGGTCGATAGCTCATACATATTTTTGGGTTTTTGTGACATCCGTTGCCAGATGTGCCTTTTCAAACATCCTCCTCTCCCCCTTTCATATTCAGTAACTTTAACTATGGAAATTGGTATCAGTGAAGCAGTCTCGACAGGGTATCTCGGTATCTCGGTATCTTGTGAAGAAATGCAGATCCATCCTTCCATCCCCAAACCCTTTCAATGCGCGTGTTGTATGGTAGTGTTGGGCTTTTGTTTCATTGTGAATTCAGTCGTAACTTTCAACGCTCAGCGCCGAGTAGCCATCTAGGCGGCGGCGGTGACGACAGGGGCGGGAGCAGCGTCCTTAGGCTTAGCCTCAGCCTCGGTCTCGGTGGCAGCGACGGGCTCCTCAACCTTGGGGGCCTCATCGATCTTGACCTCATCAGCCTTGATCTCAGTGGGCTCCTCCTGGAGGGTCTCCTCCTTGTTCTCCTCGGCGCGCTTCTCAGCAGGCTTGGGGGACTTGCCACGGATGGTGTTGCGGAGCTTGGAGAAAGGAGACTCCTTCTTCTCACCCTCAACGGGGGCGGGAGACTTGTCACGCTTGCCGAAGGCGAAAGGCAGAGAAGACTTGCGCTTCTCCTTGAGATCCTTCTTGACCTCAGGGGCGGGGGAGGTAGCGGTAGCAGCCTCAGTGGTCTCGGCAGGGACGGTAGCGGGGCTAGAGACATCGACGGCCAAAGGGGTGGTGGCCTCAACAGGAGGAATCACGGGAGCAGTGGTCTCGGCATCGACACCGTTAGCAGCCTCAGGCTCAGTAGGCTTGAGCTCAGGAGTCCTCTTCTCCTTCTTGGAGAAGACGTTGCCGAAGAAGCTGTTGCGCTTGGTGGCAGTGGGCTTCTCCTTGGGGCTCTCAAGGGGCTCAGTGGTGGCAGGGACAGCCTCAATGGGGGTCTCGTCAACAGGCTTGGCGGGCTCCTCGGCAGCAACGGGGATAACGGGAGCAACCTCCTCAACGGGCTTAACGGGCTCCTCAATCTTAGGGGTCTCAAGAGCAGGGGTCTCAACGGCGACCTCGTCACCGGTTCGGGTCTCGGCCTCCTTCTTAACCTCGTCCTTCTTGGCCTCATCCTTCTTGCCGAAGCCGAAGAAAGAGGTTCGCTTACGGCTAGCAGATCGGCGCTTGGGCTCCTCAGCCTTAACGTCCTTGACCTCCTCCTCCTTGGGGGCCTCCTCAACGACGGGAGCAGCCTCCTCGATGGTAGGGGCGACAACAGCAGCGGCCGGGGTCTCCTCCTTGGTGGCCTCAGCAACCTTCTCCTCCTTCTTGATGGGAGCGGGGTTGAAGCTCTCGAGGGTAGTCTTGTAGGTCTCAGTCTCGACAATAGTGGTGGCAAGCTCCTTGGCCTCAGCGATCTTGAGCTTCAGCTGAGAAACCCAGTTGTCGCGCTCAGCAGTGCTGGAAGCCTTGAAGGTGTGCTTGTTGCCCTTGGAGGTGAGATGGAACTTGTGAGAGCCGTCGATCTCGGGCTCAGTGGCATCGGCCTGCGGAGAAGTGGTTAGCTTACAGGTCCATGCCGGTAGTTGATTCTGCTTTGGAGCAGAGTGGGTCCAAACTTACAAGGCCGATGACGCCAGAGGGGTTCTTCTTGTCACCAACGAAAAGAAGACCCTTGCCGGTCTCGGAAGCCCAGGCGATGTTGGAGTGAGCAGTCTCGGTGGACTTCTCGCTCTTGAGGTAGTGGGAGAGAGTCTTGGGCTCAACGGCTTCGGTACCGAAGAAGAAGAACTCCTTGCTAGCGATCAGGTTCCTGCAGAGGGGGTGTCGTTAGCGACTTGGCCATGTGGTTTTGCTGCAGCTGCCACCACAAGCGCGCAAAGCGGTACACGGGCTGAACAGTGTGAAGCTAGCTGCTCGCAGGGCTGCGATATGTAGATGCGGTTCTACTTACTTGGGGAAGCTTAGGCCTTGAGCCTTGTGGTTCAGGTGACCCTCCTCAACGGGCTTGATCTCCTCCTCCTCCTTCTTCTCCTCGGCCTTAGCGGCCTCCTCGGCGGTCTTGTCCTCAACGACGGGAGCGGTCTCGGCGGCGACAACTGGGGTCTCGTCGACAGGCTTGGTCTCGACGGGAGCCTCAACGGCAGGAGCAGAGATGCCAGTGGTGGCAAGCTCAGGCTTGGTCTCCTGGGGGACCTCGATGTTCTTCTGTTCCTCGGCCATTTTGAAAGATTTAAGGGGGTATCAAATGAGATTGGGTATCACAACAAACAAAGACGTTGGTATAAAAAAGGAAAGAAAAAAGGAAGTTAATCCAGAAAAGGCGTTGGGTTTCAGATGAGCTGAAGAGCAGGTAGAGGGGAAGAAAGAGGGAAGAAAGGTTTGCACAGGACGGGGAGGCTTGGGGTACTTATTTGTTGCTGTGTTGCTGTGAAAAAGGGATCAGGTAAAGAGGACGCCTAAGAACAGGGTCACACAGAAACACACACACAGTGAGGATGGACGTGGGTCAGGGCGGGGCGTGTGCAGAAGCGGGCGGGAATTAGGGGGGAGTGAAGAGATTAAAGACTTGGGTAGGGGAAGTGAAGTGAAGTGAAGGGGAGGGAATGACAGTAGGTTGAGGATCAGGATGAGGATGGTTGTGTGGATCAGTGGAAATAGGTACCTAGCCAACTATTACTCACTGGCTGACTACCTGTTTTTTTTAGTTGTATTCGAGCTTTTGCTTATGCTGTACGAGGAACCATCAGATGCTCGACATTACAGTGATATACATACACTGCCAACGGCATCATCTCTGAATCTGATATGCCTTACTTTGGTGACACTGTCTGTCTACAGCCTCTTCTCCTATCCCATCGTGATTGTACTATCCCAAATTGCCTAGCATCAGTAGATCCGCTTGGACCGGTCATTGGCCGCCTTCGCGTCAACTCGCTCGCCGGCAATTACAGGGCACATCATTTCGTAGGTAGAATGAATGAATCGACATCCATCTCGTTTGATAAGAAATAGCATCTGCACAACGGCGTTAGTTCATGCGATCACCAACGCTATTTCACACACCCGCATCTCGTTTCCCAGCAACAACTCAAAATTGCTTGTCTCTCATGGGACCAATTCTCTTCACTTCTATTGTTTCCCAACAACTCCTCCTACTCCTGTCTCCCAATCCAATTTTTCTTCCTCTCCTTGTTGTTGCTGGGTGATATCCTGGTCCGTGCTGCATTAAACAAGTGGAACTAATATTGCAGATGCCCCATAAGACCTGCCGGCTGCCAGTGGATTGACTCTGCCTTAGCTTTTGCGACCAGCGCTAGCCGCGGACAAAATTGCAGTAGCACGTTCAGGGCCCACGTACTCAACACGTACCTTCCCACTCCCAGACGGTACCTTCCCGTCCGCCGTCCACCGTCCACTCTCTCCCGACCTCTCAGGTGCTCAGTGATGGAATTAGGTGTACTGATGCAGTCAAGAACGTCCTTGGGAAGGAGAATTCACGACTCATCCACCGTAACTCCCGTTTTAGACACATCCAGAAAAATCCAATACGGCGTCGTTTGTGACTCGAATATCAACTCAATCTAAACTCATCACATCCTGAAACTTATAATAACATACCCTCCACCTGACTGATAAAGTTATTTTCAGAGCGGCCAATACCGGCTCCTTTCTCACTGATCTCCGATCTACAGTTTCCCCAGCCTACGACTCACGACATCTGCGCGTAGTCCTACGCCTTGGCTAATTGGGCTCATACAAAGGCCTGTGCAACTCTCGACGCTATTCGATACTAGTTGGATCCATCGGCCTCCATTATCGCACATGGCAATCATCCCTCAGTTCGAATATCCGTTGAATACGGTCGTGGCCTCGCCCTGGAACTTGGGCCTCTACCTACCACTATATGGAAAACCATGCCAAGCGGCACTCACCCCATCTGCCCATCTCTGGCCCTGACTCAATCGTGCGGGTCTTGGGCTAAAGGAAATGGAAGCCAAATCTCGTTATCGCTTGCCCGCTGATTTTCTTTTCTAGTTCGGAGCAGGGTCTTAAAGCGATGTTAGGATGTTCAATATCGATCTTCAAGCCACCTTGAACCTCAATCACCTGCGGCATCTTTCCCCCACTCTGCCGAGCAATCTGGTCTCACATTTGACCTCCTTGCGTATCCCTTGGGACGTAATGGATCGCATTAACATGTATCAAAGCCATGTGCGCTCTCAATCAAGCCAGCCTTACTCTGTACTTCTATGGATTTGGCGGCTTACTATCCAGCCGCTGTCTTTCGACTTAGAACCCCGGGCATCAAGTAAATACTGTTCCCAATCATAAAAATAATTTACCCAGTGTCCAGGGTTGTTTGCAAAAACCCAATCAACGTCTCCTGTGTCTGGCCTTGTTCAGAGCCCCTTGCCAACCTAGCAGAGTGCAGTGGCTTCTTTCCGAATTCTCCACCAAGCCCTTGTCCCTGAATTCTCGCTTCAGCCCAGTGCCGACAAGTGCACCGTGCCCAGGCGGCCAAGATCAACTCAGTTGCATGGTCTTGGGTGGAACACCACATGTGTAAAGCAAAATCCGAGATGATGTTGTTATGCCAGAATACATAACGAGTTTCGACAAGTGGCAGTCTCGACGTTTTACAGCCACTCATCCCCATCACCCTGCTCTTGGCCCTCCCGGCGTCTAAGCTCTACCATGTTGTTTTCTTGCACCACCCGGATGAGCCAACCCGCGCCCACAGCCGCCATGATGCTCTCTTGTCTCATGCTGGGTGGATGACCTGGGAGGTTCGATGGTTCTGGCTTCAAATACTGCTGTATGTCGAAGGCTGTGTTTCACGATTTCATGATGCACATACATACCTTTTGTTGTGTTTTTTCCCATCCCTGCCCCCCATCTCTGATGCACCCATGTGTCAGGTCATGTCATATCAGGTCACGCTTCAGCTACCCGCATGAGCACCATCCTCTGGCAAACGCTTTGATCCAGTAACATTTTGCCTCGACCCTCCAACACGATAAGTGCGGGAGCTGGCCATCGCAGAGACTCGACGGAGTGCCGGGCATACCATTACAACACACACACACACATAGGTTTTGTGTTTGGTATCTGGTGATATTGGCCCATGAATCTTTTACCAGGCAGAAATTGGACTGAGCCAACTTCCAAAACATGGCCTTATGGGCGGCTGCGTGCTAGCGAAAACGTCGTATTAAGCAGGCTCCGCATTATGCCCTAACTCAAGTGTTTTGACGAATCAATCAATACGATCTACTCTGGCAAGGGAAAAGACCCCATAAAAGATACTTGGTCATGCACGAGGGGTACATGAATGGACTTTTGCACGACAGGATGCTCATTGATTCCCAAGATAGTATCGGTACCTTACTTTGACCGCTGGGCCCGTAATTCCTCTCTCCGCGACCCTTATTCGCCTATCATGAAGCTTACTCGCTCTTCGACAAAAGAGAATCACGATGCATAACCACAATGCTACCCTGGAGATTAACCAGACAGCAAACAAACAGCTTTGAACAGATACAAGACTTAAGTCTGCAAGCATGTCAACATGGCCAACTTTTATCTTTCCACAAATGTGTCGTCACAAAACACCATACGCGCCAAGAGTATGGGTGTACTCCCCATCCTCCCCAATCCCCACCTCGAATCAGGGTACAGCACAACATTGGAGGTTATCCACACAGTTACAGTGGTCTCGCATTGTCGTAATTCCGCGATCGCACTCGACTCTTGCGTTAGCCACTCAGGACTGAATTCCACAGTCAAAGCTAGTTATGTCAATGGAATATGAAGTACAGAATAGGTACTTTAACCCCAGCCGTAGCTCACACGAGCGTTCTCCTTCACCGTGGGTTCAGGTGACTCTTAAGTTCAGCTGCCGCCTTGACCAACTCAAGGATAGTTTTCTTACCAGTTAGGCATAGCAGGCCAGCCAGAGCCGCGATCACCAAGCCAAATTGGGCCCTTTACTGCCATAAACCTTCCTTGGCCGGTGGATCGGTATTGAAACTACGGAGTACAGGTACTGGGTTTCGTTCTTCATTCCCTTGACTCAAACATTTTGAGACTGTTGATTTCACCAAGAACTTGAAACTTTGTTGGCGACATAGATTGACAATAGCGCTAAATTTGTGTTGTTAGGATCAAAGCCGCTCAGATACAATGATACTATACACAGACTCATTGGGCTGCTAAACGGCACAAGCGGTATGACCATTCCCCTGGGTTATGTCAGAGCGGTTTAGGCTTATGTACCTAGGTAAACTTACTCGATTGTTGGTGGCTTTGCTCATCAGGAGCTAACAAAGTGCCATCAACTGAAGTTCATGGCCTTGAACAAGCCTCGAACTTGAAAGAGTTCGATTTGGACCCCTTCTTTTGTTCAGATATCCTGGGGGCGTTACGATTTGACTGATATGATCTTCCCCGATCTGCTTCAACGTGGTGCCTTGGCGCCCTCCTTTCAGAATTCAGACGACTAGTCAGCCTGAGGAATGATAACCAGATGGACGCTAAGAGTAGAAAGATCACGATGGTTCCGTTCTACCAGCGACCAGCAGTGCACGACCACGATCCCCATACATGGTCCCAGCCCGTCGCTGATGGGCGGACAACGCAATACAAGGTGCACATGTCCTTCAGCACAACCACATCTATGCCGCCCATGCACATGCAATACTGGCTTGATTTCGGCTAGTGGGACTAACCCCAACCCTGCAGGCTCTTTGGCATTTTATTTTCAAAGCATGAATGTTACGGAGGATTTTGTTGAATGATCATCAATGTCAAGATGGTTCCTCGCTTCAATAGTGTTGTATTGCCCCTTGGAACCCGGGGACGGGACCCGAATCAGAAGGCAACTCCTCTTGTGATAAATTTTATCCGGCGCACACCGACATTCGCTGGCTTGAAATTGTACTGTTTTTATCCCTGAGGGAGGCTGATCCCTCAATGACCGATGATACCTGGGGCTGTTGGGTTTACACATATTCCCTGCTCTTTCATCTGGCGGCTCAACTTTTACTGTCGCCATTTTCAATACTGTGCCTGGGCTTGCTCGTTTCATGATTGACCAAATATCAATATTTCATGCACTCGTGCCATGGTTCTTGTCCGTTTGTGACGAAACTGGCCGCAGCGCGAAATGAAGAATTGAATTTGCAATTCGAAGTTTCATCTTGACGACCTCGACCTATTCGCATGCCCTGACTCATCAAGTCATGACCACGGCACAAACATTGCATGGCTATCGTTTTCCTGCGTTCCACGAGCAGGTAGTTTCTGCTCTTACCCTGAAGCATCCATAGTGGTCACTACTCGCGCATCTTGTCGGATTCTATCAAATAACAAGCTAGGGCAGTTCCAAAAGATGATATTATTTCAGATTTCATGCGACCGTGCAATTTTAACTCACTCTAGCGGCCCTTCACCTTTTGTTCGCTTGTGATCCACTCCGTTTGTTCACAGCGAGTGGTTGTTCCGCAATACTCTTCTAGGTCGTCGTGATTCGACCCGTGATTCTTTAGCCTCTAACTATATGGTCAGAGATATCAATGGGTGGGCTCTCGCAGAATTCATCTCTATCTTTTGGTGGCTGATGAATATGATCAACCTCAAACGCCCGTCGTCCACTATCACCCATGATTGATCATGTGCGTTTGTTCAGTGCATTGGTCGCAACGGTATCTGTACATCCGTCCTACCGTATCTCCTACATCTCGCCACCGTTTTGAGTCATATGATTTGATGTCGTTGAGGATGGTTTCCTTGCGTTGGTCGGCCCACCTGCACATTAACGATCCCGAATAGCAATATCTATGTTCACGATCACTAAAGCCTTGCCGAGTACCGAGGGTTGTAGTATCTGATGTATATGGACTGCAGCATCTCACCAGCATCTACATCTTCCTCCACCAAGGTGCCAAATGGGTTTCGCTGGTCTAATGGAGCTATGACGACTCTCACCAGAGATGAACTATTCTGTCAATGTAGTAGATGTATTGTCGGGACGAAGGAACCAGAACCGAGGCTCCCGCTTGCATGATCTCGTGCTCATGCGTGACATGATATGGACTACGGAGTACAGGGCACACAACCTTGTCTCGAACCGCCGGTTCCGTGGTATTGTCGAATTGGTCGGGTTAACAAGATGTGTCGTGTGTATCATTGCCGGCTGTCACACTCTATTGATCCCATTTGCCCTGAGGCGATGACGACTCATCCAGACCTTATCCTTATCCAGAAACGAAACGAAACGTTGATACATGCCCCGCACCCATGCAGCTTGAGCCCACGCCCATGTGCCCACGCCCATGTGCCCACGCAGCCCACCTCTTTGACGACACCCTAACCTCCCGGAACGGCTTGTTTCTCATGGCATTTGTTGGCTGATGGTGTGGAGGACCCTTGTTCCAACGTTGAGCACAAGCCAAAATACTTGGTATAGGTTATCCATTGCCTGGCCCTACCAAGCACCCACCACACTGTCTGTGCCCAGCATGTGAGTGTGTACGTGATAAGGCAGAGTTATTGTGAACCTTGGTCAACCAAGCCCGATTTGATGAGAGATGCGGCACTAAGCGGGGATGTTCTGCATCCTGAAGATTTTTCTCTCTTGTTACTGACTTTTCCAGTATTGGATCAGACGAGAGATCTTCGTATTGTCGCCCTTTTAGAAGCTGGTATACATTAGCTTGGTGTTCTACCTCCCGCTTGACATGACTCTTGCCTTGAATACTAAGATAGCGGTGTGATCGAGAAATGTAATGCAAGGAACATGTTGCCGCTGGATGCGTCATTTCTTGCTTTTGTCTTCTACGTCTGGCGTAAAGTGCTTATGCATGATACCCATTGGTTATACGCCTCGTAGGAACGATGTAATTGCGACTAGGTCGATCTGAGATCGAGATCAGTTAGCATGCGGGTTTCCTTCGTTTTCCAAACTAAGCAGAGCAGATCCTTACGTGCAACAACCCAGGTTCTTATCTTCCCAATTCGGAAGTCTATATGATGGTTATTAAGGAAGTGTAGGTCTCTGAACCCGTGCTGTCCTCTTATCGGCGATCTTTGTGTCGTCTGAAGTCCTCTCGTAAAACTCCGCAGTGGTTTTGATCAAGTCGGTATGCGTTGCTGCATGTCTGCCTGCTGTAATGGACATGCCTTCGTTCTTCGCAAGTGAACTCGAAGAAGGTGTTTGCCCTGATAGTTGTTATTGTATAAGTCACAAGCTCTGATCTGTCGTCGGCGATGTACTCGGGCCATGTTACAACGTATAGGGGAAGCATGCTGGTGTAACATAACATGTAAGTGTGCACTGGATATGTTGGTCGTAGCTTCTCGTGCTCATGAGGAGCTGAATGGCCGAGAGGCTCGAAAGTGACATCGTTGGCTTGTGTTTGTCCTAAAGATCTTGAGTACTTCGGTGTCGATGGGGTAGTCTTCGAGTTCGTATGTGTTGTACCTAGTTATCCTTAGTTCATAGACTTAGGTGTGATCTCGAGGGATAGAATCGTGCCGTAGTTGTAGTTCGTCTTGCCTATATATAGTCTGGATGAGAAAATTGGTATTGGGAACGTTAGTAGTTGAGATGTGAGCTGATTCGACTTTTCATTTGGGTCCTTTCTGCGACTTCCTCTGCGCTTCAGGGGGTATCATCAACAAAGTCTCAACGTGGGATGTTACAGATATCTATAGATATTTTTATGTCTTCTCTGGATGGTATCTCTGGTATCGTCATGTCGGAATGAGAAGGTCGACTTCAGGGGTGACACTTGGCTCGGGGTTGGTATCCGTGATCCTACCTATTGTGCTGCGGTCAGCACCAGTTCTGGGACACGAGTGTACAACATAGGGACTCTGTGTTAGTCCCTTGATATTACATTGATATGACGAGGTTGTCGGTGTATTGAAAGGTCGAGATCGCCTCAGGGGTTGTTAGTTAACGGCCCAAGGCACATGGCCTTGAGGAGTGGAAGTTTCCCCCTTTTCGGACTGGACATGAACAACACTGCAATGTTCGCATGAATGCAATGCTTTCATGGTAAGTTACGGTATTCTTTTTGTAGATGCAAGAGTTGTTGGGTGGGCTGGGTAGTGAACAACCCCTGCAAGCTACAGTGTTCTTGATATAGGCATGCAGAACAAGACAGACACTGGGCGTTTCTTGATCGATTCCTTTCGTTTTCGTGCAGATTGTTAGACTGATTAGAAGATGGAGATTATGATGTGAAGCTATAGCCAGTATAGGTGGTGTTGTGATGCTGTTTGCTGGCGACTGGGCCCTCTAAACTGTGCACTGGGATTTAGGGTGCACTCTACAAGCACCAGTTCTCCAGTGCCAGCACTCCAGGGCAACAGAACAGGCACATCATGATAGCATCAGGACTGTGTATGCGTAATTTCAAAGCCTCTACAGTAGAATTCCACTGACAGTGATCGAGTTCCATTACCCCCTTCCTGTCCTACATCTGGTAGTTGATATCTCGAGCACTGTTTCTTGACGAATTACTGACCTACATAGGTACCTAGTACCTACTACTGCTGCCTCTACATATCATTACAGCCGTCAAGCAGTGCTTGTATCTGGATGATGCTGCCTGTAGCTTCGATCAGCTCCAGCATCACCCCGTGACCAAAACTCCACAGCCTTGGCCTCCACTGCAGAGCCTCGAGCGGCAGTGAATCATTGCGGCCTCGCTCTAGGCGCCTACATAAACATCTCCCTCTTCTATTTTCCCTCCTCTCTCCTCTCTCTTCCTTCATCATCATCATCACCATCCTACCTCTCCTCCCCTCCTCTGCCTTTGCACCTTTTGCTGTGCATGGGTGCCCTTTTTTCATTATCATCTCTTGCCTCTTGTCATCTTGAGCAGGGAGATATCATCATCTCTCTCTCTCTTTTGATTCTATCATCTTCGTCTTCTCTTTGGACGAAAGCAATAGCAACGTCTTGAGCCATCTTGCTCGACCTCGCACCTCGTTTGTGCTGCCAGTTTGGCACTTTTGATTGGACGATACAACCTCTTTCTGACTACCTACCTACTACATTACCTACCTCTCTATCTGGGCACATATCACACAGATATTCGATTTTGGTAAGTGCCATTTTATTATTCTCTACTCGTTCGTGCCTTCTCCCTTCCTTTGAACACTTCCTTCGAGACAGATCAACAAAACCTGAACCTTCGGGCGTTTGTTTATTCATGCCGATGGCCGCTCTATTCACACTTTGCCCGTTTGCACATCCAACCTGACTCAGATCTCTACCTCTACCACCACTCTACTACTATACTAGCCCGCTTGCTCATACACACACTCACCTCCCCCAATGCTCATGTAATCCTTTGCCCTTCTTTACCCTTCCTCCCTGAACCCAAGTTCAGTGGTGATTGCAAACCAAAAACCGAACTCAACTTTACACTTATAATCATCTACTCTCTTACTTGTCCTTGCAATCATACTTCTCTTACCCCTATCGACCTGAAGCACCTACCACACCTTCATATTTCATTGCCATCCACTGACACCATGGCGAAAAGAAGGCATAAAAGAACTGCTACTAAGCCAAAGATAGATAACGCTCCCAAGAAGGACACCACTATCATCAAGATGCCGAGGAACCGTCGACAGAGAGGCAACAAGGCCAACAACAACAAAGATGCTCAAAAGCAGACTGAACCAGTCAAGCCTGCTCCCGGCGATTGCATCACCAAATACGGGTCTAAAGAGGCCCGCAGAGCTCTGGAGGAGCGTGGCTATCACCCTCTGGTTACCAAGAAGGGCATGGAGGTGATCAAGCTTGAGATGCTTGAGAAATGCGAGGACGCCATATCTAAACCTACCAGGGACGATTTCATGGCAGGCATGCTCCCTCGATTTCGTGGAATTTACGCAAACACCAATATGCTCATCACTGATACTGGGTCCAAGTCATCGCTGGCTGAGAATGAGACCTCGGAGCCTATCAGTTCCCGTCTCCGATTGTTTGACGGGAGACAACCACCCGGCCAGCTTCTTGGCGAGCTACTCGCATCCCAAGGAATCAAGCGACTTCAGTTATTTGCCGTTGCTGACCCGAAAGGATTCAACGCCATGTCTCAAGGAATCTCTATCTGGGACTTTGCCACGAGTGGCTTTCACGGCAAGCCGTGTGGCCACGTCTTCTTATGCCTTACACCACATCGTTCCCAGATGACCTCTGAACAGTCGGTCGCCATCAGTGAACTGGAACGCCAATCCCGGGCACAGGTCTGCCGTCTCATCGCCAGTGTGCGACACAACTGCGGCTCAACAGAGCCTTACTGGGTACATGAAAATTGGAGAGACGAGGAGGAGTTGCGAACAGAAGCCAAAGACGACAGACCTGAGGTAAAATGCGAATCAGCTAAATGGGGCAGAACTTTGGTCAGGATGATTCAGTCTCTCCCCAACACCAATGATTTTTGGAGAAAGATTGAAAAGGTTGTTGATCCCCTGCCTGACATGCACTACTACATGTCCAAGCAAGTTGCTGCCAAGTGCGTTTTCGATCTTTGTAAGTCCAAACACATTTCGCATTTTCCACCGATCTCACATTAACATCTTACTAGTGCGCTCAATTTTTGCGCGGACAAGTCTCCTCCGGGTCCTTCACTTTCACAGAACTCCCCTTCTGGACCGACGATTGATTGCCATCATTCTCCGGGCATGTCCTTATGTGACGATGATTGGCATATATGAGTGTCCCTTGATCCATTTTGGAGACATCATTTGTCTGCTTGATCTCATCCACGAGGTTAACCTCGAGCGAGATAAACAGGGCCTGCCACGGGTGGAATCGTTTGATTTCTATCCCAGGTACCATGCCGGGATGCCTTACACCAGCCGCGATATTGATGAGAATTGCACCTACGGTCTGTTATGGAAACACCAAAATAACAATGTCGTTCAGCGCGGTGTCTTGGCAATCCTCCTGCATGCCGTGTTAAAGTCTCGCAGGATGGGGTTAGGCCTTTTGATGGATCATGATGCGGCTTTCATGAACTACCTCTCTAACGTCCCCTTGTTCCCGCGGATAGTACTCAACTTCCTTGATGGACTCTATCGCTACCTCGATGTGCAGAAAGCTGACCCAGGCAACTGCAACGCACTGAAACAGGCGCTTTACGATATGTCGAAGGCGATACGTATTGGCCTTGAGCCCCTCGACAAGGATTGGCCCAACTACTACATGAAGCAAATGGGCATCGGACTTGTTTTCTGCTCATCGTGTGGCTATGAACTCTTGCCCGAGTTCTACATCGGAGAAGAGCTCCGACAGCAACCTCATCAACGTACCTGCTGCGCATGCTACTTGCAGTTCTGGATGGACAGGGAGCAAGACCATCAGAAGATACCCTCCAGAGACCTCATGAGCGTTTTCTATCCAGATTGGGAACCGAAGGCTTTCAACGTCGACGCTCCTCTACTCCGAGAAGGCCGAGAACTGCTGCGCATGGGGACTCGCAAGTCCATTCGCGATCCCGAGCCTTCGATACAAATTTTGCCTGATGGAGAGCAATACGTCCCTTCATTCACAATCGAGTTTGTCAGAGACAACAAGGATTATGAGAATTCTGTACAGGGCTTGCCTGATCTGAAGACACTTCTTCTCGAGAAGGGACTTCGAGAGCAGGAGATGAGTACCGTTGCTCTATGTGCAGACACTGACAGAACTGTCGCACTCCTCTTGCGGGCTGAGTATCCCGAGAGAAAGGGTTCCCGTCTCGCGTTCGCTAAAACTCGAAAGGATGGCGCTGCTCCAGACCACCATGATGAGAGTCAAGGATTAGCCCCGACTCGCAATAAAATGCGCAACGGAGGAATTCATATCACCTACGGATGGTACCAAGCCACCCGGGATGGTGTTGAAATGGATCGGGAGGGTCATTGAGGAGGATGACGAGTTTTGGTGCGAAGGGTGAGAATTGGTTTTGGGAAGGTTTGCTTTGCTTTGATGTGTTTTGATTTTGGCTTGCATGATGCCATAGTTGAGGCAAATGGTCCAGGATTGTGATTTTGCTCCCCGGTATTGGGATCAAAATGGTCAGTGATAAAGACTGGACACTAGATACTGAACACAGAATTCAGACATACACGGGAGAGAGACAGTTTGAGCCTGGAGTTGTATTTAGATACCTAGATAGGTATTTACCGATACAGCTAGTAATTGGAGCTCTTTAGATGAGAATTTCCATCGTATCAAACTGTTTTGAATGTCGTGATATTAATAAAGTGTATCACCGAGCATCTACTAGGTACCTATTCTACGGATAGGTAGGTACTCCGTATTGAGGTTGTCATTAGAAAAGTGGATTCTGGGGTGACTGTGTCGCACGTGATTCGACGATCCGGCTCATGAAGCAAACCTCAACAGCGCATGGATTGGGATCTTTAGTTCGAGTCGTCCCCCTCCAAACCAACCACGATGGCCTCATTTCTTCGCGTCTTCTCGATATCAGCGAGGTCGTTGACTCCGAGCAATGCCCTGGGGGCTTTTGCGACCCGCGCCACCTGGTCGCTCTTCGCAAGCCCCTCGACAACACCCATCTCTCGAGCGCTTGGAAACGGATTGATGCAGCAGACTCGCGGCATGAAGGTCCACAGTTCGGTCAAGAAGAGATGCGAGCACTGCAAGGTGAGAGAGAGAAAACTGCAATTGGATATGAAGCTTGGCTTGGCGTGGTCTTGCTTCTGTGATCCGAGCTGCGGCTAACATCTTTCTTCAGGTCGTCCGACGGAAAGCCGGCAAGCGACATAACGGATACTTGTACATCATCTGCAAAGCGAACCCTCGACACAAACAACGACAAGGGTAAATTCGAATGACGACAGATGAGAGGATATGTACGATATTTTGGAAACGAACTGCGGATCGGACCTTTCTAGACGGAGCAGACGATAGAACCCCCACGCACGATGGAACGAGCAAAACACCCGCAAGGCCTCTATTTCTTGCGAGGCGTCAATGGAGTATCAGAGATTCTCTCGGGAGGTTGAGAATAAGGGCGGAACAGCGTTGGGGACTGAAAGAGCCATCCGTCATGTACAACTACAACTACAATTACAACTGTTGCGCTACATGCCATCGATATACCTCTCCATGCCTTCCCATTCCGTCTTGCCAACTGAGAGGAGATATCGAACGTGTGACTTTTCCATGGGTGGCTAAATCAGTTGATGTAGTGGGGAAACGGAGCAGAAGAAGAACTCACAGAGTCTGTCACATTACGACGTCGGTCAAATTCATCACGGGCGTATCTTCGAGACTCAGCTCTTGTTTGAGGATTACCAATCTTTTTAGTTCCGCGCAAAATAGTGCGGTAGAATGCCAAGACTCGACCTCTCTGAATGAACTAGATAATCCAATTACATCAGTATTCAAGCGTGTAAGACTAGAGGTAGGCTTTTGCGCATACCTGGTCGAGACTCAGCGTAGGCTTGAGACGAGATCCGCTGGAGCGGGTGGCATAGCCACGGCTGAAAGTCAGCAGACGAGCGGTAAAGACCATTCCACCGATGACTACCTCATTAACTGGGCAAAAGGGAGGTTATTCATGCTTTGGGAGTAGTGACAATAATGATGAAGGCCTTCAAGTGGTGATTTCTCATTATGCCGGACGAACCTCGGCTATCTAATCGGTGTGGTCTTTCCCGTATCGGAAGGGGCTGTTGGATTCACCGGTTTGTTAGTGGTAGGTACGACGCAAGGATATACCTGCTCCCATTACATTTGCATGAAAACAACAATCTTCTATCATATTCTTCTTTTATACACAAGCGTTATCTCATTGTCAACTCTGATATAATTATGACAGAAACGAATGCCACTAAGGAGCCCAAGAGACTTATTGGCAGACGACGACAACGGCCAGAAAACCCAATTGAGACGGCCAATAAGATCTCAGATGAAGAATTCCTTAAACAATACGTTAAGACGATGTGAGTTTCAATATATGTACGAACAAGACGAATCCGATTGTAACATTTGAACTTTGGTCTAGCAGTGATAGCTGGCCGGAATGGAAACACCCCAAAGATGAAGCAACGTTTACTCTGAGCCTCACACGCCCTACTTCCATGACGGAGGGAGACCTAGAGGCATGTTACAACTTAATTGATGAGACGAGTGGTGCAGACTATCGCAGTTCATCCTTAGGGTGGCACGCCGCTGCTAAGAAGAAGGAGATGCGGTCACCTGATCTTCGATACATTCTGGTGAAAGACGACAGTGGTAAGATAAAGGGGTTTACGTCTTTTATGCCAACATTTGAGAACCATGAGACAGTGATCTACTGCTATGAGATTCACCTAAAACCAGAGTTGCAAGGGTGAGTCAATCAACATGGTCTCGCTGGGCATCCGTCCGCATTTCGACGGGGCTCAAGAGTGAACCAAATTTAAAACACGTGAGACCGTTAAGCTAACTGACATTCGGTAAAAGAACTGGTCTAGGCAAGAAACTCATGAGTTATTACACGGATGTCGCAGAGAACATACCAACAGTCGAAAAGGCCATGCTCACGTGTTTTGTCAGTAACGAATCCGCTCTCAAGTTCTATGAAAAGCTGGGATTTACAAAGGATGATTACTCGCCCAGAGAGCGAAAACTCCGAGGGGGGAAGGTGGTGGTACCCGATTATGTGATACTCAGCCGACCAACAGCTTCTCAAAAGGTTGATAACTCGCGGGCGCATCAGCCTGGACGTTGATGACGATGCCATGAAATGCTACCATGGATTCTACCATGTGCAGTTGCATCCTACTTGTATGACGGTCTTGGACTGAGTTAAAACGGATGGATAATATTATTCGTTCAGTCGTGTTCCATTTGCATCAACAACAGTTTGGAGCCACCTAGGTACTATGTAATTTTTGCAACAACAAATCGAAATAAAACTCCGACTGGATTATCTCTCGAGTTGTTCAACTCTTTCAGCCGCAATGTCAAGCTTTCGATGCTCCATCTTCAATGCAACGCTACAACGAATGATCCAACCACTGTACAGTGTATCCAAAGGGTGCCCCTTTTTCTAAGAATATCATCACTGGACGGAACTTCGCAGTGGTGGCCGAACTCTGTCTAGACTGGCCTGTTAGCCCAAAACCCAAGTCGAGATTTATCCTCGACATCCTACAGTTCCTACTGGCCATGAATACGGTGGCCTAGGACTGCTACCCATTTCGGGACGAGTTGACTGGCTGCAGCGATTACTAGCCATCACCTGGCGGATTATTGAAACTAGCCGGCTTAGGCGGCATTCACCTTGGGATGATAAAGGGATCTTCTGCACGTTGTGAAGATCCTCACCAAGGCTGACACGCTGGGGCTGGGGGCCTTTTGCCAGCACACTCCACTACCGTCCAAACCATGTCAGCCCTAGGACGCTAATTAAAGCCTGGGCTGAACTGCCTTTTCTAGCAATAGCTAGGTCAAGGCTGCAAAGCTCTGCTGTGCCTGTTCGGCCGCATTGAACCATACTGGGAAGTATTTTGCTTGCTGGGCTCGTGTAGATTTGTACAAGTTACACAGGTCATTGTGAGACATGGTGTCACAATCAATACCAATGTGGTAAGCAGCTTGATGCAACCGAGGGATGCTTTTCTCTCATTCTTTCCGAGCTGGAGGATGCGTCCCCCTGCTTCGCTGCCACTGCTGTCATCCATTGAAATGAAGGGCGCCCCAACTAAACATGGAGGCTTAGAGCTGAAGGCTGAAGCTTTGCAAGCTTGTCCGTGATACGCCAGCCTGAAACGAAAGGCGATTGCTGTGCCTAGACAGAAGGCCGTAGTCCGTAGGCATTTCTCTCATAAGGGGCCGTTATCGTCTACTTTGTCTCTCTTCTTCTCTTTCCTTTCCTCTCAGATACGCTCTTTCATTTTGGCTTGGTTTTTTCTTCAACTTGATTCAATCACTCGATCAATCGACTTACATATCAATCACAATGGCTCAACAGTACTCTCAGGGACCTAACGTCCAGAACCAGGAATGGCAGAACAACCTTTGCGATTGCTCGCCTTGCGACTCTTGCATGCTCAGCACATGCTGCCCTTGTATTCGTATGTGATCTGTCGCGAACAGATTCGATTCAATTGCAAGACTAACAATTGTTGTTCAGTTCTGGGTAAAACCTCCGACCGTATGAGAGATCCTACCATGCAGACTGCCGATACCTGCAACAGCGACACCCTTATATTCTGTGCTATCCAATGTGTGACTGGATGTGGTTGGATGTAAGACAGATACCCCAAGGAGGCTACCACTGAGTTGTCAACTAACAATATACTCAGTTACTCCATGATGAAGCGCGGTGAGATCCGTGAGCGATTCGGCATCAAGGGCAGCGGCATGAACGATTGCTGTGTCAGTTACTGGTGTCTATGCTGTGCTCTTATTCAGCAGGACAACGAAGTCAAGGGCCGTCTTTCTCACGGGCCCATCACACAGGGCTATCAAGCTCAGAAGGAGGGTATGCACATGCCTACCTCTGCTCCTCCTCCTCAGCAGCAGCAGCAGTACCAGGATCAGAAGCCTCAACCTCACCATCATCCTGAGCAGCAGATGCACCCTCAGCATCAAATGCACCAACAACAGCAAATGCATGCTCAACAGCAATCCCCTCACCCCGATTACCAGCTCCCTCAGCACGGTCACCAGTCTCCTCCACCTCAGGGAGCGTACCCTCCTCAACAGACTTACAATCCTCATCAGCCTCAGCCCCAGTATTAATCAAACTTGACCAGGGGAAGATCAGTGGGATGGAGTGGTACGATCACCGGCATGACACTAAAAGAAAAGCAAAGGAAACATGTGAAGAAAGCGAGTTGAGTTGGAGATCTGACATGTGAATTTACAAGCGCGGACGGGTACGCGCCGATGGATTATACCCAGTGGCTAAAAACGGTCATTTTCGTTTACTGTTATTACTATTATAAGACTTTGTTTCTTTTTCTCGCGTCGAGATAATATGTTATACAAGACTCAAACCATCTACCAAAGCATCGTCATCTTCTGCTCTAAAAAGCATGGCTGGGTTACCAAATAATACGAGTCTTCGGTCCGAAGAGCAATAAGGCTCTAAAACAAAATAGCAACCTCAGCTGAAAACACCCTTGTAGGCCACCGGCGCGAAATTTCCACTTCGCTTTTCCCTTCAGGGCATGGCTTTATTTGTTGATCATGATACTTTCCAGGCTTACGGTCTGTGCATTGATGCTTCGGTGATTCCCAGTGTGCACGGCTTGTACACCTCAGCGGAATGAGGCCATTGAAGGTAGGGCTAAATGAAGTATAAGCAGTAAATGATGGCCTAGACTAACGTCGAATGAAATGTGCAAATCTGTACTGGTGCTGATGTTGGGCATCAGGGCCTTTGACAATCACAAGCGGCATCACAACTCGGGCTGACCGGCAGCACTTCAGTATTCTGAGGGTATCAATAAAAATTTCATTCATGACCTTTGTCCCTGACGTTTAATCAGATGGACAGCAAAACGCCCGCGCCGCACCTCTAGTGGTTGGACAAACGCCTATTCAGATCTACGGTTATCGAGGCTCTTTATCCTCAACCCAAAACCCCTCTGAATCTTGTGCCCAATTCCCCAATGCAAGTGATTGCACATAAATCAACCAGCCCATTTTTTCCGTTTCCCAATCCGTCCGTCATCCTATCATTGTTTCCATCCATATATCATTACGCGTAAAGCTTCTTTTCATAAGACTCCATGTTGACGTTACCCTCCAATTGGGCGCTCGCCGTGCGGAGCTCGAAGCGCAGGTCACCAACCTCAGCACTCTCGTGCATACCCTGCAGGCTGGTCATACCACTGTCCTGGAGGGAGTGCTTGAGACCGGCAGCGAGGTAGGGAACAAATTTGCTGATCGATCTATTGGCTCCGTTAGCATTTCACGATTTGATACCACATGGGAGACAGGACTTACCCTCGATGAGCCACAGCACCCGAGACACCCTGAGCAACCAGAACGCTGTCGCCCTCAGAGAAGTATCGGGCAGTTCCAGCGTTGCTCTTCTGGCTATCCTTGCTACCGTTACCGGCCTTCTTGTCCTGCATAGCATCGATACTTCCCATGCCTCGGTAAGCCTTGACAAGCTTACCCTCACGGGATACGAAAGAAGTGCCGGGGGACTCAGTGGTACCAGCCAGGAGACCACCCATCATGATGGTGGAAGCACCCAGAGCAAGACCCTTGACGATGTGGCCAACGTTCTGGATGCCACCATCGGCGATGCAAGGAACACCGAAGCGAGCAGCGAAGCGGCTGACGCTGTACACGGCAGCAGCCTGGGGACGACCAACAGCCATAACCTCCTGTGTGATACAGGCAGAACCACTGCCCATACCAATTCGTAGACCGTCAACACCAGCGGCGATCAGAGAAGCAGCCTGCTCTCGGGTCACGACGTTTCCGCCAATGACATCGACGCCAGGGAACTCGCTCTTGACCCACTTGATCATCTCAATCTGGTACATGCTGTTACCCTGGGAGCTGTCCAGGATAACAATATCAAGACCGGCGTCAACCAGCTTCTTGAGGCGAAGCTTGTCCTCAGGGCGAGTGCCAATGGCAGCAGCGCAGAGGAGCTGCTTGCTGTCGGGAAGCTTGGAAGCATTGGGGAAATGCTGGTTCTTGGTCAAATCAGAGCGGGAGATCATAGAGACAATGTTGAAGTCCTTATCGACAATAGGGAGCTTGCCCTTCTTGGACTTGGAGAGACTCTTGTTGGCTTCGAGGAGGGTGACGTGCTCAGGAGCGGTGACAAGGTCAGTAACCATGACATTGGCAACGGGCTGGTCGAGGTCCTCCTCGAACTGGAGGTCTCGGTTGGTAACGATACCCAGGAGCTTGGAACCAAGCTTGCCATCGGCTGATTTTTTCTTCTCGTTAGTCAAATATTCTTGTGCGGGGCAATGTGACCATAGAAAAAAAATGAAGTGTGGTGGTTGTTCATAGTAAGTTTATCCTCACGACCGTAGTCTATACAGTGGAACGAAAGTTATATAAAAATGGTGTTTAATCATGCAACCAGGTGTGTAAAGAAGGCATTGGGCTGTTAATAATATCACTTACCAGTAACTGGGAAACCACCAAAACCCCACTTCTCCTTCAGAGCCTTGGCCTCACCAACGGTGGTGTTGCGATCAATGACCACAGGGTCGAGGATGAAACCGTTCTCGTAACGCTTGACCTTGCGGACCATGTCGGCCTGGGCCTCAGGAGAGCAGTTGTGGTGAATAACACCAAGACCACCCTGGAGAGCCATGTGGATGGCCATCTCGTGCTCCGTGACAGTGTCCATAGGGGACGAGATGAAGGGGGTCTTGAGGGTGATACGCTTGGTGATGGGCGCATCAAGAGAGACTTCAGAGGCAGCGAAGCCAATGTAGCCGGGGAGGAGCAGGAAGTCATTGTAGGTAAGACCACCGTGCTTGGTTGTATCCATAAGCTCGTGGATGTCGAGGCCATCCTTCATCTTGTACTCCTTCAGCACCTCGAGGGCTGTGGTGAAGTCGAGAACTGAGCCAGACATGATTGGTGAGGCTGTGGAAAATAAAGAGTAAACAAGAAGAAAGGATGAATTAGAATGAGGTCGAAGACGAGACGAGTCGATGAGCAAGCTCTGGCCTTTGTATCGACTGCTAAGATTGATAGAACGCTTCTTCCCGAAAGAAAGAAAGAAGAAAAGAATGATGGTGCCTCCTCAAAAACTTTTTTATGGAACGAGCACAGCGGGACCGGACCCTGTGGGGCTGCTCTTGCCCAACAAGGAGGGGCAACTCCTCCTCTCTTTGGACGAACGCCTTGTAAAAACTGTCAAGGCAAGCGGGGCTGCCTCTTTTTTTTTCAAGCTCTTGCCTTTTTTTTGGTCTCCAACTCGCTAGGGCCCTTATGCCTTCGTCACCACATATTTACTTACCCTATAGCGATTATGGATCATGACCAATGGCTTACAACGGCACGCGATGTGTGTTCAGGAAAGCTCAGCTGGTCACTCATGGAGTTTGTGTCCTATACAGATACCTATTGGGATAGATTCTTTTTGGACTATCGCTTGGTAATTATATCGTCTTCAGTATCATCGAGCGTTACCATCAACAGTATGAGATTGTTCACAGGTTACCAAGCAATTTATATTTAACGATCTGTGTCCATCGCCACTCAGTTATTGTTAATCACGTTCTCAAAGACTGAAGCGAATTTTGACCTCCACCTCATTACTCCATCGACTTTCAAGATCCAATTCCTTCCATGCTTTTCCGATGTCGATCTCAAGCACGTGGTTGTCGATCTTCGAAATGGCCACAGTATGGAGAGGTATCACTTTTTCTTGAACGGTGATCAAGAAATCCCCTTCGATTGTCATATTAGGAAGGGCAGAGACATATATTCCTAAAAGAAATTATGAGGCAGTTGCACCATATGAACAGATATTTTTACTCACCTAGAATACCAAATGCTTTGATGCGTGTGTCGATCAACACACGGCCATTCTCCCGCTGGTGAATATCGTTCATAAAAATTGCGGCAGCACCAGCCATTTTACCCAGCAGTCCCAAGTTGGAGACTAGAACATCTTCATGCTTCTTGCTCGAGAGACGTGTTAGGGGAAATGCGGAGAGTATTTCATATCCTCGGACAGGTAGTGACATTGTGAGCAAGGACCCTGGCCCGTCAACTTTAGTTGGCAGCGATACATTGCCAGTGGTATGGGCGCGAACCACATATTGAAGGTCAGAAATCGTACCAGGGAAAGCTGAAAGGGAAACGAGTTCAGTTAATGGCCTGGAAGAGATGTTGAATATGGCTAATATAGGATTGCCAGTATGCGAAGCCCCTACAGTCATGGTTAGTCCTAACCAGCAATTGCATTTGTGAGATTCCTACCGTGATAACTTCCTACTTTTAGAAGTAAATCATCATCGTATCCAATATAAGGATCTACCGCCCTTCCTAATGAGCTTGGCCGAAATATGACAGTCTTGCCCCGCGGAGTAAGACCAGTCATTTGTCCGATAAGATCCATATCATGTTCGCCTGGAACATCAGTGATATAGATAGGCCCTCCGCTGATACATCTGGCTGCGGCATGAAACCCGGAATATTCGTGGACAGTCTGGAACATATCCCAGTCAGGGAGTACATTAAGGTGCTTCATAAAAATAGCATTGTGCGCATTCGTCCACACGTGCCAAGGATGTGAGGCAGGTATTTCGGGGAAGAAGTCGTCCGAGTTGCGTACCAGGATTGTAGGCCGATTCGTTGGCATTTGGGAGTAGAAGAGAGCCTGCGGGAACTGTGACATGCACGATATCGCCTTTGCACTGAAGTGGCGCAAGGTCGAGATGGTCCACGCATCAAGGTACGTGTTGATGAGATCTCGGCGAGGTGAAGCTTCAACCCACGTATCAATCATGAACTGGGCATCTGTCTTGACGGCATCAACTCCAGCACCCGAAAGAAATTTGTAAAAGTCGTTATAGAAACGGTTGACATCCTCTTGAGCAATAACAGTCATCTTGCCTCCCAACGGAAGATTGCGACGGTCAGCGTCTTCTCGTGTCACCTCGATAGTCTTGTACGTCTTTGCAAGCTTGCCATCAGGGGCAATGCCACCCCAATACCCCAAGAGTGCATGCCACACAGCAATGTGTTGGATGTGTGGGTGGTTCTCTCGAATATGGGATACGGTGGCTTTTAACCCCTTAGGGAATGCCTTGGGCTCGGCCTCAAAGTCGTTCCAACCGTACTGAAACTGGCTGGGTCCTCGATAATCGATCGACTGCCAGTTATCGTCGATGATGAGACTTGAAACCTTGATACTATGTTCACTTAACTTGTCTAGAGCATCGAATATTTTCTGGTCTGTTAGTCGCTGCCCCAAAGCGTTCCATGTGCCTATGTAGTGTTAGTTCATTACTTGACTGGTCAGATACGAGCAAAAGCGAGAACACACAAAAACCTAGCCCATCAAACCAGTATTCTAACCACTCCGGCTTGAAATCATTCGTCAATGCAGTCAACTCTTGAGACCATTCCTCACTGGCCTGCTTTGTCCTCGCAACTAGATCTCTAGCATGATACATTACAGAAGCAACGGCGTTATCAAAACTGTCTCCTTCTGAAACAAGAATGACCGATTTTTCGTCTGAAAGGCCATCATTTCGAGCCTATAGAGTTAGAATCTACACTAGGTATATACAACATGTGCTTACATGAACATGGAGTTTCCCATCAGACTCGCTTCGAAATACTGGTAAGACTTGACTGACACCACTAACAGCCAGGAACACGAGACTTTTGCCTTGAGGGCTCAAGAAAGAACAAAGCACTCCGTCCTTGTCAAGCGAAAATTGTGACTTTCCATGGCGAGGTGCAAGCCAGGGCGACCATAACCGGACAAGGGAGAACCATCTACATCCAATTAGGTAAGAGAGTCACGGTAGAGTTCTGACGTATTTCACATTCATCGATTGCACTTACCTTGCAAAAGATCCCCATGGAGTCCCAATTGTAATGTCTTTATAGGTAGAGTCATCTCCGTTCGCAGACGGGATGACTGATTCAAGTGACCAGAGTGCGGTCCTAGGTGACTGACTTACATGAGACCTGATAGTCCAATCATGGGAGCTGAGATCAGGAATCAGATCAGATAAGTTACTGGACGAAACTCTGGTAGAGGCTTTAACAAATAAGCCGTCGTTGAGTCCTTGTTCATCGCGGATCCATCTCCAATCAGCATCTGGACTATGTCGAAACTTCAGAGTAAAATGCACTGATGCATCAAATGAAAGAGATGAAGCGAAATATAAACGGGACATTGAATCATCCAATGTTTGGAGGGTTTGGGGGGCTGGACCCTCCTTGACGGGGACAAACTTCAAGTCTTTCCAGTCTGTGCCATCCACTGAGTGCCATAAGGAGACTTCCCATGGTTCACTGGTTCGAGACTTGGGGATCTCAAGAACAGCCGTTAGATTGACTTCCTTGCCTTGGACAGAGCTGACTTTCCCCAGAGGCGGAAAGCTCTGCAAAACCACTTTCATGTCCTCGGTGACCGGAAGAGGAGCAGGCTTCTGTTTGGCGATATAGATTGCCTGAAAGACATCGCCAAAGTTGTAATCGTCAGATGGCATCGCAATGAAACAAGAACAAGAGGAGCAGACTTTAGAGTAGGAATATATTTATTTGGCCAATCGACCTGGATTTTGAAATTTCTCCAAAGGGAACTCGTGACAGGTGCGCGGAAAAGTGATAATAATAATTTGTTACGATCATACAATCACATCTGCGTTGTTGATGCTTGTTGAGGATCATGTATAGTTGTTGTCGGACTGGAGGCTCATTGGATCATAGTGGAGACTAAATGGAGCTAAGGATGGTTAGTAATGATAGCCTCCTATTGGTCCTTGCCTGGATCTCGGGTTGCTGTGATTCGGGGACGGTCGGAATGACTAATCTCTGCGCCTCATTGCTCAGGCTGCAAATTATCTCAGTAAAGCTTCTAGCCGAGCCAGATCGAAAGATTTCATCAAACCACTCAATTCAGCGTCGACCCTCCAAACCTGCGTCATGGCGTCCCGGAGACTGGCTTTGAACCTCTCGCGAGGTCTGCGAAACCGTTCTGGTTTCTCGGCTGTCGCTCCCTTCACACGAGGCTTTGCCACTCCCTCTACCGTCGGCAAGACTCAGACTTCAACTCTTAAGAATGGATTGACTGTGAGCATCATCATCCGAGGTCAATTGGCTTCGACGACCACTTCGGAACGTACGCCTGACAGTTTATACCCCTAGGTCGCTACCGAGCACTCACCCTTCGCGCAAACATCGACCGTCGGTGTCTGGATCGATGCCGGTTCCCGGGCTGAGACCGATGAGACCAACGGCACTGCCCACTTTCTTGAGCATCTCGCTTTCAAGGTTCGACAACCCGTCAATTGGCCGAAATTCATCATTAACAATGTTACCAGGGCACCGCCAAGCGAACTCAGCAGCAATTGGAGTTGGAGATCGAGAACATGGGTGGTCACCTGAACGCCTACACTTCGGTCAGTCGGATGAAGGGATACGACGTTGAACGATACTAACATATCTCCAGCGCGAGAACACCGTCTACTTCGCCAAGGCTTTCAACTCTGATGTTCCCCAGTGTGTCGACATTCTCTCCGATATTCTCCAGAACTCCAAGCTCGAGGAGTCCGCCATCGAGCGTGAGCGCGACGTTATCCTCCGAGAGTCCGAGGAGGTTGAGAAGCAGGTCGAGGAGGTTGTTTTCGATCACCTCCACGCTACTGCTTTCCAGCACCAGCCCCTTGGCCGCACCATTCTCGGCCCTCGCCAGAACATTCGCGACATCACCCGAACCGAGCTTACCGACTATATCAAGAACAACTACACTGCTGACCGTATGGTTCTCGTTGGAGCCGGTGGTATCCCCCACGAGCAGCTCGTTGAGCTTGCTGAGAAGCACTTCGCTGGTCTCCCCTCCAGCGGTCCCCAGACTGGTGCCTACCTCCGCTCCAAGCAGAAGGCTGACTTCATGGGCTCTGATGTCCGTGTCCGAGATGATGGCATGCCTACTGCCAACATCGCCCTCGCCGTTGAGGGTGTCAGCTGGAATTCCGAGGACTACTTCACTGCTCTCGTTGCTCAGGCTATTGTCGGCAACTACGACAAGGCTGTTGGCCAGGCTCCCCACCAGGGCAGCAAGCTCAGCGGCTGGGTCCACAAGCACGATCTTGCCAACAGCTTCATGAGTTTCTCTACCAGCTACAACGACACTGGGTAGGCTCTAAGACGATACTTATATTCATACAATAGCTAACCTTTTCCCTTAGTCTTTGGGGTATTTACCTTGTTTCTGATAAGCCTGACCAAGTTGACGATCTCGTCCACTTCGCCATCCGCGAGTGGATGCGTCTCTGCACCAACGTCAGCGCCTCCGAGACCGAGCGTGCCAAGGCTCAGCTCAAGGCCTCCATTCTCCTGTCCCTCGACGGCACCACTGCCGTCGCTGAGGACATTGGCCGACAGCTCGTCACCACCGGCCGCCGCATGGCCCCTAACGAGATCGAGCGCAAGATCGATGCTATCACTGAGAAGGACATCATGGACTTCGCCAACCGAAAACTCTGGGACCGGGATATTGCTGTCAGTGCTGTGGGAACTATTGAAGGTCTCTTCGATTACCAGAGACTTCGCAACACCATGAAGCCCAAGTTTTAAGGTAGAAGGGGCTTAGTGGGATTGTGAAAATCGAGATCAGGGTATAGAGTGTATGAGATACCGTTTTACAGGCCTAGTGTACCATAAGATTTCCTCTGTTCATACTAGGTAACATGGAGTTGTGATAATTGTGTCTTGAATGTATTGTCACTTGTATTACAAGCCTTGTGACAGAGGCTTTGCTACTTTTGTGAAAAGTATCCATTAGGGCCTTCATTTAATCAAGTACCTGGGGGATGGTCCGACGATGGATCAACGATATGAATGTGATTTCATGAAGTTCTTGTATGTTCCAGGAGGGGGTTTTATTACTTCCCGCAGTGCTTTTGTTGACGGTTGGGATCTGCTCTTCAACCTAGTATTAGTAAACCCGATAGCTAATACCCAGAACGACGTCTTCGCCTTGATGCGACCGCCGACCTAGATGCATCCCTTCACATCGAAGCACCTTTTGCATATCCTTCTAGACCAGGTATCGATTATTCACTGCCCACATTGATCCGAACGCCATTAACACCATTCGCATGTGTTCCAGTTTAGACATGTCCGTTGCTTGGCATGATGGACTCCTAGCCCTCTTCTGCCATTTCCTCGTCGACGTCCTCACCAAACATGTCCTCAACTGTACCACCCTCCACGCCATCTCCACCGATATCTTCAGGTTCAGGGCCCTCAATGCCCTCCATAGCATCGCCCCCTTGATCCTCATCCTCCTCCTCATCTTCGTCCGCTTCATCCCACATATCCTTCAGACCCCAGCTCGTCCCACTAAGCACGAACCGTTCGCTCGGTAGTCGAACACCCCATTCGCTAGGCACGATCTTTGGCAATGCCACCTTGTTTCGTTCACGCGCAAGCTCCTGCATATAGTCTTTACTAATACCCCCACCGGCGTTTCCTCCACGGTACTGGAAGTTGAGTCGCGAGGCAATGGCGAGCTTAACGGCATTGGCTGTGACTGCAGCATCACCTGCGGGAGCTGAGATGGCACCAGCGTTTGCTGATGGCTTAGAGCCAGCCTGTGTGACATATGGGTCGCCGGAAAGATGTAGCGCATCGCTCAGCACAGAGGATGTATGGCGGTAGGCGAAATCGAGTAGCAGCAGAGGTACACGCTGCTCGTAAGCAGTGACGCCTTGCGACGTAAGCAGAAGCTCGATCAAACGGGAGTCGCGCGGCCGGGGGGCGGTTGTTGATGGTGTAGCAGGAGGGGCGTTCTGTGTAGTAGGTTGACTCGAGGAGGCGGCGGTAGTTTGTGTGTTTGGTACTGTTTGCGAAGTGCCTGCTGATGAGGCCGGAACCCCATTGGTCTGGGGCTGGCTCGATGCCATCTTGAACAATGACTTGATGCCTCGGAATAGGTAGGGAGATGCAATTGGTTGTTAGATGTTTAAGATGATCGCGCGTACAGCATTGGGATGTCGCGCCTGGTCAGGATGAATAACGCGTGTGAACTGGAGAGGTTAGACTAGAATATGAAGAATGATGTGTTCTGTGAAAAGAGCACCCTAAATTATGGTAAAAGTTTATGAGGAGCAAATATGCCAAGCCGAAAGCTTACTGAATCTCGAATTGACTATTTCCTTGCGACGGTGAAGTCGCATGCCGCGTGCTGCTCGTCGGAGGTTCTGATAATCCGAGATATGGTGTGGAAACGCACAGACCACACCTTAAATGCCGTCCACTGGCGTCAGCCGGATATCGATGTTATTTCGGCAGGGAAAGAACGATGGAGGGGCAAAGCGTAATGGATGCCCCACCAAATTTTCGCCGATGCAGGAGGATTCAGTCATTACCTCACTTTTCCTCAACTGATCGGCCTTGACTCATAAGCAACCTCATCTTGAAAAACTACACGACCTGGCGGCTTGCCCTTTGACAACTAAATTACCCCAATTCGATTTGTCTATCACTACAACATGGAGACAACCCTTCCACTGCCGTTCCTAGTGAGCGTTGCCAGTCCCAACGATCAAACTGCCAATGATGGTCTTGCACGCCAAGAGATTGCACTGCTTGGAGCTCCCTTCTACGAGACAGCTTCCAAAGACTGGGGTCGTCCTAGTGCCGGTACCAATGTTCACATGGACGCCACAAGCCTGAACAATCCTAATGAGGTGATTGCTCTGCTCGATGGCGGGGTAAGAACGGTATTCGTAACTTCAGAAACATACTCGGAGTATACCGAGTATGGTACCAGAGTTATCCCCAGCGTTTCTACTCTCGACCTCTCCCCCGCTACGGAGAATGGCCTGTTGGTCAAGGACTTCGATGTCTCATCAAGCGACGTCAACAAGTTCGTTGAGGATGCCCAGGCTAAGAAGCTCAAGAACCTTTACATTAAGCCAGCCCCTAACACCGACATCGAGAAGTTCGTCGAGGTAGCCAAGAAGGCCAACGCCATCCCCATTATTCCCTCCACGAGCTTGACGACCGACAAGAACGAGTCGAGCCGGTTGTTGCTGTCCAAGATCATCGCATCATACTGGAAGTCCGATCGAACTGACGGCCTTATTCCTACTGTAGTCACTGATGACGCTGGAATTGCCCTGGGACTCGCTTATACCAGTGAAGAGAGCATTCTGGAGGCTCTACGAACACAAACCGGTGTTTACCAGAGCCGCAAGCGTGGTCTATGGGTGAAGGGACTTACCTCTGGAGATACCCAGGAGCTGCTGCGAATTGGACTCGACTGCGACAATGACACCCTCAAGTTTGTGGTTAATCAGAAGGGTCGCTTCTGCCACCTCCAGCAGTTCGGCTGTTTTGGGGATCTAAATGGCATCTCTGCACTAGAGCAAACGCTCAAGTCGAGAAAGGAGTCTGCCCCTGAGGGGTCTTACACTGCTCGCTTGTTTTCTGATGAGAAACTCCTACGAGCCAAGATTATGGAGGAGGCAGAGGAGCTGTGCGATGGAAAGACCAAAGAGAACATCGCGTTCGAGGCTGCTGATCTGATCTACTTTGCTTTGACTAAGGCTGTTGGTGCGGGCGTTAGTCTCGCTGACATCGAGGCAAACCTTGATGCCAAGAGCCTTAGGGTCAAGAGGAGAACAGGTAATGCCAAGGGTAAATGGGCTGAGAAGGAGGGCATCAAGACTGAGGATGCCCCCTCAAAGCCGTCACAGCCGGCAGCGGAGAAGCCAGCCGATGGACGTATCTCCATGGAGCGGGTTGACTCTACGAAGATCTCCGAGGCTGGCCTCATCGAGAAGCTCAAGAGGCCTTCACAGAAGTCCCCTGAGGCCATCTTGAACATCATCAAGCCGATTATTGAGGATGTGCGAACAGGTGGTGACAAAGCTGTTCTGTCTTACACCCACAAGTTCGAGAAGGCAACTTCTCTGACATCCCCTGTGCTTAAGGCTCCTTTCCCTAAGGAGCTGATGGACATTTCTCCCGAGACCATTGAGGCTATCGATATCTCTTTCGAGAACATCCGAAAATTCCACTCTGCCCAACAGGAGGAGAAGTCTCTCCAGGTTGAGACTATGCCTGGCATTGTCTGTAGCCGCTTTTCAAGACCTATCGAGAGAGTCGGTCTTTACATCCCTGGTGGAACTGCCGTTCTCCCTAGCACTGCCCTGATGCTTGGCGTACCAGCTATGGTTGCTGGCTGCCAGAAGATCGTCTTTGCTTCTCCTCCCCGATCTGATGGCTGCATTACTCCCGAGATTGTCTACGTCGCTCACAAGGTCGGTGCCGAGAGCATTGTCTTGGCCGGAGGTGCACAAGCTGTCGCTGCCTTGGCGTACGGTACTGAAAGTGTGACCAAGGTTGACAAGATCCTTGGACCTGGCAACCAATTTGTTACTGCGGCCAAAATGCACGTGAGCAACGACACCAACGCTGGTGTCGGTATCGACATGCCTGCCGGACCCTCAGAGGTTCTCGTTGTTGCAGACAAGGACGCCAACCCTGCTTTCGTTGCATCTGATTTGCTCTCCCAAGCTGAGCATGGTATTGATAGTCAGGTTATCTTGATTGCTGTTGACCTCAGCGAACAGGAGCTCAAGGCCATCGAAGATGAAGTCCATAACCAGGCCGTGGCACTTCCCCGTGTCAACATCGTTCGAGGCTCTATTGCTCACTCCGTTACTGTTCAGGTCAAGGACATTACAGAGGCTATGCGTATCAGCAATGAGTATGCCCCTGAGCATCTCATCCTCCAGATCAAGGACGCCGAGAAGGCTGTTGATCAGGTGATGAACGCCGGTAGTGTTTTCATCGGCCACTGGACCCCTGAGAGTGTTGGTGACTACTCCGCCGGTGTTAACCACTCTTTGCGTAAGTTCTCTCTCTAGTCTTTCAACTCTGTGATAGTTACTAACTCTTTTCACAGCTACTTATGGCTTTGCTAAGCAATACTCTGGTGTCAACTTGGGCTCGTTCCAGAAGCACATCACCAGCTCCAACCTTACCGCTGAAGGCCTCAAGAATGTCGGAACTGCCGTCATGCAACTAGCCAAGGTAGAGGAGCTCGAGGCTCACAGAAGGGCTGTGGAGATTCGACTTAACTATCTGAAGCAACAGCAATAAGTCAGAAACTTAAAAATGGCGTAGATAGAGAAGAGTAGAAGGGATTTCTTTTAGGATCAGGGTTTTGAACTTGGGAATAGAGTGTGTCAAGATATGCACACGAATTTGGATGCCATAATAACTCAAAGGTAAAAATACAAAATTTGCTCGAGTAGTATTCTTAGCCTTTCAAACAATAAACGCTTTTGTCTGTACAGCATGCCATAGGCGTGATTACTACAAGTTCAACGAAATGCTTAACGCCACGCTATGCCCCAATATACCTGAAATCCCGTCTTCTTCTTATCCTCTGTTTCCGCCATCGCTGTGTGAGCAAATTTGAGAATACCAACCTTTCCGTCTATGAAACTATCTCGAAAACAATTCAAAAAGAAACACCCTGGATCCGATACACCTTATTGACTGCCGGGTGCAACAGCAACAGCCTCGGTGGCCTGTTCGTGATACTTAGCTTTCCATCATTTCACTTCATTTCACTTCTCAATGGAGAGATGACCAACCCCTGTGATTTGTTGGGCGAGAACGTCCTCCTCGAGATGAGGCTTGCCCTTCTGCTTGATAGTAGCAGCTTCAGGAGCATCCTCGCCCTCGTCTTCCTCCTCGTGGCCTTCCTTGCCGTCTTCGTAAATTTCATCTCCATCGTCTTCCTCATAAGCTTCATTCAAGTCGCGTGTCATAGACGCTTTGAGACGCTCTTCATCGACGCTGCCACCCAACACGCTTGCGGCTTCGGCAAATTCGTCCACAGATGCACGGGATATGTAACTGTCGGCGAGTCCCTCAGCGAGCTCATCGACATCTTCATCGATCTCGCCCTCTTCGTCGTACTCCTCTTCATCGTCGCCATATTCGCTGGTGGGTCCTGCTGGGCCATTGTCATCCTCGTCGTCATCGTCATCGCTCTCACTTGCTGAAAAGTCGCCAATGGCAAGAGGATCATCTCTCCAGTACGTGAAATCGGTATACTCCTCGCCGCCACCTTTTACCAGTGTGCTCACAGGAGGGAAGTAGTGATCAACAACTTCGTTGATATTCACGTAGCTCATCTTGAGCTTGTTGAGAGTCAAGAGATCCAAAGACACTTCAGAATTAGAGTTGATGGTGAAAATGCGGTTTCGTGGGACATCAACGGTTCTGTAAGATATTTGATCGGTCAAACGATTTCCATAGCCAGCATGGAAAGGAGTCCTGTCTGGGCCGTATAGATTTCGAATATCGCGAAGAGTAGCCATCTTAAAGATGTGAGGCTTGCGAAGATAGACCTCTCGTCTCAATGCTGCCATGGTTCTATCTGGCGACAGAATTGTTGGGCCGGGAGGCATTCTGTAGCCATCCTGCACGATACCAGCCAGGTACGCTCTTGTAGTATCTGACTGTCCGACGGATCGACTAGTAAGATACATGATATTATAACCGTTGGCGGAAATATCACTGTATAATTTGGCAACACCGGAGTGTGTCCAATCACGGCCAAGCATGTTTAACACATGGCCAAGGGCATCTGACTTTGTGATGGTGCCGTCGATGTCAGAGATAACGACAGGTGTCTCGTGCCTCCAGAGGTACATGTTTGCCTTGCAGGTTGCTCGATTGACAGTGAAAGCCATCGAATTTGCGCCAGGCTGTAGCTGAAGGTCCTTGAGCTGCTGGCTGGTCAGTCGCAAAGTTTTGGCGTAGTTCCTGTTAGGGTCTCCTGCGTGGCCCGAAGAGCCTGGGGGCGTACGAGGAGGTGTCTGCAAATCCATAGGACCTGCATCAGACTCGGCTCGTCTATGTAAAGGAACGGGTGAGGCGGTTGCATCACTACTGTCGCTCTGGTACCCGGGATCCGAAATAGCATCGGCCGCAGTAGCCCTACGATGCGACTGTAAAGAGGCTTCGATGGTCTTGTTCATGGCAGCCTGTTTAGCCTCCTCGCTGCTGTAAATCCACAGGTTTCCATGCTCGTCGAAACCAAAGAGGGCGCCGATGTCATAGTTTCCATCCAGCTCTTCAGAAAGTATCTGACGGGCAAGAATCTCAGCCCGGAGAATATCCTCCTCGTTACCCTTGAACCCGGTCATGTCCAGCATCAGATCACCAGTATCGGTCACCTTGCAGGGAATGCTTGCAGCAGACAGTCCCTTAGACAAAGCTCTTGCACGTTCAAGCGCATCTCCAGGTGGGGGGCTGGAAGAACGTTCTGAAGCAACGTGTTCGTCATCACCGGCAGAACTGTTTCCATCCAGGCCGTGACTACGGGCACTGGGTCGGAGAATATCGTCGCTATGCGGTCGGGTTGCTTTCGAAGACCAATCAACAGACACCGGGCGGGCACTGGACAGCTCGGGGGATGTGGAAAGCGGTGTGATCAAGCCTGCTCTGGTATAAGTTTACGATTGCTGAGAGAAACTGTCCTCCTTTACATACCGTTGTCGTTCTCTTTCTTATAAAGAACAGAAGGGAGCGGTCGCTTAGGCTTGGTCTCGGAAGCATCGAGTTCAAATGCCTCTGGCTCCTGCAAGCCTGCATCAGGCTGTTCGGCATTAAGTGGCGGACTGCTCGCAGGGCTAGAGGCGGGAGAAACAAGAGGCGATGTTTGTAGTGACTGAGGAATCCTATCTGTGGTCTCGAAAACGAAGAATGCCTCGCCGCCCTCACCAAGCTTCATGGAATAGCTTTGCTTAACGCCATTGACCTTGAATTCGACCTTTTTGTCTGAAGGTCGCAGCAGGGAAAACTTTCCGAATCGGACGTGGAAAGGGGAGCAGACTAGAGAACCATCCTCGTGTTCGACGACGATGACATCAATAGCACCACTTAGAGTCGCAGGGTTGATTGAATTCCAAGCTGTCGAGACAGACTCGCTGAGGCCGCGCACGTATTGCATCTTGCCTCGTGAGGCAGAGGACGTCGTATGTTAGAAATTTGATGTGCTGTGGACGTTGATCGCAAGTTGGAGTAACAGCAGCGGTTTGTCGTGGGGGGACGTTATGTTGGACGATGGTCCGAAGAGTCGAATACGCTGACGCTTCCAAGCAAACGGTGGAACAGCAGAGAACGGAAGAGCTTGGGACCCTTGAGAAGTTAATCTGAATACTAGAGAGGGTTTAAAGCGTACAGTGAGTGAAAGGTATGTTAGTAAAATTCTAAAGGTGGAATAGAAAATAGAAAGGACGGAATGGAATGCGGCGGATTGTTGGGGGAGCAGTTTGGTTTGGAGGCGGGTTGAGGTGAGTGTAGGTAGCAAAAGACAGTGGACGGAAGTACCGAGTACAAGTAGGTAGTCGCCCGTGCCTGCGGTGGTCGAGCGGACCTCTTTTTTTTATTCTTCTTAGTTCTTACCCCAGTCGCCCAGTCTAACAAGTGAAGACGTCACCAAGAATTTGGAGAAGTTTTTACTGGTAATGTAAGGAAAAGTTTGAGTACAAGCGACAAACAATGGAATTGCTCACAGAGTGGCTGACCAAAGTACAAAGGGAGGAATTGCAGTAATACCCCCCCAACGAGGCAACGTCGTGCGGTCTCACAGCATAGAAACAAAGAAATCCATCGGTATAAGCTCAGAATGACGAAGTCGCTGTTACAGACTTTCAGACTCAAGTCTCCGACCGGACGTTGAGGGGCGTCTCGCCCAACAGGGCCTGCCGTGGTACCCAGTACAAGGGATGATACCCCAGCTCACAGGGGTCTAGACGTCCACCAGGATCATGATGGATGCCCCCAGCAAAATCTATCACATGAACGGCTCAGGCGGACAATGTTGCCGAGTTAGAGCTTGAATCGTTCGGTTTCCAGGAAATCTCTTGGTCTTTTTGTAGTCAATAGGTCAATATACGGGTAAACCTAATTGGAAGCTGTTTTCATAGTTGAGCGCGTCATTCATACTCGTAGGTTGACTTTGACACTCTCGCTGAACTCTATCATTCAACTGATTTTGTTGCTGATAATTGGACAGTCTGGATAGGCTCTGTGTTACAGGGATTTCATGATGGGTTTGTTCAACGATCGATAGGTAAAATCGAGTCAAACCCCTTGTCATATCTTACCGTACATGACAGCCAGTCGTGCGTAACGTGCTCGCTTGGCCTGGTCATATTTGTGCTTGGTTGTAGGCACCACTTGTTAGACCTGGCCACAATTCTTGGCGTATCTGTTCAGTCACTTGAATGGACTAACTATGGAGGTTTGCTTGAATATCAATTTCAACGGCATTGGCAAGACTCTGTGTCTTGAATTGCTGGGGCATGTTGATATTATCCTATCGCCTGTTTGTATAACTCTCCGATTACTTCGTAGTCTTGGTGCTTCCGACTTACACGCTCTTGACCGCTCACAATCAGCCGAGGCAGTTAACCAGGATGAGACGGAAGAATAATGACCAGCATAAGCATCTACCAACAGATGATAAGACCGTATGGATACTTTCGGAAAATAAAGCAAACTGACGTCCAAAAGTTGCCTATTTGCCATTCAGCCTACTGACCTTCAGCGCAACGTGACAATCCATATCTACCCTGCACTTCCGAATGGCATCTGACCACATGTAGAGAAGAGCATCGAAATGTAACTTGCCCGTCACAAATCTCGATACCACTACGGAGTCTTACCCATGCACTAGCAGATCACACACATCTTCAGTATTCAATTTACGGCACATAGTGGTTGACAAGTACCTTCTACAACCACCAGCAGAACATCGTCTAGAACACCAGTGGAGGTAGATAAAAAAGCCGCGGCCCAAGCACATGCTTTAGCAGGGATTAATATTATTCGGGTTCTGTATTTTCGGTTTTTGTCCTTAAAAGTCTCAATCCTTTTTCAATTCACTCATCTGGCCAAATGGCCAAGAGCACGATAACCTGGTCATCGTTGTGCCGAGGTGTGATTGATGTCATTGATAACCTCGTGTTCGCGACTCACTACCTTAGGTTGCAAATTGTGTTTGAAGTGTGCAAAGACTGCCTATGAGTGGTCCGATATATCAATAATTCAACGCTAATTCCGAATTAGTATTATGTAAAACACTCTTGTCTGCAAAAAGTGCTCCGTCAAGTTCGATGTGGACTGCTTCACATGCTTAAGAAAAAATCGCCCAGATATGATATCGGTCCTTTGCATTTGGAACAGGGATTGCAACGCCAAGTTGGGCAAAAGCCTCGGAGAAGGCTGATGTTTCTTTGGAAGAGCAAGGGCACTACCTAGATCAAACCCTTATTAAAGCTGAAGCTGAGGCGAAGTCCGGCACTTGTTATTGCCGTAATACTTGTCAAGCTGGCGAGCTGTTCGTGGTGACGAGAACTCATAACTTAGTAGTCATTATAACAAGTCTCATACATTAAAGCATAACTTGTTTTTATTTCTTGTTAATTGGCCAAATTTCTTGTATTTGATGGTGCATGACTTGACTTACCCTCGATATCTAAGATTGAGTCCAACGGCTGGCTGTTATGGTGGGTGTGCAAAAATTATGACGATTTCCCGCTCTTAATTGGTTGATATAACCTCATATAATAGTATCCTATATACTAAAGGTCTTTTAACTATTTCATGTTTTGTTTATATCCTCCGTTGAATATATCCCCAGTTGGCTTGTTGTCGAAAAAATTACACGAAACTGTAGTACTGTAATAAACCTTCTGCGTCATATGTTGAAGAGCTTTAATGGAAATTGCCTGTGATACATCTTTAAGGCTTCACAGTCTCCGCAAGGCGCAAACCGGCAGAAACCTTAAATACGCCCCGATGGTGAAGCCGTGCAGACGGGAGATCGAAAGAACCGTTGAAAAGCAAGCCAATGGATGCTGTGTCTTCCGTCTTGAACACAGATCATCCGCCGCAAACATCATCATCATTGACGTTTGAGGGTAGCAACTCACCAGCGCTAGTAGCGCGTCTCGCTCGCGAGCACATTCCAACGACAAATGTGTAAGTATTAGTTCCAAATTATGTATTGGCTAAGATTGGTTTGAGATGCGCAACAGAGTCAATTCGCAAGTAAGGATACGACAGATTCAGTGTGATTTGAGCAGCACAATGTCTCATGCCTTAATTGTTGACGTGCGTGCTTGCAGGAAGTGGCTAAACGGCCCATTATGCAAATACAGTGCATTGCAAACAGTGATAACCGTCGCATCGTCCAAACAATCTCCCCCATAGCGTGACATGGCGTGTAAATGCAAGCGCTTTAGCCAGCACGCGACTTGCAAGACACGGTGCATCCCTGTATAAACACTGTAATATCCGCAGGAAATAGCAGCCCTGTGGCTGAGAAACTTGCACTTTCCACGCTGCAACCATACAACGACTCACACTGGGGCTTTCCTTCCAATCTCCACTCGAAAAGGGACCCCGACTCGACTGATGACCACGCTGTTCTCCCTAAGCCCAAAAGCCCAAGCCAAAGCCCATGTCCATGCCCGCCTTATTTTTCACCCATTGCTGGCATCGGAAACTGCCTCAAGGATTCCACACGACATTTTGCTGGACCTGGACTCGGACTTGGAAACTTCTTGGATGCCTAGGCTCGTCTTTAAGAGAAGTCGAGATAGCATCATTATCCCCCAAGACCCGGGATCGCGCTGAGCTGAGAACATGTCATGGGAGTTGCCCGTCTTGACTACTCTCATCCTCAGCGTACTTGGCTTCTGGTGGATCTATAGCCCTCGTGCCAGCTACCAGAAGGCCCTGTTCTACGCCTTGCTCTGCAGTCTCACCGTCCTCGTCGATCCTCGTCGTCTGATCGAGTACTTCTCCCCCGCCACGATCGAAGCATTGCTGGATTTCCGCATCCATGTTCTTTTGATCCATCACTTCAAGATGGTCTTGACACTTGGTGCTGTCGTTTGGTAAGTAAACCTCCTTTGCCCTGTTCCGCCCCTCTTGGAGCAAATTTGACAGCTGCACCCCTCGACTTGCCATGCGCTGACAATTTACTCCTTCTCTTAAGGCTACTGCATCGCTCGTGGCAGACTTTATGGAAGCCCGTTCCCGACTTAATCAATATCCTCGGCGTCGATGTACCTGAGCCTCCCGATGTTTCCCTTGCTGGCATCCGATCCGATGCGGCTACTTTGAGCTGGACTCGCCCGACCAGTAACCGACCGGTACAAAAATATACTATACAAGTCAATGGCGTTCATGGTTAGTCTTCCTATCGAGATCCTTCTTGGACTTTCTCTGGGATGACGTAGTAGAACTTGGCTAACCAGATTTACGTGTAGTTGGCGATTCACCTGGAAATGAAGTTGCGATTACTGTTACAGGCCTAAAGCCAGATCATTTTTACAATATCAGGGTTGTTGCTGTTGGACCAAACAACTTTCAGGCTGGAAGTCAGGTCCTTCGTCTCCGAACTTTTGGAAAGGATGGGAGACCTCAGCTGGGCAATTCACGCGTGCCTACTAGCTTTGCAAACATCGACCACCCTCATCCGAAAACTGGCGACGAAGATGACGATTCCGATTCGCAAAAGAACCCCCCAGTACCATCCGTCGAGGCGGCACCCGTTCTTGATGGCAACAACGCGTCTACGTCCGATGTCAGTGCCACCGGTCCGAGTCAGCGACGAAATACGGTCAACCGACGACACTCTCCATCCGTTGCTAGCATGGACCAACCTCAAATCAAGCTTCCATCAGTGGATGGCCCAGAGCTATCACTCGATGAGCTGAACCGCCGGTTCGAATCCACCAGGAAAGAAGTTGACGAAACCCTTGCTCAATATGCTAAAGAAGAGGCCGAACTTCAGCAACAAGAGGAAGAGCTCAAACAGGAGAAGGAAGCTAAAAGACAAGCTCTGAAGGAGAAGGAGGAACAGACAACGCAGCTAAAGGCCAACGTCCGTACGACCATGGAGCAGATGCGTACTGCAGAGAAGGAGCGAGCAAGAAAAGAACAGCAGCTGAAGGAGAAGGAAAATAAGAAGTCCAAGGTTCGAGATACTGCTACTAGGCTGGAGAATGAGATTGAGAGGATGAAGAAAGAGCGAGAAGGTTTCGAGGCCCAGAAGAAGGAGTTGGAAGCCAAGCGAGACAAAGATGGCCAGGAACTTGATCATTCCAACGCGGAGCTTCAAGAGAATTGTGCTCAGTTGGAAGCTGAACTTCGAGAGAAGGGGAAGCAACTCCAAGACCTCAAGGCTGCTCGTGAACAACTTCCAGGTGGCGACGATGAGCAGTTGAAAGAGAACGATATGCTTGTTAGAAAAGAGTGGGATGCTAGGCGCAAGGAGTTGCACAACCAGCTGGTTGCCGAAACTAAGAAGCTTCACAACTTGGATCAGCATGCACGCTATCTTAGGGAAGAGCAGCAACAGCTGGGACTTTACTATAGTGCCCAGCCAGATCCTACTGCTACAGAGTTCGAACCTGCAGCTTCTCAGGATACTCGAGACAGCGGCAACTTCAACCACCCTTCTCACATCAATCTGTCACCACCACCCAACCAATTCGGTCAGCCTGACGATTCGTTCTCAACTGGCTTTAGTCGCGCTGGATTTGGCCAAATATTGTTTATGGATCACAACGCGGCTGACAACGCTGATGACCACCAATCTGAGGCAGACTTCAGGGCGAATGCCGGACCGCTCAGTCCCACGGCTCATTCTCTTCTTCCGTCAGGTATCTTTGACGAGACCTTTGAGGATGCCGAAGAACATCTTTCAAACCAGTACCTACCAGATTCTGTCGCAGCTGCCGAGGAGGATAAGCCACAGTCCCCGTTGTCTTCAGACGGGCGTTCCTTGAATATGTTCTCGAGTCCTCACGGCTCGTCACACAATTTGCCCTTCCCTCAGTACAACGACATGGATTCTCACTCACTGAACATCAATTCTTCTCCCCAACAGGCGCCGCTCGCATCAAGCCACCGACTATCTAACCTCTTGTCTAACTTCCAACGCAATAGAGGTCCAAAGCCAGCAGATGGCGAGGGGCCTGCTATTGGTAGCCTCAAGACAGGACAGAGCCAATCTTTCCCTCGAAGCATGGATGACTATGATATGCCGGGCAACAGACGTAGAATAAGCTTCTCTTGGATGAACAGGCATTCCGGAGGCGAGCCGAGTAGGTCGAGCATGGGCCCTACCTCGGCTTCTAGACCATTCTCTGCTAGGAGGCTCAACCCGTTTGCCAGCAGTGCTGGTGCTTTAGCTGGTGACAACGACTCACCAAACTCGCGACCTGCATCAATTGCGTCCACCGACCTTCCCCGACCCTCGACCGACAGCGGGTCTATTTGGAATTTGCCAACCGACTTCTCTATGCTAGCAAAGAATCGAGTATGGTCACCAAACGAAGGGCGTTGGCATTCGAGGAACCCTTCTCGTCGACCCTCACTTGGTGCAGTTCCAACCATGCTTGAAACAACGCTTGCAACGGCCAATGATGAGATTCTTGATGACGATGATTTACTCGATCCGCAAACGTCACCTAGCCAAGTCGGCGTCATTGGTTCACGTCCTCCGAGCCATCAAGCATCAATGAACCGACATCTCAACCCAGCTGCACCTACGTTCAGAACACCCTCCTTCTTTGGACGTCGGGATAGAGATGCAAGCCCCGACAAAGACAGGTCGAGGGGCAAAGACAAGGACAAACGTGGCAAATCCAAGGAAGGTCGTTCGAAGGGCAAGGAAGTTTTGACTCCTACTGTTGAAGTGCCTCCAAATCTGGACGATTCGCCATCAGATTCACGAATGTCTCGCGATACGTTTTCAGTTCATACGCAAAACTCGGTATCGGAATCGCATGAGTCTTTGGATCTCGGCATGACGGCCTCAAACTCGACAACGGACAACAACGCTGCTCATAAGGATGCCGATAGCAGTGTTGTCAAGAAACTCTTTAGAAAGGGAAGCTCCAGCAAGTTCAGCACCTTGTCTTCTAGGCTGAGCAAGGATTCGGTCCTGTTCAAGAAGGGGCCTGGTAGCAGCACATTCTCCGAGAAGAACATGTCAGCGGAGCACCGCTCTAGCATTGGCGATGCTGACGAACTAGGCGAGGATATATCTCAACTTGGTCGCAGTTACGACAGCATGGCTAGCAGCCCATCGTTGGGCCAGGGCAGCTTCCGGTCAAAGGACGCACCTAAGGAGGGCCGCATGGGGACATGGCGCTTCTCGATGAAAAAGAAGAATAAGGATCCTGTTGCAAAAGAGAAGGAAAGTTCGGAAAATGACAGGGCTGTAGATGAGTAGAGAGTGTACATGTGTTAGTAGCAGCATGGTACCTATGCAGCGCAGCGCAGTTTGGGTAGCGGAGTGAAGTAGCATATTTTGGCATTACTGGTAGATGTATGATTATTCGCAGCGTTGATAATCACATCTCAACCATTATAAACTTTTTCTGAAAATTATTGGCCTCTGACTTTGTATAACTTGTGAGATTGTGTTTGTTTATTCTTGGACAGTCAGGGGAAGTTCAGCCACATCCTGTATAATAAGATATATTGGCAGCTTATCCGGGGGTGGCCCGCTTTTACCATCATGGCAATGGCACTTGACACGTGCAAGGAGCTTCCTCATGCTCATGCTCATGCCCACGCCCACGCCCACGACGAACACCAACGTTTAGTCATTGTTTGAATGTGTTAAAAGATCGACGGTTGAGTCGTTTTTCGTAATGAATGGAATCCTTTCGGCAGCTTCAGCTGTTGACGCTGGTGAGTAGATGGTAAAGCCGGAGCTTATTATCCCTTGGCGGCTAACCCCCATCGCTTCTCGACAGTCGACTACGATGCTATAGACCACCTCAACCTCCTGTTCGCGCACCCATCGTCCATTTCCTCTATAAGCGAGGTTTCAAAATCTCTCCAGAACCACCAAAATGTGCTCGCGAACGATATAGCCACTCTCGAGAGCACCCAGGCATATGGCTCTGACTCCAGCCTTGAGCGCATGCAGTCGGCGCAAGCTGAGCTCGCCCAGCTGTTCCGAAAGATCGAGACGGTGCGCTCGCGCGCAATCGAAACCGAACAGAATATCACATCTATGACGGCCGACATAAAGAGACTCGATGGGACCAAGCGCAACCTCACGCTGAGCATGACGGCTCTTAAGCGCCTGCAGATGCTGACGACGGCGTATGAGCAGCTCAGGGGCTTGGCCAAGACGCGCCAGTACAGGGAGTGCGCGGGTCTTTTGCAGGCTGTTCTTCAGCTCATGAAGCACTTCAACAGTTATCGCAGCATTGAACAGATCGCAACGCTGAGCAGGGGGGTGGCTGAGCTGCAGCGCGAACTCTTGGAACAGGTTTGCGAGGACTTTGAGATGGCCTTCACGAAAGGGGAAGTTGGTGCGCGCAGGGGGACGCTCGTCGAAGCGTGCTTGGTCATGGATGCCCTTGGTGACTCTGCCAAAGCTCGTCTGATGAATTGGTATGTCAACACAGAGCTGCGAGAGTACAGACAGGTGTTCCGCGGGAATGATGAAGCGGGCAGTTTGGACAACATTGGACGACGATACGCATGGTTCAAACGCATGATGAAGACGCACGACGACGAACACGCCATGATATTCCCTCCGCACTGGAGGGCTAATGAGACGCTTGCAGCGGCTTTCTGCGACGGTACTCGTGATGACTTCAAGGGTATTCTGGAACGAAGCATGCGGCGAACGGATGGCAACAAGATCGACGTCAATCTCTTATTGAGCTGTCTTCAGGAAACACTGGACTTTGAGCAAAGCCTCGAGAAGCGATTTGCGACTACGTCAAGAGCTAGTATTGACACGCTCAGCTCAGTTGAGGACAGGACACACAGCTTCCATGGGTTGATTTCGGTTGCGTTCGAGCCATACTTGAGTCTATGGGTTGAATCACAAGACAAGCAACTGGCAGCCATGACACCCAGATACCGCAGCCAACCGCTTATACCACCCGATGATGAGTTCTCGCCGCAGGCTGTTATTGCTTCGGCGATCGAATTGTTTCACTTCTACAAGCTCACCCTTTCACAATGCGCGAAACTATCTACCAGCGAGCGCCTTCTTGATCTATCCAAGATATTGGCCAAATATCTCGATGAGTATGCCCAGCAAGTTCTGCTGCATATATTGCAATCTGGTGGCCCTCAAGGTCCCCCACTCGAGAATGTCGTGCTTGTGCTCAACACAGCAGACTTTTGGCACATCAACACAAACCAGCTGGAGGAGAGCATCAAGAAGCGCATCGATAACGAACTTGTTCCCAAAGTGGACTTTTCCTCGCAGTCAGATGCCTTTCTTGGCGTGGCGAGTGCGTCTGTCCTTGCTCTCGTACGCGCCGTCGAGCTTGACTGTGAAGGTGTTTGGCGTGAGATGAAGAACACCAACTGGAGCACAATGGAAAGCGTCGGCGACCAGAGCTCATATGTCGGAGAGTTGGTGAAGCATGCCGACAGCAAAGCAGCTGAGATTCTGGCAGTCGTTTCGAAGCAGCAATATGCCAGAGCCTTTTGTGACAACTTGGTGGAGCATCTGGCGACAGGGTACATTACTAGCATTATTCAATGCCGACCGATATCCGAAGTTGGCGCGGAACAGGTAGGTCTACTCGAGTCTCTCGAGTCAAGACCAATGCTAACAAGTGGATTTTAGATGTTGCTCGACAAATATGTCCTTACCAAAGCATTTGAGAAGTTGATCATGCATCATGCATCACTCTCTGGGCATGATGCACCCCCGTCGAGCTTTGTACGAAGAGTTCAACATTGCATGAATCGCCTTGATCCATTACTCAAGACACTTCAAGTGCGGCCATCACCGCCAGAAGGCCTGGTACAGGCATATTTGATCCATATTGCAGATCGGTCTGATACCAACTTCAAGAAGATACTGGATCTCAAGGGCGTTCGAAAAGCGGATCAATCTCATCTGATAGAGCTTTTCGGCATCCACCGAGATAGCACAGCCAACGACAAGTTGGTAGCCAGCTCACCGCTGCTTACACCTCTCATGACAGCCGCAAGTCTGGGCAGCACCGCGCCGCTGGGATCGATGAACCCGTCAGTAGCATCGGCAGTTAGCCCGCGGTTCGAGGCTGGATCACTGGGTGAGAAGCTCCTCAGCGCGGCGAGGGATATCAGCCAGAGCAGCACGAGCACCGCAGCCCAGACTGGCCTGGAGAAGGCGACGATTAACGAGAATTTGCGTAACTTTGGCAAGTTCTTCAAGAGAGATATTGGATCGCTTGGGGCGAGATTTGGAAAACGGGATGGTAGTGTTGGTGCTGAGGAGGGACAGCGATAGAGTGCAGTTGTGCAGGTAGAGTTGTATACGTAGCTAGACGAACTAATCACGTCATGAGTCCCTTGTTCTAGAATGTTTTTAAGGTAAATCCTTGTTCCTGGTTATCATGAGGAATCAATTTAATAAAGCCAAAAGCGCATCCAGATATCGCCCTCGGACATTCCGCATACTCCTTCGGATTATACCGGCCACCTTACATTTACCCTCAGCTGATTCATGTCTGTACGCACTGCTGGTCTACTGATTGATAAAGACAGCCGAGGCAATGAAAAGAGAGTACACAGTCAAAGTCATCCATCTGCTTCTAAACCACCCGCAGGTGTCATCTCCACATGGAATTCTCACTATAGCGCGATGGGCTTATAAATCCGCTACTAGACCAAACTATCCAATCATAGCCTCGAACGACATATCCATTTTTCCAAAAAATTGATTCCATATTCCTCTGCGATTCCAAGTCTGCATTGCATTACTCCGTACAGTCCCCACATTCACCACGTTTCGTTACAGGTTCATTCCTCCAAGCTACTGTACTGTACCTATTCCGAAGTCGCTCTAACCGCTTTTCCTTTTCTTTCCTTCTTTTACCGCCCCTCACAGTCTACTTTTACTACTGCTAGTGGCGCTTCTCACTTTAATAAAGAATCGCGACAGCCCACCTTTTCGTCCTTCGACTCCCCCCTCCAACACCGCCAAACTGTTCTCCTCAACCTTTAAACGTGTTACTCTTCGTTCAAGCGCTGGCCTATCGATTGCGGCAGCTGCAGCGACTTTTCAGAAAACCACAAGAAAACCAGCCGTTGAGTTTGGTGTTAGAAAAATGCACAGCAAGGTTGTCAGTATGTTGCCCCTCCATCGTGATCGTGATAGGAAAACCCCTCCTCAAAAGGAAATAAAAAAGCTGACAGTGAGATATAGTTATCGGCTCAGGGCCTGCTGCCCACACAGCTGCTGTCTACTTGGCGCGAGCTGAGTTGAAGCGTGAGTAAAAACTGTTGTTCGGGGAGAAGACAACGAATCATGAGACTAACACCACTGCAGCTGTTCTCTATGAGGGTTTCATGGCCAACGGCATTGCTGCCGGCGGTCAATTGACCACCACCACCGAGGTTGAGAACTTCCCCGGTTTCCCCAAGGGTATCATGGGAGGAGAGTTGATGGTAAGCGCACATTCTATCCTCCTCAGCAACTCTCAGCGACTAACACCAACCCTAGGACAACATGCGAGCCCAGTCTGAGCGATTCGGCACCGAAATCGTCACCGATACCGTCGCTACCCTCGACGTCTCTTCCCGCCCTTTCAAATACACCACAGAGTTCTCTCCCGAGGAGACACACACCGCCGAGACCGTTATCATCGCTACCGGCGCCTCAGCCCGTCGCCTGAACCTCCCCGGCGAGGACAAGTACTGGCAGAACGGTGTCTCCGCCTGCGCTGTCTGCGACGGAGCCGTCCCCATCTTCCGCAACAAGCCCCTCTTCGTTATCGGTGGCGGTGACTCTGCTGCCGAGGAGGCTACTTTCCTTACCAAGTACGCCAGCCACGTTACTGTCCTCGTCCGTCGTGATGTCCTGCGTGCCAGCCGAACCATGGCCAACCGTCTCCTGAACCACCCCAAGGTCACCGTCAAGTTCAACAGCGGTGCCACCGAGATCCGAGGTGGTGAGGACGGCCTCATGAGCCACCTCGTTGTGAAGAACCTCAAGACCGGAGAGGAGGAGGTCCACGAGGCCAACGGTCTTTTCTACGCCATCGGTCACGACCCCGCCACTTCTCTCGTCAAGGGACAAGTTGATATGGATGAGGATGGTTACATCAACACCGTTCCTGGTACCACAAACACCAACGTCGAGGGTGTCTTCGCCGCTGGTGATGTCCAGGACAAGCGATACCGACAGGCCATTACCAGTGCCGGTACTGGATGTATGGCTGCCCTGGAGGCCGAGAAGTACCTGGCCGATCATGAGGATGACGAGCGAGCTGACAACCGACCGAACCCCAATTAAAAATAGATATAGAATCTCAAAATATATAGACTTGCGCCATTTTAGACAAGATATAGATACCTCCATCAAGAGCAGGAGCTGTCCATAGACTTCCAATTAATCATTCCAAGTTTGCTACACCAACAATTTTCAAGTACATATCTTTAGGTTTCTCACATTTTGATATCAGGGATCAGGGAAATCAACAACTTAAATCATTACTTGTGGTTACTGTATTCGTCCGTAATCTACACAAGATATCTTAACAACTTTTATCTGCCAAACCTAGGATAACAGCTTCGTAATGTCATCCTGGCTGGTTCATGGTATCATCATGCATTCCTTTCTTATTCTCGCTCCAGAACAGCGGGCGGTGTAACTTCGCTGCCCTTAAGCTTCTCTAGACCCTCGCCACCCTGGATGTTGTTAGCATCTTGTTATTTAATAATACGACGGGAGTATCACTTACGTAGCTGATCAGAGGCGAGACCTCAACGCCAACATCGGCCTTGTCGCCAACAACGATGGCACCAGCAGCCTCAACCCAGCGCTTGCCCTGGGTCATGATATCGGCCTTGCTAGTCTCAGGGTCGTCCTCACCAGTGCCAGGGGCGTTCTTGAGGGGAGAGAACTCGTCCTCACGCTTAACCTCGAGCGAGGCGAACTTGTCCAGGGACAGGAAGGGGAAGACATCGAAGACGAATTGTTCGAGCTTGATGCCGTTGGGCTTCTCAGGCTTGACGGTCTCGCCGCTCTCGAGGTCAGTAGAGGGGATCTTCTTGCGGGCAATGTGGTGAGGCAGCTTGCTAGCCCACTGAGGAATAGAGTCGAGGAAACGGAAAGAGTAGTAGTGGTTGACAATGTTGGCAGCACGGAATCGAAGGAGATCGGACTGCTTGGGGTCAAGCTCCTCAGCGGTGGCCTTGTCAATCTCAGAGTACTCAACGACGTCAGGCTTGCCGTTCTTGGAGAGAATCAGACCGACAGACTCGGTAGCATTGCGCTTACGGACGACCTTGGTGGCAATGTCGACGTCAAGGGCAGCAGAGAAACCGATGAAGACGGGATCAGCAACCTTGACAAGGCAGTTGTCAACACAGTAGGCGTGAATGTGCTGGATACCGCGCTTTCGCATGTCCCCAACGACACCAGAAACGACAAGAGCCTGGTAGAGACCACCGTTTCCGTCGGGGGCAACAGCAACCTTGCTCTTGGACTCGAGGAGAATCTTGCCATCGTTGGAGATGCAAGGCAAGACACCCTGCTCGAAGATCTTGACGTTCTCCTGGTTCAGACCAAAGTAGTTGTTCTCCTGGAAGAATTTCTCGGTAGGACCACGAGTCGGGCCGCTGGTCATGACATACCAAGGGACAATAGCGCTTGAGCCAGCAGACTTCTTGGCAGCGAGCTCTTGAACCTTGGCAATTCGCTCACCCTGGAGCTGGAAGAGAGATTTGTGAGAGGGCAGACCAATGTCGTAGCAGCCCTTGGGAGCAGAGCTACCAAGACGAGTTCCCTGACCACCAGCCATGAGGACAACGGCGACCTGACCCTTGGCGATGAGGTCCAGACCGGAGTCGTACCACTTGGAGATATCATCGGCACCGGAGTCGAGAATGCTAGCAGTAGCGGACTCGGGAAGGGGCTCGAGGCGGTCGGGCTCATCGCTGGTCTTGGGAGGGTTCAAGGCGCGGTGTGTGATGTCGTTGATGTGGGCGGGGTCGAAGCCAGAGAGCTGCTGGTACAGAGTTCCCTTCTCGGCTGAAGACAGGGAGTCGTAGAAGGTGAAGACTTGCTCCTGGCCAGCCTTGGAGTACTTCTCCTTGAGCTCGGTGAGAGCCTCAGGAGTAGGCTCAGCAGGGGCATCGGTGGCCTTGCCAAGGTGAAGCGCCTGCTTAATGGCCTCCATTGTGATGTAGGTGTATATGAGGGTGTAAGTGAGAGGCGGTGAGAACGATTGGAAGCTTAAAGACGATTGTCTAGAGGCTTCAGGAGATGGAAAGTAAAGAAGAGTTGAAGGGGATGGAACTGGAAAGAGAAAGAAAGAGGAACAGGTTTGGACTATAAAGGTGGGAGGAGTGAAGAGCTAAATACGAATGGAAGGAAGTCGATCTCGGAAAGAGCCTTACACAAACAGTCCGCAACTTTCCTTCTATTCCTTGTCTAGGTAGGCTTGCCTTCGACCAGATTCGGTCTTACCTTGCTTCCCTAGCAACCTGACTACGCGTTTACTCTAGCTTACCTACTTCTTACTACGCTCTTGCCTTACCTTACTTACCTGTAACGCCGTTACCTCACCGTACCTTACTTGCTTGAAGCTCTTCCCACGCCAGCGCCGGGGCCAACGCTGATGCCCCTCAGCTGCCCCGCCAACTTTTAGGTCCAATTGAGCTTGGCCACCAATTGGAAGGAGACCATGAGCGGCTGAGGGGTCTCCATCGATCCTGCCTCATGCGCACGTTGGTGCTGATGCTGATGCTGATGTTGATGCCGAAGCATGGAGCGGCTTTACTTGGGAGCCTGAGAACGCCATAACGCCCATGTTGCTACGCTGCCACCTCCTATTCGACCATTGATGATGCCGTTTCATCGTATGAGAGAGTACGCAAGCTCAGAGTTTTAAACAGTCAGGGTCTGTCAGTTTATCTCAATCTAGAAACTAAAAGAACATTTCAACAATAAATGTAGATAGGCCTAGCTCGTATTCACCTGAATCAAGATGGAAATCGTGATTTTCGCGGCAAAAAAAGATAGGTCCATACTACATGGAAAACATTCAAGGGACCAGCAGGGTTCATGTTCGTTGAGTTGTCTCACAACCCCACCCTGACATCCGAAGCCAGTGTTGGGGCTGTTGTGTGGCTGTGGCGACTGGGATGATTGTCGATGTCATTGAATTTTTAATGTTGAAAATAGATTCGCAACATCTATGCGCAGATGGGCTACAATTACTTGAACCACTGGGCGCAGTAACTATAGTGCCTACGTTTGAAAACCGCAAGATAATGATTTTAAGTGTACGGAGTAGGGAGTACGATACTCGATTTGTATCTTCTGGACCAAACGCTGCACGTAGTAAGTCAACAATCAATTATCAGAATCTAGCATTGCCTATGTAGAAGGGTTCGATAGGCATTGACTGGGTAAAATATGTGTATTTACGGGATTATAGAAGACTGATATAAACAATTAACAAAGTCATTATCATCTTGTGATCTTACCGACAGTATTCTACAAAACAGATCAATTTATTCAATTTAGGAACCGACCAATGGAGTGGATCGCTAATAACGAGGGTGCCTAGTACATCAAGGGGTGACCAAAACTCCCCAACTCAAGATGTTTTACTTCAACTTACAGCAATAGACCAAAAAAGAAATGGAAAGAAGCGAAGCTAAACTGGAAGTTGACTTATATGACCCCATTGGGGATGACAATGTCAATGATGAGCAGGACGCCCCAAGCTCGCCTCCCCAGCCAGCAACTTTCAAAGGACGCCTCGATATGAATGCCTTCATGCTCAAGTCAACTGAGCCTACAGTCAATGGCCAAAGCTCCGCTGTGAGAAGATCTCCAAGATTCGGTACCACAACATCTTCCGCACCACTCTCGTCTGAAGCAAAGAAGATGAAGAGAGCTACCGGAGAGAAAGATGACGAAGACAAACCGAAGAAGAAACGGGCACGTACTGCTTCTGGATACGCGCCACCGTCAAAGTATGCCCACCTCAATGGCCTACCAGATGCCATCACGGATGGACTTCTCGTTCTCTTCATTGGATTGAATCCAGGTGTCCAGACAGCAAGAACGGGACATGCGTATGCTCACCCGTCGAATCTGTTTTGGAAACTTCTTCACTCAAGCGGCCTCACGTCGCGTCGGTGCAGTCCAACTGAGGATCAACAGTTGCCCGAGCTATTCTCTCTGGGCTTCACCAATATTGTCGCTCGACCAAGTCGCAATGGCTCTGAGCTTAGTAAGCAGGAGATGGACGAAGGTGTTGAGATTCTTCACGAGAAGTGTCGCAAGTACCGCCCCGAGTCTGTATGTGTCGTTGGCAAGAGTATCTGGGAAAGCATCTGGCGCGTAAGACACGGTAAGCCTGTAGGGAAAGCATTCAAGTATGGTTGGCAAGATGAGACAGAGAACATGGGTGTCATTAAAGGTGAATGGGAGGGATCGAAGGTGTTTGTGTCGAGTAGCACAAGTGGTCTTGCTGCTACGTTATCACCAGCTGAAAAAGAACGTATATGGGCGGAAATTGGCTCCTGGGCTAAAAGGCGTAGAGCAGAGAGGGGCTTTGAGGTCAAGGACAAGGAATAGGCCTAAAATAATGTATATCTTATGGAGTTGAGTTTACTCCTTAACTCGGCAGAGTTTCACTACAGTAATAGTTGGTTCTCACAGCAGAATCTGATCTTATCCATCTAGATTGAACTTTTGCCATGCCAGGCCCCTTCTTATATGTAAGTTGAAAGTACATCTTCTCCCCAACTCCGTTACGCCAGAAAGCCAAAGCGCCTACAGTCTGGCGTTTTACTTGCATCGCTTCTCAACCACATTAGGGCCGTTCTCCTCATACTCCTTTCGCGAAATCCACATCTGGTGGAATGTACCCAAGCTGGCGAGGATGCTGCCGCCAATCCAGGCGCCGAATCGTCTCTCGCTCGTCAGGCCTGCCGCATGGATCTTGATCTTGAGGCCTGGGTACATGGCCATCAGCTCATTGTTGAGACGATCGTTAAATCCGTTGATCAGACTGGTGCTGCCAGTTACAACGACATTAGCGAGTAGATTGCCCCGAAGATCGACGTCAACTGCGTTAAGAGCAGCGCGGATGAGCTCAGGGATGGTTTGGGTCTTGTTAAGACGATCAGCCTCGGAGATGGGGTAACCGGCATTCTCGTCCCACATGCCCTCTGTCACTCGGAATCTCTGTTCGCGCCACATTTGGTTGTAGCCATCGGGCATCTCAAATACCCGGCCCGGTTGCGTCTTGACATACTCCTCATTACCGGGTACGTTGTACCGGCCAGGTCCTCGCCAGACTTCTACGACTGACTCCTTGAATTCCGTCAACACACGCTCCTCCTCATAAGCGCGGAAAGAGTCGTTGATCTGGAAGGGGAAGTTTCGTAGTCGAACTGACGGAGGTGCCAAGGCATCAACTGGTGTCTTGTTCTCGATCATGAATGTGGGTGTCAAGTCAACCTTGGGCTCTGATGTCTCGAAAAGGCTTCGGATTTGGGAAGAGAGCCAGATACCACCAACAGGGGACTTCTGGATGGAGCGCTTCAACACCATGCCGTCGTGAATAGCCGTGACTGAGGTATTGGCGCCACCAACATCAATAACTAGCGAGGTTGCCTTGCCAGCGGCGAATGCTGCCAACACCGGGGTACGACTTAGCCAGAAAGCAGGACAATCCCAGTTCTCCATAATGATCTCGATAGCCTTCTCGCGAGCCTTGGGCGTGTTCCAGGGTGCCTCGGTGAGAAGGAGAGGGTTCTCACCCAATGGCTTCTCCACAGACTCAGCGGCATCGTCCATAGCAACATCACCCTCTCCATCTTGACCTTCTGGCTTGGGGTCGTCGTTCAGGCCGTTCTTCGAGGGGGGTGTTTGTCGTTGGGGTTGCAGCCGCTTCACAAGCATGTTTTCCCAAATTCGAGCCGCAACATCCCAATCTTCCACAACGCTATCCTTGTTCATGTAGTTGCGGACTTCGTAGTCGGGGCGAGGGACAAGGCATTCATCGCCATATAGATCGCGAGGGTTGTCGCCGGTGACGTGGCCGTAGAACGACGGCAGGATAGCCTTGGGAACATCTTCACCAGCGAAGCCTGCTCGGGTGTAGCAGTATCCAGGATCGAGAACGAGGGCGGAAACCTCATCTACATGACAATCAAGTTAGTGGAGATCCTTAAGGCGGGCTGACGCGACATGGGGAGCTAGAGCTTCGCGTACCTCCTCCATAGATGTCGGTGGGCTGCACAGACGTGGGAAGGGGCTGCTGGGCCATGGTTGAAGCTGTGAAATCAAATGTCGCTATTCGGAGATGTAGGAAGCCAATTGAAGGATGCGGCGCAAAGTGTCGCGATTTTGGTGGAGTTGCGCCAGCAAGCAAGTGATGGATGGGATGTTCGCGTTGGAACAAATTTCAGCCTTGGGTGGTTGGTAGCATACGCCTCATCCTGTCGAGGCTGAAGTGTGGCTGGTCCATGACCCCACCAAGTCACGGATCAACCTCGGCGAACTTGTTCTCTTTAAATTTTTCGCAGATCGCATCCGAGGACTTTCTCTTTTTTCTTCATGCATGGAGCGCGAGTTCCATGTTCATCATGATTGTAAGTACACGCACACATTTCCTCCAAATATCTTCCTTTCCTTTGCCTTTATGATGATCTCGCTTTCTCGCTTCAGAACCGCTGCGATTGACACAGTTCGCTGTGGTTGAAATACAACCTGCCAATGTCTGACTCTAGTGCATTGCATCTCTTCACTATATCTTGATTTAGATATCGAAGCATTGCTAACTGAATCAATAGAAGAGATGATGTCTGTACGATACTTGCGCCAGGCTGGCCGGCCTTTAATACAATCGATTTCTCAAGCTTCTTCAATTGCACGTTGCTCTCAGTCTCCCAACTGTGGCAACTCCTTGACGAGAACAGCATGGGGCTCCCGTAAAGTGGCATTTGGGAGGTGTCTAGCCACTTCGGCGACTAGGTGCCAGGATGATATGGAAGGGTATTCCTCGTTCAAGCAGAAACGTCGAACTGAGCTTCAGGCGGAGAAGGAGAGCGAGGATCCTCTCTTCACGGAGACACATCCTCGCCTCTTGCACCGCGCCGAGCGAATGTCCGTACCTGAGTTTCATGAGGCTTTTCGGGAATGTCCTGACGGCTCCAGAACTGTTAACGTCTATGGCCGGGTTCGATCCAAGCGAGTTGTTGGAAAGGGCCTCATGTTTGTTGACATCGTGAATGAATTTACGCGTCTGCAAGTCATGATCAGTCGGAAAACGTGCATGGTGGACGAGGAAGAGAGAAAATTGAAGTTTGCCATGTTCAGAAATTTGATAGAAGTGGGCGACCACATATGTAGGATCCCTAATGCTTATCCTGTTCAACCCCAGATGCTTACAATCTGGCAGCTATCGTCGGTGTCCCGACTCGTACTAAGGCTGGCGAACTCACCATCGAGGCCAAGAGCCTGCCTGAGCTCCTGTCTCCCACGATGGAGCAGATTCCCGAGAAGCTTACCGACTCTAAGACGAGAATGCAGGAGCGTCATGTCGACATGCTGGTGAACCGTGAAGCGATTGACGTCCTGCGACTACGTGCTCAGATCCTCCAACATATGCGTGAATACTTCAACTCGAAGAAGTTCCTCGAGTTTCAGACCCCGATCCTGGCCGAAAATGCTGGCGGTGCTGTCGCCCGCCCGTTCGTCACGAGAGCTACCGAGTTCAAGAACAAAGATCTTGCCTTGCGCATTGCACCCGAATTATGGCTGAAGCGTCTCGTTATTGGAGGTGTCGACAAGGTCTTTGAGATTGGCCCTTCATTCCGCAATGAGGGCGTTGATGCGACACATAACCCTGAGTTCACCATGTGCGAGTTCTACAGCGCCTACAGTAACTTGGAGGACCTGATTAAAGAAACCGAGGAGCTTTTGTGCAGCCTTGCCCGGCATACCCAGAACCTCATCGCCACCGATCTTACATCTCTTCCTCCTATCGACATGGCCCAGTTCGAACGTCCTTTCAAGCGTGTCGAGTTTGTCCCTGCCCTACAGGAAGCTCTTGGCCTGCGGCTACCCAAACTCTCATCTCCAGATGCTTTACCAGAGTTGCTGGCCATTCTAAAGCTTGCTCGTATCAAGGTTCCGGGAGAGGTGCCCAGCTCACTGGCCAAGCTTCTCGATCGATTGGCTGCTATATACCTGGAGCCTATGTCTTTCACACAACCTATCCTCATCATGAACCATCCTGCTTGCATGTCGCCTCTGGCGAAGAGTTTCCTTTGCCCAGAGACCTACCAATTAATTTCTGCTCGGGCGGAGCTCTTCATTGGTGGTCGTGAGTTGGCCAATATGTATGAGGAGGAGAACGACCCAGAAGCCCAGCGGCGCAAGCTGCTTGACCACCGAAACCTTGTCAACAAGGATGATGGCAGTATCGCCATTGAAGATCCTGAGCCCATCGAACCCCCCGAGTTAATCGAGACACCAGAAGGCGAAACACCAGAGGGGGAAACACCTGCTGAAGAAACTCTCGACGAGCCTTTCGAAGACGAGGACGGTGATGCTGCTCCTCTCGACCAAAGTTTCGTCAAAGCCCTTGACTACGGCCTCCCTCCTACCGGCGGTTGGGGATGTGGCGTTGAGCGTATGGTGATGCTGTTTTCTGGCGCCAACCGTATTAGCGACTGCCTAAGCTTTGGTACGATAAGGAATGTGGTTGGATTGTCGTCGGCTGAGGAGAGCAAGAAGACTAGCTCCGACGAAATCAAGAAGACAACTCTAGAAGAAGACGAGAAGACCTCTGACAAGACCTCGTGAGTCTTCAAGTAATTTGTACGATAAGCAGACCCTGCGAATGGGCATGATGTATGAATCATGGGATGGGATTGTATAATATTGTAGCGGTAGCTATACCCTAGAGAGCCGTTTTATAGATCAAAAGATGATTTATCATAATCAAGAAGACAACATGTTTCTGGTAAGAGTAATAACCATTATAAGGCAACAGTTCGCAATGAATCAAAACCTGAACTGGTATCTAAATGTATATACAAGAGAAGACACAGTATGATATCCAAAATCTAGCCAACATATACACCAACCCATCCCTGCTCAGTTCGACATTTGGAACAAGCTACTCCCTTTCTTCGGCGACGACGAACCTTTAATCCAAGAACGAACAGCTTCATCACTCAACGCCGAACCAAAGTCAAAGCTATCCGGCAACTGCTTAATAGCAACACTCGACGTACGCTCACAAAACACCACCGCGACCTTGATGTATTTATCAACCGGCCGGTCGAAATAGTCAGAGCTTCCCGCGCCGTTGTTCATATGGAACGTACTCTTGCACTTGGTATCACCCGTGGCGAGGACCTCGTAGATGTCGACCTCGCCGCAGCCTGTCTTCCAGCAGCTGCAGTCGCCGTATTGCATAGTGCGCGGGATGCGGCCGTTGAGGGCCCAGAGGGCGGGCATGTCGCCGTTGAAGCCGCCCTGGCCGTCGTGAGGCATCTTGAAGTGGAAGAGGAAGATCTTGTTGGACCCGGAGAAGCCCTCTGTATGAAGTCAGCAAGTGTTTTATGAAGATTAGCAGAACGGGGGGATGTACTGTGTGCGATGTTTGGGACACGGGAGTAGCCACAGCTTCTATCGCACTTCTCGGAGCTGAAGATGGCAAATTCTTTGTTGGAAGGGATGAAGACGTCCTTCAACACTTTGGGAGATGAAGAGCCTCCGTTTCCATTGGCGTTGAGGTAAGAAAGAGAGTTACCCCAGGTACTATGACTCGGTTAGGACATGATAAAGATTGACACATCGAGAGAATGTGAACTCACGAATCGAAGACTCCAGAGCCCTCGCCACCATAGTTACCCATAAACACAACATTATCAGCAACCCGTCGCTGGGCATTATAGTAAGAAGTACGCTTCCAGCGGCCTCCAGGGGTAGGATACGCATTTGTCTTTGAGCCACTGGCCTTTTTGGGGTTCTCAACCACAGGCTTCGCATTGCTCTTGAGAGGCTTTTTCTCTACCTTGGGCTTTGGCTTAGAAGCAGGTTTCTTAGCAGCCTTGGTAGGAGCTGCAGCAACCGGTGCGGCAGCAGCTTGTGTAGCAGGACCTCCATACCATGTATTCTCCCAAGATACAACCTGTCCGTTGATAGTGGCTGTAACCCACTCGCCACGCTTCTTGTTGTGTTGACCGTGGAGATGGCCATGTCCGTGACGGTGGCCGTGAATATGGGGGGAGGGAGCAGTATCACGTTTCTTCTGGTTCGAATCGAGATTATAGACGGCAAACTCCTTCAGGTTAAACGGACCACGAATATGGACCGAAAGCTGTTCGTCTGTTAGCGTTGACTCTGTGGTTCTGAGAATGAACGACTTACATCCTCACTCAGGGGGCCAAGAGCACCGCCGTAAGAGAAGGGTTGGAACTGGCAGGATCCATCGTTACCCATACGAGTAACAGCTTTATAGCTACCGCTGCTGGAGAATCCCTGGTAGAGGATCTGATTCACGGCACCACAGAACCAGTTACCGCCTTCGTTGACAGCATTGCCAGTGCATTGTTGTGTGAGGGCCGAGGCCAAGCCAGTATGAGTTAGGAAAGAAATAGTTGAAAGCTTCATGTTGTTTTGAATATCCAAAATATATCAACTTGAACAACGGTGAAAATGTCGAGACTTCTTCCCGAGTCTCTCAGATCATCAAGGCAGGGGCTGAAGGAGTGCTTCGGTATGAACTGTATTTCAAAGACTGGATTCAAAGACAATAGAGGGTCCAGTTGGATTAAAGAATGATTCGAATATTCAGAAAAAATGAGTGTACAATAGTCTTCGACCAAAGTGTTGTAATGAACGACTGATATGTTTCAGCACCAACCTCGAGGAGGAACGAGATGATGAGACTAGCATCCATCTTGAGGGAACTGGCGATATTAAAGAGACTCTCAAGTGCCAAAATGGGTCCAATGCCCAGATTTCCCCCAAGTCTCGGCGGAAGATCTCAATTGTGTAGAGTATCCGTATCCGTCCCTGGCCCTCGTCAACCTACAAGCCACTCTTCAGAATGCCTTTACAACGTTGAGCTTGCAGCCAAGGTCTGCTGATGAGCGTGGTGCCAGCATTATTGTTTCAGGTTACATGTCTCTCGACCAATTGAGGGGCTTGAATAAATTTGTTAATAAAGAGAAGATGGCCGCGACTTTGCTGCATTTGGTTTGGTCGACAAGGTGAGGGCATCACAAAGAGCCACGCTTTGGCGTGTAAGCGGATGGCGCAGCAGGCTTGGCTCCTGTTCCAAGACTTTTTGGTTATGGGCCAAGAAGCTTGATTAGACGCCGAGCTGCGCTACATTAGATTGCACTCGAAGCAGGATATTGCTAATATCTTGTTGAGTTCTTATAGTTCACGGTATAGACTTCAGTTGTACATTCTCAGCGACTGAGTCTTTAGTACGGGACCTTCGTGTCCTTCAATCAAAACCACCCGCACAGCTCGAATATCTAAGCGTGGCAGGCGATTATAGACCAATTATACTAGTCATGAGGCAGCTGATCAGACCAAGAAATGCATTATACAAACAAAACAAAAAAGGCTGGTAGATCCCCTGAGACAACCAAGAAGCCGCCAACGCTTGTCTTGTCTTGGCTTTTCTTGGCAAGTCCCCTATTGTAACGCCTAGTGACCTATGTTAAATGATGGGAATGTCTTTGTTATTTTAATTGACGATAAGTCGCTCTTTGGAATGTGAGTGCGGTGGAACAAATATTGTGACAATGAAAAAGAATAACATCCACTTAGTGAGACATTTCACTCTGGGCCACAGTTTGATGTGATTATAATTGTGCCTCCAAAACTGACACTTCAGTTCCCGGCTTCTGTATTTTGTATCTTTATATTCTGATATCATCGTCATCTGCAATGAAGTCTTATGCTCTTCTATTTTCAGCCCGAGGTATTTCCTACACTTAATCTTCGAAGCCACCCCACTCTCCATCATCACCACTATCATCATTCGCCAGCAGCTTTCTCTTTTTACTTCCTTCGATAGCACCGAGGCGGTTGTTCTCCTTGCGTCTCTCGTAGCCGCTCTTGGACGTGATCTGGGCCTTGTTGCCGCTTCGGCGAGCCTCCACACCTCGCTCCTTGAGCTTCTTGCGGTCTGCCTTGCCGACGTTAGGCAGCGCGTCGAGGAGCCACTTTTGCACACTAGATTCGTCACCCTTCTTTCCAGCTTGCTTCTCGCTTACAGCGATGACGTTGGCTACCATCTTGACGAAGGGGATGTCCTCCTTGGTGTAGAATGTGACTGCGACACCACCCTCGCGACCGGCACGACCTGTTCGACCGGCGCGATGAACGTAGCCAGCGCTGGAGCCGGGTACATCGTAATTTACGACACCGTTGACACCGGCAAAGTCCACACCTCGTGCTAGCACATCTGTTGTAATCAGGACCCAAATCTCTCCGGCGCGGAACTTGCGCATGATGGAGGAGCGAGCAGAATCGGTAAGACCACTATGCAGGGCGGCGATTCTCGCTGAGCCACCAGCCTCGAGAGGGATATCATACTGCAGCTCTTCGTTCAAAGCGGTTGCTCGATCAATGGTTTGTGTAAATACTAGGAAAGGGGGTCGTAGAGGAGGACCAGAGTCATCGCTGGCAGTAGGATGTAGCAGTTGGCGCAAAGCGAGCAGTTTACCTTGCTCGCTTGCGGTGTATACAAGCTTGTGGGCGATGTTGGGCACGGCTGTGTCCTTGAGACCGACGACCAGTCGCACAAAGGGCTTCGGTGTGATATCCAGCGCCTGCGCTCTTGAAGTCAACTTCTCTGTGACCATGGACTCGATGTTTGAGCCCATAGTAGCGGACCAAAATGATACCCGCAGGTGGGGGTTTGTGCATGCTGTCCAGTCGGCCATCATGGCGTCCTTGAATAGGGGATCGAGCAGAATATCTGCCTCATCCAATATCAGATCTCGCACAGTAGGCAGAACCTTTTGTGTGTTAGGGGGGCCTGAGGTGAGGAACTTGAGGAGGAGGAATGGCGTGGTGACTAGGATATCAGCCTTTGTGATCTGCTTGGGCTTGTGATCTGCGGGCTTGTCATTTGTAGGCTTCTCATCCTCATCCTCAGATTCTGATTCTTTGTCTCCTTCGTCTTCAGAACTGTCCTCTGCCATTTCCACCTGCTCAGCCGATAGATGTGTATGCTTCTTCATGGAAACGACCCTGAGTCCTGTTTTATGAGCAATCTTTTGTCCCTCGCTAACAATCTGGTGCACCAGTTCTCGGGTTGGGGCAACAATGACCGCCTCGAGTTCATGGATATCGACGAGCTTTTCTTGCGCACGTCTGCGCAAGATGTTGTTGATGGCAGGAACCAGGAAACTAATGGTCTTTCCACTTCCTGTAGGAGCGATGGCGAGAAAGTCGACACCTCCCTCCAGTCCATCCTCGTCCTTCAGGGCGGCTTGGGGGTGCACGAGAAGAGGCAGACTGCCCATCTGGACCTCAGTAGGGACTCGGTATCCCTGAAAGACGAGGTTGTCGGCAACCTTGTCGTTGAGACCGTAGGCATTGCGAAGCTCGCCAAAAGAATCCAGAGGTTGCGGGAAGAGCTGCTTTTTGCTTTCCTTCTTCACCTCGACGGCTGCCTTCTTCTTTTTCTTGCTCTTCTTGACCTTGGATTGATCCTCGGGCTTCGACAGTAGTGTGATCTTCAATCGATGCGATCGCAGCAACTGGCGGCACTCGTCCTCACTCAATAGTCGCGATGGGCGTGTAGGTTTCGGCGCTTGAACAGGCTCCTCCGTCTCGACTACGGCTTCGGCGACAGGCTCGGGTTTGGGAGCGAAGAAATCGACCTCGGGGAGCTCGACGTGAGCTTCGGTCTCAGGTTCATTCTTGGTTCGCTTCCGCTTCTGGCCGCGGACTTGATCATGGTAGAGCTGGGGGTTCGTGGTGGTGCCGGCAGAGGGAAGCTTTTGCTGGGCATTGGAGGCATTTTGATTTCCCCTTTGGGTCTTTTTGGTTCCGCGCGATAGAACCTTGAGGATATCCATAATGAAGTGAGTGCGCTATTCGGCGTGGTTGAGTAGCGAGTGGTTGTGCGATTTGGGAGAAGAAAAGTGCTAACAACTGAGAAATGGATTAAGAAATTTTAGTGGACCCATCGATTATCGCAGTTCTGATAGTGGGGGATGGAGAGTTTAATGTGGCTGTGCTACGGATCCGCGCCACAGTTGAATGTCTCAGCCACGATGGTCGAGATCGATCTGCTAAAAGTTTAGTTTAGGTACCTTGGTTATTATTAGTTTAGCTGCAGTTGGCGCTATGATTCCAACGGTTACAAGACATGGCGTGCCTGTGCCTGTGCCTGTGCGCCATGTAAATCATTTACAAGTGGCAGTGTTTAGTTAAGAAACTGCACATCTTTTGAGAATCAGGAACGCTCCAAGGATGATCCCTTTAGTTCAGCTGCTGAAATGCCTGAGGTAGACATAACCATGATCGATTAGTGTCGATCGCCGTCATAATCTCATCCAACTTTGCTGCAGTCAAACTTCCAAGGTTGACGTCACACCAGCTGCCGAGGTAGGCCAGCAATCAGGATTTGGAGCTCAGAAGCATGGAAATACATGAAACTTGGCTTCCTTGAGCAGGGTATTTCTCTTCTTTTTATGACTTGCATTCCCCATTTCTTTCTTCCTCTGTCTGCATTATAGTTCCAGTTCTTGCACCTAATCAAGCAGATCTCTTCAACACCAACCACACTATCACACTACAACGACACAAATAAACACCGCAACCATGCCGACTATGCTGGGTCTCACCAACGATAAATCGAAAAATGGGCTCAATGCCAATGAGAGCAAATTCGGCGGCCCCAGCAGCCAGAGAGGCATGGAACTCGCCCCGCGCCAGCAAAACGGCAGCATCGTCTCTGGCATCGAGGGCTCAGACTTCTTCAACGGTGGCGGCAAGCAGAATGAGCACGACGCAGATGAAGAAGACTCAGACGACGAGAACCTCAAGACCATCAAGGGACGCAACCTCAACGCCGTGAAGGAGATGGAGACTCTTCTCTGGCGCGCTCTCTGCGACAAGCCCAAGTCGGCCCTCAAGTATATCGCCAAGGACGCCGTCATGTCGAACCGCTTCCTCTTTGGTGACCCTGCGCCTCGTACGGCCGAATCTGACCCCTCTCTGGAACATGAGATCAAGCACTGCGAGGAGTGGCTCGCCTACAAGATGCAGGACCCCCAGCCTGTCGAGATCGGCCTCATGGCTGCTGCCGTCGGCTACAAACTTATTCTCTTCCGCCAGCTCGACCAGGGCGATGGTAACTTTGGCATGCAGACTGTCCAGGCTACCTGTTCCAGCTCCTGGAGGCAGCTTGCCAGTGGAGACTGGGAGCTCACCAGCATGTTTGCCGGTTAATTAGGATGATGACTTGGACGATTTGCATGATATTGGACTGGCGTTATAATGTATGGAGTAATGGTTTGGTGATTCGTTGGATCATTGTCAACGGAGGTATATGTTATATGAGATATAAATATGAACAACACTTTACTATCATAATGTTTGTTGTAGTGCATCTCTTATTCTGCTGTGATTGAATCGCGATAATCCTGCCACAAACCTACCACGCCCAATTTCAGCTCGTCGTCAGTACCGCAGTAAGGAGTAAGCGGATTTGTGTGAACTACCTACACAAAACAACCAAAAAGTGTAGTCTAGTCCTAGGACTGAAGCTTACAGGACTCTTTAGGGCCAAGTTAAAAACCGCCCAGTTTGAAAAGACTCAATGTTGCGGTGCCTCAGTACCCAATATGACGGGATGTTACAGAAGTAACATATGGAGTGCTCTGTCCTGTAGACAATGGCAGCTTCATTCTCATGGATTCATCATTGGCGCAACTTTGGATGTAGTAGCTGACAGAAAATTATAGTTGTCTGCTCGGCTTTCTGCTGGAGTTAAATACTCTAGTTCCCAGAATGGGTAGACCATCATGTAGGTAATGATAGGTTCACTCTCATGGGTTCATCACCGGCCCAACTCCCCCTCTTGCGGTGACTCGGACTAGGGATACAATCCAATTGGATTATATTCGCTGTTGTGAAGAACCTAGACTTTATTGATGTCAATATACTACCTAGAACCGGGCCGTGTATGCGCGTACGATTCCTGCTCAAGACTCGTCCATTCCAAAGATGCGGTTTGATGTTGAGTAGATACAGAACATAGCACTGGTCCTTTGCAGGGGGTTATTTATACCCTTTGGGAAATAGAGTTATGGTGGTTGATATGGTTGGGTTTTTTTATTAGATTTAAGTTATTATTGCTATTGGTCTGTATGGACCTCCATTGTTCTGTGAGTTTTATGGGGATAGTTACATTTCTTTCTCGAAGGTGCTACTAGATAGCTAGACTTTATATGAATAGTTTCTTACCGTATTTAGAGTTTAAAACGTTTATTAAGCCCTATACGTAATGCCAAAACCTCTTATAAAGTTATCTATGTGTTTAAGAGTAGACTTTGTTATGTGCGTCCAGTTAGGTGATCCGGGCAGAAAATCTGCCCATATTCTAGAATGAAACAATCGGCAATAGCTTGTAAGGAACACGTCTGTGGTCTTCTGCCATCCGTTTCTTAAAGCTGGCACCAGGCGTACCATCCCCAAGAACGAAAGTGTCGATGTGATTCTTGACGGCATTTCTGAACTTGGAGGTTTCATCGGGGGCTCCTTTGCCGAAGCCTAGCATTTTCCTGAGTCGTCTGACATGCACATAAGTTGTGGCATCTTTATCCTAAATCAATGTATGCATTTCTAACGACAACAAAAATAACCCAGCAGACGATGACTGAGAAAGGGTCACACCAATAGTAAGAGCAGGACTCATTAGCTGACCTGTCAGCCTGTACGAATGTGTCAAAGAAGCTCACGATTATGGCGCTTGGTATATCTTGTATTCTGGCATAGTATAGTATACGGGTCGTGGCCATAGTCATAACTAGCTCAAAGAGTTGTCTTTGTTCCTGATCCTTACCACCTCTCAATGCGCCATTCTGGACGCTGGTAAACTGTGCATAATCCATGAGAGAGTTCATGTGCGAATTGACGTGAAGACACTGCAATGGCTGTTGACAAACAAGTTTGTTATAGTCAGGAATTAAGAGAATACGACAGAGACGGGGTACTCATTTTTCCTTGACAGAACATGTATCTTGTTCATTGAGCATTAACATACTATAAACAAGTAGCATTATCTGTCATGGTATCAGCCAAGCCTGGAGCGGTTGGAATGGTCAGTTGTCCCTGCACATTGCTTTTGTCTATAGAGTAGAATATCGTTCTAGTTCACACTGTTTGACCTATATGGAATGAACTGGATTAATTGGCTCCATTCTGACAAGTAAAGCACTTTACAATAATTCTACAAAGATCTATTTCGTATAGTACAAGCTGAGTGTTACAATATCTTACTAGCACGATCGGCATTGATCCTGCAAGGTCCAGGAACCACAGAGTATACGCAAGACAAATGTCACTTTTGCTAATCGATAATTGAACCTGGTATGTACTCTGTGTGATTGAGGACATCCTTGCACATGAGATGGTCCAGCTTTGCAGTTCAAGTAACTGCTTACTTTGTCTCTATCCCAAACTACTTTTTATTTCTAGAAAGAGTTGAATCATTGGAAGAAACATCATATTATGTCTTTTGCATGTCTTTACTATGATAAAATGTGGTAAAGCTTATTGCCAGGAAGTGGTCAGAATCTCGGGGTGGGCAGCGTAGTTCGTTGAAAGAGCACAGCTGCATATGAGTTCAAAGTAACAACCCATTTATACTCACAACAGAAGCTAAAGAGTCCGAATCACATGTCAAAACATATGTAATAGCTACTTGGCTTTTTTTAATGAGTCCTTTTTGAACTGTTCAAGTGAGATATGGCATCTCGCACTGTGAGCAGATTCTTAATACATGCGAACACTGTGAGGCAAATGTCCGACTTCCTAGGAAGTCGAGTCAAGCACGATATTTTACACCATAACTACAACATAGAATTCACTTCTTTTCTTTAAAACAAATTTCCACAATAATACGTCTCGTTCCATTTTTTAATTAATGATCTAGCTCAATCACCCTCTGTAAGCGGCTCAATACTGATCTCATAATCCAGCCGTTTCCCATCATATTTTGCTCCTCTTATGTCACGCTCCACATGCCTCAAGAACTGCTCCCGGATATTCCCAAACACCTCCTCGTTATACAGATAAACCTGCCTCAAGCAAAGCCGCGGGCCATACTGTCGAATGCAGAGACCTGTTATCAGCCCCTTGTTCTCCATGGGCAGCGCGATTATGAACTCCTTGAGAGTCATTTCGAAAAAGTCAAACGGCGAGAATGTGAAGCGGTCGCCGTGGCCGGTGCGGTGATGCACGGCGAAGGAGAACATTATTGGTGTCGCTGTTTCTTTGGCGTAGCCGCGGAGGTGAGTGCTTAGGATCCTTCTGGCGGTGGATGGGTTGTAGTGAGTGTTATTCTGAAGGCCTGGCTTGAGCATTTGTAGAGGGAAGCCATCTGCGCTTGGGGAGTTCTTTTGGATGGGGGTATCTGGCGATGTCTTTGAAGGGCCTGAGTTTCGTCGCGTTGAGGTGATGACAGGGTTGTTCTGGGTTATGGGTACATCCACAGGGCGAATGATGGTGTCAGGGCTGGGAGAAGCTGTCGCATCGTCGCCTTTCTCTGAGCTGATATCTCCATGACTCTGAGGGTGTGACGCAGCTCTCTCCTCTCGAGTCACAGTCGCGGCATGTTCTTCCATCGGAGCCATTCCTGCATTCTTCTCAAATGCGGACTCGCCACCTTCCTGTTGAGTAATTGGAGCTGATGGTATGGACAATGGCCTAAAGACGATCTGACTCCAGGTCTCGTGCGTAGAACTAACAAAACTGCCCCGTCTAGGCACAACCGAAGTCCTACATGAACGTCCATTGTTCTCTGCAGCACCATTATCACTCGCTAGAGTAGGCCCCGTAGGTCCACCCATAGGAGCAACTGGTGCGGCAACAGACAGACGATCCATCATAAACGGATCCCGACTGACAGAAACTGCCCGATCAACAGTCCCAAACCGAGACGAGAACGGCCCGAGTTCATACCCCTCGCGACCGTAGTCTTTTTGTCTCGTGCGTCTATTTGCGCGTCCCTCGAGCTGGGAATAGAGGCCTTCTTCCTGGGAGTGAAAGGAGCTGCTGTCGTCGTCGTCAACGGCGGCGTACATGCCCAGGAAGAGATCGAGGTACTGGTTCTGGCGAGGGCTTTTGGTTCGACGCTGTGTGTCGAGGTCAGCTTCGGCGGGTCTTTTGGCTTGCTCGTTGGTCTATTATGGGGTCAGTCACATTTCAGTTACTGTTCTACGATTGTCTCACTTGAAGTCTTGATGGGGATTGCCTGTTGGTGCTTTGAGACTCCTTAGCAGGGGCAGGCTCGCCCATACCAAGGCTCGAGGGTGTAACAAAGACACGAGCAGTCTTTTGTTGGACTCGAGGTTGCATATCTTCGATCGCAGGCAAGTCTTCATCGTCACTTTCTGGTTCTCTGGAGGCCTGGGTCAGCAAAGACACAAATGACCAATCCATACCTGCGACAACCTACCTCTTCGGACTTGGAGGCACAAACGGAACCACTGGAATATGAAGCCCATAATCAGACATATAATCCACCTCGATAGGCCAGTCAACGCTATGTCCACTGCTCTTGAGGTGAGCCTTAAAAGTCGCTATGTAAGAGCTCGTCAAGTTTGCAGGCATCGCATTCTTGTTCCTCTTGGGTCGTCTTTTGAAGTTGAAGTAGAGAAAGAACAGCTTTGCCAGAAGATCAGCGATCCTGCAAGATGGACAGTGTTAGTAGGTTCAGCCAAGCGTCAATAGAGAGATGGAACCAACACTTCTCCGTCCTTGTGGCTCGTGTACCCGTTCTTGTTGGCCGCAGAGGGTTCTTCAGGCCAGAAGCGATTTCCTCCTTTGTCCCAAAGAAAGTACTTTGCCATCTTTTTAAACCTGCCCTTGCAAGCCTGTTCCCTCCAATTGGAAAGGTCCTTCTTTTCGAGTTCATTGCTCTTGATGAACTCCTCCAAATGAGTTGTACGAGCTTTTCGGAACCTGGCGATGAGTTTCTGGTCGGCGCCCTTTCCTAGACCAAGATCCTCAAACAGCTGTCCATAGTCTGGGAGGTCTGAGGTTTCTTTTTGTCTCTTGGTGCTGGGAGAGAAAAAGAGGGGGACTGATCGGGTGCCTATTCTTGCTCTATCCCGCAAAGCCATCATGGTGGTTGTGGGCGAACAAACGAGAAACACGAGGGTTTACAATGCTGGGAAGAGAGTTTTAAGAGGTATAGAACAGAGGAGAGGACACAGAGAGTGCCCTCATACTTCAAAGCACCGATTGATTTGACAGCAGAGCGGTAACAAACAAGTCACTCCATCAGAAGAGCTGACCAGGGCCTGGGTAGACGCTTCAGAAAAACGGCTTAATGCATACAACTCTACGGGTAGTTGCCGCAAAAGATCAAGGATCTGAAATCCATGTTTGAACAATCTCGCCTCTCAATGCAACGAGAAACACTACAGTAGAGAGAAAAGGAAAACAGCCTTGTTATGCAGGGGGAGTTGTGCTGGCCAGTTCTGTGGCCTGGCTGGTGGTGTGGTCGATCAGGCTGTGAGCGCAGTATGAGAATCCCGTGAAATGGGCGGCCGTTAGAGTCTGCAGCAACAACTCTCAGACCGCTATTATTACAGGGGATAGTGATAAGTTGCCTTGTAATGTGTAGAGCGTGAAAGCCTGGGTGGGCTTTACGAGCAACAAGGATAATAGTAACGGGCGTTTTGCTGAGCTCTTCCCACTTTACAGTCTTGGCTCGAATTCCCTCTTTTACTCTTCTTTTCTCTTCTCTTCTTTTCTTTTTGTTTCCTCTTCTGCGGTTGCCTCAGAGAATTGTCTGAAGGAGGTGGTCCTGGCTTCACCCATGTTGGTTGTTGGTTGTTGGTCCATGGATGATAAGCCACATTCGCACTCACACTCACTCTCAAAGTTCTCTCTTTTCTCACAAGACTCAACCGTCAAAGTCTTCACACTCAATCTACTGGGCATGTCTCAATCGATAGGATGATGACGTTTCCCCCTGTGAGATTCCGATAACTTGCATGTGTTGTGCAACCCGACCTTTACACTTTTTGCGCCCATCTCTATCTCTGAGATCTGCTAATTGAGCGGTAAAAGCACTTCAAGTGCAAACTGCATATCTAGATCTTAATACAAACGCCTCCCGGTAAGACATGCTGCCGCCGTTTGTTTGGCTGAGACACTTAAACAGTCACATTTTGTTGCTTCCTAGTACCTGGTTTGGTTCAAGGCTTTCCTACAGGCGTTGAAGATATTGCATTTATCTGTTGTTACATGTGGTAGTATAAAGACAAAAAAGGAAGAAAAGAATAAAGAAAGAAAGAAGAAAGAAAAAGGGAAAAAAAAGAAACCCATAAAGCCCTTCTATCCGTGCCAGTCCATCCATCTATTAATTAGTTCCAATCATCAATCCATCAACATATCCCTTCTCTTATCAAGACCTATGCCTATAGTATACATAAGAAATACAAAGAAACGAAACATGAATAGCAAACATATTCAGAAGTAAAGTGTCCACGTCTACCCTTCTGATATCCGGATAGGCGCATCCGAAATGTACAGCTGGTAGTATCTCAGCCCCTGCCTCCGTGCCGCTGGAGACAAATACTGATCGGTGACATTCCGCAAACACTCATACATAAAGCTGGTGAATCTCTCCTCATCACTTGAAGCAAAGTCGTCTGGGACATTGCCTAGTCGGCCCCTGAAGTTGAAATATAGACGTCTCGAGCCTACCACGCCTAGCTCCCTTGCGATATCGGCAAGTGACATGTGGAATATCATGGACGAGGGTTTCCAGGTAACGTAACTATTTGCGCGGGTAATTTTGTGCCTGTATGTGATCCGGCTGGCATCAACGGCTGCTTGTTCCTCTTCGTTGAATTCAATGGTACCAACTGACTGCGCAGTGGAAGTCTCAGGAGGAGGAAGGTTGTTCTCTGTTCGAGTACTGTTGACCTCTGGCCTCGATGTAGGTGCTTCCAGCAGCTCACGCTCTCTGCTTGATCCAGCTTGAGTGGCAGTAGTCTGTGTCTCTGGCAGAGCAGGTTGCTTTCCCTGGGCTCTGGCTGAGAGACCAGCCGTAACGGATGGTTGCTGCTCTACTACTGGCGCCGCATTGGTAGCAGCAGTAGTAATAGTAGCAGCAGCAGCAGCAGCAGCAGTCTGTCTCTCAGCCGATAGAGCTGCTCCCGCTCTACGATCCTCTATAGAAGGCTGTCTCTGACCACTGGCAATACCGTGGCGAGGGGCTGGAGTCTTTGACGAAGGGCCACCAGCCTTGTCTTTGGCCTGCTGGTCCTGGTTTGCATGCCTAACGCACTCGGGCGAAGACGGAGTTGGGCTTTTATCAAGAGCTTGCATTTCCTCTTCAGTAGCACCGTTAGGGTGCACTGTTTTACGCCTCGCTCGATCGAGAACCCTAGTCGCTTGAGGGGCGACGCTCTTGGTCTTTCTCCCGGCCTTTGAGGCATTGGAAGACTGTCGCTCAGAGACACTTGGATCTTGTCTGGGGATTTTGGCTTGATGGTTGTTATCATTGTGGTTTGTTTCGGCCGGCCGTTTGCCATTGGTTTGTGCCTAGTATATGTATTAGTTGTGTAAAAGGGAGTGTTTCAGTTAAGCATAGGACTGACAGTTTGTGTTACCGGAGAACTCTCGGGCCCATCATACAGGTCTGTACCGTGCATGTTTGCAGGCTGTACAGTTTGAGAACTGTTTGGAGGCTCCAGAGGTCGACAGTCTAAGATATCGCTAAGTACATCAGGGGGTAGTACGGATGATTGGGAAGGGTCTGAACCAGACATTTCGTCGGCTAGTTCAGCGGAACGGGCAGCAAACAAGGTAAATTCGAATGACAAGAAATGATCAATATCTCTTGGACCATGTTAGAGAGGTTATTCACATCTTACTGAGGGGGAACTTACTTAGAGGGCCCCGGAACGCTTGTGCTAGAGGTCATAGTCTCAAGATCTATAGGGTCGTCGACACTGTTACCCCTGGGATCATGGACCTTATCTACAACTCGAGGATGAGTGTTATTCACCTTGCTCGTAGCTTCTGGTAGTGTCTCGGTGGCCTTGCTAGGCTGTGATGGTACTTGAGGGATCGTTGGCGTCGAGACCTTGTATCGTTTATACTCGCGAGCTGCACGCCAAAAGACCTTGATCATAAGACAACGAATCCTATTCAGTCAGTGTCAGTTATGCTTCATATCAACTGTGCAGTCATTGCTGGCCACTGACTTTTTAGAGTCTTTAGAATACTCAAGGGGCCTTGTGTCGGTCGAACTGTGTCTATCCGGCCAGAACAAAGGCCCGTTTCCCTTGTTATCGAGAAAGTCTTTTGTTATCTCCAGGAGTCCTCTCTGATGGGAGGGACTTGTCCACTTGGTCAACTTATAACCTGAGATTTTATCGCCAGAAGACACAAAGGTTCCGAGCTGTTCTTTAATGGCCCTTTTAAAGGCAATGTCTTCCTGCTGGCCTGGGTTGTCGTAGCCAAGTGTCTTGCGGAGGGCTGTGAGATGGGGGATAGTGGTGGTTTTTGTACTTTTGAAGAGTCTGTCGGCCATCTTGGGGGCCTTGGCCTGACTTTGGACTGGTTTCATATCCTTAGGTGTTGGAAGAGGGCACATAGATCTTGAGCTTGAGAGTAAATGAATAGACGGATATACTGTATGGAAGAGAATAGATGTGTATCGTTTTCTCGGTTGGGGACGAGCCTCAAGATGCGAACCACTACAATTGAGTCGCAATGAGGCTTCAGAAAAAGAATTAGGGATTTCACACACTAAGTTAGAGCATGACTCGAGAATGGGAGCACCTTGAAGTTGACCAGGATTGAGAAGATGATCAGGGGGTCGGGGAGGCATCCGCACTGCATACCAAGACAGATTTGCACCAGGACGTTGCCTATTTTTTAACTGAAATACTTCAAATACCCCCTATCAAATACTACAAATGTACATTCATGAACTGTGGTTGCGGACGAGTTTTCGCGGAGTTCCAATTGCTGGGCAAACCCAGAAACGAGGCCATCACCAAAAAACATCAACTTGTTGAGATGATAGTCAAATTGCCCGCAACTTACTAGCTGTTTTACTCGCTGCTATAAATCAATTTAAACACAATAAAGAGTATGCAGAATTTATGAGAAGACATTTCGTGACCCCATTCGCGGCCATGTTAGCGGCTAGGATGTATCATTGTTTGCAACCAACATGCATATATAGAAACGCGAGCAGGGGACCCCAGCAGCCAAATAGAAGTGTATAAACGTCCCACTCACACGAGGATAATTATGAGGCTTTCTCTTGTCTCTTTTCTCCTCGATCCAAGGCAGTTTACTGGGTAACTGGTGTGTGTCTGTGTGGCACTCAGTATTGTAACTAAGAGTGCCGCATATCCTGAATTACTTAATGAAGTAATCCTGATAACTTAATGTAGTAATCCTAATAACTACATAGCCTAGAAATCAGTCAAACAGGGGTTTAAATCCTTCTGCACGTCTTCTCTGCGGATCGAGTCCCCGGGTCTAGTTCAACGAAGTCATAACCCTGCCAAGTGCTCAAACTTGAGTATACCACCTTAACGGAGTAAGTTATACCCCGTTCACCGTCTTTATTTCAACCGCACCCGTTTGACAGGTCTATTTGCTTTTTTGCCTCGAACTGATAGAGCACAGGACACCTGTGAAGCTGTGCGTGCTGGATCTTCACCAGTTGTCGTCCCAACTATCTTCCAATGGCACCTTCAGACTTCCAGAAACGACGAAACTTTGCGGCAAAGTAGGACTTTTAAATTACAGTGATGGGTAGCTTTTTCGCTATTGCCGGTCCTGCAGCAGACTCTCGTAAGGGGTATATGCATCATGCAGTCCCCGGATGTAGAAAGCCTGGTCTAATTATGTCCAGACCAAAAATGATTAGGTATAAAACGACAGGCATATGTTGACATGCATAGAGTGACAGGCATAAAATGCGGGTAAGGATTCCGGGAAATCATGTCCTGGAAAACCATGTCCGGACAAAGATATCCAGACAAAATGAACAAGGAACAAATCCCGTCAAGATCATAAGGCTGCCAAGCTATTAATAGATACATCTACAGTTGCCTTTTCATCCAGTAGCCAAAATAACTCTTACATGCACTACAAGAACGACATATACTCGTCTCTGCTACCTCACCAAGCCTATCCATCAGGCCGATGAGAAGAACAAACGTCATAGTCCTCTCTCATCAAACGCTCGGTCTTCATGGGAACGTTATCTCTCAGGGGCACACATGTCTCGACCATCTTCACGCAGACCCCTTCATTTGAGGTTTCCCAGCAACCCTCTACAAAAACAGCGTTCATCTTAAACTCCACTGGCTGTCAGCTTCTGTCTCCTTTATACTGCAGGTAAACACACCCACTTCATTCAGCTCACTGCCATATTCCTCATCTCAAAGCCCCTGTCATGAAACAACTGTCAATTACCAGGCCCTTGGGTCAGGAGCTGCAGATTCACGCAGCGTAGTTCATAATCTAGATATCATCATCCACGTATGCATACTCCTCCTCCCCGTCGTCCCGCCCCTCCCCATACAACACCTCACAAACCCCTGCCAGCGGGATATCCATCACGGCATCCGTCCCCTCGCTCCAAATCTCCCTCCATCGCAAGCTGCCGTCCGCGCGGATCTTGCGGTCCCTGTTCCTACTCCCCCTTAGCCTACCCTTGGCGTCGATCTCGGCCAGCTTGCCCGCGCCGTCGACGACCGTCTCCACGCTCGACAGCGGCACCGTCAGCATCTCTGTGTTGTACGCCGCGAGCGCCACGTAGATGTACACCACGGTCATCACGATGAAGGCCGGTATGGCTAGTGCCCACCACCTGTTAGGATAGTAGGTGATGCCTAGCGCTTGGAGGAACGGCGACGGGAGATATCCCCAGAGGAGGTAGAAAAGAAACGTGAGGCTGCTGAAGAGGTACAGCACAAAGCCGTAGTACTCGTATGTGGGCACCTTTGGCGCGGCACGAGGCACAGGCGCAATTGCATCATCGTCGGATGCGTCTGGTGTTGTTGGGCGCGATGGGCGCAAGAGAGATGTGAGTGATGGTGAAGGGGGTAAAGGAGTTGGTGGCCGCCCATAGAATGGAGGTGCGAACAAGTTTTGCGACAGTTGTCGCGGGGGAGAGTCTTCTCCGGAGGAACTGACAGACAGGCCGTCTGAGAGGTTATCGTCGTCTTCATCAGAGCTAAGAGACATATTGACTGGGGTGTTTGCTTTCAGTTTATCGCCGTAAAAGGTTGTCAATTTGACGTTCAAAAGTTGACCTGACGTCGTTCGCTTAGTGAGTTAAGGCCAGGTACCGGCTGCAAGGATTGGGGGCGGTTGTTCTAGCGCCTCGTCAAGCACGGTAGAGCTTCTGCTTCTAGAAAGCTTATGTTGGATGGTGCCTGCGAAAACAGCGTAGGTTTGTCAGGCAACCAGACAACCTGCAGGACAACCCAAAGCTGCCTAAACAAGCAGAAAAGGAAGCAGCTGGTAAATTGAAGGGAATTACCTACAAATAGAGGATTCCTTCCCATTAGTTATCTTAGACTTATCATCAATAATGTTCCCTGCCTTTCTTGCTGATCCCTACCGTGTCTTCTTCCATGACTCACCGCCCTGCCTCTGACCAATAGCTTAACTGCACTACCCTGGATCATATGCGAAGCTTCAATCAAACAGCAATTGATAATAGATAGTGTTTTGATATTGGTACATTATTTAAAGTATTATTAACCGACTACTGCATTTTATGCTCACTTATACTACATCCAAATAATTCATCATCATTAATCCGCATCTTTGCTCTCTATGTCATACACTTTGTACAAGAAGCAAAAGCCTTCCCTCTTGGAAACTCTAAGCTCACCCATCAATCGGGCATCTATACTCCCTCTCGCCACCAGCGACCCCATTCTGCTGCCGCTCTTGCAACTCATCTAGACAACTCTGATGGTAGATGTGCCGACACGCCAGTATAACCAGCGGACCCATCGGCTTATCCTTATTATTCATCGCACCACTGTTGGTGCTCGCCTCGATGAGCATGCTCGAGGGTCTCGTGTCAACTCCCTTGCCCTTAGACCTGAGGTCTGATTCACCATCATCACCCTTGGCACGTTCCGCTGCGTTTACCTGCCTCTCTTTCCTTCTCTTTTCCTCAATGGCTTGTTTATCTTCCCATGCTTCAAACACTGCAGTTCCAGCAACTCCGGGTCCCCATACCCTTCGACTGCATGCTTCGCACGTGGATCCTCTTGGTCGCCAGCCTCGCTGACGGAGCGAAACCGACTGGTTGACGTCGACAAATAGGCTGCGTTCCAGGAGGCGGTTCGACAACTTCAGGATCGACTCCTCATACGCATATGCTGAGAAAATTGACGAAAGAACGCCACGAAGATCGGCCAAATTTGGCGATGACGCAGCCGCTTGTGTCAAGAACGCTCTCAAGATACGCAAGAAAGATAGATTGGATCCGGCGTTTGACAGCAGCTTTGATCCCGAGTGAGATGTCGTCTGACTGGACGTCGTTGTAAGCAACGCAGTAAAGGTATGTTGGACTAACGACCGCAAAAGCGCCACAAGCTTCTCCTCGTCGAATTCATCGTCGCTTATGTTCTGCTCAGCAGCGGAGCTGAGTGCGGGAGATAGCTCCTTCGTAATCTGCACACATGCATCAATCAGACTCAACCAAAGGGCTTCATCGGATGACAGTGTTTCAGTCGCTGACTTCGGCGTCTTCTGAACCATCTTTAACTTCTTGGTAGACGACTTGGTTTGTCCCTGGCATAGCCAAATACCAACATGGACATATTTCTGGAGACCTTCAAGGAGATCTTCTGCGGCATATCCTAGGCTTGGTCCCGAATTTTGCTCTTCAGCACCAGTCAAGACTCCGTGCATAGCTGATTCCAGTGTCTTGAGATGTCTGACAAGTCGTTCCATAGCGTCCTTTATTTGGCCTTCACGAGCCATCAAAACAACGGCTGCGTCGATAACGCCAGTCTCTTCCATTGTAGGTAGTAGCTTTTCCAGCCTCAAATCAGCTGACTGTACAATACCAACATAGTCCGAGACGTGAGACGGTTCAAACTTGCACATGAGTTGAACATAACGTTCGACCAAATCACGAGAAGTTGTCAGTTTCGTTGTTGATGTAGGCTCCTCAGGCTCCAACAAGGTCTTGAGATATGTCTGTTGTAGGTCTGATGCATCCTCCGCTGCATGAATAATGTGCTGATGTAGCCCCAACTCTTGCTCAGCAAGAGTCTTTGCAGTGAGCGTGGCATCAAGTTCAAGTAAATCCCGCGCATGCTCTTTGACAACACTGAGCACCTCTTCGGTTTGGCGTGCAGTCAGTCCTGTCTGAGATCGCAAGCATTCGCGGAGACAGTCAAATACCAAGTCTTGGTCCTCTGGATCTTCGAAGTAGGTCTGAACAAGATTGCCGTATTGCTTATCCGTCTTGTATATGCGCTTAAGAATGCGATAAAACCCTGCCTTCTTGAACAACGGCATCATATCAGGCATATCTGACGGATGATACACAGAGAGCAAATACTCGGCACTGAGCTGGGCATCCTCGGCTAGGTCATCACCCGGGTAGTTGCAAAGTCCAGTCAAGACACGGGAGAGTGTTGTGCCTGAGAATAGGAGATATTGGGGGAATTTTGGAAGGTTCCGCGCGATGAACATGTCGAGATAGATGGTGTCTTCCGGAGCAAAGTCGTTAGGATTCATAACATCCAGCAAGATAGATAGAACATATTGCCGGTTTATCGTCTGCCCAAAGATCTGTTCTTCTGGAAGGTCACCCCTAGAACCGTTCGTTTGTTGATCTGGAGAGTCATTCAAAAACGGGTCTTCAAATGCTTCGTTCAACGAGCTGAGGAAGCTAGGCGCATCCAGCTTGAGGATCATTCGAAGATATGGAAACGATGGCTGTGACTCGGAGTTAGGAATGGTTCGGAACTCATTCCCACGACCTTTGGGCCAGGTAACAGTTCTCCCGGAGAAGAAGAACCAGTAGATTTCTGACTTGGCCTTGGTTGCCACCTCATCACTCATTGTCTCATCGTTAGGGTATACCCTCCCGGTGAGTGTATACGACAGGTATGGGAAGATCTTGAAGGCGTTAATACTGAAAAAGTCATCTGCTGGATTGTTCGCCGTGAAGTCCCCATCAACCATGAGAGGAATCAACAAGGAGAGAAGGTCGATCATTGGAGTGATGTAGTCGCCAAGGGCCTGGTTCCAAACGTAGATGAGAGCATCATATAAGCTATGCTGCTTACACAAAAGAGTTGTCTGATCCAAATCCAGGGTTGCTGTTTCCATGTGACAGATCATCTCTTCAAGTCTGCTCTCCCACCCTCGACTGACATAATGTTGAACCAAATCCTTGACGACAGTTGGAGGTACCATCGTAATGGTCTTCTCAAGGATGCAAGGTTCAAGGCACTCAAGGAATATACCAACAATATCGGCATCTTCATACCAGTCGTACATCTCATCAAAGAGGAAGTCTTGGTTGCCAACGGCCTGGCATGCTGTGAAACAGGTATCCGCTAGTTGTTTCATATGCTCATCGTCGTAGCTCTCAGGATCTTTCTGACGCTGACCAAAGGCGTACTTCAGCGAAGCGCTGATTATCTCCATAATCTTGTCGCGAACCATAGTGTGTCGTAGCGAAGGATCTTCTGGCAGCCCGACAGTAAGTTTGTCTGCATCGCCAGTGTAGTATGATGTGGCAAGCTGAATGGCACCCATGTAGTCGCCGTTTTCCATCATAGCAATAAGTCTGTCTGCCCAGTTCGACAACGCGCCGATTGCGACTTCATTGAAGCCGAGGATGAATATTCTTCCTTTGTATGCTTTGAAGCTCATGTAGAAAGCGTCGGCCACAACACCATGCATCGAAGAATCATTCTCATCAAGCTGCTCCACGAGAGTGTGTAACTGCTCTGAGAATAAATCGGTGTGGTATATGTATTTTTGCACCAAGTCGAACCCCTCTGTCATGCGCATGCTTCTGTCTTCAAGAACGATCATTCTTTGAGATATGGTAAGAACAGCTAGAACTGAACGACTGAGCCATTGAATAGCAACAATGGCCTCTTCACACTTCCATCGATTTCGAGCTTTGAATTTGTATGAGATAGGCTGGTCTTTGTCCTCGCGTGGATATTCGTCAACATCAAGTACTGTCAGGATGTTTGACCAACAGTACGCAAGCTTCACCTTTGAGATGTCGCTCTTACTATGCGGGTCCGGCACCTTTAGCTTCACAGCAGGAAACCAAGCAAGACAGCCCGTCATGGCGCTGTGAGGAGGAACATCTTTAGGGCGCGCCGATTTGTGCTGAGTCTGCGCCACGGGTGTAGTCGAAACAATGACCAGAAGATAGGGTGTCAACATGGCTGTCAAACCAATGGTATCTGTTGAGCACTCCACGTTCCCAAGGGGCAGGGGGGCAAATGCCAGGACAGTACTGGGCTTGACAGTCTTCCCCGCAGGCATGGGCGCATCTGGATATCGACCAAGAATTCGATGAGTTTTCACAGTCCTTCCAAGTGCGCCTGTTCCTCTACTTGCCAGATGAGAGAAGGCCATTCCTCGGTTGTCCGCTGACACGAGTGCTGTGTGTCGGGTCCCCAAGAAACCAAGATGAATAATAGCAACATCAGGAACATGCCCATCTGCCGTGCGATTCTGGAGCTGCGAGGGTTCCAGATGTGGTATTGTCAAAAATGGCCTTGAAGCGCGACTGGTATCCCAAGTAAAGATATTACCACTCGCATGTCCTCCTGCAATTGTAGTATGATCTGCAGATATCGCGATGGCGGTAATTGGTCCAGACTCAACAGCTAAACTATATCAGCTTCGTACCTTTCAGAAAATAAGTTGCAGCTTACCTTTTGTTCCTGGCCCAATAATCATCTTGAGATTTTGGTTATAATCAAACACTAATATTATACCCTTCGACGTTCCAAGCACTATCGTTGCCGACACTGCTAGACACGTAGGTGATCCGAAGTTTCGTTTTCCTGCCTCGGAGAATGCATGGCCATTGAGTTTCCGTAGCTTTGTCCAACGAACCACCTCCCATGGTGGCGTGGGCGTTTCTAAATCGGCTTGGTCGAGGAGGAATTGAGAGCTTAAAGAGACATTACGGCTATGACTGGAAAGAAAAGGAAATGCCGGAGATGAAGAGCGAGGTGTATGTATGTTGGAGGAGGAGATTCGCGATTGGAATCGACGATCGAAAGGTCGGAAGGAGGGTGAGGGACTGCTTAAGCCAGGGCGTGAGGCTACAGATGGGAGGATGCTGCTTCCAGGAGAGGAGACAAAGGATCCCTGTGATACGTTAGAGAATGCTTCGCGGTATAGGAACTGCCATTCGTACTTGAATAGATGGCGTGTCGTCAGGTCCCGACATGACCGAATCTATCGGACTTCCAACTCGCCTTGGCAGACCATGTAACGAGCTTCCACCCAAAGAGCTCACATCCGAGCTATCCTGGTGTTGCTGCTGCATTATTTCGCGATATCTATTGCCAACATATCCATTTCCTATAGCAGCCGGTGCAAGGTGACGATCAGGCCCGTCGCTGTCTGACACATCCTCGACCGAACCATCGTCAACACCAGCGCCGGCCACCGCGGGCGCATCATTTATCGAGTCGCCATCGTCTAAGCTCACGTCTCCCGCGAGTGACAAGTTTTCTGAATCGGCCATTGCGCCGTGGCTTCCATCACTGCATGCGCAAACACTACCGCGTCGATTTCATGGCACTGCGGTGGGCAGAAAAGGGCTGTGGATTGGCGATGCAACAGTGCGTCTTCCCGTTTCTGGAGCTCAGGTCGAGGTATAAGATGAACCAGGTCGGAGGGGCAACGAGAATGTGTGAGATTCGCACGCTTCGGAATGCGTATATTTACAAAAACGTTCAATGAAACTTCAGTTCCCTACAGCTCGTTTCGTGTTGTAAGAGACGAGAAATTAAAAAGGGTATCGCGCGAGCTGAAGCTATGGTGAGCTACGTAGGTCAGTTAGTTCGTTACGCAGCCCCATCGTGGAGGTTGGCAGCGGCGCAGCCAGGCGCACGCACCTGCCCAGCCAGTTCCACGGGGGCGGGCCGGTGATTATCCGGGCGGTCTGCGCTGTGACGTCTTTCCCGATGAAAGGTCGCATTCGCGATAAGAGATCAGGTCCACCATGAATCAAAGCTTCTGAAAGCTACACCCCTCTTAAGAAACTGAAACACCAAAAGCAGAATCGTCATCAACGAGAGATATACAAAATGTCGTCAATTGGGCCACAACTACCCGCGCATCTATCGAAGCGGAAACGCACACCAGACGATGAAGCGTCTAACTCCAGCAAGCAGCGTCGCAGCGAATCCCCAGCAAAGAACACGAATGAGATCGACCTTGAAGATTCGGACGATGATTATGGCCCCAGCGCACCTCTCCCACCAAAAGCATCCGTCGGCCCAGTGTTACCGACCTCCAACAAAGACGAGATAGAGATTGACTCCGATTCCGACTCTGATACAGGTCCAGCACCACCGAAGCCTACCGTTGGTCCTGCGCCACCACCTGCCGACATCTCACAACGCCCTGCAGCATCTCCCGACTCAGATTCAGACTCCGAAGACGACTACGGTCCTGCACTTCCAGGTTCATCAAAAGCAAATAAACCCACTATAGGACCACAGCTCCCAGTCGCCGAAGCGGCACCTCAGCGCGACTCATGGATGCTTGCGCCGCCTACCGCCTCAGGCTACTCGGAGCGAGACCCAACCAAGATGCGCAACCGTAAATTCGCCTCCAAGTCTTCATCTTCTGGACCATCAACGGTCTCAACAATATGGACTGAAACTCCTGAGGAAAAGCTCAAGCGGCTGCAAGATTCGGTGCTAGGACGCGCCGACAAAAACGCAGAAACAGAAATGAAGGGCGGAAAGTCACAAGAGGAGGAGGAGCGCAACCGCAAGATCTCTGCCAATATCGAATCGCAAAGAGGCAAGAGTCTATACGCGGAGCATCAAGGACGAAGAGAAAAGGAGGGCAAGAAGGTCGAAGAGGAAGATGATCCCAGCAAGCGTGGATTCGATAGAGAAAAGGATATGGCTCTCGGCGGCAAGATTGGCACGTCGCAAAGGAGAGAGTTGATGAATAAGGCCGCCGATTTCGGTGGTAGGTTTCAGAAAGGGTTTTTCTTATAGCACCCCAGCATAGAGGGACTTGTAAAATAAGCAGGTGGACATCGGCTTGAATTTTTTAGCATGTCACGACATATATACACAAAGGTTTGCAGATGGAACAAATATATATTGCACCATCGAGCTATGTAAGACCCAAAACCAGTGAACTCCGCCGCTCCGTTCCCATCCAGCTGTTTTCTAGCCCAATGCAAATACAATACCTGTCTGACAGATAGATCATCCTCGAAGACTATGAGCGAATCCTCCTCGAGAAACCACGCTGCCCACATCTTCTCAAGGGTCAAGTGACTTTACACACTATCATCGGGGGTATATATAGCTCTTCGAGCCCTATACGTCCTCAACCTCAACCCAGATGTACGCCTTACTGCCTCCTGTCACCCACGTATATATCATGCGGTTAAAAAATCTCAAATGCTGTGTCGTCAAAAGTCAATTTCTTTATGATGTCAAGATACGTGACGGGTGAACCCAGCATCTCGTTGCCAGGAAGAAATGAGAAAAAACCATCGCTAAAAACAGTCGTGTCGTTATGTAAGAATAAAATGTGATACGCATCATTGCGTGGCAGCCGGTGTACGGTTTGCCGCTTCAAGTTGTGATGGCGTTACAGCTTCGGGACTATTTTGGTTGTCCTGTGCTTGACGTCTTCGGCCGAATCGTAGTGCCCCCCTGACAGATGAGAGAACACCACCATTTGATGTCTGGGTAACTTCTGGTGTTTGGTGAGCTTGCTCAGGCTGTTGAACAGGTTCCTGCTCAGCCGGGACGTCACCTGTGCGACGCCTGCGACTGGCGGGAGCCGGGGTTTCGCTGCGGCCATTGCGGGGACCTCTGACCCATGCAGATCGGATCGCGGCAGGTAGACCAAAGCGTGGGTTGTTTCGAGGGTCAAAGTTGGAACCGTTGTTTGCACCAGCATCATTGGCAGCGTCAGGAGCCGGTCGAGGCTTGGGGACATAGTAGTCGGCCTTGCAAAGAGGGCAGCAAGCACGTCGGCTGGTCAACCAAGGGTCGACACAAACAGCGTGGAAAGCGTGTCCACAGGTTAAACCACGAACGTCATCGTCATCCTCAAGTGTATCGATGCAAATAGCACATGTATCACCAGGGTTCTCGAGACATTCGGGTGGTAAGGCGCCGTCAATGTGATCGTCATCTCCATCAGTATCCTCACTAGAGACTCGCTCAAGTTGGCCGTTGTTTGTGGTCTGGTTGGTTGAGTTCTGGCCGTTTGTTGTCGCGGGGGCATCTTTAGATTTCTCGGCTCCGGCAACCGCAGGGGTGGCGTTGATTTCTGGGACAGGTGTCTCGGTGGCATTGCTCGCTCCGGTAATCTCTCCTTGAGCAGTCGTCTTGGGTACATTGGTGGTCGGTTGTTCATCGGTCGAGTCGCGAACCTTGGCTGAAAAGTCTGGTACAATTCCATCCGCCTCTCGGATACTATTAGGTCGAGAAGGGGGAGCAGAAACGCCGCCAGTAGTAGGAAGACCTTCCTTTGCGCGATCGGAAACCCAGGACTTGTACTTCATCATCGGGAACTTGTCGTTGACCTCGTCCATCGTCATCAACTTCTTCTCACGACGTCTTCGATGAGGTCGAGGCATGTTTTCGAGGGTGATGGGTTCGCCATCTTCGTTCATTCGCATTTGTCGATTTCGGGCATTGTAGCGGAAACAATATTTGACACCAACGATGATCCTGAGTCAGAGTGTTAGAGTCTTTTTATGTTATCGCCCATCGCCATGCAGACGAGGCTGGATATGCATATGCATGCGTGAATGAAGTCTCACCATAAGTTCGTAAAGACAACACCAAAACCTAAAGCAACGAAGAAAAGAAGAGGCGAGTTCGAACCGCCTCCATTATCCTTCCTGTCATTGCTGTTATCCGTTGTCGTCTCGGCGGCGGCTGCTTGCGACGTCGTTGAAGGGTCTTCAGCAGCAGCGGCGCGAATGACGACGTGAGTGACTTCGGTCAATATTTGATTGATGGCGACCATTTTGAGTGTCGGAAGATAGCCAGTATGGATGCTGAGCGATGGGAGGCTTGCTCGAATTAACTCGCGGGCTGCCGTGCGGGTACCATGAGCCGTTCAAGAACAAACTCTCGGGGTGTAGGGCGGCAAAGGCGCAAGGGAAGGCAATCAATTGTCAATAATTGCCAACCGTTAGGATATCACCGTTGAGACAGGAAAACGGCGGTATCTGCAGATAAATTCTCCCTTTATCAACGAGAAAAGGAGACCAAATCACTCGACTTTGAACGAGTGGTTGATGAGGTGAGAATAGCCGGAGCGGAGGTGGAGTGGCAGGACAAGGCAAGTCAAGGCAAGAGAAGAGACAGATCCAACGGCAGGTGCGAGAGTGGCCGCGCAAAGGATAAAAAGAGAATGGAAGGAGCCCAGAGGAATGGAGAACGGGGCGACCAAGACCGGGCCGGGGGGTCAGCGGCTGAATGTGATTGGGCGCATAAGTCTATCGTGTGGAGGTTGAGCCGTAGGGGGCACTGTGAGCCGGTACCTTTGCTAACAGCAAGGACGAGAAGTCTTGGGTGCTAGAGGGACTCGACAGGCTGGAGAGGCCCTGGCTACTGAGGGCTAGTGGAGAGACTGGCCTGAAAGAGGGAGGTCAGTCCCAGTTGGTGTAGCGGGCTTGGGCCTTTGACAGGGGGCCTGGTACGATTTGTGTGTGGCTGGAACGACAAAGCAAGTGGTTGAGCGTGAGGTCGGGAGGTTTGAACTTTGAGGTGGTGGGTGGTTGGTCGGAAAGGGTTGCCCGTTTGAGAGTCGCGAGACTTTTGGTAAATATGGCGAGGATAGAGTCGATAAGCTCAAAGGCAGGTGTAAGTATAAATAAATATGTTGAGTGGGTGAGTCAAAGACGTGCGATAGATTGGAGCGGATGAATGTATTGATTGTTCTAGGTCTGAGGGACGGGCACGGGACAATGAATGGCATCTAATGTAGGGGTATTGCGTTGTTTAAAGGTATCGCGATGCATGAAGGGTTCAGAGTTTTACGGGGCCACCCGTTCGCTGCCCTCTCCCACTGCGGCAAAGAACGGTTTCTGTTCCATATTCGCGACGTATTCATTGCATTTGCATTTGCGTTTGCACTCGCATTACGCTTCAGCTCTCGTTCTGAATCTGACATTCGTGGCGCAGTTTTTCCGCGGGGGAGAAGCATGGGGGAGCCCGGCTCTTTAGCGCAATGGAGACTGCCCGAAGTCTTGAATCACAGAACCTAAAAAGCATGGACATACGGATTCGACAGGGGTTTTTGACGTTTCGGTTCATTGATCGCTGGGTCTGGAACTGCGACAGGGCAACTTCATGAGATGGGACGAACGGGAAGATCCAGGGCCCAAGACTTTGGTTGCGTTTGACAGCTGCGACGTATTTCTCACGATACGGTTTCACTTTGATATTACTATCTGTACCAAGGAGCAGGATCGGCTATCTTGTCAGCGCCTGTCAGCGAAGCTTCTTCTCATCCATCCAAGCGTCTAAATTGATCTATGCATATGGATACCAGAATGGTCACCCCACCACAAAGCGTTTACCAGTAAGGTACATGTCAATCAATCTTCGGCAGTGCTACGGAGTATAGTAATATGCAATTTGTAACTTTCCGAGATGATGGATTTCACCGTTCAACAGTCTCTCATCACTTAAACTTTTGTTGCTTCTTTCACCATTTATCCATTGGAATGATGAACCGTTTATTGATTTATCCTTTCATTGGAGGCCGACAAGCATCAAAGCGCTTGCACCGAAACGGCCCCACTTGTCGCCGACTTAATTCGTCTCAGCCCAAAGCCCCCAGCCCGCCTTGCCCGCTTCACGAAGTTCCTTGTCCTTGTCTAAAGGGTATCAGAATACTTGGCCGATTTACAGATCTTGAGACAGAAATACTTGGGCAGTCTTGGTACTACGTAAAGCTATATTTTGCCTGGTCTTTATATCTCCACCTCAGCCTCATGGTCCTAGCGAGGCTCCTTGTTTCCAAAATCAGTCCACTAATACGTCATGAGATAAGAGAAGAAGTTTTAAAAAAAGGATAACAGTACCGCTCCTATGAGTGTAGAGCATTGGGTTTGTTGTCGAAGTTAAAGGAGAAACAGCAAAGGGGCTGCTGGTAACAGCTGACAGTGTTGAGACCATCAGCCCGTTGTCTGCTGAGAAGGCCTAGACAAGCGGCACAGCTCAGCTCTCCAGACACATAAGTGCATGGATACGTATACGATCTTATCGAAAAAGCTTGGCTTCACTGTGGCTGCGAGTGCAGAGAGAGTTCAGCACCGTCAATCGCAGCGCCATGCAAGATACCTAGGTAGCGTATTTCGATTCAATACGTTGCGGTCTTATGCATACGCCCAAGACGGCAAATCCGATGTGTGGCTTGAATAATCATCTGAATATTCAATTATCCTGGAAAAGAATAACATCTCTATTCAAATGACGATGTTCCTGCAGTAGAATCTGTGTCATTGTCCAACACAACACTCGATCGAATGGCTCCCGTGCAATCTTGAACAACTGTAAGCCTCCAAGACAGGCTTTCCAAGACAGGTGGGTGTCTCACAAAACATCATTTAAACTTGGCAGATCGATATCACATCAAAACAAAAACAAAATACGGAGGTACGACGCGGCCTATCATTAAAGCGACCTCCAGTGATGCTGAAACGTATGCAGCCGCATTACCATCCTTAGTTAGAGTCTCTTTTCGGGTCTTCACCTCAACCTGGCATTGGAACTTGGAAGTATATCACAGTGTCTCTGGTTAAGCTCTCACACTGCCTCTCTAGCGTCGATTCCACTGTCGCGTCGGTTGTGCTGCACCCGCTGCACCCCATCTCTACGGCGGGTCCTCTTGGCTTACTCTCAGTCTCTTGTGGGGGGCATTCAAAATGCCTCGCTCTGAGGTGCATTAACGCTCTGACTGAAAAGGCAAGTCAGCGGGGTTTGAGCCTCAAACCGCCCGGAATCTGCGGGAGCTTCGGCTGCAACGGGATCGTTTATTTTTGCGTTTGATTTTTTTGGTTTCTTTGGATGTTATAAAAGTTAAAAAGGATGCTCAGTTTACCTCGTGATGGGATCATCTCGCTCTGCCGCGCATCCCGGTTGCTTAACACTTGATTTTGGACGGGGCTATGACGCAGCCATTGAAACCTCAAAAAATAAAGCCTGGCTGTAACTGAACCACAGTAAATACCTATTACAGATAATCACCACCAAAGGGATGATCCACGTCAGATATTGGCCGTTTATTCCGCGGTCGTTACTTGCTTAAACCCGGCAATCTCCATCCTCATGGCGGTCAAAAACTGCCGAGATGGATGGGCCATGGTTAGTGTCGTCGTCAACAACAGGCTGTGTACGGATAGAGATATCCCGATGCAAATCTGCTCAGGCGTTGTGGTGGTCAATTACAAATACACAGAGTCTATGATGTCGACACCACGAGGCTATGTTGTCTTGGGCTGATCTGGCCAGTCACCATCATAGATATGATAGTTTGATTCGGTCAGTGTTTTGATAATGAGGCTGTCTACGAGTCACGGTTGTATTCTCTGGTGCTGCAGAAAGATGGAGATGGAGGGACCCTGACTCTGGTTGCATGATAATAACGCCCTTAGTCAGAAGGATTTGGCGATCTCAACGTTACTATCCGTTCGGTTCGGGCTTTTTACAAGATGTGCACTAACTTACAACGTGCTTGTCAACCAATTAGTACAAACGTAAACATCAATTTCTGGCCTTGGAATAACGGCATGGCGGTTGATGGCTTTCTCTGCCTAATCACATGTCATGACACCCCAAGTTCTACTCCTTTCATGATATGATTCTATATAAAACCGCAAACTCTATGGAAGATGCCGTGCCGAGCTTCATCAACTCAAGCCTCTATCGAGATCAACAGAGTCCAGGTCTCGGTCCGCACTACTCCCTCCAGCGAACCACAGTCCACACCTTGGCTCTGGCTTGGCTCTGGTCGAGTGGCTTCATGGACCTGAACCCCAGGTGCCACCCCCGCTTTCTGGAGTTGATGGCCTGTTCGAGATGTACCTATCATGGGGTACGTTAGCCTCGAGCGGAGGAGGTGGTCCCAGATCTGGATCCGGTGGTGAGTGCGTATGATATTGTGGACAACGAATTTGTTGTCAGTTTTGTCTATCTACAATTAAATACTTAGCAATTTATACTTTAGGCATTGATCGAGCAATAAGTTATTAATAAGGAATAATGTGAAGTCTCGAATTTGTAGACATAAAAGCTGATCAACCAACCAAAAGCCCCTCCTTGTTCTCCACGCTTCCGCTTTAAGTTTTCCTAGTCTGCCCCACGCTCAAAGCGTTCCATTTCTGCAGGCCAGCAGAAACAAAGATCACCGCTGCAGTCAAACACCAACTACAGCCCCCCAGATAATCTTAACAAAACCGCATAAACCCTCTTCTTATTTCATAAGCACTGTCAAAATGCCTCCTACACAACTCCCCGCGTCTGGAAACCCGCTGTAAGTAATCCCCCCTTACCCAAGATAAAGTGGCGGTTCCCTCTGCCACTACCCCCGGTGGTTCGAAGGTGGAGAGAGACGGACCACGCAGCTTTTGAGTCAGTTCCAAATGGGAAGTGTGGGTGGGCTGACATTTGTCTGGTTTTGTTATGTTTACAGTGTGTTTTTCGATATAACTATCGGAGGTTAGTCTACCCGTTGCCCCCGCTCCGAGTACGGAGTTGTCATGCCAAAAAGTGAAGCTATTCCCAGTGATCTACACGGGAGCAGCACTCTTTGTCTATATTGACCAACCACTACCGCTTCTCATGAAATGACCATACCCTAGACTAACTCTCCCAGGTGAGCCTCTAGGTCGCGTAACCTTCGAGCTCTTCAAGGATGTCGTCCCCAAGACAGCAGAGAACTTCCGCCAGTTCTGTACCGGCGAGAGTAAGAACGCCGGAGGTCGTCCCCAGGGCTACAAGGGCTCCAAGTTCCACCGCATAGTGAGTATCCCTCATCTCCGATCTGTGACACATCCCGCAGCAAACAGAAAAAGCTGACCTTTGTGGAATCTAGATCCCAAACTTCATGTGTCAGGGCGGTGACTTTCTCAACGGCGACGGCACGGGATCAACGTGTATCTGGGGCTTTAAGGCTTTTGAGGACGAAAACTTCACTCTCAAGCATGACCAACCTGGTCTTCTCTCCATGGCTGTATGTTTCACTTCTGTTTGTTCGCCTGCACTTATACTAACGGTGCTTAGAACGCCGGGCCCAACACCAACGGCTCTCAGTTCTTCATCACCACCGTCCCCACCCCCTTCCTCGACAACAAGCACGTTGTCTTTGGCAAGGTCGTCGACGGTATGGATGTGGTCAAGAAGATGGAGGCTACCAAGACCGGCTACCGCGGCAAGGACATGCCCAACCTCGACGTGGCAATCTCCCAGTGCGGTGAGATGTAAAAGTCTTTTTTGTTGGTAGTTCTTGTGTTACCGGTTACTACGAGATGTCTCTGGCGGGAGCGGAACGGCTCACAGGAAATGATCGTTACGGGAGGGGCCGAGATCTCGAACAGTTTAGATACCCGTCAGAATACGAATCTCGATGTGCTTCTTACTCGGCGCTTTTCACATCTCATGTTATGTTACACTGGTATCTTGTGATACAATAGTGTAATCTTGGACAATAGAACGGACTTGGGGCATAATTCTTTACTTACGATCTGACTGTGAGTTTGGAAACCTTGGGATAGTAGCTCTAGAACAGTATTACACTTGTTCTTCTTATAGACCATTCACTATATTGTCAAGTTGAATTGATTCTAATGAGCCAAACGCAATCATACCTCTCGATGTAAGTCTATTGTAGAATCCGACTACCGAGATGACCACTCAACCCCATGTTGAACACTCACACAAAACAGCAAACATGTTTCACATCACCGCACACAGAAATCATTGCGAACTATTTTTTCGAAATTTTGCCTAAGCTGAAACCTTTGCTGTCCTTAGATCCCAAGTATCCATCACCCGCAATGCACCCATACCAAAAAATAAAATGAATCATAAACGCTGCGTTAAATCATCGCGCATGCTGAGCCGAGTAAAACGAAAGATTGCGCTGCCAGGCTCATCTCCCCCGCTCTCTTTCGTTCCCCAATGCCTATAGACGCTGGAAAGAAGGAAAAGAGGAGGGGGAGATGGGCGGCGCGCGTGGAAATGCAGATGGTATCTCTATATCCAACGCCGTGGAATGCGACCGGCGCCCCTTTTTTGATGTCTGTGTGAACCTATAGCCTGCATCTCCCTGAGATGAAGGAAAACACATTGCCGTCTATATATACTGTAGAAAATGACGAGGGTCGGATGAAGGCCCCTTGACGAGGTATAATGTCAGGGGGTCGATGATGAAAAGGGGCTCGATAACCTAGAAGTCACCAAACACCCAGTTCGTCCGTCGGCGGAGAAAGGGCGTGGGAATGGGAGGACCGTCGCTCTTTGTAGGCGCGGGGACATCGCTATTGGCGGAAGAAGGTTTCTCGTGGTATTCACCGCCGGGGGCAGTTTGCTGCGGAGGAGCGGCGGCTTCTCCGGTGGAAGTAGGCTTGTTGATGTGAGTGACGATAGTCTTAATGACTGTGGATGGCTGTGGTTGTGGCTGTTGCTGCTGATCACCACCTGTAGGTTGTGGCTTGGGTCGAGTAGTATAGAGAGTCTCGTATACAGTCGAAGCCGTGGGCGGTGTAGGCACAGGATCAGAGGGCAGAGCGGTCTTGCTTCTGGTGACAAAGGCCGTAGTGGTGATTGTCTTGGTGCTAGGGCCCTCCTCGGTCGGCTCAGGGGCAGGCTCAGACGCAACGGGAGACTCGGCGGGGCCAGTGATGTAGACAGTGGTGACCACAGGAGAAGGCTTGAGAGTTTCTGTGACAGTCACTGTAGCGACACCATCACCGTTGCCGGCTCCTCCGCCAACGGGTGCAGTAGGCTTGGGTATGGCGGTAGACGAAGGAAGGGATCCGTCTCCCTTGCCGGCGTCAACATCCACCTGAAAGTTACTCTTCATCTGCTCCTCGATACCGGCAGAGTAAATGTTCTGATCGTCGTCAAAGTTAAGGATATGTGAGCCCTTGGCAGCAAATGAAGCGCCCTCAGCTCCAGTGATCTTGATGTCGATGACACTAGAGTAGCTCTCATTGCGCGCAATAGCATCCGCGGAGAAGCCGTTGGGATCCTTCTCGCCGCGCATGAAAGTACCGGCCCAGGGAAACTTGCCATTCTTGGTAACTTCCATATCGATCTTGTCGCCGTTCAGGTCGGGCCAGTCCCAGTACCAGTAGATGGTGTAGATGTCGCCGGGCTTGAGGTCCTCAGGGAGCTTGATGTCGGACTGGCAGGACAGTTCCTTGGTGGGGATGGCGCCGAGAGGAGCGAGTTTGCTAGAGCGCTCAAGGCTAATGTCCCGGTTGTTGGGCTGGTAGCACTGGCCGTCGTCGTAGTTGCGCGTGGCGATGAGCTTGCCGCGCTTGTCGCCGCCAGTTCCCTCCTTGTTCCAGAGGAGGTGGACGTCAAAGAGCTTCTCCTCATCCTTGGGCTGGGTGGTGCCGTAGAAATAGATGGTGCCGCGGTTTCTGGGCTTGTTGGGCTGGTTGTCGGGGAGAGTGGTGTGGCCATTCTCAAGGTGCATGAGAGCGACGTAGTCACCAGGGGCAGCTTCAAGCATAGGGAACTGAGGGTTCTTCTCAAGCTTGAACTTGTTGAGGATCTCATTGCCAGAGTAAGCAGGTTGACCCGAGGGGGGGAGAATGTTCTGGGGGATCGTGTCGGTGTAAGGAGGGTTCGTAGAATCGCGAGGCACAAAGCCACGAGCATAACCGATCTTGCCAATCATGGTGCCATTTTGAGCGAGCTTGGAGGCATACTCAACCCAAGAGTGAGCCGAAGCTGATGAGATGAGCGTGGTTCCCGCAAGAGCGAGACCCGAGGCGTGGAAGAATTTCATGTTGATTTCTTTTTCAAATCGTAGATTGAAATGTTATCGATGTTGTTTTCACTTGAAATGAATTCAAATTTTATTCCGAAAGGAGTGATGTTGAAGAGTTGACTCCAGCAGCGAGAATGAATGCGTCGCGCTTTATGCGCAAAGGAGAGGAAGCGAGGCGAAAGCCCGTCACTTTCGACTTTTTGGCAGACGATGGTTTGTTATTGTTTGAAAGAGAAACAGAACAATTGTTGTGTATGGGCGAACAGTGAATAGGGCTTTATTTAGTGTCGATGGTTGACAGCTGGCGAACACTGACAAGGTGTGAGCGGTTGGTATTAACAGGGACAAGCAGTGCCAGAACACTGACCAACACTAACCAGCAATAAGATATATCAAACTTTGTCAATGAAAGGAAGCTTGAAACTTTCAACTAATGGTGATTGGCCCTGTTCGATTTATGATGTTCTGTTGTTGAAAGACTGAGCGAGCTGCGGATATAGGTATAATCCTCCGTCCGGCGCAGGTTGAAGTGTTGGTGGTTTATGGTCAGTCCTGCTGAGCCTCAAAGTGAAAGGAAGGAGACACAAGGAAAGAAATAAAGAAGAAAGAAAAAGGTGTTTGTTCAATAGAAAACGAGAAGAGAAGAGAACAGAAGAGAGATAGAGGTAACAAAGGAAAAAAAGGAAAGGTTGTATACCACTGGCTCTACTTCAGCATCTTGGTGTTCGTGAGTCACGAACAAACGGGGGGTGATGCGTGTGAACGGGTGATGCGTGTGAACGGGTGATGCGTGTGAACGGGTGATGCGAGAGCGTAGAAAGCTTATCGACAGTATGGTTCTCTAACAACCCAAGAGAGCACGACAGCGAACGGATTGGCAGTGGAGAGAGATGGGGAGGGAGGACGAGTGGTAATGAATGGATTGCACGAGAGACAGGCAATCAAGAACACAAGTGGGACTGCAGACACAGTTGTAATGCACGGCAATCGAAGAGCAAGGTAATGAGCAAGCAGATGCCCGGAGAACGAAACACCTTTGGGTTCCTTTTAGGGAGAAACATGAGATCTGGTATTCGTGATCCCTGGTCAACGGGGAACCTATCGTTGGGCAGCATGGCTGCGGTCGAGGAAACTGGCCTCGTACAATATGGAGACTGAGAGCATGCAAGGCACGATCAGGACAAGCAAGGGTGGGAAGGACAAGGCGCGGCTACGGACATTGTCGAGAATAGAACAGAACAGAGATAGACAGAGATAGAGATGGCGTGTATAGCTTGGCGTAGTATCAGCCAACTCAATCTCATCGTATCGCGCATAACACATCGCGGCAGCCCAGACATGGATGCAGCATCGATGGCGCGGTTAAGACCCCCCCAGCAAAAGACACAGAAACAAGAAACAAGAGCCTCCCGGTCGCAGTGTCGTCTGAGGAAGCGCTCAAGGGGGCATAGACCTGTCCAAGAACCACTCGATAGGACAGCGCAAGGCTGAGCAAGAGAACATAACATGTTGTTTGTTCCCACAAAAGAAGAACGTTTCAAAGCTAGGATCTTGATAGCCGCCTGACTGGGGTATAGAGCTTCATCTCAATATCTCCCAGCAGCTCGTCTCGATCAAGACTCACAGCGCAGCAACGGTTGGCTGACCGGAGAGACGGGACAGGGGCTGTACGGTAGAAATAGAGTCCAGGCAGGGTATTTCCACGCGGGAGGTCTAGAACTCTTGGCTCATGCCCGTAATAGATTATAGCGCATGGTTACCACTGCCGGGGTTGTCGAAAAAAAGAACATATATGAGAAAGAAAAGAAAATAGTATGAAACAACGAGATGCGAAGCCAAAGGATTGGCTCTCGTTGCTCGGCTGGCGCCCACAGAAGGCGGGCGTCTAAGGAAATTGGCTGGCGACGGTTGCAAGCGCGCCATAGCTAGACGTTAGCGGCCTGGCCAATTGGCTGTGGTTGTGCCCTGTAGAAATGATCGATACAGGGATTTGACAGGGGGAGGATACTGTAGGCCTGTAGAGTCTGGTTCGCTGTAAGTTGATTGACTGCCTGGCTTTTTGTAAGTGTCTCAGAGTTGTTTGGCCGCCTGAGGCCTATGGCTGTGGCTGTGGCCTCATCCAATCCTACGTGTTTCGCTTATTCACTGAGTACGTTAACGAGCTATTCTCATATCAAGTCAACCTCGACTTTTAGACGCGGGCGATGTTTGTTGTTTGTTGGTAGACTATCAAGCCTTTCTATTTGAAACCGCGATACCCTCTTTTTTCTTTCTTGTTTCCTTTCTAACCTTCTCAAACTTTCTCACTGAATTTCTTTGTCGGTCAAACTCGTCGTCGTCATCGTCCCACAGAGGTCAACAGTACGGTCGCGTCTAATTTTTTTAATGAGTAAAATTATCGCTGCATTGACGACCTTGTTTGATCAAGCGCCCAACTCCACCAGAATAAGATGACGAGGCACGGAAATGTCTTAGGAAAAACTCGTGTTCAACCTGGAAAAGGTCGCTGAACTCGTGGCCGTTAATACTATTATCGAGTGACTTTTCTGTTATGAGCTGTTTTCATTTACTCCCTTGTGCCGTTCATTTACTTACCTGGCCACAATCCTCTCTTGTGCCTCGTTATACAGAAACCAACCATGCATGTGGCAGCAAACAAAATTGAAATTCGCATTCACCGCTTCAATCTAACTAGGGACTGCATCAGTAACCGATTCAATACCCTGTGGACACTCATTAACTGCTGGTAACTCCTCTTAAATATGTCCCCTTCAATATCCAACCCTCAACTCAACTCAATATCACCACCACATAGCTATCGTCAACTCCTTCAGCATATTATCGAATTCTCCTACACTAAACTGATAAAACCTCCTTTGCACTCCCAAAACCCCATAAATCTATCGTCTGAATATTCGATACCTCCGCACCCCCTCAGACTCGCCCACATCCATCCATCCCTCATACAATACACGCCCCTCCCTTGAGTTGACTGTGCTCCTCACACGCCCTTTTTGTTCTATCAACACTTGACGTTCACTTCCAAGATTACAAATTACTTCAGAAACTCGTGCTCATCACGTTAGTTAATAGTATTTCTTCTCAATCAATACATAATTACTAGAATTTCAATTATAATTATAAATCATCGTCAATCCAATCGACACATCTCACGTGCCTCTTCTAAGTGTGGCTGTTTAGTCTTGTTTCGATCTCTTTTCTTCAATGGCTTCTCTCAATGTCTCACTTCCCCAATCTCCATGTCCCTCTTTTACTCTTTTCAGCTCCTCTAAGACTCCGAGTTAGCTTCCGTAATATTTGCTTTTTGTCTCCAACGGAGATGGCGTGCATCCAACATCTGGGTACGGGTTGAATCTCTAACTTTTCCCTCCCATGCTTCAAAGTGAACATATATCGGTTCTCACACCCTCGCCCCCAAAAACTTATTTCAAAGTAGATCGTGATGAAGAAATGAAAAGTTTCATTTTCGCCTTGTAAACTTAAACCTCCATTTGGTCGATCCTCCTGGTTCCTGCATTCGATGGGAATGTCGTCACTGTCCCTTACCTTAGTTCCGTTTGTGATGCAGTGATCGACCAAGGACCTGTCAATCTTGACTTTTCTTTAGCCTTCCCATGACTTGAGATCTAGTCTAGGCTGTCATTATAGAGATCTCACAGATTCATCGGTTGCCGCTAAGTGCAGGCGAGCAAAAACGTCACGTCACAGTATAACGACAATGATTTGGTTTGACTTGGTAAATTGATATCTTTGTAAATCTTCCATAACTGCCAGACTATATGCTTGTCGTTTCTTCAACGATCTTGGTATTACTGTACTATCATGATTAAAACAATTCCCGCAGGCTATCCTGAACGCCACCCTGAAAACCACTACCCGTACATGACTATTATGACATTGACCGCGTAAATGCATCATTCAATCTTATCAATCATCTCGCTCTTTGCATCATACTCGCTCACCATCCTCCTCCTGCTGCTAATGTGACTGGCACGTGGCTTTCGAGAGCATCACCCCTTCTTCGCTTCATCGGCCGCGGGCTACCGTCACGATCAGCTCCCGCCATATGTGCCCATTGTGACTGTGACCACATTGCCGTTTGATCACTGCTGGACTCCACCTTGTGGTGCGATCCCCAGTCTGGTCCGCCGCCGGTACCTGTAGACCACCCGTCCAACGCCGGTATATCCCAGCCTTGTAGGCCAGTGTCACACTCTGAGTTGTCGTAGACAAGCGAGCTGGACAAGTCCAGTCCCGAGGTAGTTGTTAGGCTCTGGAAGGGGTTCACGGTAGACATGACAGGCTTGAGATCTGCCATTGTTGTTTGCGCACCGTAGTAAGCAGCTTGGCTGTGCCCGTGCCCAGGCATGGGATGGCTCTCTCCCGCTGTGCTGCAAGTGGAGGGCATAAAGCCTACACCTGTATTTGGGGGCATGCCATGTTCAAAGCTGCCCGGGTACGACCCTTGTAGTCCCGCTGTTGGTGGAGGCGTGGCAAGTCCACCAGAGAATGACTCGAAGAGTGTGAGTCCATTGTTCGTCGCAGGCACTGTTGGGACTTGGGCCAGGCTCCCGCTGGTATCCCATGCCGAGCCGAAGGTCTCGTTCATCGCCGCTGTCATGTGCTGGTTGATTGAAGGTGTAGGGGACATAATGGCATCGCGTGACATGGAAGCAGAAGGGTAAACGAGGGCCTTTTGTTGATGGTAACGAGACATGGGGTCGTTAATCGTCAACCAGCGCCATGAGGTGCCAGCCGGCTTGAACACTGGGTTGTACTTGTACCATTGGTTGGTTGTGTTGAATCGCCAGAACACAATGCCCTGTCGAACCCATCGGTTCGAGTCGGGCGCACACGACCAGAGCTCCTGGTACATGGCCACCTTGCAGATGAGGTCGCTGCCTGTCAGATCGCGGCGAGCCCAAGAGGCGGCATCACCATCGTCCTCGGACCGCTTGCGCTTGCTGCTGGAACGGTCGAGATCGCTCTTCTTGCCGTCGCCCTTTGTGCGCTTCTCCTTCTTGCGCTGGTGCTCAACGTCGGGGTACTGCACAGCCATGCTCAAAATGCTAGCCCACTCAACAGCAGGAAAAGGGACGTGAATATCCTGGCGAGGACGTGAGTGGCAATCACAATCGGTCTTGGAATCGCTGCAGCCCCGTCGGTGAATGCCAGTCTCATTCGTGTATACACTCTGCTTCTTATCGTCGCTGTGAAGCTCAGATGGTCGAGTGAGACGGGTCACACACTTCCAGCGGTGGTTCTGGAGGTTGGGGTTTGTAATTGCCACCTCAACAAAACCAGTGAGCTCAGAACCTGAAGGGAAACGAGCATGTTCATGCAACTCAAGAGTCGCGCACATCTCAAGAAGCAGACAATCCTCATCCCGGGTGGGGAGATCGAGAGTCTCGTAGATCTCGGGCGCATCCTTCTGCCATCGGCGAGTAACCGTCTTGGCACAGGCAGAGGTGGTTCGATCCAGTGATCGGGTGTACTCATGGAGTAGCACATCCTTTCCAAGTACACTCGGGCTGTCATCACAGTTGTTGTACTTGTTCAGGTGAGGGAAAGACTCCATGTCGAGAGGAGTGTCTTGAGCGTCATATGCAATCTCATCTCTGAACTTGACCTCAGAAGAAGAGACATAAATCTCTGCCGTCTTAGGACGGACTGAGATCAGAGACTGAAGAGCCAGAAGTTGTGAGAAGTACTCGTAGTTGGGCTTGACATCAGGCACTCGGCCTTCTGCAAGAGCAGTCAGGACAGGGTTTGACTTGAAGGATTCTTGCTCCTCCTCATCATAGTAGTCCTCGGAGTTTGTAGAGCCAGGCTCCTTCTTCTCTTCAGCAGGGAAGAGAAAGTGGACTGAGAATGTCAGTAAATTGTTGTAATCAGTGTATAGAGTATTGACTTACAGCATCGCAAGTCTTCGAAAAACTTCTTGACTACTTGCATGTGGCTTGAGACTTGTTTGCGTCCCATCTGCTCAATGCTGTCGTTGCTGTTGTCGATTCGGAAAATCTCTTTGCTACCAAGGATGGCAACACAGATGGTGAAGATGTATTCGCTGATAAGCATGTTGCGGCCGTGAAGCTTGCCTCCCATGGAGAACTTGCGACGACCCATATGAGGCATAAGGAGAACAGCTAAAGCATATTAGTATAAGTCAAGGCCAGGTATGATGTATACTCACAGTCAACAAAGGCATCCTCAAGCTCAGCCCTTCTCCAGACACCACCCTTATCCTTTTGGGTGTCCTTGTGTGCTTGTCGGTTACGGTACTGACGGAATGCTGGCCAGAAGTAAAGAGGGTTGACTCCATTTCGAGGTCTTCTCTGGTACCTGGGCTGGTTTCTTGGTGTAGGTACGCGGTACAGGCACTCAAATGATTGTGAGGGGATCATAGGAGCTGGGAGACTGGCTGGCACTGAAGGCGAGATGCCTACTGTGTTTGGGTAACATGATACCATGCTGTTGAAGTTGTGTGATTGGGCATTAGTGGCGACCTCCCGCAGAGGTAGGCGGCTGTTGTTGTGATATGTTCGTCGAGCATCTTGAAGATAGTCTGGTGAAGGTGTATAACGTTGTGAGGACAGCACCGGCCTCGGGTGGTAGAGTGATGAAGACATGGCAACAGGCAGGTGTTGACAGAGGAATGTCGACAATAGAGCTCAGTAAGATAGACTCGACCCAGCTGAAATGCCGTTTGTGAGTTTACGAATGCAGACAATGAGTAGACAAGAGATGATGAGAATGTTGAAAGGAATTCAAGACGTGGAATGGTGGGATAGATGTATGCATCTGAAGAAAGGAGTGTTTAGCCACTGGCATGAAGAATTGTCAAGAGAAATTTAATAAACATCTATAAATCCAAGACTGGGGAGTATAACACTGATAGTCTGTGGAGCTTGCTCGCCGAGCCCAGGGCTGGAGCGCCCCTCTCAAGTCTCAACTCAAACGATCAAGATCAATGAATCCATCATCCCCTCCCATCCCATCCACCAAGGGCAATGGCGTTTTGGCGGCGATGGGGGTGGGAAGGGCGCTTCATCGGCGGGGAACTGGCCTGGCTTTGCCCGGAGGGAGGTCTACTTCGGTAGTCGTGGCGGCCAATTGTGAGTGCTTGCAGAAGCCACCAGCACATGGCAGCTCAGAGCTCTGATCGAGGGCGTTAGCATGCAAGGGAGCGTCAGGGCGGGGCCGCGATGTCTGTCAAGGTTTGTGCTATCACCAGGGGATTGTGGAGGGGGCGTGTGTTGAGGGATCTTAAGACATCTTCAAAAGAGAACGGCGCAAGGTACGGAAGGTTTGGTATGTGGTCAAGATTAGAATCAGACATTAAGAGGATCCGCAGACCCCAGTTTCCCCTGCCAGGGCAGTGAATTTGTCGACGAAGCTCTAGCTTAGATCGTAGCCACTTCGGATAAGCGCTGTTCAGTAATGCATGGAAACCGCTCTGGAGCGACCAATCGACCCTTGCCAAGGGAGAACGGCGTAGAGTGAGTTTGTCGTGAGAGAGGTCAGCCGTGCAGGAACAGGAACAGGAACGCTCAGCCTTGTCGTGCCTCTCCTTCATCAAAAGTAATAGTATCTCTGTAGTCTCCTACTCCATTTCTCAAAGATCCAGCTCATCCTTTTCATTGCCAATATCAATACGGGTCCTCCCTTTTCCAGTCAACTGCTGGAGGGCCATCTTGTTGACCTGTCCTCCAACCTTCTTCTGCATCTTTGCAATCTCTTCCTCAGCATCGACTGCCTCTGCCTCCGCAAAGTCCAAGACAAGCTTGCGACCAAGCAAGTGGGTGTCCCTCAACGCATTTAGCGCGTTCTCGGCTTCGCGAGGAGTGACAAAGTCTGCAAAGGCAAAACCCCTAGGGGTATAGTCAGCCTTCTTCGGGAGGCGTACCGATCTAAGTTGGCCATAGGTTCCAAACAGTGACCTGATGTCCTTCTTGGTCGCCTGGAAGGGCAAGTTCTTGACGATGATCTTGGTGCGCTGTCCAGCGGTCTTCTTAGCCTTGTCATCCCGACGTCTCTCCTCGGCTGCGTCATGACCCTTGTGTGATGCCTTGACAGCTAGGGCGTGATCGTCAAGAACATGACCGTCCATGACTTTGAGTGCAGCTTGCGCTTGGCTCCTCGTCCGGAACTCCACAAAACCGAATCCCATGCTAAGCGTCTGCCCTGGTTTCTTCGGGTCCGTCTTAGTCTTGACTCTAGCAGAGACGAATCCGTCGAGGGACTGAAAAGTTTCTGCAAGCCGAGACGTGGAGGTCGAAAAGTTTAAATTGCGCACAAACAGTGAAGTTGTTTCCAAATCCTCCTCCGGCTTATCACCGCGTGACAGCAAGTCGTCCACGCTAAGATTTTGGACTGTCGGAGCCGGTCGATCCTTTAGTGACACGGCTTGGTCCAGTTGGTCGCCGCCTCTGAAGATGTCGCTTGGCGCTTTTTCCAAAAAGAGCACACTATCTCCAATCCGGCGATATGCCAACTTGCCAAAAGCGGACTTGGCGTAATTGGGCTGCGAGAACTGGACAATAGCAATTGTCCCGCTTGGGGGCATCAAAACTCTCAGCACGGGCCCAGATTCCTCGAAGAGCTTACGGAGCTCGTCGATCGTAGTCCCGTAAGGAAAGTTTTTTACCAAAATGGCCGTATCACCCCGCTTCTTTGACTTGAAAGCCTCAAGGTCCACACCATTAGCGGCGAAATAGGCTTTGGTATCTTGGATGACGCTCGTCTCCGCGATAGCCTGCTTGATAGCAGCATCGGATGAGGTTGGGTCAAGAAGTTCTGATTTTGAAACACCAAGACGCTCAGCAACCGATGTGTTGACGGCGTCCTGGTTCATGTAAAGCGCATTCCAGTTAAAAATACTTGCAGATGCCTCCTGTTTCTTGCGAATCATGTTTTGCTTCTTGAGAGGGAGCTTGGAGATGGCAAACTCATCAAGAGCTGTGTCTCGCTTTGCACTCGCAGGAATGATGTGAAGGAGACGCCCCTGAAACGTCGTGCCATCCATGGCTTGGAATGCTTCAACCGCTCCCGATGGCTCAGTAAACAGAATCAGGGCGAACCCCTTACTGGTACCTGAATTGCTGACCGGTAGATGAACCTAGTATTCAACAGCTGTTAGTTGATATCCAGACTAGTAGTGATCTCAAGTAATGCAGTAAAATTGACAACAATTCAGCTAATCGAAGCATCTACTAAAATATTCGTCTCAAGGTTCTCATCAAATACCGAAGTATAAGCTGTCCCTATCTGAGGTTCATCACGTTGTCATGGGTTTGCATAAAAGAAAAGGCAAGAAAGCTTGTTTGAAACATACCTCTTCAAGTGTTCCGAATTGCTCAAAGGCCGCGCGAAGATCCTCTTGGGTGGCACTGTAGGGCAAGTTTCGGACAAACAGTCGAGACGTTCGGCGGATCGACTCGAGCGTGTCGTCTTTTGCTGGTTCGTCCCCTAAAGCCTCCACCGCTGTCTCAACCATCGGCGCGTCATTTGCAGCTGGCGGGTCAGCAGGAGTGATATCCATTGCATCGCCTCCCTCTGCATGATCGGTCTCAGTCGTGGAAGGCCCTTGCACAGGAGTTCGTTCCAGATCATCGGGATCAACGAGGTCCAACAGTCTGTTGGTTCGTGAGCGAAGCCAGTCGTCATCTTCTGGGACTGCGTCCTGCGTTTCAGCATTTGGTTTTGTCGCTTCTTTGGACTCCGCAGAGCCCTCGACTGCAGGAGCTTGCGCCTTGGCATCCGGGACCACATTTGCTTCTTTCAGCTGTAATGGCAGAGACCCGGAAGCCAGTGACTTCTCTGGTGAATCAACCCTACGTTGCTTCTCCTTGCGAGCGGGGATCTGCTCGTACTCATCGTCACTCTCTTCTTCAGGAACGGCGTTGGTAGCTACAGCAGCAACTCCATCGCCCATACCACCACGGACACCATCATCCATAGCGCCCTCCCTGCCTTCCTTCATAACATGAAGGAATTCGCGCAGCTTGGGATCCGCTGCTGGAGGCTCATCTCGCTTCCGCTTTTTCAAGCTCGAGTCAGCGTCCTTGTCAACCGTCGGCGCCGTGCCCTTGATTGTGGTGGATGGTGACGATGCATGTTTGGAATGCGAGGCGCTCTGGGCTCTGAAGAGGGCGGGGTCTGAGATCTAGCATTCCATCAGTATGGGCAAGTCAAGACATTTACGAGGAATTACTTACAGGTCTAGCTGACTCGACGGCGATCTTGGACATACGAATGTAAGACCTGTTGAAGTACTTGACTGCCTTGTCCGCGTCCTCTGGTGTCTTGTAGCCCACATAGCCGATGCGTCGCTGGGGCATCAACTTGACATCGGTGATCTCGCGACCTTGGGCGGAGAAGTGCTTCCGGAAGTCAGCCTCTGTGATGTTGGGTGGCAAGCCCCTAATGAATATTCTTGATGAAGCCATTGTTGTGTTGTTGTTTGGATATCGTATCTCCCGATCGATGGCGAATGGTTCACCGGGGGAGTTGTACGCGTGAAGTCATTTTCAGAACGGGAGGCTCTTTATGAAGGGAGAGAAATGAAAAAAAAAAGTTCTCTACCACGTTTCTTATTGCCCGAGGTTGGGATCCGATGTTGGCCCGTGCGCCCGGATTTTCCAACAGTCCAACCCCACTTTTGGCTTCCACGATGCTTCTACAAGCAGACGTTCTTCTTCACCGCCCTCAGCTCAGTGATGGGAGAAATTCCAGCGAACAAGTCAAACGCCACAACAACATTGCTTGATGATGTAGAGAGGCGAAAGTGGTTCTTTGTGTAATATACCATTCTCTATTCGCCTTGTGATACCGTTGGAAGTTCTTCAAGGGAGATATCTGTTGATATAGCTCTCCTGAAATCGAGCAAATTCTGCCACATTGCAGAAACTGCTTCCTCAATACGAACAGCTTGATGTCCTTTGCCTGTATCGGGTTTTATCATTCAGTGAAGCTGTAGACTGTGTGTTCGACCACTGGTTGTCATTCTCAACCACCGCCCATCCACCGTCAAGAATGCTGGTGTGGAGGATACGGATTTACCTCCAAGACTAATATCTCACACAAGACCTGCATCACAAATGCCGAAGCAGTCATATTGGAATCTTGTGGCTTTTGCAGCCTCCTTGGTGGTTCACTGAAGTTTTACGGACCACAGAGATTCTGTCTTTCATTGATGTTGCTTTATTGCTCATGTGGCATGAAAGCCCATAGGCAAGCTGCGAAGGATTTATCCATTGCACGAATGCTGTGCTGCTCATGAGGTTATTGTACGTCTATTCATGATCGCAGCACCATATACTGCGAGTTTCAATATCCTTAGCAGTAGGAATGGAGAATGATTCCTCGTGGCCGGTATCCGTTCAACTCCCGTGCGGCGTCATGCGTTTATTAGACGCCGATCATTTTTATCTGCCATGGTGCGTGGATGAAGTAGGCTGCAACATACCACGAACCTATGTCACAGACCATAGTTCTTCGTAGTATTTACAGTTGTCATATGTTACTTGATTGTCTATATTCACGTAGAGATTATTCCAAAGGCATCGTTTGCAGCTGTTCATCAACTGAATGCAAAAAGAGATCAACAAAATATCAACTTCTCCGCCTGGTTCCCCAGCAACTTGGAATTAACTTTCTGTCAAGTAGCGGTGAGTATTAATCTCGAAAGATTCTCAAAGTTAATATAGCCAAGAAGCTCTGAATTTGGCACTCCGACATTCCTATCCACTCATGTCTTTTCCAGCAGTTACAGCATTTATATCTCTATTTTGTGGTCCACAAATGATTTTAAATCGCAAGAAAGAGCATGTTATCATGTAGGTATTTTATTATATGAATGTGTTTTTTTCTTTTCACGATTGCAGTCCCGAGGGGTGCAAAAAGATGCATTCTTGATGTGCATTTTGGCATTTGTGAGATGCACACTCCACACCATGAGCCTTGGAATGACTGGTGAGGGAATGCGGATGCAAGCCATATTCTCTGGAGAATTCTTGTCAAACTTTATGGGTGGCATGACTCTCTGCATGCTCGGACTATAAGAACTTATAAGTATAAGAGGACCTCTCCGATCACACACCAACATTATCGTAAGCTGTCTCCCAGAGTGTATGGGAGAGAATGGCACAACAGTCAGTCTTGATTTATTCTTGTATCTCATTCTTCATTAGCGATCATGCACACCAAAGAAGAATGCGGAGGGCCGATATCAAGGATGGATCGATGGGATAAACGACGACACTCCGACTTTCGACCTTGGAACTCTTCGATTCAATCACGAAACCACGAGCTTCTACCAATTCAACTATACGATCTTGTTTATTGAGGAGACAATTTGGCATAGAAGGGTTTTTATCGCAAGAGCTTGGATTTACCTTGATTTGACTGGTTGTCTTGAGTCATGTTACGAAGCTTCGTGCATGGTTCTTGAGTAAGAGATATATCACATCATTCTATGGGGCGACACCAAACTCTCATCCCAAGAGCACCGCAGCTCTCGACTTAGATCACGACCCCATTTATCCTTGGGGCAGTATCCGGCTCCTGCACTCAATGATGGCCTTAGTGTTAGCTCAACGTGGATATTCGTCACTCCAATGATAGCGATATCAAGCGGCCGACGGATATGACATGGCGAGCGTATCGTAGTTGTGATCCTACGTCCACTCCCGTCTGCATATGGACTTTTATGATCCATAGACGATGGGTCCGTTTGGTAAGCATGACCATGGTGTAGACTCTACAAGGTACAAACAACGTACAGATGCACAATAGAGACGTGAGATGCATGTTTTCGTCTTGGACGTCACGCCACGAAAGTATATCCTGGATTTTGACATCCACTACTTTTCTTGGCGGAGGAAAAAGAGACGCAAGAAGTTAGATAAGTCACTTCGCTAAATCTATTGGTCGTCCATGTGCTCAACTACCTTTTATCTGGGAGGTAGGAACAATTACACTTCTCGCGTCTATAGCCTATCAAATTTCAAGCTCTTTTGAGTAATTCTTCTTCTCACTCCATGGTATCCCTATCTTAGCAACCATCAGATGCTACTCATGAACGTGTGGACCTCCTTGGAGCAATTCTCATGACTCACATTCAGGGTTCGATATACGGCGTATTTCTCGACTTCGTGATGATTTGCAATACTGACACATCTCCGATATGCTCTGAGATATTTCATGATATTACCAAGGCACCAAATTGTAGGTTTTCAAGTCCATGTCAAACCCTATGCGATATTTGGATTGTATCTGAATGACGGGCGTGGACCTATCATACACTGCCAACTCGACCGTGCTCAAACTTAAACATGGTCACATAATGGATTGTGTCTATCAAAAGGTCGTACAGCTGAATATAATATTCAATATAAGGTTTCATCATTTCATAACCGTTGGTTCAAGTTAAGGCAATTCAAGTGAGCAAAATGTTCCGGTGCTGTCATGGAAGATCAAATATGGAGTTTGTCAGATTACGAAGAAATACTCAACGACAGTATACAGTTTAGCAGAATCCAGAATATTTGATTGTGATATATCACATTATGTCTGCAAATATTCTATATGACCACATGTACAGTATCGTCAGAAACCTAATATGTAATACCAAGCAAACACCCCGTTGTAACATGATGTTGGAGTCTGAATATAGGGTAAGTTGGACCGCCGCAAAAGTGGATACACTGTCATACTCGGATCTGAGCCGCGTCGCCGCGAGCCCCACCTGTTGGCAGTGGCAGCGGCGCCCCGTGCACTTGATCTCCAGGGCAGCTTCCAGTGACTGACGAGGCTGCAGCTTGGCCAACAGGCAATCTGAACTAATCCAATCACTAAGTTACCATAAACACGCGAGTCGCACTTACTCCACAAGGCTTTAGCATTTGCGCGTTTCATCAACAGCAAAAGTTACGAACAAAACAATCGCACTAATAATTCGCTCTTCTGTATATCGCATCGAAAACACTGACGCCTCGTATCTTTCCGCATATCGCGTACGTACACCCCGAGTCCTTCAAGGCTAGCAGTCCCGTGCCGTCGCTCCTCGAGAAAGGGGGGCGCATACCGAGGCGTTGTCGACTGCCAGCCTCACGACGTCAACACAACTAACAAGATTTTGCCCAGTCGCACTTGTTTCCCAAACCGATCACTTTCTTCAATTCTAATCACAAGATGGCCGACGCTCATGCTCCCAAGGCAGAGTCTCCCGTACCCCGGGAGAAGCTGGAAGGTAAGCGACACCCCCTTTGACACTTTGGAAAAGAAGCATCATGCTGATGTGCAGCCAGCCCAGATCAAGTCCGCCGACATGGTGAGATAACCCGACCTACGTACCGAAATATACCATACACGATCGCTGACGAGGTGTGATAAAGACGGAGGACATGCAACAGGAGTCCATTGAAGTTGGTACGGGATACCTGTGACAAATTGCGCCGGCGCAAAGCAGACAAGGCTGACATGATGATAGCCCAGGAGGCCATGGCCAAGTTCACTATCGAGAAGGTCAGTTATCAAAGTACTGGATCTCTGTCATCATCGGAGCTGACGGCATATGACAGGACATCGCACAGCACATCAAGCGCACAGTTCGTACACGCCAGACCTACCACGATCGACCCCTACTTACATCATCTAGTTCGACGAGCGAAAGGGACCTACCTGGCATTGCATTGTTGGTCGAAATTTCGGCAGCTTCGTTACTCACGGTCCGTCAAACTCAGAATATCCAGCTCCATAGCCCCGGGTGCACCTAACTAACGTATTCTGCAGAGACAAAGCACTTCATCTACTTCTACCTTGGCCACTGCGCAATTTTACTATTCAAAACGCAATAGGCATGGGAGAAATGGCTCACCGGTGGGGGCCTTTGGAAGAGCTTGCTGTAGCAAGAGGGAACAGTGTGGTAGGACAAGAAGAATGACGAAAGGCAAAAGCAACTGGCAATCGGCAACTGGCAAAAAGGATTCATCGTGGCTGCTGTCGTCCACCCTACCCTACTTTACCTTACTGGGCTTGCCTCGATGTACAAGACGGACGGCCGTGGAGCTTGCGGCTGTACTAGGTTCATGATCAATAATGAGGGGCGCTTGCCCAGTATTTTCCAAATTTTGCTGTTCCTGGCCTGGTCAGGTGTTGGGAGTTTGTTACCAGGGGTGGCTGATCTGCCGTGACGGGCCACCAGGTTGTACCTGATCTGTGCAAGGCTGTTGGTGGTTAGCTCGAGATGGAGGATCTGGTAGCCTCGTCTGCTGGACTGTTCCTGAGACATATCACTGTCAGCGTGAGATATGTTGGTTGTGTATCGGCCTCTTTTGCTCAGATTTCTTTGATGCTGTTGTTGCTCGAATTGACTCGAGCCACTCGAGTCAGACGAATCACTAACCACAGCAATCGTCGATCATCACGTCTTTTCAACACACAAAAA